ATGCGCATGCGCGTCTATTTTGCATATGTCTGTCCCCGGAAAATTGACCCCAAAACGAGCCCCCTAAGTTTCCCATAAAATATAACCACCAAATTTTAATTTAAACAAAAAAGCAAACAAAATAAATGAAACACTTTGCAAAAATTTGCAATCATTCGTAAAGTTGTTAATGAAAATTTTATAAATGGAGGCAAAGTATGTCATCAGTAACGTTATAGTCACGTGGTATTTTGTGTCGTGGTTGGACGGTATCTAGAAGGAGGAAACGTAAATTGACCAAAAGTATTGTGTTCCATATTGTGTCACCGGCGTCGCATTTTTCGCCAGAGCTTATTGTGCACTCGCACTTGTTTTTGTGTTAGTTTCAATATCCCTGCTTCTATTGTACCTTGAGCGATAAAGCTGTTCTTTTTGCTTTCAAGTTCTCTCGTCTTCTCTTTTGCTCCAGACCTGTTAGTTTCCTCAACCTCTTGCACATACAAAAAAAAATCATCCCAGAAGATAAATTCCCGAGTCTCCGGAACAAGAGGAAACTGTTCATCAGGTTTTTCGGTTTTCAAGGCTTCTGGCGATGCCAGCTATCCTACATGATATTCTATTTGAGAGTCCAGTTGAGACAAGATTGAAAAAAACCCAGTTTATGGGGCCTAGCTGAGTCACCGCATTTAGCTTTTGTGCTTTATTGGTGTTTTTAGTAAACAACCTCAAGCTGAAGGTCTTTATCACCCAAAACCTTTTATTTAAAGAGACGTTTTGTTGTTGGTTGCACTCTCAATGTTGTCCTATGCAACTTGAAACTAGTAGAACTTGCTACATGTTATTTCAATTATCTTGCGGGCTGAAACAAAATGAGAATAGGCCTTTACTTCCTTAATGCGTTCTTCATAGAAGAAAATCAGTCCGTCACAGAAAAAAGAAAGAAATTTAATAATTTAATAATTTTTTGATGTAAAATAATAAGGGTTATAATACGTACCGAGAATGGGACATTTGGGAAACATTCCCATAGACTTGTGCACAAAATTTTTCAAACTTAAATGTGCCCTAACCCAATATTCTCTTGTTTTTTTTCCCATGAATTTCGGTATTTTTACTAATTAGACCACGAGCAACAAATATAACCTGATTGCGACTGTAAAATTTTGCCTCTAAATGGAAAATGTCTCCCTAATGACCAGTTTCTCCCTATTGTCGAAGAAATAACGATAACGTGTGAGAATAAAAGAGTTATAAATTTCGGGCATGTTGTTTGAATATAATCGTTGGAGTTAAAAATGGAGTTATAAAATTACACTGGGGATCATTATAGCGGGTCATTTTGACTCGGAAACCTTGGCAAAAGTGTCATTTTGACCAATGAAATGTTTTCCTTTTGACCCTGAAAAGTTTCAGGTCAAATAGCATCCGGTTTCGGGGTCAAATAGCATCCGGTTTCTGGGTCAAATAAAGCCCTTTTTTTTAATTTTTTTTTTAGAGTTTTACGTTCTGCATGTAAATGGCGACAAATCAAATTATTCGGCATCTTGCTGCGTCAACACCTCAGTTTTGCTACGTCTGCAAATGCGCGCACTATACAGCCCAATTGGGAATTATTAATGCTCACGACTAGCAAGGAAATGACTACCATTCCGGAGAATTTATATCCGTCAATATTCTAATGGAATGAATCCAATTTGACAGGGTAATGGCACGCGTGGAAAATGAGCTATTGCCGAATGAGCAAAATGTCAAACATGTTTTCGTCACGATCAATTTTATTTTTCGATTGATAAGGAGGGGGGGGGGGAAGACTAAGTCTTGTTCAAAACAAGACACATATGGCATCCTTCACCTAATCTTAACCTACGCTTTTGTATTAGCATAATTGGTCCAGAGTAATTCTGTTGTTTTTCAACACTGTCTGAGCGACTGGTGATCAGATAGAGTACGACTGCAGGGATTCACACACTTGTTTTGGTCGATAAAACTTATGCTTTTTCTTCGAAGCAGACGTGAGAGAGCATCACGTTTGCCTAGCAAACGACAAATTCTTCCCATTTTGCTACCCCCCCCCCGCGTTATGTTTCTTTTACCTCAAGAGATCTGACGGCATCTCGTCTGCGCTCTCTGCCGCTGTCGTCAAGCCGACAGACAACGTAATTTCATTAGGCTACCCCTGGACGGTGCCACAAAATGAAATTATCGTGTCGTTTGGGGGCTCCACAAACGTTTTGACTCTTTCAAATGCCTTTGTGTTTAGTTTCTGTAATGGAACAGACCTCCATTACTTTGTTTTGCCATAGAGAAGGGACACATCACGAGTAGAATAAACAACATGCGGAATTGAGATGTTTTGCCAAACATGTTTGTACAGAGAGATGAGGCCAGACGTTGATGTATGAGTATTATGACAATGTTCCTTATTTTTGGCTCTGGATAAAACCTTCAATTACTTGAAGGTTTTATGTATTATTCTATCGTCGGATTTCCATGCAAGGGAATCATTTCTATTCTGATCTGAATCGTGTCAACGTACGCTTGGCCAATGTGCAGAACGTTTCTTTGGTAAACTACTGTGTAGGGATGTCTGATACCGCGGGGAATTGAATGGTTATAGAAACGCTGAGTGGCACATCGGATTAATGTTTGTTTGCGTTTAAAGGGTTCGTGAAATGAATTGTTCTTAGGAACCCATTTTGCGCAACTTTCCACTCCTCTTAGATGTATGAAAACTATTTGACATCCCTGTTTGGTTAACTTGATTGAAAGGTGCACTTTTTTTATAACATTTAAAATTGTCCATGCTTTTCCGGACAACTGAGGACGCTGTCGCTGTGATGTCATTTCAGGAAGACACTGTTCAGTTGAGGGTTTTTCTGTTCAAATTGTGAACCCCAAAATTTGCTCATTGAAAACATTTGTGAGAAAAGTTTGCTCATTGGCTTACTGACATGTGCTGACACAGCAACGAATCACCACAGAAAAGAAAATGGATAACTGAGAAAATAATATCAAACTTCTGGCAACTTTTGGTGCTGAAATAGTTGTTGCATTGAGGTTTCTGCCTGAAATGACATCACACTTTTGCCCATGAATATGTACATTTTCATTAGCATAAAAGAAAAAAGGCTCCAACATACCCTTGAAAATGGCAAAACGAAAATTGGAAATAAAGCGAAATAGGACACAAACGTGTACTTTCAAGAATAGCACTAAAAAATTGCATTGTATTAGTCCTTTAATAATATGTTCTAGGCAAAGTTTTTCGTATGGTGGACAGTAAGGTGGTTCTGTGATAAAGTCCGCCCGCAAATTGCGATCAATCCGTGTTTTTCGTTTTCAAAGAGTGTCCTTTTACGTTCACATCAGTGCTTTTATTACTGCTGTTGGTGGAGTGTTTGGGAGCCCAATCATATACGCGCGCGAAACCTACACTACGCAGGCCCTTGATTAAAAAACAAGACTTCGGACGACCCCAATTTATCGGGAGGACTATTTGCTCGCGGAGTCGGCTCAAGATACATCTCACAGGCCGTACTGGCTCAATTACTAGCCAAATGGGTCCCGCACGGGTGGCCACTTCACCGCTAATATCCTAGAGCTAATATCCTGGTTTCCTTCAAGCGACGGGCCGGGCTGTAGAAAGGACGAAGGGTCCGAGGTTTTTTTCGTCTTGTAGTAGTTGGCTTGCACGGCATGTATAAAGTGCCATTGACGCACAGAGCGTCACGCTTGACGTCAGAATGGCGTAAGTGGCGCGAATGGTAAACACGGGAAATGAGAGACTTTCTGTGGACAATTACAGGATTCGCTAGAAATGACCTTCGTAAGCCCAAGGGATTCTTTTTTTTTTCGAAAACGAAAGAAATTGCTTTTTTAGTTGGGGGAATGGAGTGACTTCTTTTTTCAACATTGGAACCGCTAATATTGAGCGTCTTGGGTTGTTCAGTTTTGGCAGGGCTAGGTTATTTTATCGCTGGAGGGCGCTACGTTTCATAAAACCCCAGAGGAATGTTGTGCTCAGTCTCACAGATGAAGTCAGAGATCGGCCAGCGCGTGATATGTATTGACGACCTCTCACGTGGGGTCAGTAGATACTTTTTGCGTTCACTGTCACTGAATTTGAATAACGAAAGCTCCCCTCGGTGAGGGCGCACCATGCAAAGGGACTATTTGGCCAATCGGCTCCACCCTCAGCTCAAACACGATCATAGCAATCATTGAAACGTCAGAATGCATGAGATGTGTCGCCTGTCTTTGCACACTGGTCAGAATCGAACAGCATCCGGGTCAATTAGCCACACTTTTTTCGGATCAAATGCCATTTCTCTGAGTCACTTCTCATGGCCATTTGACCAGGAAAGGTGTAATTTTGATACGACAAATTGTCTTATTGACCGAGAAAATGCCAGGTTTCCTCGAAAAATTGCTCTTTTGATGCAGACGTCTGCAAGGTCAAGTCTGACCCGGATCAAGGTCAGATCTGACCCGGGACTTTTATGAGTGTGTTTTACGAGTTCAGGCCGGAGTCTTTAGATACGCTATGCCTGCGCTATGCATGCTGAGATTTGGGGCCCGTATCACAAAGACTTGCTCCGCCTTCATCTACTGCGGCGTCACCGTATGGGAATTCGTTGCTTTCGTGAATTGGCTGGGCTTGATCTTTGAAAACAAAACCGCGCCGTTTTCTTCTACCAGGTTTGTGTGCCTTGCCGAATTCGGACACGAAGCCTGGCTCCTGCTCCCTCTACTCCTACGTTACATTGGGGGAGTTTCTGTCCTACGTTATTGGCAGGACGTGGTCATTGATATTTAACATAACCCCGCAGTAACAAATTTCATTACGTTTTCTTCTACTAGGTCTGTGTTATGCCTGTTCGGAGCCCTTGTCCCGAGCCGCCTACAACAGTTACTCTACGTCATGGTGGGGAAGTTTCTGGCCTTCGTGATTGGGTGGAGAATGGTCGTTGACAACATAATCGTAGCTAACATTAACATATCTCATTCCGTTTTTTTACCAGGTCTTTGCTATGCTGAGTTTGGGGCCCGCGTCCCAAAGGCTGGCTCCGCCTACATCTACTCCTACGTCACGGTGGGGGAGTTCCTGGCCTTCGTGATTGGCTGGAGCATGATCATGGACAACATCATCGCTGCGGCGACCGTCGGCAAGGCGTGGTCTCAGTACCTAGACTCCATAGTCAACGGGACCATCAGCACTTCTATCAAGGCGAACGTGGGTAGCTTCGACTCGCCCTGGTTCGGGGATTACCCGGACATTTTGGCCTTCGCCCTGCTGATCGTGCTGACCTTTATCGTGGCGGTGGGGGCCAAGATGTCCACGGTGGTCATGATGGGCCTGACTGGGGTCAATCTCTTGGTCATCGTGTTTGTCATCGTGGCGGGTGCTTTCTACGTAGAGGGAGAGAACTGGACCAGCAACAAAGGATTCTTCCCGTATGGTGCTTCTGGGGTACGTCTTGCTCTTTTGGGTATACATTTTAAAAGGAGTAACATCAAGTACAATGCCTGTCCCATGGGTAACCTCAATATGCTGTAACAATGTGGCGGTTATGTTTGTCACAAAATGGCTGAGCTTGATGCCCCATTGTGCTACAGACTTGTATGACTGGTGACTCGGACTCGGGCTCGAGACCGACTCGAGTCCAATTTTCCATGACTCTTACTCGCGTCACAATGACAAATGACTCGGACTCGGACTCGACCTGGATGACTCGGGACTCGGACTCGAAGTTTGGTGACTCGAATACAAGTCTGGTGTGCTATGATCACGTGTTCTGACTCATTGAAGTGTTTTTTTTGCTTTCCCTTCATAGGTATTTGCCGGAGCTGCCACCTGCTTTTACGCTTACGTTGGGTTTGATGCCATCGCGACGTCTGGAGAGGAGGCTAAGAACCCCAGTCGTGCCATTCCGATAGCGATCACCCTCACCCTCCTCATCTGTATGGTGTGCTATATCAGTGTGTCTGCCATCTTGACCCTGATGGTGCCCTATGATCTATTGTCCCCCTTTGCCCCGTTGGCCGAGGTGTTCCAGCAGCGTGGCATGCCGGCCGGTCGGTACATCGTGGCGATCGGTTCATTGCTGGGTCTCTCCTCCGCCATGTTGGGGTCCATCTTTCCGCTGCCCAGGATCATCTACGCCATGGCTAAGGACGGCCTGCTCTTCAGGTTTCTGTCTCGCGTCAACGCCAGGACGGATGTTCCAGTCATCGCCGCGGTCGTGTCTGGTATCGTGACTGCTATCATGGCTCTGATATTCAACTTGGAGCAACTGGTGGAGATGATGTCGATAGGCACCCTGCTATCCTACAGTCTGGTGGCCGCCAGCGTGCTGCTGCTCCGGTACCATCCAAAGACCGTGGGACTGAGCAAAGACGAGGTCAAGGAGATTGCTAAGCTGTCGAAAGAGGGCGCCCCCGAGGAGTCCATATCCCTAGTGGAGAAATCGGCGGGGAAGTACATCAAGTACACGGATGCTGCTGCACCTGATGAAGCCACCGACACACCAGATGATCCAGCATCCAGTAAGCCAGAAGAACCCTCATCCAGAGGGGGCTACGGCGTGCTCCAAAACGAGACAACGGATCCAACCGAGGGCGAGAAGAAAAAGGCCAGGGCGCCCCCAACGGCCAAGACTTATATGATCGTGGTCATAGCCTTCACCATCTTAGTGGTCATCTTCTGCAGTCTTAGCGCCCTCTTGGCCTTCGGCATGGACAGTATATCCCGCATCGAGTGGTGGTCCATCACCCTACTCTGCCTGTTCCTTGCCGCTATTGTGTGCCTGACCGTTGTCATAGAAACCCAGCCTCAGAATCGTATGGAGCTCTACTTCAAGACGCCCTTTGTGCCCTTCTTACCGTTGGTGGCGCTTTTGTGTAACACCTACCTGATGTTAAAGCTATCGGGTGCCACGTGGGCTCGTCTTATCATCTGGCTTGTAGTTGGTGAGTATGTGAAACACTTATTCCATGCAAAAAAAGGGAATTAGGGCTCCTTCTATTGTTTGAAACGAGTCATGTTTGTAATATATAATTTTAAATATATATTCTGTATTAACTATTTATCTTCAGAATATCAACGAACATAGAAATGACCACCCAGGGTATTTAACATATTACTCAAAGCTTCAAACTCTTGTGAACCGAGAGAAAGTTTGTGGCACATTATTTGTGCACGCTTTTGTCCTCAGCTGTGAAATGATCAAAACAAAATGGCTGCCAAGAGAAGCCTCCATATCGCCACAGTGAAAGTGTAATTTGCCAACTAAGTTAATTTTGCACCGACCATTTTAGCAGAGTATGCTGTCCGAAAAGTTGAGTTAAAACCGGCTCTTCTCAGAACCACCACATACTCACAAAAGAGATTAATTTCACAAGGTGCCACCGCAAACTTACCTGGCTAAAATAAAGCTCTTCTTGTTTCTCAACAGGGCTGAGTATCTACTTCGCCTACGGCATTCGCCACAGCGTCGAGAATCAGAAGAGGAAGGAAGATGCGCCCTCTACGACAATGTCGGAAGATCCACACACCGAGGGCGCTGTTGACGAGAGCAAGGAGGATGAACCAACCAAAGAACAGTAGCGTAGTGTAATCTAGAAATCATAGATTTGTGAAAATGTCCAAAAAGTAGTCAGTTGTTGTGAAATCATGTTTCAAGTGTATATTACAGTCATGACAATTCAGAAAATAGTAATCGAATTTGAATAGTAGTACTTGGAACCACTAAACAGGGGTGAACAAAGATTTAACGAGAACAAGAAATGAAACAATCGCTCTCAGTCCGTCACCGTTTTCACAAAGAGCCACACATGTAGAGTTTGAAAAAAAAACCTGTTCGAGATAATCGCAAGAAAAGTTCCTCCTATTTTTAAACTGCAAAAACTGCTACTTTTGAACACCTTTATGCAGTAAGAAAACATTCACATGATTCTTTGAAAGGTAAAGTTTTATGTAAACCCAGAAATAAGAATCAGCACAATGGTTAATTATCCATAATTAATTAAGTGAAGATGTGTGTCCCTCGCGAAAACGAAAATCCACATTTCCTACATTTAGGCCCTTTCTGTTTAACGTGTTTTCCATCCGGTTCGTTAGTGTGACGTCAGTTCGGTTTTAACCACGCCCACTTGCCATTAAGTAGCATTGTAACCATTATCTCTTATCTCTCTCAACACACTCGAGTCCGACTCGAGTCACGTCTACACAATACAGACGACTTGTGTCGTGTGTATTTCCCGATGTATACTTAACTCTAATGGTTCAAATCATGAACAGATTCGTTGAGACATTGTCTGTCGTAGGAATAAAATTTACATAATTACAGAAAATCTGTTCCTTAGTAGGACTCACAGACGTTTATGTAATAAAAAAATCTAACAAAAATAGAGAATCTCCGAATGAAAAAATAATCTAGACGTATATGATATGTACATTAGTGAATAGGTTTTTAAAAAGAAAACAATGTGTACTTAATGTTCTAGCGATAGTCGTTGCAAGTCTAGGTTAGATATACTGTACATAATGTTAGCTGTACATAAGGACGTATTATGTTAAGGGTTATTAAATGTGCAAATATTTATGTAAGTACAACCGTAATACATTAAGAAATTAATATATTTTTATTGTTAAAGTTCCGGTTTATGTTTTACTAGTTCAACGCTGTTGTGTCAAATGTTTGTGTTTTAATCTAGGCAGGAAGATGTCAGTAGATTTTCGCTTGAATGAGAAAAGTAAAAGGTACTAATACAAATAGAAAATTTGTAAAAAGTGTGGTGTTTTTTCTATATTTCAAGTCATTTCAAAAAAAAAAATTGAGCTTGAGGCATCAAACACTGAATTTCACCAAGACTTACTCCACAGAAGTTTACAGAAGGCGCCCTCTACATCCACATTTTTGTCAGCAAAATTGTCCTGAGGGCAAAATGGCTTCTCCGTTTGGCAAATATCCGGCGATGAATAGTGCCCTCTATCCGATATAAGTGCCCAAGATCGTTAACTTTGAACAGCGCCCGCAGTAGTCAGATGATGTCACCCTCCTCCTCCCGTCGATCCCCAGCACTTGACGTAACCGGGAGCCGCCGGTCAGGCCACCACATAAACAAACGAAGTGGCTCTATGGTCGTACCAACAAGCCTGCAGAAATGTACATGTAGGTACTGACATGCTGCATTTGCAATGGCCCAGGCATGATGACAAAATCATTTGGAACGTGTAGATGGGGTGTAGAATTCACACAACCTCGTCCCCAGTGCTTACTTTATTTCCAACGTTGTTTCCAATAGTAAACCCTGGATAGGAAACTTCCTTCCTGCATCCTGATTCGATATCGCAATTGGCTAGAAATGGATTTATATCGTGTACTTGGTGTTGTTATTCACAACGTGCAGTACGTGTTTTCGCGATCATTCGTTCATCACGCCTTCTCGAAAATATTCATTTCCTTTCCAGTTTGTTAATATTAATATGAAATGTGATACTGCATGTTGTCTCGTTAAGATCGTAACAGTTTAATTAAAAATAAGATCATGTTTTCGTAACTCACGCCATGCTCGCGCTGCGACGAATTGATTATGTTTTTACCCCAGACACCGCTTACAAAAACAAACGCAAATGTAACGCACAGGCAGGCACCAGACTACTCCTAATTTGCATACGTGTTCAAAAATCTTGCACATGCAAATGATCCAATACCAGGGTGATAGAGCAGGTAGTGGTGGGCGCATACTGCTCGACACCCTGGGGACGAGGTTGGAATTCACATTGTTGATTTCTCGTTTGTAACATGCAACACAGGAACTTCAACTACACAAATGTAATGATTTTACCGTTTTATTGCTTTTTGAAAATAGTTAACGCTGATTAGTTAATATACTTGATAGAGTAAGTTAAATACAAAATAGCACAAAGAATAATGCAGACCAGTATGGCACAGCATTTCAATAAGTACAACATTAACATTAACCAAAAAATCACCAACTCATAAGCTGCTGTAAACAAAATAGTATTTACCTTGATTCGAAATGATGACGATCCCCGCATTAGTCCGTGAAAATGCGCCAGCTACCGGAGTCCATCCGGTCCCTCGGCAGGGACTCGAGCCGTCTAGCTCCCCGCGGGGATCAGTCGCGAACACGACGCTGGAATACCGCTATCCGGGGTCTTAAAGGCAAGGTTTGATTTATTCAGGGGATTTCGAATTCAGCAAACAATCGAGGGGTATGAATAAGTATGCTGGCTAATCCATCGAGACTCGTGAAGAGCTTCTTTAGTCTTCTCCCGTGCGGTCCCAGAGGAACCTATTGGTCTTTTCAGAAGCTGATTAATTCAACAAATCCAGCATGCACATTCCATCGCCTGAGGAGGAACTGTCGATCAAAATGTAGCCCTGGTTTGTTTTTTAGGCGATCCCCAGATAAAAAAGTGCTTCTTAATCAGAACAACGCCCTCTGTCGTTTCGATTTATTTTCTTACGCGTGGACATCTTGGTAGAGTCTGTGCCACATGAGCAATTCCAGCAGTTATGTAATGTACGTCACAGAGCTTAGAAGAGCTTGGTGAATTCATTTGAAAATCATTTTTTTTGAAACCATACACATTCATCCAGTGGCGTAACTAGGGTTAGAATTGTGAGGGGGCACCTGCAGGTGCACAAATAATTTCAGGAGGGGGCCGCACCTAAAGACAAGTGATATATACTTTTGTTCAATTCCAGATTTAAAGGTGGGGGGGGGGGGGACTCACCAGTGGGGGTGCATACCTATGTTCCCCAATACTGATGTTCCCCAATACCGATGTTCCCCGAAATCCTTACCTTACAGCCCTAACCCTAAATTAATCCTTAGGATTTTGGGAAACATCGGTATTGGGGAACATACACTGTAAAAACAGTGTTAAGCATTTAAACACATCAGAACGTGTTTAGAGTTTAAAACGTTTAGGAATGTGTTTCAATTCTAAACGTTTACCACTTTTTAATGTTGTGAAACAAAACGTGTTTACGTTTTGGACATGTGCTTAGGATTGTATATCTAAATGCGCTTAGGAAGGTGTTTAAATGCTAAACATATAATTCATTGAACATGTCAAACGGATAATGCGTGTCACAGAAAAAGGACATCTAAACATGTCATGATGCTAAACGTGTGGAAAAAGTGGGTACAGAATAAGTGTTTAGAAATGTGTTTAAATCTTAAGCACCATTTTTACAGTGTAGTTATTGGGAACATCGGGTAGACTCCCCAGTGGGCACGGAAATCCGTTGGGGCAAGTCCCCCCCCCCCCCCCCCCAGTTACGCCACTGCATCCATTATCTACTAATGGTCAAGGAGATTACAGACTAGGCGTTTTGGATCATTTATTTAAAATCATTAATTAGATATGATTAATTGTCTCTGTCATGGGCATTACTCTTCCTTTCATAATTCTGGAATTGTCCGCATGTAAGGTGCAATCGTATGACGTCAAAGTACCACTTGACCATCCGGCTTCCCCGTAACATCAGCCACCATTGTAGTCGGCAAGGGTTTGTTATATTATATCCACCACGTCATGCATTGTAAACTGGACAGTAAGGCTTATTTTAACGTAAAATAACTTCGAATTCTTTATCAAATGGCATAATTGCCACTACCTTTTACCTTGTACGGTCGTCACAATATTCATGCCAACCCACATTCCCACAATGTATTTTTTTTTAACAAAAAGTGCCCCCCCCCCCATTTCCGTTCATTTTCAAAAAAACCTTTTGGGAGGAGGGTTCGAACCCCCCAAGCTTCACTCCTTCACTGCACAATCGATCCTAACCCAAAACCCTATTTTTACACGCTTGTCCCCAGCCCATAGATGCGACGTGGCATTTAAACATTACTTACAGCGAGCGTAATTAAACTGCATCCAGTGTAATTTGTGCACGCCTAATGGCCCTACAATACGAGTCTTGGTCCCGCGGGATGGCGAGAGACGACCAGCGAGCGTGAGCGACGAGCCGTGCCCGCATGGCGGGGAACAGCTCGGCTTAATGGCTGGGAATCCGCCGAGTCACCGTGAACTTGTCCCTAGTCATCCGTCTATAGTTCGACTGTGAGATGCGATATTAATGGCATATATAAATTATAAAGCCCTACAATTACACGATCAATCCCACACACGAAGTTTTTTAAGTGGATGCACGGCGAATGACCGCATGCAGCAAAAGGGCTGATCTAGAGCCATTTCTTTTGGGGTGGGGTGGGTGAGTTTGTTTCTGCTTTCAATAGGGAACGTTGAACAATAGAGGACAATAGGGTCCCCAATTCTAGAGAGGTCCCCAATTTGGATTCGTGTAGGCCTACATATCATATTGGGGGTCTTCCTAAAAGGTTATTTGCAGGCAAATACACACTTCTGGGTTGTAGGGTGGGTGGGTGGGGGCCCGGGTAACCGTCCAGCTGGCAGGTGCAAATTCGAAACTCGGGGGTGGGGGAGGGCGCATTAAACTAAAGAGTGCGCTCTTGCCCCTTTTTATCTCTCTTTCATTGATATTTATACTAGATGAACAGATGAATATTCGTTCCTCTTGTTAGTTGTACAACGTATATCATTTCATTTTCCTTAAGGAGGGCATTGCACGTTTTTGCATATCATTTGCGAGGCCCAAATTTTGATAAAGTACCCTTTCCGTTGTAGTAATACAAGTGAACCGTAAGCCTAGTTATCCGAATATCAGGATAGCACCGTACACTGTAACATAAATATGGTGTGTCCCAAGCAGAGACGAATAAAATTAACGCAGATATTAACATTACATACAGGCCCCAAACGATAGAATAATCGTGCACCCCCAACCCCCCAACCCCCCCTGCCAAATCCCAAATATTACAAATCTTCGACAGACATGCATAGGGGCGTACACCCAACTAATAATCATCCAGCATTATTGAGTTGGGAGTGGATCGTCTGCATTATATTAAACAAGTGCGAGTGCACAGTGAGCTCTGGCTGTCTTGCATGGAAGTCTTGCATGAAATCTATCAAAATGATCCCTGCCAGAGCTTAAAAATGCGACGTGAAAAAGTGCGACGCCGATGGCACATTATGGACACCATACTGTAGATTTATACCTAGATTGATAGCGATTTGTGATAAACACCACGTGACTATAACTTTATTTTGCCTCCTTTAACATCTTTCTGAATTGTTACAAACAATGTTTGTAAAGTATTTAATTGATTTGGTTTGCTTTTTTTTTTAAATTAAAATTTTGATAGTTGCATTTTTATGGAAACCTAGGGGCTTATTTTGGTTAATTTTCGGGGATAGACACATGCAAAATAAACGTGCATGCGCATTGATTGAAACAAAATCGGTGTTCTGAAACCGTCAACAAGAGCGTATTTTATGACGACAGCATGGTATTTTGTCAATTAGTCAATTATTTTTGGTCCATTTTTTTGGTCAACTTAGGGGGCCTTTATTTTGGTCAATTTTTGGGGACGGACAGACCGACCGACCGACCCCCACATGACATGTAGAAGCTCCTGCCAGAGCTGAAAAAAAACGCACCAAACCGAAAACAGTTCCGGTGCACGGCCTGTTTTTCCTCAAAGGTGACTCCAAGAAAGAGGCAAGGCAGGGGATGGCATCTGGAAAGAATTCGACCGGGGATTTAGGTCTTTTCTACATGATCTTTTGCCATGAGAGACCCTGTAGCGTGATCGAATCCTGACTTGATGACGTCATCGATCCTGGCCTATGCTGAATGAACTCAGCGCGGTAAATGGAACACCAAAATGTCAAGTGCACGTGGCGCGTTGGCCTGTATGCTGAACTAATTAGGACGTGACATTCAAAATTGTGCAACAGACTGGTTAGTGGTCGTTAAATGTCACATATGATGCAGTTTCACAAAATAGTTTTATTATCTCCGAGCTCCGACGGGGAGTTCGCTAACGTGAGGTTTTAATCGACCATCGATGGATGCAGTGGCGCACCCAAGGGGGGGGGGGGGAGGCTCGGGGGCTTGAGCTTTTTTTGGTATTTATTTTTTAGTCGCACGCTATGACCTTGGTGATTATGTGGCTTATTTTGGAGTAGTATAATAGGGGTGTGAGTGGCCCAACTAACGTCAAAATAGTCCGCCCCCGAAAAAAAAACACCAATTTTTTTCGGCGGCCAAAGATTTTGGGCAACATTATTTGAAAAAAAATAAACTTCTTAATAAATAAATAAATTGAAGAAAAAAAATTGTGAGCCCCCCCCCCAAGCCAAAACCAAAACGTGTAGATGGGCACAGGTTACACTTTTATTAATTAAAGGCCAAAAGATTAAAAGATTAATTAAAGGCTAAAAGACAACAGAGGAGAATGGATATGTAAAATCGTTTGAAATGAAGATTTTAAAGAGGGGACATTTCTTCTGCCACATACACATCACTTCGTAGTAAACCACATCAACACAGCCTTATAACCGAATTACAATCTTCAATAACCGATTTACTTCTTATTAAGGAGAAAAACAAAAACAAGAAAAATATCAACAACAATTACAAACTTCTCGAAGTGGGATATTTGAAAATTTCAAGGTTTCCCCGGAAAATTTGTACCGAAAATCGGCAAATTTTGTTTGACCCGGGAATATTTTCGGGGATTGACTGAGCCCTTTTGCCCCCTCCCTTTATGAAGAATGTTCCCCTTACCTCAGTTTGGTAATGGCTTATCGACAAAATATTTTTCTCCAAAAAAAAGGTTGAACGCCATGAATTGATAAATGAGCAGTACGGACCAACGTACAGCATAATGGACAAATTCCAATGTCAGCCAGCGACTGCGTCAAGTCTAACGCCCAACAATAAACGGCGACAGTCATTTTCATTTTATGATTAGGCCCAACAGCGATCTACATCCAGCCGACCGATCCGACCGAGCGAACGAACGGATGCCGAGCGCGGAAAATGTCAAGCGCAAAAATACAACGCACGCGGAGGATGCACACACGAGATGCAGCTATACCACTACATAGCTAGCTTGGTGTGAATTGGCTAGACAGCGTTCTCAATTTCAACAGCGGGTCGCGGTGAAAACAAAACACAACAAAAAGACATCTGCGGAAGACGGGCCGAGAGGAAAATAAACCAGAAGGATTCACCGGCCTTTGCTTAGGCATTCCCAGCCGTCTGCTACCGCTCTCCACGCCGCCTGCAATTTGATCTGGACTACGGCAGGCCGACTGCGGCGCATAAGTGCACGGTAAATATTATTACCAATATAATGTGAGTTTGTGTTGTGGTATTATACTGTTATCGCAAGACGCAACAACGTGAACGCAGGGAACGAACCAATGCAGCGGGTTTTTGTTACCAATTCCGACATTTGCTTGAATGCTGGAAATGATTCCGTGGTAAAAAAAAAAAAACAGGAAAATATTCTTTTCTTTTTTTTAAATGAGATTTGATATTTTTAGGCCTATAGGCCTACTTGTTTTTCATTACAAAAAAAACTGCATTCGGGATTTTGCGTAAACAGGTGTATCTGAATATTACCATTATAACCTTTTCTAAAAGATCAATAGCATGGCATTGACTTTATTTATACTGATTTTTAATTACTTTCTTGGCAATCATGCGTCACATTTTAGGATTCGGTTAACAAAACGACGTTTTCAGTATGTAGACAAAATTAATAGATGCTATACTTGCTAACGCATACGGATGCAAAATACGGTAAATAACATCAAAAACACAAACACCGTTCGTCTGTTCCCCCGCTCAGTAATAATTGAATCTAATTTTGATTTCCTTGAAATATGCATGCGTCATTTTCAGTCCACGATTTTTGGCGGGACGAGGGACAAAAATGCATATCTTATGAAGATGCTAAATCGAAAAGAAAAATCCGCATGTGACCCGGAACGGTTGCCATGCCAACCGGTATTCTCAATGAGGCGAGGATTGCTCATGTCTGCTCCTGACCGACGCGCCGTTACTACCCAGCAACTCGTGTCGTTTCATATTATTGATCCCCCGCGTTTTATATTCTCTTGATGAGGATTTGTATAATAAGTGGCCAGCTTTCATAGAAACGCTGTAATTTCTGTACCAGCATAAAAAAGGCCGTGCCATGCCGTATTAAAGCTATAGTGGATAATAACAATGTACATTCAATGCACATCCTTGAACCTATCGGCTTTGCTCGGCTTCAGGCGTGTAGGGTTTCAAAATTTATGATGGATCGGGTTCCAGTGATTAGCTAACTGCTATTTTCCGTATCCTAGAGAAAAAACCACACAGGTGTTATTTTACATCGAGAAGTAGCGCCTAAAACAAATTCATACATGTGAAAATTGAATTCGAGCAAATTTGAAGGGCTCCAAATCGTAAACATATTTCGTTGGATCATCACTCTATTGTAAAGAACCCAATGGCATGTTATCGACCAAATTTGCTTTAAATTTTCACCCCCAAAAAGGAGGTAAGCGAAGCCTGAAATGTTTCGATACCATGCAGTAAGGGCTGTTATTGATTATCCAACGGTTTGTTGCTGTAAATGGAGAAGCAAGCCTTCATAAAATATAGTTGGTGCCTCCATCATCCATGCATGAGCAAAGGTTGACCATTTTTTTTTTCACTTTTCTTCTTCATGCACAATAAATGGGTGTTGTAAAGTCAACACTGAAAAAATTGCCTGGGTTAATTTTACCCAAGAAAGGGTGAAAACTGCAACTACCCAAACTTGGGTTGTTCTATAACCAATTGTTTGGGTTAAAATTTGCATGCATGAGCAAAGGTTGACCATTTTTTTTTTCACTTTTCTTCTTCATGCACAATAAATGGGTGTTGTAAAGTCAACACTGAAAAAATTGCCTGGGTTAATTTTACCCAAGAAAGGGTGAGAACTGCAACTACCCAAACTTGGGTTGTTCTATAACCAATTGTTTGGGTTAAAATTTCTGCTAAATTCAACCAAAACTTGTGGTCATTCAAGACCAAATTTAATTTGGTCTTGTGTGACTACAAATTTTGGTTGAATTTAGCAGAAATTCTACCCCAAACAATTGGTTAAAAACAACCCAAGTTTGGGTAGTTGCAGTTCTCACCCTTTCTTGGGTAAAATTAACCCAGGCAATTTTTCAGTGAAGGAGAAGGAAAGGCTGAGTGGGAATTCAAATCAAGATTGTTAGTCATGAACGCATATTTTTGAAGGAATAAGTATATTAATTTGGATTTCTTACATCTAATTTCCGACACCTAATATGGGTCTCTTTCATCAATTGGGTTCTACTTAAAATGCAGAATTGAAACAAAACTAGCGTGGTATATTAATCTTGTGGAACCCATAGACCTTATCCACGAGGACGCCATTTTTAATCGTGTTCCCTGAATCTATTTTACAAGTTGTAAACTGTTGAATGGGATGGTGCCAGACTGTTTTATGATTGGAGTGCATGCCAAGCCTCACTTTCAACTTTTCTTTTAAATGTGACTTAAAACATTAGGGTATGTTTAGTCACACATTTTTAAATTATTCGTCAGAGCAGACTGGTATTAATTTGTGATGAACTTTTATTTTATTGGTTTCATTTCTACTATAAGTTCCAAATATGAAGAGTTGATCTCGCTTTCAGTTTAAAATGGCCGACTGGTGAATATAGTCTACTGGCTGGGGCACGCTTGCCTTCATTCCCTGATCCGCACTCTTATACGAGAGCGAATGAATTTCTTTTCTCTGAATCGGTGAATCACTTCTTTTCTGTTTTTGTTTCCCATTTCGTCTGTTCCTTCAGCTCCACAACAATCAGCCATTTACCTCGAGTGGCGTTCAGACCTGCAAAAGGCGACCTCTGTAAATATAAATAACATTGCTGCAAATGCAGTTTCTAATGCATTATCAGGTGAAGGTTTTCAAGCAAGCCAAATAGTTAAAAAAAAAAAAACAAACAAATTATTTCACAGTAACAAAAGATCTACCACCAGGATATTATTTTTCCATCTTCAAGCTTTGTTCAGATGTTGCACCCTTGTCGTTTAGTTCTTAGTAGTGAGCTCAGCAACTCTCTACTGGCTGATACAATCTGCCCTTCAATTGAATTAGTTCCGTTTCTAATGTGGGCTCGACTGCGGGAGTTTCTAAATCCAATTGATGTCGATTTTCTGGGTGATTTCTGTAGCTCGGTCCTTCCCTACCGACTCCGTTGTATCTTGAAACGCAACGAAAGTACAAAAAGATATGTTGCCGTACAATATTGTATTCTAACATGAAATGTTTCAAAGTGGAACCCAATTTTAAGTAGAGCCCGAGTGATGAAGGAGACATCAAACTAGTTGTCAGAAATTAGATCGAAGTCCAAATCCAAATGAAGTCCAAATGAAAATACTTATTCAATATGCAAGCACAAATTACAATTTTGATTTGAAATCCCAAACGACATTTCCTTCTGTAAAAATATCAGGACACAACGTCCTTAGGATTGACCTCTAGTTTGATATTAAAAAACCTCAGAGATATTTCAGAATATAGATGCAAGGAGATGGAGGTTTACTATGGGGTTGCCATGGCTACATGTGATTATGATGATTGCATCTTGTTGCTGCGTCTGGAATGAGGATGTGGCGTACCACCATTTTGTCGTAATCGTCGTTTGTCGTTATAGGTTCCTTGTCATTGTTTGTCGTTGTCATTGTCATGTCTGTCAACACTGATATATGTATTGCCGCCTTCGTTGTCAATGCCATGCACCCATCGTTATCTTCTTAACCGTCAGTATTGCTATAACAGTCATTGACACAGTCGTCTTCGTCAGCATTGCCGTCTTGTCATCGTCAGTGCTAGTGGTGTCGTCCTTGTCGCAATATCTTTGTCACCTTTGTCGATATCGTCACCGTCTGCCGCTGTCCCTGCATCTTCGCCATCTGTAGTTATTGTCGTCTTAAATAATGTCAGTGTTGTTGCCAACACTGACCTTATTATTGTCTGAATATTCAAATCAGTTTCACAGGAACTTCAAGTAAGTGTCTTTTGTGACATAAGAGCAGCGACACAGCTTCGGTTTTATTTTTTATAACTGCCGGAAAAGAACTGTCGTTAATTCATCAATGACATCAGATCTTAGGCCAGATGTGAGTTCTCCATCATGTGGTCTCGTGATGGGGAATCCATATCATTGCCCTTGATCGCGTTCATTAGCCCTCGAGTCTCGATGGCAACTTCGTTCATCGCATGGCGAGGCTCCAGGGTTCTACTTCATCAGGGAGATCTGTCACATCAGCGTGGTGATGTACACGCTGTAATCCAAACACCTGGGTACCTCGTGAAGAGTATAATTTTTATGTCACTGTCAAAGCGTATTATGATAGGTAATGTGCTACACTTGCCTCACGCTTCAAAAAGAAGGAAAATTCAAGGAAATATTTACCCAAAAAAAACCACCTCACCATCAAAAAAGGGGGAAAAACCGACAAAGAAGAAAATATCGGGCACTAATTAGTAGTTTCTGGATGTAAAGTTAATGAGTATCTCCCGTCCAATGTTATTAATTTAAATTACCGAAACATGGTTGTATTGTTTAAACTTCAGTGAATTATTATATAGAACAACGAAAAGATTGCATCTTTAAGACGACTATAGTCGTCTTAGTCGACTATAATATACTATATAGTAAGTCGACTCTAGTTAGTGGACTGACTATATAGTAAATACCAGTTGGTTATATACATTTTGTAGAACCTCCGTGGATCATGATACAGGCTCGCACTGTTAAATAAACCGCAGTAAATATATTATGAACAGTACCCTGCAATCGAAATGTTATCTACTTTTTATATTTCCCCCTTTTTCCTCTTAAAGGCCAGACCTTTATCGATATTTTTCCGAGCTTTTTTCCCCGACGCTTAATCTACTGATATTAATTCTGCAGACGCGAATTCTGCATTTTATCCAGTATGGTTTAATGGTGAGCACACTTTCTGTTTGAACGCTCAGTTTTGTTTACCAATGACTATTTCTGCAGAGCATTTGTTTCAAATCGACCTTCTGATAAACTAAACAGAGTGCCCCTTTAATCCTGCACTCAGGACCACTGCGCAGCACACGCATGGCGTGCGATTGTTAATCAAGCACACGCCTAACAAAAATAGCCTCAGTACAACAAAAATACGGGCCAGTGCATTATATTCACCTGCTAGATTAATCAGGTTGTTTTCTTGCACAGATGAACCTTTGCCATCCGAACATGTAACCGTTTGAGAAACTTTAGGCCGATTTCTATTGCACCGACGAAAATTTGTGTTTTGGTATTCTTGCTCATTAAATATTCCATTTCGCGATATAATTACTCCTCGTTTACTGATAACAATACTCATTTGCATGACAAAAACCGATCCGTTATTGTCGTTTAGTTTGAATTTCAGAATGAAATCAACAAAGATCATTTCGAACATTAATAACGATGTTCCATACTGACATGATATGAGTATATCTCAACTTTCGCTATTTTTGTTCTCAGGTAAAATGTGGCTGACCATGGCATCGGTGTTCAGATTGATCTCGCGACAAGGCACCCGACTATTTCCTATCACCCCGATGCAGATTGTCGGTATAGTGCTCTGCCTTGTCAGTATGGTAGAGGGAGGTGAGTTTGGTTAAACTGTTAAAAGGTAATTCTCCAGCACAGGACATGCTACATTTTGTTTACAAATTGTGGTGGTCGCGTGACGCCAACTTTTAGAAAACTGTTCTGCACTGCATGTGCATCTTTTGAACTGTGACTGCTGTAAAAGTGATGACTTAAAAGGCATATGAAGTGAATATTTCTTAGGAACTCATTTTGTGCTACTTTCTGATCCTCTTAAGTGTATGAAAACTATTCGAAATCCCCTTTTGGTTAATTTTACTGAAAAGTGCACTTCTTTAAACATTTTAAATTGTCCATGCTTTTCCTGACAAATGAGGGCGCTGTTGCTGTGATGTCGTTTCAGTAAGACACTGTTCATATTAGGTGTTTTCTGTTGAAATTGTGAACCCAAAAATTTGCTAATTGCTGAAACATTTGTGAGAAAAGTTTGCTCATTGGCTTACTGCCATGAACTAACACAACAATGAATCACTAAAGAAAAGAAAGTTTACGGCTGCAAAATATCAAAAACTCTGTTCTCATCCCATCTTGCTCTTTGTGTTTCTTTTACCTAGTTATGTAGAAAGACCTTTTTTTTATCGCGAGAGGGGCACTGTTGCTTTTGATGGCCAGTTCAGTGAACATTTTATTCGCGTGAAGAGCACTATGATTTTTTAGGGGCCAGTTTTCCATCTCGAGAGGGGGCACAATTTATTTAAACGGTACGAGCGGGGCACTAATTGTGCTTTCGAGGGGCAGTTTTCCATATCGTGAAGTTCATCGCGTGATTAATTTTTGATGGCCAGTTTCCCATCTCGAGAGGGGCACAATAATATTATTATTGCGAGAGGGGTACTTGTGCTTTCGAGGGGTAGTTTTCCATCTCGAGAAGGTGCACAATCGTGTTAATGCGGGTGGGGTACTTGTGTTTTTGAGGGGCAGTTTTGCATTACAAGAGAGGAGACAATTTTATTTGAAGCGCGATCATTATGTTTTCATACGTGTGCTTTTGAGGGGCAGATTTGTTTTCATCTCGAGGGGGCACATTTATAACCGTAAGAGGAGCACTTTTGTTGGCCTGGAAGTGCCCCCCGCCCCCCCCCCCCCCCGGTTCCGCCGCCCCTGTATGCAAAAGATGCTGAATGTTTGGGTGGCCTGTCGGTTGCCCAATGGTATGACGTCATAGGGGACATGGTCTACCGGTTATAATTCCCGTCTGCTCAACAACTACCAAATCGAAAAGCCAGCAGTGAGCACACCCGCACGGCTGAGTTGCGAATGTTATTTTCCCCTAACAGTTTAAAAATAAAACCCGAGCATTCTGCATGCCAATAAGCTGCGTTCTAGGAATGAAGCTTTCCGTTTCGTAATGCAGTTCTTATTTGATGTCATTCAAGTTTTCCCCTAAAAATTAAAACAAGTCTTATTTCAAGCCGCAAAGCCCACCTCAACAAGCGCTCGTATACTAGGTTGACATTTGCCAGCGCTAATTTTTACTAATACAGTAATTATTGATGCGAATACGATAGGCTGAAAAAAAATGGCCGTGAATATAGGGTTACTTTTAATAATGAGGTCCGTATGAAAACACATGGAACAGAATCGACGTGTTGTTTAAAATAAGTAAGGCTCTGCGGAAATTCTAACGCCATTCAAAACTCTTTTATGTCACAATAAAATACCTCGTATATATAGCCTAAGCCCAAACTTACTGAAATGTGTTGTCATCTCTAATTTCTGTCATAGTCACTTCAAGGTTCAGTCTATTTAAACACCATGAAGCATTAAATAAGCATTTAGCCAAAATGTAAGCTTGCACTATATACGGCCGAGGCATCAGAACAGATAGCTTATTAGACAAATATTTCAACCTATAACTATCTGTGTATCCTTTTCAAATAAACACCAGAGCAATTTGTGGTGTAAATCAAATGGTGCAATACCAAAGTATATTTGGATTATGATGACAACTTTTGCAACAGCAGTTTCAGTGTATATAATAGAAGCCAAACAACCTAGCATGGGCATTTGCCATTAATCTTCCTTAATTGTGGAGGGGCATTCCATATTATAGTCAGAGGGGTGTTTCGTAAAACACGAAGTAAAATTGTTGAACAAAATGGTTGACAACGTCTAGTTTTTGACTTGTTTTGATTTTTGGACCGAAAAGATGTGGTGTTTTGACCAAAAAGGTATTTATGAATGGGAATAAATATGTGTTCCGTCGGTATTAAACACTCTGTTTAAAACCGGTGTGAGTCTGGATGGGTGATAATTACCCTCAGCTTCGCCTCGGGTAATTATCACCCATCCAGACTCACACCGGTTTTAAACAGAGTGTTATAATACCTTCGAAACACATATTTATTCCCTTAATTAACATAACAAAACACTCCTCAAAGATGACTGCTGAAATGCAATCAGTCTGTAGGTCTCTTTCCAGCTGAGGCACAAGATGAACCTATATATTTATATTAAATTTAAGATAACTAATTACCGCATGTGTGCTCAGTTTGTTTGTATTTAACCCATTACTGAGAATATGATGAAAACATTGTAAAGATTTCGTCAGATTTGTTCTGAGTAATCAAAATCGTTGTACATCTTGCGCATTGCGATAACTTAAAATGCCGCACTATATAATTATTATCAAATAGGTTTTTAGCCTTGCGATTGTATGCCTGAAGGCTTTTGAGAGCTTACGTTTCACTTTTCCCTAATAAACCCGTTGATTATGACCGATATCAAGACACTCTCTTGCTTATATAAAGCGTCCTCTAAATGACATCTCAAATTAGTGTATTGTACAAATTAGTGTGTTGTACCAGTCCTGTCTTTTAAATTTTATTTTCAGTATTTCTCCGTTGGTTTGTTTTCAAGTCGGAAGGCACTGTTCCAGAACCACCAACGTGACATTATCGTGCGTCATGAATATTTAAAGGGCCCGTGTAGTGTAATTTTGTTAATGCAATCCTTGAAAATGCACGTTAGTGTCCCATTTATCCTCTTTTTCAATTATTGTTTTACAATTTTCAAGGGTATTTTGGTGCCTTTTTGGTTTTTATGCTAATGCAAATTTCCATATTCATGAGCAAAAGTGTGATGTCATTTCAGGCGCAAACCTAAATGTTACACTTATTTCAGCACCAAAAGTTGCCGGAAATTGGTTATTTTTGCCGTCGTAAGTTTTCTTTTCTTGGGTAATTCGTTCTTATGTCAGTATATGACATGCAGTAAGCCAATGAGCAAACTTTTCTCACAGATGTTTTCAATGAGCACAATTTCGGGTTCACAAATTGAACAGAAAACCCTGAACTGAGCAGCGTCTTCCTGAAATGACATCACAACAACAGCGCCCTCAGTTGTTCGGAAAAGCAACGAGAAAGTTTAAATGTTTAAAGAATAAATAATAATGAACATTTTATAAGGCGCCGGTATCCGCCAAGCAAGACGCTCATGGCGCACAATACATACAAAACAATTAAAGAAGTGTACTTTTCAATAAAATAGACCCCCAAAAGGGATGTCAAATAGTTTGTATACATTCAAGAGGAGTAGAAAGTTGCACAAGATATGTTCCTAAGAAAATTCCTTTCATGGACCCTTTAACTTGTCTTGTTCTCAGTATAGGTTCTAATCCGTACGAAAGGCACTTTTCGAGTACATCCAACTTTAGTGTTAATCACATAATAAGCTGTGACGATGTCCTTTGGTTGCTCTCACAGTGACTTTATACCTAGCTTCATGCGGTGCAAATATTGAAAATAGGTGCCACAACGCAATTAGTCTTTGTTCAAGACGCCGTTGTTGTGTTTTTTGATGTACGATTTACGTCTTGAACAGAGACTACAGTGCCACTGGATACATTACAGCATAGACATTGCAGGAGGCCTTTTTAAAAGCGCAGCAATTAAGTGGGACGCACTTGCTTAATTAGCAAGATTACAATGAGAAGCGAACCACCTGCCACCGCTACTTGTGGTGGAGTACGCGTGACGTCTTCAAGCTGTGAATGGAAATTGCAATTTTAATTGACAGTGAATGAATGGGGTTCCGAGAGGAGCAAACATCCGTTGAGTTTCAGATATATTTTATGTGCGTGCAAAGCATGCTCAAAGCATGCTCATAGTGACATTTTATTATTTTTACGTCAACCATACATTTTATTGGGATGGTTTTCAGTTATATTCGTGGAGCAGATAGGGGAAGTACTAAAGAGAATTGTGTTTCTGTTGATACAAGCATGTCATATGCACATGCATGTCATTTGGCAAACGGTAAGAGTATGTCATAAGAAAGATATTTGGCTGTAGGGCCATCGCAGATTTGTCCTCTGAAAAAAACATGGGTAGAATAACAAGCAATTTTCAAAATTTCAAAAAGTCTGCCATTGCTTGTTATTCTAACAATATTTTTTTCAAAGGACAAATCTGCAATGGCCCTTTATAGCCAATATCTTTCTTATTACATACTCTGACTGTGTGCCAAATACCATGCTTGTATCATCAAAGGCACAATCCAATCACCTATATAATACCGTACTATATCGGCCATTTTGAACACACGGACTTTGTTTTAAGATTTCTACACGGCGTTCTTGTCGTGTATCCTGACCAAGAAGTTTTTCCAGGCTCACATAATAAAAGCTTGGATTCAAAGCTTTTACTTTTGGCACAAGTATGCTATGGCGCCCTCTGGCGGTCGTGCATAAGAGCCATTTGAAGATACTTAGAGGCGTCTCACTTAACCGCTTGCTGGATTCACGACCTTGATGGTTTTTCCTCTTTATTCATACATTATTTGATTTTATTTTTGCAGTAGATACATGTAATGTAAAAAAAAACCCCACCAGCACGCTTCAAATTAATGAAGCGGTCTCCCACATTGGACAATGATTTCGAGACTAGATAGATCGTCCATGTTGTAGAGCATCTGAGTTCCCGGATAAATTGTCCCACTCTAAACTTGTTTTTAAACCTAGTTTTGTGTACAAGTGAACTGTGCTAGTCAGTTTCCGTCAGGGCTTTGCTGGAGGAGGTGAGAGGATCGGTGCAATCATTGGTCTTGTTGAAAAAAAGTCGTAAAACTCTCGGCAAAAGAGGTCACCACGAAGGTAGAAACCAATAGCTAGTGCCTAGATGGTGCCAAATCCCGGGCGCCCTTAACAGCGCCCCCTGGTGTCAAAGCCATATTTTCTTTGGCCGAAGCTATTAAGTATCCACTTTCGGCTAGAATTCATGGTCATGTGACCCACCCTGGAAATCCTAATTGGTAGCCAGTTCTTGCATGAAAAAAAGTTGAGCATTTACATCGCTGTAATAAGTATTTCATTTGTGCCTATTTTGGTTGAAAACATTCAAAGTTTGAGACAAATTCCCGAAAAAAATAATGAGTTTGGACGTAAGAGTGGGTATAACGCCCTCTAGCGGTGACCCTGGATGCGTGTAAGCTCTTTAATTGTATATATGGATGTTGACCCAAAACATGTGTGGAAAGAGTTTGATTTTAAAAATGTAGAAATCTTTGAAAACTGTTTTTGACCCAAATTGGGTAAAAATACCGTAAGCGCCCTCTTGTGGTCACCATATGATGTTATATTGTAGATTACCGGTCAACCAAAATTCCCGCCAAAAATTAGCAAAAAAAACCCGGCACTCACATTATGGAAATTAGGATGAGAACACATCTATAAAACAGGGTTAAATCTGTGACTTTTTTCATGTTTGATTACAGGTGTACCCGCAGCACCACGTAACCTGACCCTGGTCCTACCGCTGCTCTCCCGTGAGGTCAAGATCCGCTGGCTGCCCGGTAACCCCCGCGACAACCTGACCGACTACGTGATCGTCAACCGGGCCGAGGGGAGCGACACGAAGACGGTCAGCCGGATCGACCCGGAGTACAACTCCTTCACTCTCAAGGACCTGAAAGAAGAGACCGCGTACTTGGTCTACGTCAAAGCCGCCATAGGCAACGTCCGGAGTCTGAGTAGTGCCACGTTGGAGTTCACAACACCGAGAACGGGTAGGACAAGATTGTGTTGATATCGGAATTTGTTTTCAAGAAGCTGATAAGACCAGAATTATCGTGACTTTTACGCACCTTTCCAAGTTTTTCAAATTTGAGCGAACACTGCCTTTAGAACTCAAACACACGGTTAACATTGATATTGGTACTATGGGCTTATGTTTCACCGCACTTACTGTACTAATTAGTGCACATTATGTACACTTACATCAAGTATATGTACGATAAGATAAGTAGCACTTTCATTATCATGGAAAACTTTTAAAGGCAAACAAACTTACAGCTGCAGTTTCAGTAGCAGTAACTAATTCATCAGATGCGACGAAGAAAGACGTGTACTTGTTGAATCAATGTCCGCTTGTGTTTATCATGATCGGCCACATTTCAGTCCAGTTCGTTTATTCCTCTTTGGACATTGAATCAACTTTGTTCAACTCCTTGTCCAGTTTTTGTTCAAGTTCAAACCACACTGTCAATGGTTGCATGAGCTCCTTTCTCACTTTCTTTTCTCACCTCTCCACTGTGCACCGGTAGAGGGCCTTCATCGCACTTTCACCACCAGCGGGGCCGACCTTGTGATCGTTGTCATGGTGATGGCTCTCTGGCTTGCCGCCCTGTCTCTTTTCATTCGCACCTGGAAGAAAAAGATGAGCAGCACCGGTGCCCCGGTCACATCCAGTGGGGGTCACATGCGCATGCGCAGCCGGTACAGAAAACCCTGGATGTGGTCCCAGAAGTACCGACCGGGGCGTGCCCGCGCCTACCCGACCACGTGACGAGATGACGAAAGCAACTCCCTTTACTCCTTCAGGTTAGGCAAAGACTGGTTTCCGATCCCTCAGATTTCTCGTTCCAACTTCAACATGCTACAATGACACTGATGCACTATCGAATGGAATTTGTAAGAAATCATGACACTTCAGACGACCACGTGACGAGATGACGCAAGCAACTCCCTTTAGTCCTTCAGGTTAGGTAAAGACTGGTTTCGGACCCCTCAGATTTCTCGTTCCAACTTCAACATGTTACAATGACACTCATACACTTTCGAATGGAATTTGTAATAAATCATGGCACTTCAGACGACCACGTGACGAGATGACGCAAGCAACTCCCTTTAGTCCTTCAGGTCTGGTAAAGACTGGTTTCCGACCCCTCAGATTTCTCGTTCCAACTTCAACATGTTACAATGACACTGATACACTTTCGAATGGAGTTCGTAATAAATCATGCCACCTTAGGGAGCAAGAACATTTTCTAACCCCTTAGTGAAGGTAAATGGACCTACAAACATATTTTATTGTTTGATAATATGCGAGCCATTTTAACATCTTATTTCACAGACGACGATCCGCTGGAGATTGAAAACAAACTGAACGCCTCGAAACACGTCTACTCGCTGATCATTGTGTTCTTCCTGTGGGTATTCCTGGTCGTGCTGTGCGTGAAATACTGGGGAGTGGTGAACAAACTCAGAAGCCAGGTCACTCGCATGGAGGTCACCGCTGATGGCGCTCTCATAGAAAAAGAACAGTTTGAGCGTTGAAACCTCTATTAAACTTCGGACTTTCGTTGAATTGAACAACTTGTCCGAAGGCGTACTACCTTTTGCTGTGTTATCTGCACCTTGACTTCTTCTTCGCAGCTGCTTGTTGTAATGACGACTGCACCAGACTATACTTCTTCAGTTTATATCAGCCGATACAGTAATTGTTTGAAGTTATGATCGCCAACTTCAGGTCGGTGAAAATTTTTAAGATCAGAAAATCTTTACTAGGCGATTGTTTACTTTACTAGGCGACTTTCCGATTTCCATGTATAGTTGTACAGCAATAACGATAATATGTAAATATAATAGGTCTATCTTCACGTGAAATTTTATTTTATTACCTGTCACTCATGATACAATTGAGAAACATACAATTTTGAACATTAAATCCAATTCAAAATTCGAATATAACCTGAATACTTTAACGCATCATTATCGAAATCTTTAATGGTTTACCAAAACTACAGTCGAAGCGCCCTCTGGTGGTACGAACATTAAAGAGGGCGCTATTAAATAAAACCCCGATGAGAAATTTCCAAAGGGTAATTGTTCTATTTTTATGTTTAGATTTGACATTTGATAGCAAGCCAGTCAGGATGGCCGAGCGGTCTAAGGCGCTACGTTCAGGTCGTAGTCTACTCTGTAGGCGTGGGTTCGAATCCCACTCCTGACAATCGTCTTTTTGTGTAAATTTTGTTTTTACCAATGTAATTTCAAAAGCTATGTTATGGTGAATATGGGTCGGTCGGCATTGGCTCGAATCCTTTTCCTTTTAAGTTCAGGCTGAAAAGAATGTTATAACAACCAAATCTGTAAGTGTTAGTATAGTCAAGTATGTTTCGAATCTCTACCTTTAAAGTTATTTTTTTTTAACTGTTACCGTATTTCAAGGGTAGAGAGAACGATTTCCCGATGACCGTGAACGGTTTTTTTCCCCCGGGCCGGCCCTGCATACGCTATAGAATTAAAATAACAACCGCCTTAAAGGTTTACTTAATTAGTTTAGCTTTAGAAACCTTCAGAGACAATGTTCAACTCAGGACAACCAGTCAGGATGGCCGAGCGGTCTAAGGCGCTACGTTCAGGTCGTAGTCTACTCTGTGGGCGTGGGTTCGAATCCCACTCCTGACAAAGTAATTTTTTTAAAAGAATTTTATTTGGGTAATTTTACATCGAAATTCAATTTGATTTTGCAATTCTCACGTCCTGCATGCAAGTCAGGATGACCGAGCGGTCTCATGAGGCGCTTCATTCAGGTCGTAGTCTACTGTCTTGGCGTGGGTTCGAATCCCACTCCTGACAATTTTTGTTTTTTTTAAAGAGGGTAATTTAACCTCAAAAGTCAATTTGGTTTTGCGATTCTCACATACTGCATGCAGGTCAGGATGGCCGAGCGGTCTAAGGCGCTACGTTCAGGTCGTAGTCTACTCTGTAGGCGTGGGTTCGAATCCCACTCCTGACAATACTTTTTTTAAAGTGGGTAATTTAACCTCAAAAGTCAATTTGATTTTGCGATTCTTACATCCTGCATGCAAGTCAGGATGGCCGAGCGGTCTAAGGCGCTACGTTCAGGTCGTAGTCTACTCTGTAGGCGTGGGTTCGAATCCCACTCCTGACAATATTTTTTTTAAAGTGGGTAATTTAACCTCAAAAGTCAATTTGATTTTGCAATTCTCACGTCCTGCATGCAAGTCAGGATGGCCGAGCGGTCTAAGGCGCTACGTTCAGGTCGTAGTCTACTCAGTAGGCGTGGGTTCGAATCCCACTCCTGACATTTTTTTGGTATTCCCTGATCGAGGTTCCAAGGATAGAAGCTTACATTAAACCTTTTCTCTTTTGTTTTTGGGCTCGTTTGTTTTATAAGTTTGTTTATTTTTTGGCATTTTGCAGTTTAAAAATATTAATTATGATGTACAGAATTAGTCTCAATATTATACAATGTATATATATTGCAAGGACTAACTGCCTTGTTTGAGAGACTCAAGTTCAGCTTTGAAGATTGGGTAGATCTAAAACCAGAATATCGAGAAAAGATATGTGTACAGGTGAGTAAAAAAAGAAGGAAACCCATATGGCGCCCCCTATTTTTTTGTAAAGAAGTCCTGCATGTAGCGCTTTCCAGATCTAATATATGAAAGCCCAATTAATAAACTTTTTATAGTACAAGATTCATTCAAATCACTTATGTACTGTTTGAATTATGGAATTTTGAACACAATTACAGTTTATAATTGTGTCCACGGATAACACTTTAAGGTGTGTGATATTTCAGTAAAAATGAAACCATTTCGTATCATTGAAACGTCATCAGAATAATCCCATAAGTCTCCGGGGTAACCATGTAGAAGGCAGGGCAAGACTATAAAGTTTTGACATTATAAAGCATGTTGTTTTGACATTGGAAGCAGAAGGTTTCTAAATAAATGTTATGATAAGTGCCCGTTATCATGGTTATGAGAGTGTTCTGATGTGTTTTTTGATATGTGGATTGTTTTTGTTTTGCTGAAATATCACGTACCTTTAGTGTGATCCGTGGACAAAATAATAAAACTGTGTTTGTGTTTAAAAGTCCATAACTGCAAAAATACATGAGCAATAGGAATGATTCTTTTACTAAAATAAACCTTACGAATTGTGCTTTCACATCCGAGACCTGGAACACGCTGCATGCAGAACTTCTTCACAAAATAGGGGTAGCCATTTGTGTTTCCTATTTTTTTTCTCACCCTCAACTTTGTGTAACATAAATGAGATTGTTGAACTTTTTGATGAATGAGTTCTACAACCAGCATGACTTTGTATCATATTTCTTATCTACATAGACTATAAATGCATTCAATGTGTATTGCTCAATAAAGTATTTGTATTGCATCATGCCGTCGAAGTTCAAGTTCATTATTCCTTGTCAGAGTAAATGCAAACAACATCGCTTGAGTTGATATGTCGTCAGGGTGGCCGAGCGGTCTAAGGCGTTGCATTCAAGCTGCATTCTACTCTGTAGGCGTGGGTTCGAATCCCACTCCTGACAATGAATCTTTTTGTTACCGACAATGATTTTTTTTACTGACCATGAATTTTGTCCCTTTTTTTTATTACTGAAGTTTATTCATTGCATTTTTTTAAATTACAATTTTCGATTTTAATACTTTTTGCTAAAGAAGTTATTTTTTTAAACGTCTGTCTTAGCTCTTTTACACTTCTTACAACGTTTTGGTTGATTCAAATTATTAAATGTCGATGTAAATCTGAAATAAAAATTTGTATTAAATATCTGTCCATTTAATAGTGAAGTACAAAATATATTTAAATACTTTTCAAAGTGAACAATGAATCACAATCACAAAAAGGGGATGGAGTAGAGCCGTCCGTGAACAAACAGGTGTGGCACATAAACATTTTAAACTACCATATCTCAGGGACAAAATATACATTTGCAATCATTTTTCTCGTCACTTGTGCTTAAAGATCAATATTTTAAAACCATTAAACTGAATGTTTAAAATATGCTCAACAACTAGATGAAAATTGCTGTCAAAATTTGGGTTTCCTTATTTTTGCACCACCCTGTATATTTAACCTGAATGCATCACGTTCAATAAAATCGATTTTAATTTATTGCATTTAGATAAAATACTGGAAGGTCGACAAAAATCGATAATCTCATTGTTTGTAGCCAACACATCAGGCCAGGTGCATCGGTATTTATAAACGATATCGATTTTAATCCATAAATTTCACCCACGTATGTACCATTTTTCAAAGAAGAGGATAATGATGTTTTCTATAGAACAAACTGTTTGGTGTACATTAATTCATGTCACCGCAGTATCAGTGTTTGCGTGTTCATCAGTACGGGAAGAGATGAAAGTTAAGCGTTAGCCATCGCCAGTAGATCGCCAAAATTGTTCAGGATTCGAAAATTAGATTCGTTTTCTACATCCATCCACCCCTATAGGCATCAGTCGTGTATGGTGTCCGACCAGAGAACCTTGGAATATTGTGAGCACAACTGTGCATGTTTGAACTAAAGCGATCAGGAAAAAACAGCTGCACGCGAAGGATCAAAACCTTCATTGTATACTATGATGGGGCGCGGCCATTCGCGGTTCTCACTCGCGTTTGCTGTCTTGCCGATGAGCTACCCGTCTCCGGCTCCGTACGGCGGAAAACACCATGGCGTTGGATGCTGAGCACGGAACGGACTCCGACATGTTGAGGGTCCACTTGCTTCTTGTCCCCCTTGTGGTGATGCTCTCAGTTTCTCCATTCGCTTCCCAGACGGGTATGTAAATCTGGTTCCAGACCGATTTATTTGGTCTAATTAGGTTTGTTTGTTTGTTTTTTTGTTTGTTTGTTTGTGAGTTCAATTTCTTTACCCAGGGTAGTCTACTCTGTAGGCGTGGGTTCGAGGCCCAATTCTGACAATCCCACTTCTGACAAATATTTTGTTATACTTCTAATTGGGAAATTTTTACCTCAACAGTTAATTTGAGTTTGCAATCCTCACGTACTACAAGCAAGTCAGGATGGCCGAGCGGTCTAAGGCGCTACGTTTAGGCCGTAGTCTACTCTGTAGGCGTGGGTTCGAATCCCACTCCTGACAAGCTATTGTCTTTAAGAATTTAAATTTTACTGTTTATGTATTGCAAATAAATTATGTCAGGATAGCCGAGCGGTCTAAGGCGCTAGGCGCTTCGGGTTCGAATGACGAGGACTTCTATAAATACATTTAATTTGGTATTTTACCTCCAAATTCAATTTGATTTTGCGATCCTCACGTACTGCATGCAAGTCAGGATGGCCGAGCGGTCTAAGGCGCTACGTTCAGGTCGTAGTCTACTCTGTAGGCGTGGGTTCGAATCCCACTCCTGACAATTTTTTTATAGATGTGAAAATGGGTAATTTTACCTCAAAATTCAATTTAATTTTGCAAATTTGATTGACAGCAAGCAAGTCAGGATGGCCGAGCGGTCTAAGGCGCTACGTTTAGGCCGTAGTCTACTCTGTAGGCGTGGGTTCGAATCCCACTCCAGACAAGCTTTTTGTCTTTAAGAATTTAATTTTACTGTTTATGTATTGCAAATATGTCAGGATGGCCGAGCGGTCTAAGGCGGCTACGTTCAGGTCGTAGTCTACTCTGTAGGCGTGGGTTCGAATGACGAGGATTTTTATAAATACTTTTAAATCGGCATTTTACCTCCAAATTCAATTTGATTTGGCAAATCTCACGTCCTACATGTTAAGTCAGGATGGCCGAGCGGTCTAAGGCGCTACGTTCAGGTCGTAGTCTACTCTGTAGGCGTGGGTTCGAATCCCACTCCTGACAATTTTTTGTATAGATGTGAAAATGGGTAATTTTACCTCAAAATTCAATTTAATTTTGCAAATTTGATTGACAGCAAGCAAGTCAGGATGGCCGAGCGGTCTAAGGCGCTACGTTCAGGTCGTAGTCTACTCTGTAGGCGTGGGTTCGAATCCCACTCCTGACAATTTTTTTATAGATGTGAAAATGGGTAATTTTACCTCAAAATTCAATTTAATTTTGCAAATTTGATTGACAGCAAGCAAGTCAGGATGGCCGAGCGGTCTAAGGCGCTACGTTTAGGCCGTAGTCTACTCTGTAGGCGTGGGTTCGAATCCCACTCCAGACAAGCTTTTTGTCTTTAAGAATTTAATTTTACTGTTTATGTATTGCAAATATGTCAGGATGGCCGAGCGGTCTAAGGCGGCTACGTTCAGGTCGTAGTCTACTCTGTAGGCGTGGGTTCGAATGACGAGGATTTTTATAAATACTTTTAAATCGGCATTTTACCTCCAAATTCAATTTGATTTGGCAAATCTCACGTCCTACATGTTAAGTCAGGATAGCCGAGCGGTCTAAGGCGCTACGTTCAGGTCGTAGTCTACTCTGTAGGCGTGGGTTCGAATCCCACTCCTGACAATTTTTTGTATAGATGTGAAAATGGGTAATTTTACCTCAAAATTCAATTTAATTTTGCAAATTTGATTGACAGCAAGCAAGTCAGGATGGCCGAGCGGTCTAAGGCGCTACGTTCAGGTCGTAGTCTACTCTGTAGGCGTGGGTTCGAATCCCACTCCTGATATCTTTTTTAGAATCTTGAAATGGGTAATTTTACCTCAAAATTCAATTTGATTTTGCGAATCTTATGTATAGCAAGCAAGTCAGGATGACCGAGCGGTCTAGGGCGCGTTGTTCAGGTCGGAGCCTACTTTGTAGGCGTGGGTATCCAATCCAACCCCTGTCAATTTTTTTAGAATGTTTAAATGGGAAATGTTACCTCAAAATTTGGTTTAATTTTGCACATTTGGTTTACAGAAAGCACGTCAGGATGGCCGAGCGGTCTAAGGCGCTACGTTCAGGTCGTAGTCTACTCTGTAGGCGTGGGTTCGAATCCCACTCCTGACAAGCACTTTTTTTTAAATTTCTCAACATTATTGTCTTAATTTTCCCCGAGTACCTCTGTTATTTAACTAGACAGGTATCTTTTTCTATTTTAAAGATTCCTCAACAAGGAACATTCTCCTCGAAGCTGGAAACTTGACCTCCACACCGTCGCTACCTACGGTCAATGGATCAACCACTATTTACTCTACCCTACAAACCCTCAACAGAACTGAAGTGTCGAACTCTTCTGAATCAACAAACAGTGACTTCGGAAACCTGACTACCATACTACCAACGCTCACGGCAGAAAGTGGGGACGGAACCCAATCGACTCAGTGGACTTCAGCTTCTGTTGATGGAGAGACACATTCAAACTCGTCAAATCTGGCAGCAAATACAACAGAAGGTAACAATTTGACTGTTTTGTCATCTCTGACAGAGAACAATTCAACTTCAACTTCTCCGGCCCCACTGTCAACACTTATTAGTGCTTTATCGCGTAATGAGTTGAATACCACAACCAATACAAAGTCGACAGTTATCACGCCAGAAGCTCCATCAGACATTCAAAATGAGGCAAATAACAATTCTCTTTCAACCTCACTTTCAACCCTTACAAGTGGTCAGACGACATTTGAGACAAATCCGACAGTTTCGGTCTTAGACTCCCCAGATGGACCAAATACAACAGTCTCACAACCCCTGCCCACAGAAAACGATCCCGCGTCATCCTTGTCGTATACAACCTCTCCATCTATCAACAGTCAGTCAATTGTCCAGACAAAACCAACGGTATCGGCGACAAGCGGTCAGTCGTCAGTGGAGACGAACTCGACAATATTAGGACCGAATTTTCCTGGGTGGCTAAACGAAACTGCTTCACCACACGCAGCATCGGAGAATATTTCCACTTCTCTGTCAACATCATTCTCAACATATACCGCCAGTCAGGCGACAGTAGATACAAATTTGACAGTTTTGGAAGATAAGGTGTCGACATCACCTTCAATATCAACTAACAACGACAGCAATCAGCAACTGACAACGAATAAACTGGTGTCGAACAGTAATTCATCCATGAGCAATATGTCATTGACTTCACCAGTCCAAGGCTACAATTCAACGACACATGAGTGGATATCAGCTAACACTTCTGACTCGACATCACCAATCCCTGAATACAATGCATCGACACCGGAGTGGATATCAACTAACAATTCTGATTTGACATCATCTTTACTGGAATACAATGCATCGACACCGGATTGGATATCAACTAACAATTCTGATTTGACATCATCGGTACCTGAATACAATGCATCGACACCGGAGTGGATATCAGCTAACACTTCTGACTCGACACCACCAATCCATGAATACAATGCATCAACACCGAAGTGGATATCAGCTAACACTTCTGATTTGACATCATCGGTACCTGAATACAATGCATCGACACCGGAGTGGATATCAACTAACACTTCTGATTTGACATCATCGGTACCGGAATACAATGTATCGACACCGGAGTGGATATCAGCTAACACTTCTGATTTGACATCATCCGTACTGGAATACAATGCATCGACACCGGATTGGATATCAACTAACACTTCTGATTTGACATCATCGGTACCAGAATACAATGTATCGACACCGGAGTGGATATCAGCTAACACTTCTGATTTGACATCATCGGTACCGGAATACAATGCATCGACACCGGAGTGGATATCAGCTAACACTTCTGACTCGACATCACCAATCCATGAATACAATGCATCGACACCGGAGTGGATTTCAGCTAACACTTCTGACTCGACATCACCAATCCATGAATACAATGCATCGACACCGGAGTGGATTTCAGCTAACACTTCTGACTCGACATCATCAATCCCTGAATACAACGCATCGACACCGGATTGGGTATCAACTAACAATTCTGATTTGACATCATCGGTACCTGAATACAATGCATCGAACCCGGTATGGATATCGACTAACAATTCTGATTTGACATCATCGGTACCGGAATACAATGCATCGACACCGGAGTGGATATCAGCTAACAATTCTGATTTGACATCATTGGTACCGGAATACAATGCATCGACACCGGAGTGGATATCAGCTAATACTTCTGATTTGACATCATCGGTACCTGAATACAATGCATCGACACCCACTGATCGGACAACACCGATACCGGAATACAATGTGTCGACACCAAATTGGATGTCAACTAACAATTCAAGTTTTACATCACCGATCAATGAATCGACATCCGAGTTGTTATCAACTGATGCCAACAACAGTCAGCAGAATGCTACTTTAAATACGTCAACATCATCTCCTGATGCAGAGACCAGTGGCAGTCCACCAAATTCAATTGTACCATCACAAGTCACAGTATACAATTCATCCTCAACCGTGTCGACACAAAGCAGTGTCTCTACACAACACGGCATGTTAACAAACACTGTCGACAACAACACACAGGAATCAACAACTGAATTAGCAACCACTGTCACCAACACAACTGTGGATGTTAGCTCATCTCTTCAGTATTTGTCATCGACTGTACAGGGAGACAATGCATCGACTAGTGTGTCGACAGCAGCTGCTCGTACTATAAATGTCACCGCCCCTCCATCCCAGTTGGAGAGGTCATTTGAGGGCGAGCTTCGCATCGTCTCATTCAGAGGCGCAGACGCAGTGTACGACCCGTCTTTGGAGGATCCTAACAGTTCGTTGTACAAGCAGCTGAAAGACAGCTTCGAAAAATTCGTAAGTGTCGGTAATTAATGTTTTAATTGGAAGGAGCAATAAGATAAAATTCGGTCATCATATATAAAATATGACAATTTCATAAAAACATGTATAAACAGGTGTCTACTTGTGTTCATATGCCTTAAAATGGTCCTTTTAGTTAAATGAAAACATATATCGTCTTCTTTTGTCTTTTTTTTTTAAATCGAAAGAAAACTTTTCTTAAGACTTTCGGTTACAAATGCATACCACTCGACCTCCTTCCGAAACTTTTCTCTCTATCATAGGTCGACAGAATTTACCAAATGTCCCAGTTGACGAGGAGTGATTACATAGGTTCAACAGTGCGTCGGTTTCGCAACGGCAGCGTCGTCGCTGACTTCGGTTCTGTATTTCGACCCGCGTCGACCGTCATTGCAAATGACTTGGAGACCCTGATGACGACCGTTTTAGATGCTACTGCAGGGACTTCTCCCGGAACCGACATTAAAGTCGATCCAACGGTCATAACTTTTCAACGTGAGTACCGCAAATTCGTCTTGTATTTTTTGAACATGTCACTGGAAGTAAATTGACCGTAGCGATCGTGCCGAATTCGAAGATAGTAGACCGTAACACTAATGGGGTATTTCATAAACTTTGAGTTTTGTTTTGCTTTTTTTCTGTAGCTACAAACGAATGCGAGTTGGGAATTGACGACTGTTCCATGTATGCTGTTTGCGAGGATCTAGGGGCGGACGGCTACACATGTCACTGTCAGCAGGGAACAATAGATGTAGCTGATAAACCGGGTCGGCTGTGCCTGTATCGTAAGTCGAGAAACATATTTATAAAATACTGAAAGGTAATCACGCAATGAAAAGATGAATGAGACTTGTCTCCACAAAATGAGTGTTAGGTCACAAAGGGTAAGCTAAAGTTTCAGCATAAAAGAACACAGGCGACTTTTCGAAATAAAGCACAACCCCATCACTATCAGGTAGTACTTTCTGGAACTTATACTTTCTCCCTTTTTTGCGATTGACAGCTAATACAACGGATGCCCAACCGACAGGTTCGACTGTTGTCACCTCATGGTCGACTCTCAACGGCCCTACGGATCCACGTTCTACCACTGTCGATACGCTTGACATTACATCTGGCACCACGAATGTACATTCTACGACATCCGAAACATACGACAATACATCAAGCACCACTGATGTGAATTCTAATTCAACCGAGAAATACGACAACACATCGATGACAATGAATGCACCTTCTTCCACAACCGACAAGTACGACAATACATCGAGCGCCACGAATGCACCTTCTACCACAGCAGATAGGTTCGACAATACATCGAGCACCACGAATGCACCTTCTACCACAGCAGACAGGTTCGACAATACATCGAGCACTACGAATGCACCTTCCACCACAGCAGACAGGTTCGACAATACATCGATCGCCACGAATGCACCTTCTACCACAGCAGACAGGTTCGACAATACATCAAGCACCGCGAATGCACCTTCTACCACAGCAGACAGGTTCGACAATACATCGAGCACCACGAATGCACCTTCTACCACAGCAGACAGGTTCGACAATACATCGAGCACCACGAATGCACCTTCCACCACAGCGGACAGGTTCGACAATACATCGAACACCACGAATGCACCTTCTACCACAGCAGACAGGTTCGACAATACATCGAGAACTACGAATGCACCTTCCACCACAGCAGACAGGTTCGACAATACATCGAGCACCACGAATGCACCTTTTACCACAGCCGACAATACATCGAGTGAAATGTCGACGGTAGCTGGTATCATTACCATCAATGTCACTGCTCCTATATCCCAGTTCCAGGAAAGGTCTTTTGAGGGCGTGCTTCGCATCGTCTCATTCAGAGGCGCAGACGCAGTCTTCAACTCGTCTTTGGAGGATCCAGAGAGTTCTTTCTATAAGCAGCTGAAAGGCAGCGTAGAAAATTTAGTGAGTGTCGAACTTTGAGTAGTAAAGTGATTACGTTTCCATTTTATTATTGATATTTGCCTTTAGACAAAGTGCCGCATTTTGGCGCAGAAGTTGTAATAATTTACTTCATTCTAGCTCTCTTGCTTTGATTAGAATTTTTTGAAGCACATTGAATAGTTTTGTATTTTGTTCTCATGTGTTCCAGATCGACAGCATCTATAACAGATCCAGTCTGACAAAGGAGGACTACCTTGGCTCCATCGTGCGCAGTTTCAGCAACGGAAGCGTCGTTGTAAATTTCGGCGCTCTATTGCGACCCACGTCGACCGTCACTGCGGATGACTTGCAATCGACTACCGTTATGGAGACTACCAATGGAACTGTTCCTGGGACAGACATCACAGTTGATCCAACGGCGACTACCTTCAAGCGTAAGTTTTAAATGAATTGCTCATTTAAATTTCTTGCAAATCCCTTGTTTAGAAAAGCCAATGATCGACCGACCACAGTGAACCATTTCGCAAAGTGAACCATTTTGTTGTATTTTCCCCAGCTTCTCTTGACACTTATACAGCACAACTGCCTGTCCGCATCATTTTTTAATTGTATTTTTCACTTAAAGCCACAAACGAATGCGAGCTTGGAATCGACGACTGTTCCATGTATGCCGTTTGCGAGGATCTGGGGGCGGACGGCTTTACGTGTCGCTGTCAGCCGGACATGATAGACGCCATGACCGATGTCCCAGGACGACTCTGTCTGCACCGTAAGTCATGAAACAGAATTCGGGTACATCGGGATTGAGCTGAAAGGATCGAGGAATGGAGGCAAGGGATTTATGATGTAGATAAAACTCAGGGGGATAAGAAAATAAAGGTAAACAACAGAGTGAGGAAAGTAACAGAAGCTAAAGGGTGTCAGGAAACAGACGCTACTGTCGACTATGCACAAACTCCGGTCGAGCTCGCGATAACTTTCGGTTGTGTCACAACCATTGCTTTCCATTACTTATACCTATCACTTTTTTCGCACAATAGCAACGACAAATGTCACACAGCCCACACGTTCGACTCCTGCACCTTTGACGTCATCCAATGTGACGTTCGACAATGAAGTGTCGACAGTACCAACTGGCCCAGCCTCCAACGTCACTGCTCATCCATCTCAGCTGCAGGAGAGATCGTTTGAGGGCGTGCTTCGCATCGTCTCATTCAGAGACGCTGATGCAGCTTACAACTCATCTTTGGAGGATCCAGACAGTCCGTTTTACCAGCAACTGAAAGAAAGTGTGGAAAAATTAGTGAGTGTCGATCATGTTTTAGTTGCATAATTCAACAAAATGTTGCTGTTCCGTTCGAAAACCATTACATTTGTGATTACCTGACTAGATATCTTATAAATGAATATGATGCAGTAAACTCTTGTAACTCATTCGAAAAATGAGAAGCTATAATGACATAGCCATTATAGCTTCAAATGAATGCTGTTCTGATTTCACTTATCGGAAGTCAATTGGCACGTGAAAAGATACAAGGTAAACTCTTACCTATACTTTAAATAAATAAAGCAGTCTTAAAGATTATTCTTTTGAAGGCGCATCTCATTTAGAAATGCACGCGATGTACACATTTTAAGTGTCAGTGTCGATTCAGTGCCTCCTAAAATTCAGTAATATTGATCTTACTGTCGATCTTCCACAGGTCGACAGCATTTTTAGATTATCCAGGACGACAAAGAATGACTACTTAGGCTCCACCGTGCGCCGTTATAGCAATGGCAGTGTCGTAGTTAACTTCGGTGCCCTATTTCGACCTGCGTCGGCCGTCACTGCGGGTCATCTGGAGTCTCTTGCGGCGACTGTTTTGAAAGCTACTGGTGGAACCTTCCCAGGGACGGATATAACCGTTGAACCAGCGGTGATCACTTTCACACGTAAGCAGTGCTTGATATGGGCCGCCCGAATGATGGCGTAAATTTAATCTGTCCTCTTCTGAAAGAACTTAAAGCGAATCCTTTCTTTTCAAGACCAAAGGAAGAAACTTGACATTGAAGGTATCCCCTTAATATTACCAACCTCCTTTTGGCGAGAGTGATTGCTGCAACAATTAAGATAGACGTGACATGACAGGGAAAGTACCCAAATAATGCGTTTTTGCGTACAATGGATTGATCCAAATGCCTTTCTTGTACGTACCCCATAAATTAAGTTCTAATCATAGAGCTGTATAAATTAAACAGCATAGGTGTATAGTTTTAAACCCTATAAAAATAATTATGTCCGTTAAATATAGCCACAGACGAATGCGAGTTAGGTATCGACGACTGCTCCATGTATGCTGTATGTGAGGATCTAGGGGCGGACGGCTTCTCGTGTCAATGCCAGCCAGGCACGATAGACGCTGAGGCTGGTACCAGACCGGGCCGGCTATGCCTCTACCGTAAGTATTGTTGGTTTGGCTGCCCTTCCTTTCTTTCTTTCTTTGAGGTTTAATTTTTTTCAGTGTTTGTTTCAGTGTGTCTTAGAGTACTTTTGATAAAAATGCACGAGATGAGCTTAGATATAGATAGAATATCCTTTAGAATCCTATGCCATGATTGTTCATAATGCGGGTTGATTTTTATGAACTAAATAAAATGGTATCAGCGCAATTTTCTTTCGGGTTTTATAGCGACAACAGCGGGTACGCAAGATACAGTTTCATCTCCTCCCACAGCGGAGTCTTCTGTTACCATGGCAACTTCTCAGTCATCTACTAGCATGACGACGAAGGCAACCACGGAGGAAGAGGAGGAGGGAGAAGATGATCCTCCATCTTGGGGTGAGTGCTAAGACTTCTTCATCTAAAAGAGGTCAAGAAAAATCCGTCATCACGCGTGCACTGCGACGAACGGTTATTATATTTAGTTTAGGCATAACCTAAAGATAAGGCTACCAGTGGAACATTCAACACTTCCATTTTTTGCATTGTTTTAAATATTATGCAAGTACGCTAACATAAATTTAGAGAGAGAGCATGACCTTGCACGCAGCCGCTGGGTGTAAGCAGATTGGGAGCCCGTCTCATCTCGTACAGCGCATGGTAATTCTCGCACGAGGTTTGGGGCACACCGTGAGATAGCTCAATATCAAACTGTATTGTACTTCTTTGAACTCACGCAAAACTATTTATTAATTGACCCCTCTCACCCGCTCAGCCACAGGTGTTATGCGGGGTTTTGTCTCACATTATGGCACTATGTGAGGCGAGAGGGTGGGGAATTATAGGACTTCTTTGGATTATGAAAAGGGCAAAAGGGCCTATGGCTTAGTCCATCTCTGGAACCTAATTAAATAGGCTGGCAAAACCAATTCGGTTCTGGTAAAAATCGCCTCCATACCTTTTGTATAGACGATGGTGCCCTACGGTTAAGATTTGGTAGATCTACTCTCACTATGACTTCCTAACTTATTAGGAAAGGTGGCATAGTAGGGAAGGGTTGGGAAGCAATTTTGATGTTTGTACGTTGGGTAGCTTGAGTTGTTTTTCCCTTTGATAAACTACAGCGGGCTGGCAAATCGGCATTTTCGTGTTGGGAATCACCATCGGGATCCTGATACTGGCCGCCGTGTTTCATCGCCTGGCCAATCTGCGCAACCACTTCCGACACACCGAAGATCGAGAGAGGTAAAAGTTGACTCTTGGGGAATTATTTGACCCGAAATGTGTTCGCCTTTATTTCGAAAAGTCTAATTATTGACCCAAATGAGTTACTGGTTCAAACATCCCGGAACCCATGAAAATTACTTCTTCTTAACTTACATTATGAGTTATTCCAGGTTTACTTGTAACTGGTTTTGGATTTTGGTCACTGACTCTTAAAGAGTCAGCAATTCTAATACTGATTTTCATATTTTGACCCACAATTATAAGTTTGACCCATTTTTAATCAAAGTCGCCAGCGCCAACCACAAAGCCAGAGGTAGCGGCTACAGCTTTGAGCAAGAAATCGTTAACTTGGTCTATAGTTTTAATATGACTCTAAACGGGGTCAGACATTGTTTGAATTTGAGTCTCATTATTTGACCCGCATTTACTGAAAGGCCAAGGCACTGTCAAGGAGAAAACTACTGACTTCCTGTTCGGAATTTAAAAAAATAAATAGACCTAGAACCTCAGTCGGCCATTGTGACACAAACAAGTTGATGATGTGACACACGAAAATATGAAAACCAGAAAAAAAATAAGTAATTTCATGTGACGAAATTCTCGGTCCCCCCCCCCCCCCAATAATATGATCACAGACGAAACGAACAGGCTCGTGCGGAGCGGGCGGCGTATCGTGACCGTAGCTGGAGCTTCATGTACCGCCGTCCCGAGGCCGAGGGCACCCCGGACCAGGACGAGTACACGGACGGTGGGTTGGGCGGGGATCTCCTCAACGCGGACGGCCAAACGGTTACCCCTAGCGCGCCGCCTATGGAAAACGAAGGTGAGCGTTTTCCGAGACCGGAAGGTGAATCCTTCCTGACCAGATTCGAGCCAGAATTCAAGTCATAATTCATTATACCTGACTCTGTTATGGACGGGTCAAAATGACAAGTTGTCGGGTCAAAATGACAAGTTTTCTTGGTCAAAATGACAAATTGTCAAATGGCCCAGAGCTTGACTCAGAGAACAGTTTTGAAGCGAAAAAATGCCAGCTCAAAATGTGACCCGGTTCAAGGTCGAATCTGACTCTGGACCTCGAAGAGTAAACTGTTCTCCGTTGGATACGCATTAAACTATTGCAAGTTTAACATTAGCAACGTTCAGTTGATTTGTGAAACGCACCTAAATGTGTAGGTCATGCGATGTTGTTGTTCGTGATCATCATTCCAATTGAAATGACTTTTATACAGCAGGTGATTCGTCGATAATGACAGACATGAACGAAACAGGGGTGCAGACGGATCCCGTCCCAGGGGACAACTTGCCACACAGGGTAGGGGGAGATGGTACAGACGGGCAGACAGAGGAAACGGATGCTCACGGTCAGGCAGCATCTACAACAAAGGTATATAGGTGTAGTGTTGGAGTCAGTTATGCGTTGTCATTCAATCTCCAAATTTATACCAATCCGCAATCCGAGCACGATATCAATTCTATCACGAAGGCCCCCTGCAGTGGCGAAATGTGCTATGCTATAATTGTTCAGATAATTCTCACGAGGGCAAGTGCTTTGTAAAATAGCATGCACAATGGTTTCTCCATTAAAGGGGGCCTTGTGAGAGTGCAGTGATCCAAGGGCGGATCCAGATCACGATTGGGGGGGGGGGGGCCAAAAAGCTTTTGGTCCCTCAAAAAGTAGGTTCAAAAAATGACGGCGTTGAGTTCGGGGCCCGCTCAAGGGCCCCGAAAACAAATGGATTATAGATGCTCTGTGGTGCGATCTGAGGCAATTTCTAACCACTTTAACTAATTTTTTTGAGGAAAAGATGGTGTTGTACGCAGTGCCTGCCTTGATTGCGACGTCACTTTAAAGAAAAAGGTGTTTTTTTGGGGGGGGGGGGGGTGGCTCCCGTTGTCCCCCGTCCCTGGATCCACCCTTGCAGTGATCACGTGCCAAAGTTCATCTATACGCGTAGTGATTAAAATCGGACTCGATTTAATTATGCATTTTCTTTCAATCTCAGTTTAAATTATACCTATGTTAGTTGTAATTTAGAGTCAGAAATTATTAGATCTTAACTCGCATATCTGGAGCAATTCCCAAGCGGTTAGTCACACGAATTTTTCCTTATTATTTATTCAGGAATCTGAAGATTCAACGTCAGTCACTGTGGAAGATGACGAGGATCAAGAAAAGGCCAAGGACGAGGCTGAATCGGTGAGTATTATGCAGGCTGTTTTCTGTCGGAGAATTTACGTAGTAACTATATCGTTTCTCCCAAAGAAACTTATATAAGACAACCTAGCTCGCTAAATTCTGCAGTTTATTGAGTGATTGGGGAAAACGAAACATATATAGGTCTGTGGTAAGCTAAGCTCACTCCGAGGGAATACATTCCAACTTCCGACTTTCGGTATAATTGTGTGTATTTTGCATGTTGTTTTGATACAGGAACAATTGCAATCGCGCGAATGTTTCCTATTCTCATGTTACAAAAAATGTCTCTATTCACTAAAACACCGAGGGGATCATGTTGTATTTTCCTCGACTTTCACCGCTGTGATATGACTTGGGTTCGAATCCCGCCTGGGCCAATATGTGGATTGGGTTTTTAGTCCCTACCGTACATTTGGGGGGGGGGGGGGGGTGTTTCCCTAGACTTTCATTCTGGGGTTTTCCTCCACCACTAAAACTGTAATTTTCTTCCACATCTTCTAGTATTACCCATCCTATTCTGGCACTTGCGCTGTTGGATGTTTTCGAAATAAATAAATAGATATGTAAAAACTTAATATATTAATTATTTTCCCTTTCTTCCCTTTCTTCCAGACGTCCGATGGCTGCGTTGTCATGTAACAGAAAGGTTGGGTGGCTTCGACTGAACTCACAAAGGAACCGTTTGGGATAATTAAGTCACATTCCAATAACCATAAGTCATGCTATTGTATACTACTTTATTAAAATTCTATTTATTCTACCTAATTTAAACATATTTTTTGTTGCAAAAAAATATATGATATATTACATATTCGTTTAACATTATGTAAAAATGTGTTAAGCACTGAAACACAATCCTCCCATCACTTTGTTGTTATGTTCAGAAGCTATTCATTAATTTCGTCATTACGTTAAACATGTTGCGTATTAAAGGGAAAATACAACATTTGCAAACATCAAAAAATAAAACTACCAAATCATTTTGAAATACCTTGCTGGACTTTTAGTGAATGACAGTGTAAAGCATCCTGTAAAATCATGGCACCTGGTATACTGTCATTTTCAAGAAAAGTGGTATTTTTGTATCAATTTCCAACGCTGATCGGCCGATCAGCGTTGGAAAAAACTGGCTTTTTGTTCAAATACTGGCCCCAATAGACAATCGCACTTGTTTGCAATCGATTACAAATCTATGAACGGGTACGAGCCAGCTAGACCGGTTCCCTGACCTTACAATTCCCCAATGTATGTAAACTGCTCTGTTTCTTCTTATATGGAGTCAGGGAACCAGACTACAGGAAAATGATTGTTTTTCTTGGTTTTTATAGCATTTTCGAACCCAAAACCTCAAAAAAAGTCAGTGTAACTATATTTGCTATATATTTCCAACCCCCCAATTCCATCCATTTCTGAAAATTACAGCAAAAGCAAATGATGTATACTCCCTTTAAACGTGTTTACAACAAAGAAATAGCAAGAAAGAAGTTACAAAAGACAGTGTTTAATTGCTAAAGACACTTTTTTACAGTGCTGTATATAAAACACACGCGAAAGACACATTTTCTAGCTTTTTTTTTAAATTGTAAAAAGATTTTAGATCTTATTTCAATGTGCAAGAGGGAATATTTACTAGTTATTTAATCTCTCCTTTGTTTTTGATTTTTTTGGTAAGCTTTAATGAACAAAACAAAATACACAAAGGTGGGCCTAGAGAAGCCTTGCTGTGTTTCGGTAAAACAATTTCAAGTACGAGTTCGATCGGCTGTGACGCCTCTTCGAGACATAGTTTGCCCGCCCTAGTGAAACTTTTTTTTTTCAAACGATTCATGCTTTTAAAACTTCTGCAAGTCCCAAGCCCCTGTTGTACTCTTGCCGAGCCTAGCCCAATAGACCTTTCTTGTTTGTAAGCGAACGGCCGTAAATCCCACTTTTTGACTGGAGGAAGGGGGGGGGTGGCCGTGGCATTGGATCACCCACCCCCATTTTTGTGGTGCGAAACCCCCCCCCCCCCCCAAAAGGCCAATTTTTTTTGTTACGTGGTGTTGCGGTATGGTCATGGTACAAATTATCAACACAAAATTATGTGTAAAAGAGGCATTTAAAAAAATTTTTTTTTAGCGTTTGTTGGCCATCTTGTATATTCAAGAATTAAACGATATACGTTTGGAAGCATGAACTTTTCTTTAATTTTGCTACGTTGACCACCCATAGTTTGTCAACCCCTTGTTGGCAAAAATGGTGCCAACGGGTCCGAGTCGGCAAAGAAACGTCTATCTTGACCGGCCCATACGGATTTAACGTAATTATTTTAATTTTAATTAAAATCAATCATCAGACACGGAAGTTTGATAATTCATTTAAATTAATTTGCCTTTCTGAGAATGTTTTCAATAAAGTTACTACCGGTGAATTGCGATTACATTTTGAGCTATACCAGTGTATACGGTTATCTATTCTATACTTAATTATCTATATTCCTCAAATGCTGAGACGTAAACCGGGAGCTATAGACTATAATGAGAAAAAACAAAATCAAATCAAATCACTTTACGTTTTCCTCTCACACCAATTTCACATGACCATTCTGAGCAACACAACAAAAACTGAACAGTTCAGAAATTGAAGCTGATGATTACTCGATGGCAAAAAGACTCCCGAAAGCCGCGTTTGCATTGTACACCTTTCACGTTCAGATCACTGGAGGGCGCTATTCATGATTGCACAACGCCCCGTCATTCTAAACAAAAATATTGCACACTCGACGCGTAATTTAATGAAAGTTCCCCAAAACGTGCTGCAATTTAATAATTGCAATACCGTCGATTTGGAGCAGAGTTATTCATGTGCATGTCGGTAGGAAGAGAAGATAATTTCACCGCAAGGTAGGTGTAGCCTTGGTGAAATGGATTTTCCAATTTCTCAATTCTCGCTGGGGTCGGGCTCATTTTATTTTCATTCCATTTTTATGATTTTTCTTGATACTAAATGACAGGAAAGGAATTTTGCCTAATATCCATATCGCACGTTACCCGCACGTGCCTGTATAGTTACTCCTGATCCTGGAAAGATTCCCAAATCTGGCCAACACTTGTCACCCTGTACACAAACCCTATGGGACTGGTCTGAAAATTCTAATTAGTGCATGAATTGACAATGATTGATGAAGTGTTTTCTCAGTAAAAATTCTAAATTTGTCCGTGCTAATTTTGACTTTTTATTGTTAGGAGTAGGACATATTGTTGTTGTGCCCATTCTTGAAAATCACGCATTCATAAGAATGTGCATGCACATTCTTAAGAATGTGCAACTGGATCCTTGCGCAATCTCCGCTAAAATAAAAATAACTCTTCCAGATTGAGCGCACATTCTTAAGAATGCGCGACAAGATAACGGTCTTGTCGATGCCGAGCACCGGCTGCGCTTGGCAAGTCTAGCTGTATCCTCGTTCACTGATTCTCAATAATTATACTGTTGCAACGCAAGGCGCTGAAAAGTAGAGTGGATATGATAAGTATAGGCGTATTGATATGGGGGGGGGGGGGGGCGGGACCGGGAAAAAATAAGAGACATAATAATACTAGTTAGTGGAAAGAATTCAGATTTTTGGGATAATAAAAGCGGGAGGGGGGAGGGCGTAAGAATGAAGAATGTGAAGAATGAGAATGAATACTGCGACATCCCATAGTGCTAATGCTATTTCCCATTTAAATTGCCACCAATTTATTGTTCACACCCCAGCATTACGTCGCAGAGCTGGATTCTATCTAATCAAAAGAGCAATTTTGGCAGCTTCTGGATATCGTTTTTTTTTTTTCGTGGCATGCATATGATACATACAGGGACTTGTAACTTGTCTAGCCTTAAACAAGCACTTCCCAGACTAGTTCACAGTCCTCCGTTATTACAAAACTTCCCATAGTGGGCAGAAAAAAGCAATAATAACAGGTTTAATTTGATTCAAATTATCGTAGTTGTACGAGTACAGAAGCATAGAACATTTTCCTTCCTCTTTATATAAATTGTTTCCCTTTTAACCGCTGTACATTTCATTTAACATCATTATGTCGTGCAATGTTTGTTAAGATTGGGCAAAATTCATAAATTGTGCACGTGATATTCCCACCCAATCTTAAGAATGAGCGCTCATTCTTAAGAAAGCGTGCTCATTCTTACGAATGGGCGCTCATTCTTAAGAATGCGCTCACATTCTTAAGATTGCGTGATTTTCAAGAATGGGCACAACAGTATCACTTTCTGATGGGTGATAGGCGGGATCATAGGCCTAGGTCATTTAAGGGAAAAAGTACTGATGGCCAGATATGGGAATCTTTCCTTACTCCTTTTTATCAAGAACGTTTCTACGAATTCGCTTTTTCCCAAATAACAACATCATGTTAAATCATCTTTATCATGAACTGAAATTTTGTTGAAAATGAAAAGAAGGGGGAAAAAGGAAAGAAAAAGACTGAATTGTACTTTTTGGTAGCTATAGTATTTTCATTATTGAAATTAATGCTCAGTAGTTAATGAGATAAATTATCTCATTATAATGTCGGCCTGGACACCATTCATAGCCAATTGCTTTAATTCCACAAAATTAAGGAAATTTTTTATCCATAATTCAAAACAGTTAATCAAGAGAACATATCTGCAAATCATGTGTTTGTTTTCTGAAATGAGGGCACTAAGTTGTAGTTTAAGCAAATAGCCTACTTAACTTGGTTCTGCGAAAGACGTATAAAATACAACTAAAGAAACATAGAGACTACTGTACTTGTTTGACCGAGGTGTTCATTTCGATAGTTTGAATTTGTAGACAATCATTGAAATGGAAGATACAGCAGCATCGTTAGTGGATGCTAGTCCTGATGAAGTCCTTGATGTCAACTGCAAGACAGCAAAACAGACACGCAAGGATGCCGTGATGCAGGACAAGACGTTACAGCAAGAGGAGGAGACGAAGACGGGCAAAGACGATGTGGGAGAAGTAGACGAGGAAAATGAAGTGATGGAAATGGAAAACACGAAAAAAAAGCGAAGAGTAAGCAATAGTTTTATCATTTAAAAAACATTCAACTCCCATGGATAGACTTACATGTATGAAGAAAAAAGTAGCTTCTTTTTAATGAAAATAAAAAGTTTGAAAAATTTGGAAACATAATTTGATTAAAAAAACAAGCTGTTTCTGATCCTCGAGTTTGGAAGTTTGTGTTAACTGTTGATTGTACATTCATTGTGGGAAAATTCACATTGGCTTGTACGTGTTGATCTCTATTAAATGCCCAAAGAAACTAATTAATGTTGATTAACCCTTCTATGCGACATTCTGTGCCATGCATTTTTATAGTCATTTCAGTCAAAATCAAACAAGTGACACTTTTCAAGAATTCCCAGCCTCAATAAAGCAGGATTGACTGGCTGGGACTGTTTATTAACTTGATACAGCTATGCTTTGACTCCGGGTGATTGATAAAACAGCTGTGACTACAACTTGCCTGCTTTGTCTGTTGGCCCAGTTTGACTAGTCATAGTGTTTGCTTGACATTATGATCTGACTGCCGGTGACTAGCCTTTGTTAAAAGTATAGCAGGGGAAGTGAAAGTGAATTTTGACTGTCTGTGACTGCTTAAATAGCAGGATGACTTATGTATTCAAACATGACCCCAATACACCCCATTCTCTATGTCTGCTCCCTCTTGAATTGACCTATCGTGGGAGAATCGCGTCAACGTGGCTTGTGAAGTATTGTCCAATTACATGATATACAAATGGACGCGGAACGCGCAAAATTTGAGACAAACAATACTCAGTGTACAAAAATTCCATAGGGCTGTCTAAGGGGCGTGGCTAATTCACAAATGGCAAACAGAGACTTAAAATCTAAATTCGCTTTGTTCTCTCTGGATTGCCGAATAGTGCCTGAGGCAGTAAATTTGTATGAAGGATTGTTAATGAAACTTTTTGTGTTGTATCTGAAGCGGAGGAGAAAACACAGGCATTCATCGAAAGAAGATGCCGCCGACCAGGCTGAAGTTGTAGATGTTAATGCAGCATCATCTGTCAACGATGACTCACAGTGTTCCGCCGATCAACCAGCTTCCAAACAGAAAGTTTCAACTCGACAGGGACAGCCCAAGAAGGACAGGCCACGATCCGCTGAGGACAAGGAGCTAACGCAGTCCCAATACCTACAGCTGACTGGTCAGCAAGACTGGAGGCAGGGTGGGGCAGCGGGTGGGGAACATGAGGACCGGCCCATGTCATCCAAGGGGCAGAGCAACAAGGCCGGGAAGAGCCACAAGGCGGAGCAGAAAGGAAGACAGACCCCTAGCAAGACGCCCAAAGGCAAGCCCCAACCCGAGACCCACGAGGCGAGCCCCAAACGGGACAGACCAAACTCATCCAAGGGCAGGATGTACAGAAATCAAGCCCCGTCAGACCAACAGAAAATCAGTCAGACGCCAAAGAATGAAAAGTCCAAAGGAGCAACTTCTAGGAACACTCCAAGAGACACTAAGTCTTCCAAGAACCAAAAGGACTCTCCGCAAACTAATCGCAGGGCTGAAGCTCAAATGCAACAGAACGTTCAGAATGGAGAAGATCATACACCAAGTAAAGGTGACCCAATGGGTCAAAGGACACCGGGATCGGAGGGCAGAGGGAAGAAGCCCAAGACACCAAAATCAAAGAACAGGAACGGAGCTGGAACCCCAAACAGGAAGAACTTCAAGGTAATGATTGTTTTTAAGATCTTTTGAAAACATTTCTTTGCCTGATCTGCAAATGCCAGAGAATTTGTGATGGGATCAAGCTAAATGAGTCGTTTGTCTACCCCGCTCAAAATTTTTTATTACAGATTTGAAAAGAGCACACTCTCAGCATTACTGCTGTGAAAACCGCATGCTGATACCATCTTTAGTTCAAAAATTATAGAAGTCAGAACACCAAGAAATGTGATGAAGTGGCCCTATTTTGGCCTGTATCTCCAAATGGAAGTTCCCGACAAACGACTCGTGTAGCTTGATCCCATCACATTTATTTCAGGACTTATTCAGGGTACTACAGTTTCAAGTCCTAATTCTAACCCAGTGAATCAGAAAGTCAAGGACAAGACTATCACAAGTCCAATTGCAAGTGCAGGGAATGACTTAAAGCAAAGGAGTGCCTTTGTCTCAGATCGTCTGACCAGCTTGAGACTTAACTTGAGTTTGACTTGTGATGATCTGTGAGCAGTTGACTACAACTCGCCCATACAAGACTAGGGGCGAAGTTCATTGATCTGCCAAGCGCTAAAGTCTGCCAAGGCTGTCTGCTGCCATCTTCAAACCATGCATTCAGCTAAGGTTTTAAAACAAAATATTTTGTGCTGCTGTATCTCTTTGATCTCCCCAGCCTTTTGAGGACTACCTGTCATTCGAGGAGGTCTCTCACGGACTGAAGAGGAAACATCTCCTGCAAGGAACTCTGCGAATCAACCCCAGGAACTACGAGGAAAGCTACATTGATTCAAAGGTAGGCTATCCCCATCTAACCAGTTAGAGAGTACAATGTGCTGTATCATTCATAGCTCCAATTTGGGAAAAATAAATGTGTTGCATTTTCTTTTTATTTGCCAGAGAAAAATTCCAATCTGTAAAACAAATTGTTATCTTGGTGAAGGCAAAGCCCGATATTTGACAAAAAAGTTTCTATTATCTGGAAAAGAATTTCCCATATGACATACAATGTGTTTTCATTGTGTAACAATGCGTTATGCATCCAAACTTTCCACTGAAACATAGAAACAAATGTTTCTTAACTGCCATACAAAAGTCCCATACAAAAGGCACCGCACGTTTTTTTCCAATCCATTTTCAACATCTGTAGTACAACACTTTCCCATCTGTCGTGAAACACAATTTTCTCTCCTAACTTTTTTTTTCCAACCCATTTTCAACATCTGTAGTACAACAACACTTTCCCATCTGTCGTGAAACACAATTTTCTCTCCTAACTTTTTTTTTCAACCCATTTACAACATCTGTAGTACAACAACACTTTCCCATCTGTCGTGAAACACTATTTTCTCTTCTTACTTTTTTTCCAACCCATTTACAACATCTGTAGTACAACAACACTTTCCCATCTGTCGTGAAACACAATTTTCTCTCCTTACTTTTTTTCCAAACCCATTTACAACATCTGTAGTGAAACACAATTTTCTCTCCTTACTATTTTCCAACCCATTTACAACATCTGTAGTACAACAACACTTTTCCATCTGTCGTGAAACACAATTTTCTCTCCTAACTTTTTCCCCAACCCATTTACAACATCTGTAGTACAACAACACTTTCCCATCTGTTCTGAAACACAATTTTCTCTCCTTACTTTTTTTCCAACCCATTTACAACATCTTTAGTACAACAACACTCTCCCATCTGTCGTGAAACACAATTTTCTCTCCTAACTTGTTTTCCCAACCCATTTACAACATCTGTAGTACAACCACACTTTCCCATCTGTCGTGAAATGCAATTTTCTCTCCTCTGAAAGTTTGCAACACAACAAGTTACACAACTGACACGTTGAACGTCTCATCAGAGTTTATCCCATATGAAATGCAACGTAAGTGTTTCCTATCTGTACTACAGCATGTGACCCTTTTCCTTTGTTGAATTTTCTAGGATGGCGGAGCAGATATCATGATCAGCGGTGTCCGGGCACGCAACAGAGCTTTGGAAGGAGACGTGGTGGCGGTAGAGTTACTGGACAAGTCAGCTTGGAAGGTATTTAAATCAGGATCCAATCAGAACCTAAATCAGGTTTTGAAAAAAAGTAGACTTGACTTTCAAAATTCAGAATTTACCAAAATATACTCAAAACTGGAAGAAAGTTATATGAAGGTTGATTCTGTGTTTCAAAGTATTTTTTTTTTTTTTATGATTCTTACTTGACTCTTTTTCACCAGCACTTACGGGAAAGTTCCATCAGAGCTTATTTTTAATCCTAACTCCCTAGGCTTTTTTGCTAGGATATAGCCTCAATCCTGCAAAATCCTCCAATTGGCCTCATGGAAAAATAGCAATTAGCCTCAATCCTGCAAATTCCTCCGTTATTTCTTGAATATGGTCCATGGAGGGTTGACCACTGCCTGAATCCTGCAAAATCCTTCGGCTTTCAAGTATAATCAAGGACTAAATTTATGCACGGCTGAGCATAAACAACACAAGGTCCGAGACACAAGACCTTGACACAGTGCGTCCTCCGAAATCAGCAACGCACTTTTGCCATGTAACCTCAATCCTGCAAATTCCTCCAATTTGCAAAAAGGATTTTGGAGGATTTGGGATGGTTAGGGTTAATGTGACGTTATTGTCGAGTCTCTTTTTGATAACCAGGCTGTAAGATCGCCTCGTAAACTGGCACAATGTCGCTGGTAACCCTGGTCACGGTTCATTGACGGCTTATGGCGACGGATTTAGATTGCCTTCCATATCTTTCTTAATTTGTATGTAAAAAAATATTAACCCATTTGCAATTCTACTACATTGTGTTGATCACTGATGAAGCCATGAAATCATAGAGCGCTTGGGTGGTTTTGGGCAGTATAGGGAGTAATAGGCAGGGCGGTTTGGGGCGGGACCGTGACTGATTGTTTAAAACAGTCTTCCACCAAGACAGAAATTGCATTTAGGCACATTTAGACCTTCACAACTTAAGGCCAAAAAAAAAAAAGTCTCCGGTTTCTGGTATGGAGCTTGCCCAAAAAGTGGTGCGGTGACGCGGCTTTTTTTTTTTTTTTACCTGTTTTTTTTGCTTCAAATGTCGGCTGATGACTGCAAATGGTGCCCGACTAAACTTAGTGCAAATATTATGGGAGACCAGAGAGGCCACATAAAGCTTATTCTCGATCATAACCCCATCTAAAAGCACGTTAAAATTGTGCAGCAGCAGGATTCCAGTCAAACCAGTGAGTTTGGCGGTTTTGAGACATCATCTTTCATTGAAAAAAAAACTTTTTCATTTTGCCGACGTGCATGGCTACGGCGACGCGCACGCATACCAGAAACCGGAGACTTTTTTTTTTTGGCCTAAGGAGGCTTTTTTTGCCATCTACAGTTCTGCACAGGGTCCAAACTGCCAGAAATCAAACTTTACTGTATTTTTACTTGTCCCTCTCACGCTTACAGCTTTTGGAGGCGGATTACATGTCAAACAAGAAGAAAAAACTCAGGGATGCCCGGTCTGCTGCGACAGCCTCAAAGCCAGAGACGGCTGCCAAAGCAAGCTCAATTGCCGAGGCTGAGAAGGCACTCGCGGGAGAGCTCCAGGGGTTAGAAATTAACGACACGTCTGGTAACTTGCCCTCTGACAATGCAATAGACCTGAACGCAGCTGGTACTACTAAAGCCAAACTATCCAATAACGACAATTCAATGTTCCGCGTGAGTGCCGAAAATCGGGTCCCGGCTGCCCTGCCAGAGAAGGACGGTGACTCCGCGAATGTCATCGTCATCAGAAATTCTGGACTCCCAGTCCCAGACGAGGAAAGCCCACAGGAAGAGATAGAGGACGTTGTGAAGAGGCTGTTCCCCGATAACGGCAACGAAGACCAGACAAACGAGGCAGGGAGTGATGAAAAGGGGGCGGAGAAAGCGGAGGAGGAGATACCTAGAAGGTTCTTCCAGAAGCAAGGGAAGATTGTCTACATCATTGAGAAGCGACACTCCAGGGCAAGCAGCGGCCTTCTAAAACCACCCACCAGCAGTGTAAGTCGAACAGATATTTTTCTTTTACATAAGTTTTAAATTTCCCTTGCTTGGTGTGAACCAGACGTGACCGAAAAGGGTCAGAGTTTACGAAAACAAATATAAGACCAATCATGTTCTATACCACAAGAAATTTGTCCACCCCTTTTCTTCACTCCATGCCTTGTTTGTCTGGTCTTTGTTACCGTTATCTGGGAACCGCCTCTTAAATTAGCCCTAACTCCCTTGGAATTTTTGCTAGGATGCAACCTCAATCCTGCAAAATCCTCCAACTGCCTCCATGTCAAAATTGCATTCAGCCTCAATCCTTCAAAATCTTCCGTCACTTCGTGAATGTGGTCCTTGGAGGGGTGACCACTGCCTCGATCCTGCAAAATCCTCCGACAATCACTGGAGCAGTGCGGAGTATTTCAAGTATAACATAGGCCTAAATTTATGCACGGCTGAGCATAAACAAAACAAGGTCCATCCTAAGACCTAATCAACAGTGCATCCTCCGAAATCAGCCACACACTTTGCCATATAGCCTCAATCCTGCAAGATCTTCCATTTTACAAATAGGATTTTGGAGGATTTGGGAAAGTTAGGGTTAAAAAAATTCCGCACTCAAAGAGTAAATATACTGAAAGTGTTTAACTCTTTGATTACGGAATTAATGCCTAAAATTGATTGAAACTTTATAATGCACCATGTCGCTAGAGGTAATATACTGCCTCACCTCCAGCGGACTCCATTTTGTAAAGATTAATCCGGTGGCAGCAATTTTTTTTGCGGTGGCACCAGGCTTGCTCGAGTCGCACTCGGGGAGTACACACGCACTCCTGGCTCCTTCGACCAATAGTAATACAAAAATACGCGTGCGCCTCCTCTTTAAGAGCGCGTGCGGCATGCACGTGAGCGTGACACCACCGCAGTAAAAGCTTCTAATTCTGGTCGCCAGATTCCACAAAAAAATTCAGGTGCAGAAAATGCAAAGCATTTGTGCTAACAGGTTTCCAAAATTACACAAAACAACAAGACAAGCCTAAATACTGGAATACTGAATAAGACCCTTGCTATGTTGCGGACGACTCGGTTGGAGTTGGTCAGTCAACCGATGACCTGGTAGACTGGTAGTGTTGTTTATGTTGTTATTTTATACTCCGACTAGAACGTACATCGTCATGTTTCCAGAATATTGACTTGTTTATTCTTTATTTTTTTTAGAATGCAACAGATGCCCTCTTTTCCCCAACCGACCACCGTATGCCCAGGATGTACATACCACTGAACGAGTGTCCTGACGGTTTTCTTGAGCGTCCGGGCGATTTCGAGACGACCCTCTTCATCGCGAGGCTAGAGGAGTGGCCTAAGACATCAGTGATCGCCAGGGGGTAGGAAGGCCTTCTTCTGCATTCATACTAGTTATTTTTGTTATCAATGCTGTCGTTTTTTTGTTTGCACAAGTTTTGTAGTAGTTACACTGAGAACTGATCACAAGTACATAAGTACAGACGACTCTCGTTAGTACAAACTCTGTTAATACAAAATTCTGGTTATAACAAACATAAAGCCTTGGTCCCGACTGTGCATTTATGTGCACAATGAATGGGACTGATGTTCCTCTTCATACAAAATTCTGATATAACAAACAATTTGGCTAGGTCCGAACGAGTTTGTTATGACGAGAATCGACTGTAGTCTGATCAAAGGAGTATTACATGTCTATTCACAAGTCCAGTCACAATAGCTAGGGGAGAAACGATAAGCCAGTTCGGTATTTCAACTGCGCATGCGCACAATGATGTGGGTCACGGATCATTCAGATAAACGAATGGTTCAAAGACGCATGAACGCGGGCACATGAACGGCTTGTGTGTAAAGCGCTCGCCTCTCACCAAGGTGACCACGGTTCGAATCCTGGCCGCGGATTGCATGTGAATAGAGTTGTGCGTTGGTTCTCTCCTGTGCCACGAGGGTTTTTCTCCGGGCCCTTCGGTTTTCCTCCCTCCGGAAAAATCAAACACTGTCGATCTCAGGCTGTGCTCCGTGGTCATATATGGGTTGATGTGGCCCGCAGCCATAGGCGCCTTTACGTGCCAGCGGCCCGACCACGTTGTAGCTGCGTGCTTCGCTATTCAGCATACCAGCTGCGAGTAAAGATGATTAGCCTCCCAAATTATTATTATTATTATTATTAAATTACCAGCAGAATGGGTGTGCGCGTAACATCGCGTAACATCACATCAGCGATGTTATCCCAAATGACCTCGGGTCATTGAAATACGGAACTGGCTTATTGTGATGCGGTATGTCAATACCAGTCACAGTCGGGCGGAGCTGTGAATGGAGAAACACCTGCAGGGCCCAATTTCACGACGCTGCTAAGCACAAAAATTTGCTTAGCACAAATAAAGTCTGGCTTACAAAAGCAGGTTACCAGCCAAAACTCCATGTGATTTGCATGCTAAGCAAACAATGTACTAGTCCCGAGCAATATACATCACGTGGAGTTTTGGCTGGTAACCAGCCTTTATAAGCCAGACTTTTTTGTGCTAAGCGAATTGTTGTGCTTAGCAGCGCCGTGAAATTGGCCCCTTAGCCTGGAGGAATAGATATTGCTACAAAAGATGAATATTTGGCTGTAAAATTGGAAAGGGATATACCATCGATTTTATTGGGATCGATTCTAGCTGGAGCCACGATTCCTAGACAGAACCAGAATTGATTCCAAAAATGCCTGAATCACCCAAAACTAGTGTAAGCCATTGGTTCCCTGCGCAGTGGAGGAAAGTTTCAAGCAAACATGCAAAAAGAGTTATGATTATGGAAGGACTTGACACGACACCGCTATATCAACCTTGCAATTTCCTGTTAAACTTTCACTAATTACAGTGTTCTCCAACCTGTAAAAATAACCTGGTGCCCCGCCAAGCTTTCTGAGGCACCTGCCAAGCTTCAAAAGCTGCCGCCAAGCTTAAATAGTTGCCCGCCATGCTTAATTTTTAAAAAAAAGGAAAAAAATAATAAAAAAGACAAACAAGTGCCACAACCACTAGCCTCCAGGATATATTTTGGCCAGAAACTCTGCCAAAAGCAGTAACATGCAACACTTGTCAAAATGACAAGCCTGCCCATTGTAGCAATCAATCAGGTCAAAAGCCTCAAGGCATAACTGCCTCAGAGTCCCTGGTCACTGATGTGTTAAAAAAAAGTGATGCTGAGCCAGTATTGTACTTAATTGTTACTGTTAGTGTTATTGTGTTAGAAATGGCCTAAAAGCTGTTACTCATACATAAATTACATGTTCATCTGCAAATAGCGCCCCCTAGCATAAAGAAATGTATGACTGCAAATAGTGCCCCTTATATAATTAAAGCGCCCCCCCCCTCCGCTTTTTGACAGCGCACCGACCTTTTAATTTTCGAAGTTGGAGAACACTGAATTAAACTCTTTTTTCTTGGTAACCTATCTTTGCAGTCACCTTCACCGCAGTCTTGGGGAGGCAGGGGAGATCGAACCCGAGACCGAAGGCATGCTGATTGAGCATGGGGTGGACTACTCAGACTTCTCTGATGAGGTAACTCATGACCTTTGACCTAGAACATGACATCTGGCCAAGAACATACCCTTTGACCCAGAACAAGGGACAAGGGCCAAATTTCATGGCTATTCTAACCCCGGGATTCCATGCTTACAGTCACTATTCTGTGCTAACAGCGTTAGCAAAACAATTCTGTGCTAACCCTTTAGGCACAGAATCCTTGATTAAGAGATGTACCCATGCGCTAAAGCCAGAATTTCTCGCTAAGCTGTGAAATATGCTAACCATAAGCACGGAATTATCTGCTACAGTGAGCGGGATTTTTTGCTAACGGTAAGCAGAGACATGAAATTGGTCCCGAATATTGATGTAATTTACAACCAAGACCATGCCCTCAAATTGTTCACCCTTGCCCCCAAAATACACTTTTTGCCCCCAGTAAACCTCCCTCATGCCCCACTGTTTACCCTGTGAACTCTCTTCAGGTTATTGAATGCCTTCCCAAGAACCTTCCCTGGACAATTCCCCAGGAAGAAATCGCCAAACGCAGGGATTTCAGGGATCACTGTGTGTTCACCATCGATCCCGCCTCAGCGCGTGACCTGGACGACGCACTGTCATGTGTTCCACTCGGAGATGGTGAGGAATATATTTGTGATCCGTTACCACGAAATAAGCTTAAAGTCAGACTTTTTGAGAACTGAGATATTTATGTTTCTGGATTCTGCAGAATAAGAGCTTTCCAATGGTGTGTAACAGGTGGGGCTTCTGAGTTTAGTAAAGGAAATATGACACACCAACTTACTTGAAGTTGTAATACTAATTTTTGAGCAAAGTATCATTTAAAGGGAATGTACATCATTAGTTTTTGATGTAATTTTCAGAAATGAACTATTTGAGGGGTTAGTATATATAGATCAAATATTGTTACACTGACATTTTTGAAGTTTTGTGTTCAAAAAGGTTGGAAAAACCAAGAAAAACAAAAATGTTTAAGTAGTCTGGTTCCCTGACTCCACAAAAGATAAAATGGATCAATTTATAGATGATGGAAAATTGTAAGGCACGGGAACCAATCTAGCTGGCCTGCACCCGTTCATGAAACATGTAACCAATTGCAAACAAAATTTGGACTGAAAAAATGGTTAATTTGGAGCAGTAGTTGAAAAATAGTTTTTCCAACGCTGGTCGGCCGACCACCATTGGAAATGTATACAAAAATACCATTTTCTTGAAAATGACTTCACACCAGGTGCCATAATTTTACAAAATGCTTGAGACTATCATTTACCAACATCCTAGTAAGGTATTTCATAAAAACTTGGTAGTTTTATTTTTCGATGTTTGCAAATGTTGTATATTCCCTTTAAAGGGAAGATACAACATTTGCAAACATCAAAAAACGAAATGATCAAATTATCACGAAATACCTTACTGGATTGTTAGGGAATGACAGTCTATAAGCATCCTGTAGAGGCGTGGCTCCCGGTGTGCTGACATTTTCAAGAAAAATTGTATTTTTCCAACGCTGGTCATCCGACCAGCGTTGGAGAAAACTGGCTTATTTTCAAAAACTGCTTCTAATTTTTCATACTTAGTTATTCGGCATTTTCTTTGCAATTGATTACACACCTGTGAAGAGGTACAAGCCTGCCAGACTGATTCTCTGACTTTACAGTTCCCCCAAAGTCTACAAATTGCTCCGTTTCATCTTCTTAAGTGGGTTAAGGGTACCAGACTACAAAAACATGATTGGTTTTCTTGGTGTTTCCAGCATCTACAAGCCCAAGATGTGAAAAAAAGTCAGCTTAAAGGGAATATACATCATTTGCTTTTGCTGTAATTTTCAGAAATGGATGGAATTGGGGGGTTGGAAATGTATAGAAAATATAGTTACACTGACTTTTTTGAGGTTTTGGGTTCGAAAATGCTATAAAAACCAAGAAAAACAATCATTTTCCTGTAGTCTGGTTCCCGGACTCCATATAAGAAGAAACAGAGCAGTTTACATACATTGGGGAATTGTAAGGTCAGGGAACCAGTCTAGCTGGCTTGTACCCGTTCATAGGTGTGTAATCGATTGCAAACAAGTGCGATGGTCAATTGGGGCCAGTTTTTGAAAAAAAGCCAGTTTTTTCCAACGCTGGTCAGCCGACCAGCGTTGGAAATTGATACAAAAATACCACTTTTCTTGAAAATGACAGTATACCAGGTGCCATGATTTTACAGGCTGATTTACACTGTCATTCACTAACAGTCCAGCAAGGTATTTCAAAATGATTTGGTAGTTTTATTTTTTGATGTTTGCAAATGTTGTATTTTCCCTTTAACAATATTTGATGTAACATTCTAATCCTCTCAATCCATTTATTTCTGAAAATTGAAGCAAAAGCAAATGTTGTACATTCCCTTTCAAATCCTGCTGTTGTACTACGTGTTACAAAAAAAAATCCTACTTTTGATCCTAAATAAGTCTGTTGTTTACCAATGGAATAAAACCACAATTTCAGATCGTGTAAACAAGGCATGACAAATTGTATGGAGCGAGTTTCATCAGCTTTGTGCAAGAGGGTGCGATTTAAATGCCATACGAAAAAATTATCACTTTCAGAATGACGATACAGTGCTGGAGACAGTGGCGAAAGGCGCACACTGCGGCCGAAAGCTTCTGAAGGAATGCGGGATCACCACCGATGTCATTGGACACCTCCTTGGTTGTTTGGCGCAACCATAGAGCTGTAATAAGTTACTAGAGCGCTAACTTCGTGTACAAAGTAATGCCTGCTGGGCGCATCCATGTTTGTGCACAAACCTATGGAGACCTAGAAATTTTGTACGGCTTTTGTATGGCTATTTGCATATCTGCGTTTGTATTCCATACTGATGCATTATCGAAGCCAATACGCCCAAAACCGAAACACACGATCAGCAAATGCGTAAAAATGCAAAAACAGCGCAACGCGTGCTCGTATTCGCTGCAGATGCTGTTTGCCGTCACGTATTTTTGAACCGTCAATGACACGCTTAAGTTGTTTGCGTATGTTCTACTTGCGCGTTGCATGTAGAGTACACTTTCAAAATTCAATCCATCTAATTTCATTATGTTCTACAAACACGCACATAAATTCAAAATGTCTGCGCCCAGGACGGCTTCAAAGCGTCTCCGCGTGCACAATGACGAGTTAGCGCTCTAGTAATTTAATATAGCTCTATGGGCGCAACACACGATGGAGGAGGTGTGCAATGACATCAGGGGTGATCCTGCATTCCTTCATAAGCTATCGGCCGCAGCAGGCGCCAACCCTCTCCAGCGCTGCATAAAAATTCTGAAAGCTATTGTTTTTTTTCGTATGGCGTTTAAACCTCACCCTTTTTGCACAAAGCTGATGAAACTCGCTCTATAAAATTGGTCATGCCTTTATAAGATTTGAGGCTTTGCATGGTGGAGTATCGGTATCGTTTCGGTTTGCGGTAACACCATGTGGTAATAACTACTGCTCAGTATTTAGCTCTGAAAAGAACTTGTCCTGCTTATTATCAACTTTCGCTAAGTAGTTTTTGTTCTGATAAAAACAGTCCTGCTTTAAGTTCTAAAAGAACGTGTCTTTGGTCTCAACGTTTCGACTAGCCTAATCTAGTCATCGTCATGGTCATGCCTTGTTTACACGATCTGAAAGTTTGGTTTAATTTGTTTGATCAAGAAGGGTAGATATCTAATGAGAATATTTTTTTTTCAACAATATAATGCAGGGTTGTATGAAATGGGCGTGCACATAGCGGACGTCAGCTTCTTTGTGGATGAAGGCAACGCACTGGACTCGGTCGCCGGTTTGCGGGCTACCAGTGTTTACTTGGTGCAAAAGGTAGACAAAAAATGGCATGGAGTGTGTTGAAGTGAAAATATAAATTTGAACAAAAATGTAAAATTAGTCAATCGTGTCAGTTCCTGCTATTTTGAACTGCTGTTTTAATTTATGCGTAGCTCTTGCATAATTCACTGAATAATTAAAAATATCATTGTTCATTGAAGGTGATTCCCATGTTGCCACGGTTACTGTGCGAACACCTTTGTAGCCTCAACCCAAACGAGGACAAGTTGACTTTCTCGTTTCTATGGAAACTCACCGAGGAGGGAGAGGCAAGTAATGTTAATAAATTTCTGTCGAACAATTTTCTTGCACTGCATGTCTTCGCAAAATGTTTTTCTTAGCTAAAGCATCATACTTTTTTTAAAAATTTAGAACGCAATTTGCTAAGTAACTGGGTTCTATTGACCGATTGGCTCCCATCTTGGATTTTTCTTAGGGGTGCACACTGGTAAATAGGCCTAATTCCATCCGCCGAGCTCACGAATAAAAGTTATACCCTCAAAATATTTTATATTAGAGAGTTCTGAGCGCCGTAAAATTGGGAAATTGAAGAGATATGGTAATGAACCTCTGGCCCGGACTTGGGGCTTCCAATTCTGAGAATTTTCAATGCTACTGGGCTCGAAAGTGACGCTATTTTGCCATGTTGTGGAGGGATCGTTTTTCAAGATGGCTACTTTGGGGAAAATAGGGGTCATCTTCTTCTGGTTGAGAGTATCTCGAAAAGTAAATGGTCAACCAACCAAAAAATGAAAACAAAAGATGACATGTTGATCATCATTTTTCTTTGCAGCTTAAGTACATGTGAGAGTTCTGAGTATTTTTAAAAGAATTTTTGAAGTATGGGCATTTAGCACTAGTGTCTATGGGAATTAATTTGCAAGGTTGCATCCTTAGATCCTTGAGGAGTGTGGAAGGTTACCAGCTAAAGTTTCATTACATTTGTTTTTGCTGTGACTGGTACTCGGCACACAAATGTGCCAAGTAAGTACTTTCTGCTTATCCCTGTCCTCTGATTTCTTTCCCACAGATTCTTGAGGAGTGGTGCGGCCGTTCCGTCATCCGTTCCTGCGTCAAGATGAGCTATGACCACGCCCAGGGCATCATCGCCGAACCAGAGCGAGAGTGGAGACAGGAGGAGATGCCTCCTATCACCGGCGGCTTCACAATCTCCGACATCGCAAAGGGAGTTCTCAACTTGAATAAGGTACACCTCTGAACATCTCAAAGAGTCGGCAATCTCTCTCTGTGATTACTGTCTGGTCAACTTAGAATCTTGGATAGCTGGGTTATTCTATATATTTGGGGTCCACTTTTTTCCTGTCCCTGTTACATCTGACATAATTTCATAATTCTGATACAGTACTTAAAGCCAGAGTCCATCATTTGCAGCTATCCAAAAAGTAACTGGTGTAATTATTGTTGAAAAACATACTTGGTTGAAAGATAGTAAGGGGACTAAACTCCCTGTGAAATTATTCTTTCTGGCAAGCTGTCATTTTGAAGAAATCAACGAAAGAAGGCCTTTCCAACGGTGCGTCTTAAGAAGCACCGTTGGAAATTTCCGTTAGTAGTTCGTTTTTTTATTCGGCGAAGTGCGCGCAAGCGTTGACTCGATGCACACGCGTGCAGTTGCTATTGTTCGTGGGATCAGTGCGCGGCATCGCGTAGCTGCAATTGGCTAGTGAGAACTTGTCTCGGACGCTGAATTCAGGCCCAATTCAAAACATGATTCAGCAACTTTGATTTGAAATCGAGATCCTAGAATGTTGTTTTTCTCGAAATATACAGCTGAAGCTGAGCTGAAACTTCATCAGGTTAGTTCTTCAGCACCCTTCTTTAGATTTTGAGCACTTTTGTTGCTTCAAAAGAACAAAATGCACAAATTACAAATGATGGACTATACCTTTAATGCAGTCGTCTTCCAAGGGTGATTAATAGCAAACTACCTACCCAATAAATTAAAAAAATCATTTGAAGTCATTCTTAATGATACTTGACTGGCAAATTACAAAGATCCTAGGTAACGGGCGCAGGAAAAATGTCACACTTTGGACCCCGAATTTATAGAATGATCAATAAATATTTTATTGATGGGAAATTATCAGAAATCTATTTGTGCTTTTGCGGAAAAGTGTCGGAGGTATAAATCAAGTTTTTGACATTCTAGAATCCTGAAAAATATTGGTTTGGAAAAAAACAAAGCGTGTGAATTAAATTTAATGTATAGAACACAAAAATGAAAGATAGATCGTCATGGGAAGAGTTTTCGCATATCACTTCAAATTATCAGGCATGAGAATCTTCCTGTTAAAACAGAAATTCCTATTTTTTTTTGTTGCCCAAATATCCACCGTTGTATATATTTTGAGCCTGTTTTGGGGGCTTTTCGCCTGATTTCACATCTATTTTCTCTTGTTTTGCACAAGTTTCCTGATTTTTAATTGTATTTCATTCTAATGCCTGAATTATGCCTTATTTTTTTCCCGCAGATTGCTCAGAACCTGCGCAAGAAGCGATCAGAAGATGGGGCGCTGCGACTGGACCAGATCAAGCTTCAGTATGGCCTGGACAAGGAGTCTGGCCTGCCGTGCGGTTACTCCGTCTACCAGCAAAGAGACAGCAACAAGTATGTGGCACTATTGTGTGTGGCGACATTTTTGGGAGATGTCAATAAATGCAATCTTGGCTTTGGCTTTTCAGCCGAGGGAGTTAAGGCTAAACTTTTCCTGTTGTAGCCAACAAATTCTTGTAGCCATGAAAAATGTAAAAGTATCCTGAATACAGGGTGAGTCAATAAAAGTGAAAGCTTAGTGTCAGGACTATTGTTTTAGTGAAGTTGTGCATGTAGCACTTTCAAAATCTAGGATATGAAAGCCCAATTCATAAGCTTTCTTTTAGTACAAGAATCGTTCAAATCACTTGTGTGCTTTTCAAGTTATGGAATTTTAAAGACAACCACCGTTTTAAAGTTCTGTCCACGGATCACAAAAAAACGGTGGTTGTATTTAAAATTCCGTGACTTGAAAAGTACACCAGTGATTGGAATGATTCTTGTACTAAAAGAAAGCTTATGAATTGGGCTTTCATATCCTAGATTTTGAAAGTGCTACATGCAGAACTTCACTAAAACAATAGTCCCGACATTTGGGTTTCGTTTTTTTTTTACTCACCCTGTATTACATCTGCTAGTTGAGTAGCTAAATCAAGTTGGCCCCAGCTTAAAAAATCTGACAATATTTATTGGTATACATGTATTTCAATGTTTCCGATATCTGTCGTGTTTGCCCTGGAGAAAGATTCCACTTTGATATAAAATATCAAACCCTGCCATTAAAATAAAAAAAATATTGTCTGAAACTCGACAGACTGGTGGAGGAGTTCATGCTTCTGGCCAACATGGCAGCCGCCCACCGCGTCCACGACTACAAGAAGAAGACCGCCCTCCTGAGACGGCACCCACCGCCAAAATCCAAGATGATGGACGACCTGGCGGGCATGTGCGCTGACCTCGGGCTGAAGGTGGACGGGAGTAGCTCTAAGTCCATACAAGAGTCCCTGAGTCGGTACCTGGGCCCACGAGACGATAAGCAGGCCTGGGGGATGGGCCAGATCCTGACGGTGCTGTACTCCAAACCGATGCAGGTGAGTGGAACGTTTTTTGCTTTTTGAGGAAAAGAAAGGAAAAAAAATGCTTTGTTTTGTGCTGTTTTATTTGTGAAATCTGATAGACACTGATCATTCTATCATGCAAACAATTACCAGAGTTGTAACGAGTCACTGATTTTGTGACTCGAATCTCGAGTTGAGTCATTTTAAAGAAGTGACTCGAGTCGAGTCGAGTCATTAGGCCAAGACGGTCGAGTCGAGTCGAGTCACAGTGTGTAGTCGAGTCGAGTCGAGTCAAGTATTTAGCTGGAGTCAATTCGAGTCACAAATATTTGAGCACTAAACAATAAATAAACACAAGAGAGAAAGTCATTTTTTGGCTTTTTGAATTTTACATTCGGGCTACTACATGTGGCGACACCACATTTGCCTCTTAATGAAAATAAAAAGGGGTTCCAGCTGATCGTCTTTTAACTAATGGGGACACTGATCAAACTACGTATGTATATGTATACATTATTCACGAACATTCTAACGTGACGTGAACAAAAACCGGCACCGGCGTAAGGCATTGCAAATATTTTTCGCAAAGTTTTGCTTTTATTTTGGGACTCGATTCTCATTAGCCTTCCTCGAGTCGAGTCGAGTCGAGTCGAGTCACCAAAAGTTGTGACACGAGTTGGACTCGAGTCGAGTCATTGATTTGAGACATTACAACTCTGACAATTACTGCCCTCCAATACTTGTTGTAATTGTCACTATCAAATTCACCATTGTTAGCATTATAGATCTCTCTCAAATGATGTCACATTTACAGATTGCCACGTGCATCAACATTTTGGGAGTTGAATTTTCGTGACGTGCATCAGCTGTGCCGTATTTCAAAGACCTTTTGAGCAACATGCGAGCGTGTTTGGAACATTTTGCCATAGATATGGAATAAACACACTGTGCGTACGGGCACCTGATGGCGTTGAATACGCAGTTGTAATTTTCCTCCGAAGATGGCTGTCTATGAGAAGGGTCTATTATTGTTGATGTACCCTAACGTAGCCCGGCTCCCAACGTTGTGCACTTTGATTTTTCGCCTGTAACGCCTAGCTAGAGCAAGTTTGAACTGTGAAATTTCATCAAGTTCTTAACACTCCTGTTCATAAATCCCGAGTTAATCTACCCGTTACAAAGGTAAAAGAAAAATTCATTTTGGTGTGATTTTCCGATTTTATTTTGAAGTGCAAAGTGAACCCTTTAAACATGCCCCGAAAAATAAGAAAAAAAAAATTCTGACAAACTTCTGGTTGGGTATGTAAGTCAAGATAATAATTATTTATCAGAATCTATCAACTTTACAGGAATTCTTAAATGTCAATTTGGAATTTTCCGAGATTTATTCAAGTGTGCCATGTTAGGGAACACTCCGCCAATTTGTGCCCAATTTCCGGACGCCACCGTTTTTGAATTTCGGATTAAATTTCATGAAACTGAAATTGTTCACAGAGGTTAAATATCGAGCATTAATAAGGTCAAAGTACCAGTATTTTACTGCATGAATTTGAGGTTTGTCAACGAAGAGGTTTGGCAACACTACACGAGGAAAGTCGGGTAAATGTCGCAGTGCGCCACGTTAGGGAACACCACCATAATCATCATTCTCATGGTTTTATCATTATTATGTAGATATGAATACTGTCACCCTCATCAGCAATGTAACAGCTATTCTTTTTTAAGTGATAATCATCTGTGCCATGTTCCTGTATTAGCCTTCTCCCCACGCACCCACTTTACCCCTCAACCTGTCTATCAACCTGTCTTCGACCTGTATCAGTAGCCCAGCCCCAACATGTCACATGACCAAACTGGGGTCAAAGGTCATTATGGGGTTACTGGGGTCAAAGGTCATCATGGGTCACTTGGGTCAAATTTTTTTTATTTATTTACTCAAAACGCTACCTCCAGAAGTTACATGGCACAATCACGTAACTCAAAAGTATCGGTAGCCCAGACCCAACATGTCATATGACCAAACTGGGGTGCAAGGTCAGCATGGGGTTAGTGGGGTCACAGGTCATCATGGGGTCACTGGGGTCAAAATGCTGATTTTATTTACTCAATACACAACTTCTAGAAGTTACATGGCACAATCTCGTCACTCATGCATGAACACGAATTCATTGGCTGTAGCTTCTGAGATATTTCTGAGCTTGTTCTTTGATTCAACTTGTTCTCTTGCAGAGAGCCAAGTATTTCTGCGCCGGCACCCTTGAAGACGAGGTCTTATATCGCCACTACGCTCTCAACGTGCCCCTGTACACCCACTTCACCTCTCCAATCAGACGTTACGCAGACATTCTAGTCCACAGGCAACTAGCAGCCTCACTCGGTGAGTCTTACTCGTTTTTAGTCGCATGATAATGTTACATTGTATTACACTGTGACACTTTGTCTGTCTATCAATCTAGCCTGTTTCACTACACTGTAGGAGCGGGCCCCTTCATAAATTTTGCATTTTAGTCTGTCCTGTGCTACATTGTAACTATTCCTTGACAAATCCATAAAATCATACAGTGCTGGGTTGGTTTTGGAGAGTACAGGTAGTAACAGGCAGGGCAGTTTGGGGCAGTATAGGGAGAAACAAGCAGGGCAATTTGGGGCAGTACAGGGAGAAACAGACAGGGCAGTTTTGGGGCAGTACAGGGAGAAACAGGTAGGGTGGTTTGGGGCAGTACAGAGTCACAGGCTGGGCGGTTTGGGGCTGTACAGGGAGTGACAGGTAGGGTAGTTTGGGGTGGTACAGGGAGAAACAGGCAGGACAGTTTTGGGCAGCACAGGGAGAAACAGGCAGGGCAGTTTGGGACGGTACAGGGAGAAACAGGCAGGGCAGTTGGGGCAGTGCAGGGAGAAACAGGCAGGACAGTTTAGGGCAGTTCAGGGAGAAACAGGCAGGACAGTTTGGGGCAATACAGGGAGAAACAGGCAGGACAGTTTAGGGCAGTACAGGGAGAAACAGGCAGGACAGTTTGGGGCAGTACAGGGAGAAACAGGCAGGACAGTTTGGGGCAGTACAGGGAGAAACAGGCAGGACAGTTTAGGGCAGTACAGGGAGAAACAGGCAGGACAGTTTGGGGCAGTTCAGGGAGAAACAGGCAGGACAGTTTGGGGCAGTACAGAGAGTAACAGGCAGGGCAGTTTGGGGCAATACAGGGAGAAACAGGCAGGGCAGTTTGGGGCAATACAGGGAGAAACAGGCAGGGCAGTTTAAGGCGGTACAGGGTGTATCAGGCAAGGTGGTTTGGGGCAGGACAGGAAGTAACAGGCAGGGCAGTTTGGGGCAGTACAGGGAGAAACAGGCAGGGCAGTTTTGGGCAATACAGGGAGAAACAGGCAGGGCAGTTTGGGGCAGTACAAGGAGAAACAGGCAGGGCAGTTTGGGGCAATACAGGGAGAAACAGGCAGGGCAGTTTAAGGCGGTACAGGGAGTATCAGGCAAGGTGGTTTGGGGCAGGACAGGAAGTAACAGGCAGGGCAGTTTGGGGCAATACAGGGAGAAACAGGCAGGGCAGTTTGGGGCAATACAGGGAGAAACAGGCAGGGCAGTTTTGGGCAATACAGGGAGTAACGGGCAGGGTGGCTTGGGGCAGTACAGGGAGAAACAGGCAGGGTGGTTTGGGGCAGTACAGGAAGTAACAGGCAGGGTGGTTTGGGGCAGTACAGGGAGAAACAGGCAGGACAGTTTGGGGCAATACAGGGAGAAACAGTCACCATTGAAGTATCAGACTTCTCAGTGTAGGTGCCCGTGCAGTCTAATCACATGCTTCAAAATCTCTCACGACTCGACCAAATGGTATCTGGCTCTTTTTCTGTTAACTGTTGTTCATATCAGTGTTTATATTTATTATATATGTATTTTTATTTATTTTGTCTTAAGGTGTCGGCCCAGTCTCAGAGAGGGATACACTTGCCATCCAGGAGCAGGCGATGAGATGCAACGAGCGCAAGGAGGCGGCCAAGAAAGTATCAGACATGAGCAGCGAGATGTTCTTTGCCATATTTGTCCGGGTAATGTTCCAAATCCTGTGAAAAAACTTCCCTTTTTTCTAATAAGCTTAATTTTTTTTTGGGGGGGGGGGGTTGTTGTTGTTAATATCAACGTTGGGTGCATTTAAATAAAAAGAGCATCCCTAAAGTTGAAATTTTAATTTTTGTTTCCCCCAATATTTGTACAGGAGTGCGGCCCCCTGGAAGAGGACGCCATGGTGATGCAGGTGTTGGACCGTGCCATTGATGTCCTGGTGATGAATTTAGGGGTGGTCAAGAGAGTGTACTGCAATGTGAGTTTCTCCATCTGGAAAAAAATGTCATTGTTTCCATTGCTGTTTGTTTTAACCATATTGTGAAGAATGTTTGTTCTTAACCCTGCGAGCTGCGAAGCGTAAAAACTTACGCCGCGTAGCTGAGGTGCTCACGCGAGAGGCAGTTTTGATTTTGCGTATAAAATACTATTTTGTGGACACAATCCTTTCTCTAATGGTCCAAATATTATGAATGCAGGTCCCCCGAACCCACACAAGATTGAATCCCCCCAGTAGGTCACTCACAGACATTGTGGCTGCACAGTCATGTACATATACACTGCATGTACTGTGACCATTACATGTTGGATTGACCATTACATGTTGGATCGACCATTACATGTTGGATCCCCCCCAAAAAAGATGGGCATGAAACAGTCGAGACAGCCTTTCTGTGGCTCTAGACAGCTGTCACTGGGCCAGCAGTAGAGGATGATTGATGACATTGTTGTGACGGCGGTATGTAAAACGCAGAGAACTTTTTTTGTGCACAAGTGAATGAGCTTTGGCTGGAGGCCCAACTTTCCCAGGGGCGGCTGACCCCCAAGTGAACTCCTACAAGAAAAGCGACCATACCATCTCAAACCACAAGGTTCACTTTAGGAATACATGTAGTTTCAAGGGAATTGGGCGATAGCTTCATAAAAAAAGTTAAGAAACAAAAAAGTGCCTAGCGCGCGAGCCCCTTCGCAGCCCGCAGGGTTCATGGAATTATTTGTTGCAAACCTGACCAAGTGGGGAAAAAAAATTGTATTTTTTTGTAGGCACTTCCCTTGAAAAGCTTCAAATTTGAGAAACAAGGGAAGCAGGGTCGGCTCACGATTGTCTGGGAAGCTGATGAGCATCACCCGGACGAACCGACACAGATCTTACAGCTCTTCTCATTGGTCAAAGTGGAGCTGAAGGCAGACAAAGAGCCACTCAAGTTCACCGTAAGTGAATGAGGATTGGAGAAATTTAACATTTCCGTGGAGGTTTCAATTGTTGGGCTTTTATAAAACAGTTGCTGTTTTCAACTCCAGAAATCAGTGTTCATTAGATGAATTTGAGAAGAAAATAAATGGATTGCGTTTGAAATAATTTGAGTCGGTATGAATTCAAAACCCTAGTCCTAGTTTGCAGTTGTTTATCAATTCCAAGCCTTTATCGGATATTTTTGCATGTGAAAGATAAGTTGAACTATATTAGGTTTGAAACTTACTATCTTCAGCCTATCATTGTTCTGTCCATCCTATCATTTCATTACACAAGTTTAAAGCTAGAGTCCATCATTTGCAGCTAATTGAAAAGTAACTGGCATCATTATTGTAGTAAAACATTCTTGGTTGAAAGATAGTAAGGGACCTAAACTCCCTGTGAAATTATTCTTTCTGGCAAGCTGTCATTTTGAAGAAATCAACAAAAGAAGGCCTTTCAAACGGTGCTTCTTAAGACGCACCATAGGAAATTCAAATTAGTAGTTCGTTTTGTTATTCGCGAAGCGCGCGCCTGCATTTGCACGACGCACACGCGCGCGCGGTTCCTATAATTCGTCGGACCAGTGCGTGACATTGCGTAGCTGCAATCGGCTCAGTGAGAACGTGTATCGGAAGCTGAATTCAGGCCCAATTCAAAAAATGATTCAGCAACTTTTGATTTGAAATCGAGATCCTAGAATGCTGTTTTTCTTGGAATATACAGCTGAAGCTGAGCTGAAACTTCGTCAGGTTATTTGTGCAGTACCCTTCTTTAGAATTTGAACACTTTTGTTGCTTCAAACGAACAAAATGCACAAATTACAATGATGGACTATTACCTTTAAATGAGTACAGAAAATCACTTGAGTCTCACCCGAGTGATTTTTTTCTCTCCATATTTCACTCGGGAGGTAACACACTGAGTATACAGTATTTATACGTCGGTGAAGGGCAAAACCTAATATTGATTTAGATCACCCCGATGCAAATTCCATCTTACGAATACAGAAAATTTGACCTCACAGGGATACGAACCTATTACCTTGGATTGTTGATTTGGAGTTTTACACACACCACCATTTTGTTTCACACTTTTTGATCAGTATCAAAAACTTGACCAACAGGGATTTGAACCTGTTACCCCTTCGCTTGTCGTACAAGTGTTCTACCCATCCCATCATTTTATTACACATTGTAATGAGTATCATAAATTTGACCTAACAGAGATTTGAACCTGTTACCTCTCCGCTTGTTATACAAGTGTTCTACCCATCCCATCATTTTATTACACATTGTAATGAGTATCGTAAATTTGACCAAGAGGGATTTGAACCTGTTACCTTTCCGCTTGTTATACAAGTGTTCTACCCATCCCATCATTTTATTACACATTGTAATGAGTATCGTAAATTTGACCTAACAGGGATTTGAACCTCTTACCTTTGGCTTAACAAATCAGTGCTCTACCTACTCTTTTAAGTTGATTACACACTTTTTAATGATTACAGACAGTTTGACCCAACAGGGATTTGAACCCGCTACATGTACCTTCGGCCCTTAATTTGAGTGTTTGACCAAGAAGCGATAGTTGATCCCTGAGAATAATATTGTTTTATTGTTTATTCTTTTGCAGGCCACCATGAAGCGACCAGATGTTGAGTAACGTGTGTAATTGTCCACCAGATATGCAATCGGAGTTCACGTCGACAAGTTTGCCTGGCTGAAAGGACAAGAACTGGTGAGAAGCACTGAATCTGAAGAACAAGTGAACTAAGCAACAGGGAGTACTCCATTTACCACAATCCCCCGCGTCAGTACTAAAAATCATTGCTGTTTCTTGAGCATTTTATATTGGCCATATCTGCTGGTTCAGTGTTTGATATCATTTGTGTGATGTAAAGGATCAAAGAAAATACATGGGTTTTTTTTGGGGGGGGGGAAGAAGTTTGTGACTCTTCACATTTGTTTTAATATTGTTCAGTATTTGGGTTATTCTATAAATTTGGGGTCCACTTTTGCCTGTCCCTATTACATCTGACATCTATAATTTTATAGTTCTGACGCCCTCCTTAAGGCAGTCATCCTCCAAGAGTGATATTAACAGCTAGCTACCTACAAAACAAAAAGAAAAAATCGTCTGAAGTCGTTTTTAATGACACTGGAATGGCAAATTACAAAGAACCAAGTTACGAGTAACAGGGAAAAGAAAAAAATGTCGTACTTTGGACCGTAGATTTATGGAATGACTCATTTTTCAGTGTCGTACAGCAACAGGCTGGTTTTAAATCAAAGTGATATCGTTTGCCAGAACTTGTGTTTGTGTTTTTCAAACTTGCCAGCTATTTTTGTACTGTTCTCTTTAAACGAAGATTTTTCTTCGTTTAAAAGCATTACCTTATTAGAGAACAAAAGAGGAAGTTTCATTCGGTTTTTAATTTTTCTTTTAGTTTAAGAGCATGTGAACAAAAAGAAATTGGTGCGATATGCTTTGCCCAAGCTCTTTTGCAAGCTGCAACAGAAAACCAGAGGGAAGGGCTAGGTTAACATAACCAATTTCTAATTTTTTTTCAGGAGTTGTAAGTCATGCCCTTGGGCAAGGCATTTTGTCACGCATTGCTTCTCTCCACCCAGGAATAAATGGGTACCTATGAGGGCAGTGATGGTTATTGTGATTGAATAAGCTTGCATGCACCTAACAGGCTGCATCGAGCTGTATACTCCCCAGGGAGCTGAGATGATATATGGAATGTTTAATTGGCCCAATGATTAGGGGTAATAATAATGTAAAGCGCTTTGATCTTGGTTAAAGGCGCTATATAAGAACCTGTTATTGTTATTTATTATTTTGCAAAACTTTAGTCAACTTTAATTTTAAGCAGACCTCGAAACAGACCTTTTTGAAGGGCAATCAAGTTTGAATTGGAGACAATTTTTACCAAGGCCTTTTCGAATTTTAATTTCAAATGTGCTTTCTTTGTGCTTTGTAAGTATAAATCCTCGACTGTCTTGCTTTTAATGAATTTTAGGCAGAGGAACTTTAGCAAAATGTTGTTTTTATGACTTCTGCTGAGCAGAAATTTTAAAAATTATTTTTAAAGAGGTCTAATGAATAGACAGAATGTATATCTGGATTCGTTTTCAGTATAATTTCTTTTCAAAATCAGTCAGTATAGGAACCTAGAGAAATGATACAGTTGTCAGTGTATGTGTTTTTAATACACTGTAAAACTGGTACTGAGAGTTTCTACACTCTTTTGTACCCTCTTTTCACATGTTTAGTACAGAGGTGCCAGTTGTCATGTTTTAGCCTGAATTCAGGTTTTTGGGGTTTTTTTTTTCAAAAAAATGTGACAAATTAAAAGTGCTGGATTTGGTCTGAAACATTCAGAAAACACATTTTTGAAAGGGGGTAAGGGTAGTTTCAGGTTTTTTTTTTAGTAGTGTTTCGGGCTTTTTATTGATGTATTGGTGGCATAGACATGTTGATATTTTGCGTAGTATGAAAGCCTGTTAGTGCCATCAATAATAACTATATAAAAGTAAAATTTATATTTTAAAATTCTTTTTTTTTAGACAGGTGATGAAAAAAGAGTGATAATAGTGTGTATTTAGCCTGTCATTGGACTTCAACCTGATAAGTCATTTCTGGGCTTTTGTCGTGTACCTAAACATCACAGTCATACATAAACCTAAACATGTCATCAAGTCAAACATGTGATAAGGCTTCCCTTTTGGAGGCCGCCTCCTTTTTTTTTTAATGATAAATTTTAAACAGTCTCTTTGTCTATTGCATCTAGCCCATATAAAGCTGATATGTCGTTTCCTGAGTGCAAGTGGAGGTCTTTTTTTTTTAAATCTTGAAAAAAAAAGCTTGGTTGGCGGCCATTTTGGCGGGGAAAAAAGGGGGCCTCCTTCATATTTTTCAAAAAGGCAGGACGCTAAACATGTTATTTTTTACTTGGTCTAAAGTGGGTACAACGAAGTGTTAACAAAATGTGTTTAAACGTTAACCACAGTTTTGACAGTGTGCTTCTCATCGTTAAGACATCTGCACTAGCATGTGGGCGGTAGTGGGTTCGAGCCCACACTGTGCGTTCAGTGCATTTGGTGAAGGGTTAAACCAAGGGTTGTAAGCTACGTACTAAAAAAGGTAGTTAAAGTCTTAGATTGGGGATGATATGGGGGTCATTATGGGGGATGATATGGGGGACATTTCCTATCATTTCTTTTTATCTCAGATAACATTACACTGAAATTGATTTTTATTTGAATGAGTATATGTGTTTACACCTGTCCTTTAATGGCCCCCATAGCCATTCAAGACCCGCCCCGACCGCGTAATTTTTATTCCTAGGAGGGTTAGGGGCAATGTCATGAATAATTCATATTTATCCATGAGAACGGACAATGACATCAACAGCATTGTTGTTAGTTACTCAACTAGTTACAATACATTAAAGCATTTTAAAGAACGGTTGTCGTCGAGCTACCACACAGTAGCCTAGTGGATAGCGAGATGAGCTATGGATACAAAGATCCCTGGTTCGAATCCACGTCGTCGCTGCTCATTTTCATCAGCTATTTTTGTTCTCCAAATTTATCACTGAGATAATTTTAAATTAAGGGGAAAATAGAACGAGAACCTAAGTCTTGCAGTGATTCAAAGGAAAAACTGAATTATTCATGACATTGCCCCTAACTCTCCTAGGAAAAAAAATTACGCGCCCCGACCTGAGACGATAAATACATGAATTTTAACAAGTGATTTTTAATTAAATGATTTTGTTTGTAATGGTCAAATACTGGTCAACATGAACTGGAAGCACCGAATTGCCAAATGTGTTTTATTTTTTGCAAATGATTGCTGTCCACACTTACGGGAGTTGGTATCGAGTTGTATACATGATTTTAACTTGGAGAGAAGATTTGAAGAAAAAAAAACATCAATGAATTGAAAATGTTAAACTTTGCTCTCCGAGAGAAGTGCAAATAAAATACTTCCAAACCCGAATGAAATCACAGGTTTCATTTCCGATTTTGTTTTGGTGTTGACGTATTAGTTAGGAAGCAGAACTTCAATAGACATTCTACATGCATGAAAACTCTCGCCCAGTTTTTTCTCCGCGTTTACACAAGACACTGTTGAGGGAGAGAAAAAAAATATTTTGTCTAGATGTTCTTTTTAGTTTGTCTATTTTTTATGATAAATTACCTGGCCACCGTTCAATTTAATGCATGACTATATTTTTGAGATAGTTTGTCGACCAGGAAAATCGTTTCCGAGCAAAAAGTGTGGGAAATGGTCTGTTTGGACTGGGACTGCACTCTCGCCAAGTTACTCTCCGCGTTTACACAAGACACTGTTGAGGGAGAGAAAAACAATATTTTGTCTAAATCTTCTGTCTAGTTTGTCTATTTCTCATGATAAATCACCTGGCCACCGTCCAATTTAATGCATAACTTAATTTTTGAGATAGTTTGTCGACCATTACTATCGTTTCCGAGCAAAAATTGTGGGAAATGGTCTGCTCGGACTGGGACTGCACTCTCGCCAAGTTTTTCGCAGCCTTTACACAAGACACTGTTGAGGGAGAGAAAAACAATATTTTGTCTAAATCTTCCGTCTAGTTTGTCTATTTCTCATGATAAATCACCTGGCCAACGTGCAATTTAATGCTTTACTTAATTTTTGAGATATTTGGTCGTGCATGACTATCGTTTCCGAGCAAAATGTGTGGAAAATAATCTGTTTGGACTGGGACTGCACTCTCGCCCAGTTTTTCTCCGCGTCTACACAAGACATTGTTGAGGGAGAGAAAAACAATATTTTGTCTAAATCTTCTGTCTAATTTGTCTATTTTCCATGATAAATCAACTGGCCAACGTGCAATTTAATGCATTACTTAATTTTTGAGATAGTTTGTCGTGCATGACTATCGTTTCCGAGCAAAAAGTGTGGAAAATGGTTTGTTTGGACTGGGACTGCATACTCTCGCCAAGTTATTCTCCGCGTTGACACAAGACCCAGAATAAGAATTTGTTTTTGAAAGCTTGATGTCAACAACAAATATTTGTAATATCCTTGTTGTGTTTGTAGAAGTCCACTTGTTCAACTGGAATGTTTGGGTAGAGGCGCAGAAATTACGACTTCAACAGAAGCTAAGCCGAGAGGGATCTGTTCACGATGCATGGTAATATAAACATTCTGTGATCTGAGTGTTGTGTTTTTCCGATTTCCACAAGGGCTCTCCTCTTACAAAATAATCGCAATGCATTACATTCTCGAACTCCTCCCGTAAGACAGAGGCAGTTATCCCAACCAAGATCAATTTAACCCAACCAATCCAACACAGCCCAATCCAGCCAAACCCAACCCAGTCAAACCTAATCAAACCCAATCCAACTCAACCCAGCCAACCCAATGCAATAGAACCCAACGCAATAGAACCCAACGCAATATAACCCAAACCAAACCAATTGAACCCAACCCAAACCCCAACCCAAACCCCAAGCCAAACCCAAAGCCAAACCCAAACCCAAACCCCAAAGCCAAACCCCAAGCCAAACCCAAACCCAAAGCCAAACCCAAAGCCAAACCCAAACCACAAGCCAAAGCCAAACCCAAACCCAAACCCCAAGCCAAAGCCAAACCCAAAGCCAAACCCAAACCCAAACCCAAACCCCAAGCCAAAGCCAAACCCAAACCCAAACCCCAAGCCAAAGCCAAACCCAAAGCCAAAGCCAAAGCCAAACCCCAAACCCCAAGCCAAAGCCAAACCCAAAGCCAAACCCAAACCCCAAGCCAAAGCCAAACCCAAAGCCAAAGCCAAAGCCAAACCCAAAGCCAAACCCAAACCCAAACCCCAAGCCAAAGCCAAACCCAAACCCCAAGCCAAAGCCAAAGCCAAACCCCAAAGCCAAAGCCAAACCCAAACCCAAAGCCAAAGCCAAACCCAAACCCAAAGCCAAACCCCAAGCCAAAGCCAAACCCAAAGCCAAAGCCAAACCCAAACCCAAAGCCAAAGCCAAACCCAAACCCAAAGCCAAAGCCAAACCCAAACCCCAAAGCCAAAGCCAAACCCAAACCAAAAGCCAAAGCCAAACCCAAACCCAAAGCCAATTAAACCCCAAGCCAAAGCCAAACCCAAAGCCAAAGCCAAACCCAAACCCAAAGCCAAAGCCAAACCCAAACCCAAAGCCAAACCCAAACCCAAACCCCAAGCCAAACCCCAAGCCAAAGCCAAACCCAAAGCCAAACCCAAAGCCAAACCCAAACCCAAACCCCAAGCCAAAGCCAAACCCAAAGCCAAAGCCAAACCCAAACCCCAAAGCCAAAGCCAAACCCAAACCAAAAGCCAAAGCCAAACCCAAACCCAAAGCCAATTAAACCCCAAGCCAAAGCCAAACCCAAAGCCAAAGCCAAACCCAAACCCAAAGCCAAAGCCAAACCCAAACCCAAAGCCAAACCCAAACCCAAACCCCAAGCCAAACCCCAAGCCAAAGCCAAACCCAAAGCCAAACCCAAAGCCAAACCCAAACCCAAACCCCAAGCCAAAGCCAAACCCAAAGCCAAAGCCAAACCCAAAGCCAAACCCAAACCCAAAGCCAATTAAACCCCAAGCCAAAGCCAAACCCAAAGCCAAAGCCAAACCCAAACCCAAAGCCAAAGCCAAACCCAAACCCAAAGCCAAACCCAAACCCAAACCCCAAGCCAAACCCCAAGCCAAAGCCAAACCCAAAGCCAAACCCAAAGCCAAACCCAAACCCAAACCCCAAGCCAAAGCCAAACCCAAAGCCAAAGCCAAACCCAAACCCCAAAGCCAAAGCCAAACCCAAACCAAAAGCCAAAGCCAAACCCAAACCCAAAGCCAATTAAACCCCAAGCCAAAGCCAAACCCAAAGCCAAAGCCAAACCCAAACCCAAAGCCAAAGCCAAACCCAAACCCAAAGCCAAACCCAAACCCAAACCCCAAGCCAAACCCCAAGCCAAAGCCAAACCCAAAGCCAAACCCAAAGCCAAACCCAAACCCAAACCCCAAGCCAAAGCCAAACCCAAAGCCAAAGCCAAACCCAAACCCAAAGCCAGAGCCAAACCCAAACCCAAACCCAAACCCAAACCCCAAGCCAAACCCCAAGCCAAAGCCAAACCCAAAGCCAAACCCAAAGCCAAACCCAAAGCAAAACCCAAAGCCAAACCCAAACCCAAACCCAAACCCAAAGCCAAACCCCAAGCCAAAGCCAAACCCAAAGCCAAACCCAAAGCCAAACCCAAAGCAAAACCCAAAGCCAAACCCAAACCCAAACCCAAACCCAAAGCCAAACCCCAAGCCAAAGCCAAACCCAAAGCCAAAGCCAAACCCAAACCCAAACCCAAACCCAAAGCCAAACCCAAACCCAAAGCCAAACCCAAACCCAAACCCCAAGCCAAACCCCAAGCCAAAGCCAAACCCAAAGCCAAACCCAAAGCCAAACCCAAACCCAAACCCCAAGCCAAAGCCAAACCCAAAGCCAAAGCCAAACCCAAACCCAAAGCCAAAGCCAAACCCAAACCCAAAGCCAAACCCAAACCCAAACCCCAAGCCAAACCCCAAGCCAAAGCCAAACCCAAAGCCAAACCCAAAGCCAAACCCAAAGCCAAACCCAAACCCAAACCCCAAGCCAAAGCCAAACCCAAACCCCAATCCAAAGCCAAAGCCAAACCCCAAAGCCAAAGCCAAACCCAAAGCCAAAGCCAAAGCCAAACCCAAACCCAAAGCCAAACCCCTAGCCAAAGCCAAACCCAAAGCCAAAGCCAAAGCCAAACCCCAAGCCAAAGCCAAAGCCAAACCCCAAGCCAAAGCCAAACCCAAACCCCAAGCCAAAAAACCCAAGCCAAAGCCAAAGCCAAACCCCAAGCCAAAGCCAAACCCAAACCCCAAGCCAAACCCCAAGCCAAAGCCAAACCCAAACCCCAAGCCAAAGCCAAACCCAAACCCCAAGCCAAAGCCAAAGCCAAACCCCAAGCCAAAGCCAAAGCCAAAGCCAAAGCAAAAGGGACTGCATACTCTCGCCAAGTTTTTCTCCGCGTTGACACAAGACACTGTTGAGGGAGAGCAAAACAATATTTTGTCCAAATCTTCTGTCTAGTTTGTCTTTTTTTCATGATAAATCACCTGGCCAACGTGCAATTTAATGCATTACTTAATTTTTGAGATAGTTGGTCGTGCATGACTATCGTTTCCGAGCAAAATGTGTGGAAAATAATCTGTTTGGACTGGGACTGCACTCTCGCCCAGTTTTTCTCCGCGTTTACACAAGACATTGTTGAGGGAGGGAAAAACAATATTTTGTCTAAATCTTCTTCTAGTTTGTCTATTTATCATGATTAATCACATGGCCACCGTTCAATTTAATGCATTACTGAATTTTTTAGATAGTTTGTCGTGCATGACTATCGTTTCCGAGCAAAAAGTGTGGAAAATGGTTTGTTTGGACTGGGGCTGCATACTCTCGCCAAGTTTTTCTCCGCGTTGACACAAATCACTGTTGAGGGAGAGAAAAACAATATTTTGTCTAAATCTTCGGTCTAATTTGTCTTTTTATCATGATAAATCACCTGGCCACCGTTCAATTTAATGCCTTACCTAATTTTTTAGATAGTTTGTCGACCATGACTATCGTTTCCGAGCAAAAAGTATGGCAAATGGTCTGTTTGGACTGGGACTGCACTCTCGCCCAGTTTTTCTCCGCGTTGACACAAGACACTGTTGAGGGAGAGAAAAACAATATTTTGTCTAAAACTTCTGTCTAGTTTGTCTATTTTTCATGATAAATCACCTTGTCACCGTGCAATTTAATGCATTACTTAATTTTTGAGATAGTTTGTCGACCAGGACTATCGTTTCCGAGCAAAAAGTGTGGAAAATGGTCTTTTTGGACTGGGACTCCATTCTTTTGCCCAGTTTTTTATCCGCGTTTACACAAGACACTGTTTGGCGGGAGAAAAAACAATATTTTGTCTAAATCTTCCGTCTAGTTTGTCTTTTTATCATGATAAATCACATGGCCACTGTGCAATTTAATGCATTCCCCATTTTTTGTAGATAGTTTGTCGACCATGACTATCGTTTCCGAGCTAAAAGTGTGGAAAATGGTCTGTTTGGACTGGGACTGCACTCTCGCCAAGTTTTTCTCCGCGTTGACACAAGACACTGTTGAGGGAGAAAACAACAATATTTTGTCTTATTCCGATCCTCCGTCTAATTTGTCTGTTTTTCGTGATAAATTACCTGGCCACCGTTCAATTTAAAGCATTACTAAATTTTAGAGATAGTTTGTCTGGCATGATTATCGTTTTAGAGCAAAAAGTGTGGAAAATGGTCTGTTTGGCATGGGACTGCACTCTCGCCCAGTTTTTCTCCGCGTTGACACAAGACACTGTTGAGGGAGAGACAATATTTTGTCTAAATCTTCTGTCTAGTTTGTCTATTTACAAACACAAATTTATTTATTAGCACAAATTACTAATTCGTTAGCACGAATTACCAACTCATTCCCACGAATTACTAACGCGTTCCCGGATGCACGAGTTAGCAATTCGTTCCCACGAAATAGGAATTCGTGCGAACGAATTACTAATTCGTTCCCACGAAAAAGCAATTTGTGCGAACGAATTAGTAATTCGTACGAACGAAATAGCAATTCGTGCGAACGAATTAGGAATTCGTGCGAACGAAATAGGAATTCGTGCGAACGAATTAGCAATTCGTGCGAACGACTTAGCAATTCTTGCGAACGAATTAGTAATTCGTGTGAACGAATTAGGAAATTCCAAAAAAAAATTCCACCCTGTCCCTTCCCGGGCTTCATAGACATGCGTGCACGTGCGTATGATGCGCGCGGAAGGAAAATGCAGCGTGGCATTGGAGCGCGAGCACGTGGGTACGTTTGCGCACTGGGCGAAGCTTACTGATGGATCGGTCCATTCCATGATTTCAGCAGCACACTATAAATATGGCCGTGTCCGAAACGGGCTTCCAGAGCTACGGCTACGTCTATTGTCAGCGCGTCTCCGCGTATTTCTAATGGAGCGAAGACCTAGACCTAGCTCTAGACAACAGATTCGGATGCAGCCTTTTATATAACCGACATACAGATCCTTGTCATTTGATTGGTGGAACTCACATCACGTGGCATTTGTTATTGCTCCCATTCATGCCGCGGCTCAAAAAGTACTATCCGCCCATGGGGAATGGGAAATACTATTCAACAGTTAGGATCATGACGCGGTATTTGTGTGCAAATGCATGCTGGTGTGCGCGTTCAGCGCGTTGCACGTAGCGCGTATTGTTCCAAAGAGCCAGCGCTACAGCGTTGGGTTCAAACATTTTCGTGAAAGGGTGGTTTGGAAGAGAGAAATACATTTTCCTCTATTTTTGTATTGAAAAAAAGTTCAAATATATCAAATGACAAGGATCTATATGTCAGTTATATAAAACAAATATTGAGTGGCTTTAAATTGTGAAATGGGAGGAATATTATCGCTTGGTAAAATCTTGACTTTTCCAGTTCACTCGGCTTCGCCTCGTGAAATGGAAAAGTCCAGATTTTACCTTGCGATAATATTCCTCCCATTCCACGCTAAGCCACTCACTATTTGTAAACTAATGTATACGTGAGTGGCACTGAGTGCTGCTGTTCTCCCTTCGCCGACTTGCCATTGGTGATAATTTTGTGCGCAATCTAGTTAGATATCTCTGTGATCGGATGATGCTCTTTTATCACCAGTGGTTTGAGAACTTTACTAATTACAATACCAAACTTACCAAAGGCTTTGATATTATTATCGTGAAAATAATCAACGCGTATAGAGCAAAGTCTATCTATCTAATCCTTGCTCAGCCATACGTGTCCGTGGATGACTGTGTGTTTGGTCCATTATATGCGGGATATAAAGAGTACTGTTGTGCCGCCATTCACTGTGTGTGAAAACTGGATAAAAAAAATTCATCCATGCAAGCAAATGAGGGTTTTCAAGGACCTTTCATTCCCTGTATAAACCACACGAGTCGGGGTTAACACCGTTGCGCAACAACGCGTTGTCGCTTACTCAAGTTTACTCCAAAATGGTATGTAAGGTAAACGTACACTAGACAACGGACCCTAAACAGTACGTATAGAAGCAGCATAGGGGCCGGTCCTAGCCCCACTAGTGTGGCCGTCGGTATGCTGCGCTGAACCCAAGCGCAGCATACCGACGGCCACACTAGTGGGGCTAGGGCCGGTCCTAGCTCGATGGCAAAAGCATCTGTTCCTTGCTCTATGGTAAAAGTAACAACACTGGACTGCGGTTCGAAAACCATGGGTGTGCCACCGCGAAACGTGAGGGGGACTTGTATTATTCGAGCTGTTGTCATCCTCTCCTGCTGCACATTGTGGCCGGGATCAGTCCGGGCGAGGTTTAGCTTCGAGAAGGACGGTGTGGGAAGTTTGAAGGTGTACGTTGACGATGTAGAGGTAAGGACAGCATGTGAATTGCCTTTTTCAGAAGCTAAAGCGGCACAATCAATTGCAGAATACCCCGCCACCTCGTAGCCGGCTACTGAGTCACGGTTGATTGCCCTCAGCAAACCTCAGCGCTACCTGCATGTACTAGGCCTACACACGTCATGCTCCACTGCACCCCCACTCCGTATCCGCGTAGCCGGCAACATGGTACATGTAGTTGGATTGGACTTTAAATTTTTTTAGCAAGTCCCATTCCCTTTGTGTTGCTTCGTTCTCAAAGCATTACCGCGTAGCCGGCAACAGAGTAGTCTGTTGGTTTGGACTTTTGAGTTTTTTTAAGCAGCCCCCATTCCTTTTGTGTTGCTTCGTTCTCAAAATGGTACACATGTACACCGTTTTGTTCATGAAAATATTGCCACAAATGCACAATAAACAACTACTTAAACGCAATCTCTATAGTATTGGTTGCACAAAATGTCAGAAAAAAGCACAAAACCAGATAGTTTTTATTTCGTTATAATATTCAGCGTCGGTCATGTCAGACCATGGTCAGAGTCGGACTACTGTCATGAATGGACAATCTCATTTCAACAAGTTTGCCATGCATGCAAAATACAGCTGAGGAGTAATTTGCGAGATTTTCTATGCAGAGGCATGGCGCAACGAAGCCTTGTGTCACAATGGTGTCAAAAGCATAGAAGGCCTCGAGGTTCCATCATAATTCCCAACATCTCAGGATATGTCATAATATCTTATGATGTAGCCTCATGGGACCATAATGATCTCGAAAGTAGACAGACAACGTCATAAAATAAGCACCGTATAAAGCCAATTTCTCGCAAATGGCCCATTAGGGAGACACATTTGGTAAAAAAATGTACCTATTAGGGAGACAAGGCAGATTAGGGAGACATTTGAATGTCTCAAGTCCTATTTCTAGGCATAGTTTTAGTGTCGCAAATAGCCTACATCGATTCTTCGTGATGCAAACCCCAAATTTATAAAGTTTGGTGAAGGAAGGTAAGGTTTAGTTTCGGGTTGAGTGTCATTAAAGTTCAGATTTGTTTGCACATGTCTATGGAATGTTTCCCAGGTACAATTCCCGTAGTATTGTCGTGCTCGGGACAAGTCCTTGTATTAATTGGATATTTTAACGACAAACATTTTCTTGGCAGTATATTCTGCTTCACTCCAATGACTCCATGAAATTGGGTTAGACATAATACTTCCTTTTCTCTTCAGGTTATCAGGCATACTCCTGAGTCGCCGTTTGTGTTCGTTGGGAACGGGCTGTTCTCGTTCCGGGGGCATCTTGGTAACTTCGTCATCGAAGACTACGTGCAGGAGCGCATCCCCCTCCGGAATTTCAGTTTCGCGGAGGAGTCTGAGAATGTGGTTCGAATTGTATTTCATCGAGATGGGCTGATGAAGGTATAAGGTTCATACATGTTTTTAATTATTATTTTGTTTACAGTCACTGAAAAGAATTTTATGCACTCTGGAACCAGCCTTGCTAGGCTTGTCTTGTCTTATTTTTCCCAGACCGAGGTATCGTTTACCGCAGAGGAACACAGCTTGGGTGACGTCATCACTTTTGGAGCTCTCCCCGCCGACGCAAACCATATCTGGGTTCGGTTCCTGGCCGAGGAGACCGAACACGTGTTCGGCGGCGGCGAGCAGTTCTCGTACTTTGACCTCCGTGGTCACACCTTCCCGCTGTGGATCCAAGAGCAGGTATGAGCTTCCGGCTCCAATAGAGGGCGCTGTATTGTTTAACAGACTCCTTGCGCGGTGCGCTCTCACCGCGAGGACAAGTTACTATAGTTTTCCCGGCTATTTTAAAACATGTTTCATTCAAATTCACCAACTCTAATATTCAATTTCGTCCAAGAAAAAAAGCACACGCTTTTAACAAAACCAATTTAGTCATCTACCATTCTATTTCAAACTTTGGTCACCCTCCTTATAGTCACCAGGTCGGGAATATTCGTCATTACAGATCAAATTCGCCTAGGCTGTTGCCGAATGGCAGCATTCAGAGATCAAATTCGTCTTTTATTAATCAGTTTAAAACTTGTATAAAGTAAATTAGTCTGGAGTGTTTAAAAGAACGGTGTCCCCAAGCACAATTTGGCACATTCGCTGCGCGAGTAGATAAAATCAAAATAAATGGCACATTTATGAAGAAATAAGAAAAGAAAGACTTATTCTTATTAGAGGCCTATATGCCTTTAAAGATATCGCAGTGAAGCATGACGTAATTGAACAAAATTACGTTTAAATTACGTTTAAACACGATTCAGCGTAGATGAGACGAAATCGAATACACCGGGTCGAAAACGTTTGTTCATTGTTTGAATTTGTTTGGACTTGATTTGAAATTGTCTGACAAAAGACGAAATTAAATTGGAATTACACTAAATCGATGTTGCTGGACGAATTTGAATATAAGAATGGGTGAATTCGAACGAAAAATGTTTTAGAATAGCCGGGAAAACCTATATTTCCATTAAATTCGTTAACAATAAAAGCACAGTTGGTCTTTCTGATGCCTAATCAAATACTAAACGGCTTTTACCTTTCTGTGCATCATAAAAATTTTAAATAATACAGCAATATTCGAAGATCTCTGCCGCTAAACTAATCTTCAGTTGAAAGCTTTTCAGTGAAGACTTTTTGAGAATCTCCGAGTTACAATTTACCTCATAATTTTGTCAGACATTGTGAATTTTGTCCACATTTTTGTGCTTTACGAAATACCATAATTTCGCAAAAATTACGGTCGTGTTTCACTGGCACAGCAAGGCTGCTCCTGCTGACAGGCTCTTTCACGTTGTGATGGGTGCTGAACAGTATCGTTATAAAACGTTTTCATGTGGCCAAAGCTTGCCAGCCTCAACCCAACCACGCGAAGGTAGGGCGCATAAGAAATGGATCTAACTTGAGTGAATGAAGACAAAGAAAGTAAAGATATACCCCTTCTGGAAGACATCCTTGTATCTTGAGTCTCACATTTTTGTAACAAAACTACAGGGCGTGGGTCGCAACAAAAGTACATTGGTGACCTTCAAAGACGACCGGAACGACGGAGGGGGCGGGGACTATTACACCACCTACTGGGCCCAGCCCACCTTCACCTCCTCACGTTTGTACAGCTGTCACTTCGACACGACCAGCTACTCCGAGTTCGACTTTCGCCACTCGGGTTTCCACGAGGTGCAGATCTGGGATCGGCGCCCCGGCCGGATCTACCTCGGGGCCAGCGACTCGTTCGCCGGGTTGGTGGGCCGAGTGGCGGCCTTCTTGGGCCGGCAGCCGGTGCTGCCCAAGTGGACGCAGGACGGCGCCATTTTGGGAGTGCAAGGAGGGACGGCCGCCATGCTGGAGTATCTGAAACAGGCACAGGTATAAACTATCCGACATGACAAAAGCTTTGGAACCTAAAGCTCGTCTTCCGAGTCCACTATATCCCAAGACTCTTTGCTATGGTTTGGATTCATTCTCCCCTTCCTCATTTCACAGTATCCCTTTCAGCCTATCGATGCATCGATCTCCAATGATATTGAAACACTTTCCGTTTCTGTCTTTGAAAAATTACATTATTACCCCAAGCGCTCTCACTCCGGCAACCTGACAAACTTCAATTACAGTACCGAAAGGAAGTGCTTTTCAATGAACCTTGCTAAATTCAGCAAAATTCTGATTCTTTTTCTTCGTCAGGGAAATTCAACTCTCGTCAATGGTCTGTGGATTCAGGACTGGGTGGGCCGAATCAAGACGTCCTTCGGGCGCCGACTCTTCTGGAACTGGGAATGGGACCGCGAACACTATCCCAACTTGGACAAGGAAATCGTGCGCCTTCGAACCCAAGGGGTGAAGGTCTTCGCCTACATCAACCCCAACCTCAACCGCGAGGGAAGTTTGTTCAAGGAGGCCGACAGCCAGAGCTTCCTAGTCAGAAACTCCTCGGGACAAACATACGTGGTGGACTTTGGCGAGTTTTTCTGCGGCATTGTTGACATGACCAACCCCGCGGCGTTCAAGTGGTATAAGGGGGTCATCCGGAAGAACATGATTGACTTAGGGTTCGGAGGATGGATGGCCGATTTTGGCGAGTACCTGCCCACGGACGCCGTGTTTCACAATGGGCAGCCTGGGGATGAGGTGCACAACTTGTGGCCTGTGTTGTGGGCTAAACTGAACCGAGAGGTGGCAGAGGAAGCCGGGTTAGCTAGTGACTTGCTGATCTGGATGCGTGCGGGCTTCAGCGGCTCGCAGCGCTACGCCACCATGACCTGGGCCGGGGACCAGTTCGTGGACTTCAGTCTGGCCGACGGTCTAGCCTCAGTCATCCCGGCCGCTCTATCGCTCGGCATGTCTGGGTTCGGGCTGACTCACTTCGACATCGGCGGCTACACGTCCATGTTCGGCATCGGGCGTACCAAGGAGCTGCTGCTACGGTACGCCGAGTTCGCAGCCTTCACTCCCGTCATGAGGACGCACGAGGGCAACCGACCCGATGCGAACTGGCAGTTCTACTCCAGCCCAGACACGACTCGCGCCTTCGCCCGTCACACCAGGATTTTCCACGCGCTGAGCGAGTACACCCAAGCTGTAATCCACGAGAACGCCGAGACCGGAATCCCGACACAGCGCCCTCTGTTCATGCATTATGCAAATGACGAGAAATCGTACAGCATCAAGTATGAATATTTATACGGTCGGGATCTCTTAGTTTCCCCTGTGTATCATGAAGGGGTGGACACTTGGTCCGTTTACCTCCCCCCTGACGACTGGGTCTTCCTCTGGGATGGCAAGGAGTACGTCGGTGGAACTGTCACCGTGGCAGCACCCTTGGGCAAGATCCCGGTTTTCTATAGGAAGGGTTCCCCCTGGACATCAGTCTTCCAAAAACTGCACAATCTTGGAGGTAATATCTTTTGATTTTTTTGTCACAACCTGCAGTGAAGGCACAATCAGCTCATAATGGACTCTCAGAGAATATGTCATTGCTGTCACATCATACCAACATCTACTAGACACTATCACCACCATCACGACATCAACCTCTAACATCCTACATTAAGATCAGGCACTCCCATTCAGTGTTCATACCAGGAACAACTTTATTTTTGTTCTTCTCATTATTGATTTAAAGTCGAGTTACCTGTGCTATGCGAGTGTCATCCTGTAATTTCATTTCCTTTTTCTGAATTGCTATTTCTCCAGCCTGTCTCTATGGCAAAACAAAAGTTATTTACCTTTGAATAAGACATCAACCGAAAGAAAATTCTGCGCACATTTAGTGCGGTACACACAATGCTAATTACTATTATTAGGACCTAAGTCGTGTATAGGGCACGATTGTAGAGAAATACAAAAGCGGCTTGATTTTACACTACATCCATGGGCGTCGCGAGGGGGCGGGCACTTGCCCCCGCCCCCCTGGAAAAGCAAAAAAAAAAAAAAAAAAAAAAAGGAGGGAAAGCAAAGAAAAAAAAGAAGCAGAAGACGAGGTGCGAAGTCACATTGCTGTTAATCTAATGCACATTTAACAACATGGGCGGCCGCAGGGTGTCAATGGGGCCGGGGTGGGCAAATGTCCCCCTGCCCACCCACGGAAACAAAATAATAAATTGAGAATATGCTAGAGTAAGAAGAAGGATTTTTTTTTAAAATACATGTAATGTGCTGTGCACCCCTCTAGAAAAAATCCTGGCGACGCCGCTATGACTAATATTCAATTCTTTGTAGACTCTCTTCGATACACTGAAAGGTCTACAAAAAAATGCATGGTTTAAAAGTCATCATCTACATAATTAAAATGGCGGTTTTCGATTTTTTGGCCCGACCATTGCAGTCGCGGATGATCCCATCGTGAGCACCATGGAGGAAAGGAACAACGAGCCGCAAGAGGGCGGGCTTCTCCAAACTACTGTCGGGATCACTGTAGCGTCTGTACTTCTGTTTCTCTTGGCGAGGTGGTACTGTCTGGGACATCCGCTCTTGCGCAGACTGGGAATCCAAAACCGACAAAGATAGGGGAACTGAAACAAATCTTTTTAATGTAAAATGGAGCAAAGCTACAATTATGGAATTTGTTACTTTTCCCACCGACTCTTTCTGTGTAGACTTCTTGTATGCTTAAGGTTCATGCAACGAACGGTAAGAAAGTTTACTTGGTGCGCTTTTATTCATTTAACAAAATATTTTAAGGAATTAAACAGGGTTGACATTTTTTTTACCGATTTTTTTTAAAAATCTATGAACAGTAATGAGAAAGGTGGTTTATTATTGAAAGTAGTTTGTATTAGCACTCCCTATGCAAAGACATCTCAGGCGCGGATCAAGGGGGGGGGGGGGGGTCGAACCCCCCCCCCCCCCCCCCCGCTCTGACATTTTTTAAAAATATAACAATTATAGTAATTATAATTACCTATATATGTCCGCCCGTCCGCAACAATCTGACAGAAACAAAATCTGAAGGGCCTGAAACCCACCCCCCCCCCCCCCTGCAAAAATTCCAAGATCTGCTCCTGCATCTCAATCTCGCAGAAATTTAAGATTACACAGAATTTTATAAAACTATTGTTGGCATAATTATTTCAGTCGATTGATAATTAGTCTGAAGGCTTTGTTAATATCAGAAACGACTCAATTTCCTGGATTTTCTGAACTTCAGTTAAATATCGATGGCAGGTGTTTAGTATATTATAGAATAATTACGATTTGATTTTTTTTACTTTCTTTTGAAACCGCTTGACAGGTTTTGACATATTTTTATTTAAAGTATGATAGGATGTGTTTGAATTATTTAGCTGTGGCCAATGATGTGTCACTGCTGCATTTTTCTGGCCATAACCCTTTTTTTGCGAGCTTACTTCCCTATAATTTCTTTTTATAACAACAAATATTGCAATTGCCGTATTGTTTTTTTTTTTTTTACATAAAAAAAATAGATTGCGATTAAATGATCAAAGTACTATGCCTTATTTAACAAGTTCCAACGTTGCAATAAACGGAAACATTAATATTATATTAATACCTTTAATTCGCAATAATTTGTTCTATACTCGTACACGGGAATATAATTTATCAATTTTACACTTTTCTTGTCAAAGAGTATTCGTTATAATAGTGTTTATATGGTGAGAGAATAAAACAAAAAAATCATGGCATCTTTTATGCCTTTGTGAATAGAATTTTCCTTTGTGATTTTGAAGCCCAGGAATAGCTGTCAGGAATAGGGAAGGAGGTGGGTAAGGGGGGGGGGGGGTTGATATGAGGGTTGAGTAACGGGATTGAGGGGGGGGGGGGGTAGTCCGAGTAACTTGGACCCAACTTATCGCCTTTTTAACATTCGGACATGGTCTGGCGATAGTAGGGGGTTATCACCAGACCACGTTCGAATGTTAAAAAGGCGATAAGTTGGGTCCAAGTTACTCGGACTAGGGGGGGGGGGGTTCAGTGAAGGCGTGGCGAAGGCACGCCCTGCTCCTGCATTCTAAGGCAATTCGAGACTAAATTTAGGAACTTTAGCATTCCATTTATTTATTTTTGGCCGCATTTTACTAGTATCGTAACATTAATACCACTGGTTGAACGGTTTGCACCCCCCCCCCCCGCCACAGCCACTAAACCGGTGTAGCATGAATTTAGGTTTTATGAAATACAGACTCATTGGTGATATTGCGCATGCTCATGCATAGATAATTAGGAGGGGGACCGGTCACGTGAGAGGGTTTAACCAATAAAAGGGAAAAAGAGTCCGATTTTCATACGAGTCCGATTTTCATATGACACCGGTACGTGAGGAATATTATATACGTTTTTGGTTTTGAATAGACATCTTTTTTTCCCATTTTTTTTTAAGTTGCCAAGCAAAATAAAAGCGGAAATCATGCATACAATGCCCAGCTGTTTTGTGAACGTCGTTTAAACTACGAAAATCATGAAACCCTTTCAAATTTCAGTATTATGTCAAACCGGTTTCCAAAATTTCTAAACTTCCCCCTCTAAACTTAAAGTTCAACCCTCGAACTCATCCACCAAATGATAATGACTTTATTTGTTAAAGTTTGATTAAAATAAAATTGTATACAGGTGATAACTCGTTCAAGAGTGGCGCGAGGCCTAACTTGTGTATAGAGATAACGGTGAACCGCTAGATTATTATTTTTCATGGCCTTTTCGATGAAAGTTTTAATAACAAAAACGTTATCTCGCTGCGAGCTAGCTGACCTCAGCCGTTCGTTGTTTATTATATGTTTAACAACACATCAAAAGATTGACCCGACGCCGAAGACCCCGCCTATTTCAGACGCAACCTGCATTGATTGGCCCAAATCAGGTAGTAAATATTCATTTTGGTGGTGTCCGAGGTTCTACGTCTCTCTATTGGCCATCAGTTGATGAATATTCATGATTTAAAAGGCTACAAACGCTGCCAAATTTTCTCGTCTGCCTCTTTCGTTGATAAGCCGCCATGCGGTGAGGATCGTGAGCCGAGGGTTACGCGTGTGTTGTATTTTGCGTTGTATGCGAATACAGCGTGTTTTGTTGCGTGAATTGTAGCAGACGACAGCGTTGCTGCACATACAATGTGAATGTGAGTGCAAAATTTGTTTGATTCCCTGTCAATGCAATGTGGGCTTGTGTAGGTGGTAGAATCGCACAAAAACAAATTATTCAGATTAAATCAGGTGTTCAGGTATTGAACGAATTCAGCATAAATTGCATAGCTCCATGATTCGACTAACGGACACGTAACGACAATGCAATGACCGTCAGCCGTTATGTCTAGGCCTAGGCCTACACTGCAGGCGATTTTTGATGTAAAATTTCCCTGGTGCTACTGCTATTCGATTTGATGTTGTTGTTGGTCATTTTGTTCATTGGAAAGATGCCCATATATCTGGCCATCACTTGTCACCCTGTGCATAAACCGTATGAGACTGGTCTGAAAATGTTTAAGTGTTTTCTCAGTAAATACGCCAATATTTTCCTTGCTAAGTTTGTGTAAAGCTGTCAGTGTCAGATTCAGGAACGGATCCCGGGAAACTTCGTGTGAAGTGTAGGATAGGAGGGGAATTCAGTCTTGCACCAAAAATAGTGAGGCTACTTCAGTTGTGTGATGTTACAAAACGTCTTCCGACTTTATTACAAGTGTGCCACAATTACAATGTACATCTTCTCTCTTCCATTGCCAAAAACCAACTCCGTTCCAAAATTCTTTTTAATCACAAAAAACGAATTTCTTTCCCAAAATATTATTAATTATCGAAGTACATTTTAGCGTACGCACGCGTGCTCGCGCATGCACCCATGTAACGCAGCTGTTCACGTGCACACCTGTTCTTGTGCGCACTAGCTGTTCATGTGCCATGCATTTTTATAAGATAGTGGATATTTTGCCAGAGGTAATGACGGCAAACTAACGTTTACTAAAGGTTTGCCGGCGGCAATCCATATCAACAGAGGGCGCTGTACTCTTTAAGATAGGGCTGAATTATAAGGTGTATTAAATTCCCACCAAAAGTTGTGTCGCACGTTTGGTGTAGTGGTTAAGCAAAGGCTCTAGTAAGCGGGATGACTCGGGTTCGATTCCGACCGCAGCGCATTTTTATGTTTTTTTTTCTCATCCCCAAATAAATAAGAATATTCTTCTTTTATTATTTTAACATGTCTCAAACATTTTTTTGCAGAGTATTACATTTTCTTTTTCAGATTTGTGGCTCTGGAGGATTTTTTTTAAAAGGGAAATAAAGTCCGAAATTATAAAATGGTCTGAATCCCATCCTGTGAATACGAGGTTACAACGATAATTTTGGCATGGAGCCAGACTAAAATTTGTCACCGGAAAATGTTTAAAGGGAATATACAACATTTGCAAACATCGAAAAATAAAACTACCAAGTTTTTGCGAAATACCTTAATAGGATGTTGGTAAATGACAGTCTAAAGCATCCTGTAAAATTATGGCACCTGGTATACTGTCATTTTCAAGAAAAGTTGTATTTTTATATCAATTTCCAACGCTGATCGGCCGATCAGCGTTGGAAACAACTGGCTTTTTTTCAAATACTGGCCCCAATTGACCATTGCACTTGTTTGCAATCGATTACAAACCTATGAACGGGTACGAGCCAGCTAGACTGGTTCCCTGACCTTACAATTCCCCAATGTATGTAAACTGCTCTGTTTCTTCTTATATGGAGTCAGGGAACCAGACTACAGGAAAATGATCGTTTTTCTTGGTTTTTATAGCATTTTCGAACCCAAAACCTCAAAAAAGTCAGTGTAACTATATTTGCTTTATATTTCCAACCCCCCAATTCCATCCATTTCTGAAAATTACAGCAAAAGCAAATGATGTATATTCCCTTTAAGTACAAAAAACCAGTAACTGCGCATGTTCAGTGCATATCCGGCAAACTAACGTTTACTAAAGGTTTGCCGTCTCCGGCAAAATATACACTGCCTTTTTATAATTACTTTTCACATCACTACATTTGACTTTTTTTAATGACTTTCACTTTCTGATGGCAGATAGTGATATGTCACTGAAGGGAAACATTACTGATGGCAAGATATGGGAATCTTTCCTGTTCATTTTTGGTAAAAGATAAATTGGTAATCCTTACTTTTAGGACACCTCTATTTTTTACAAGTTCTGTTTAAAACTGACTTTTGCAGATGACTGTCCAGTACCAAAGTGACTTTTGCAGGCTAAAGCAGTCTTTTTTCTTCATATAAACTCATGTTAGTTGTAGTTTTGAAAGCACTTTCGAAGAAAATGTGACTTTCCTACCTTTTTTCGCAGTCGGACGTGCATGTTGTAGTTCTCACACGCGTGAAAGCCCTACATAATGAAAGCCCGATGCTGATTGGCTGCTAAAAAAATTAATTAGTCTGGTTCCCAGACCAAAACATTCTGACTACTCCTGAATCTTTTGGTCTGGAAACCAGACTAAAAATAAATAAGATGTTTATTTTTTATCAGCCAATCAGCATCGAGCTTTCATCGCATCGAGCTTTCACGTTTGCCATCTTGGTTTTTGAGTCTGTTTTCTGGTTGTCATCGTCGTCTTTTACCCCTGAATTTCCCTCATAAATCAAAGCCCTGCCCTCTTTCCAAAAAATTAAACCTGCTGATATTCAAGAAGGTGTCATTGCCAATTGTTCAGATGTGCCAAGAAGTATCAGAATGTCAATTTTGAGTGTCATTTAGTCAACTGTTTTGGTGAGTTTTTCCCTTCCTATATAGGAACGGGGTCCTAAAAGTAAGGATTACCAATAAATTAACCCTACCCAATGCCCATTTATCATTATGTTTCGAACATTTCCAACTATGTGACTTTCCCACTAATCTGAATGACATTGAAGGATTACAAGCATGATAAAATGATCTAAACAACGTTATGTTTTGAAAACAAAATACTGCTGTTTGGTAGAGAATCAAGTAGAATGTCCGTTGTTTTGAAAATGCTTGCGTTGCAGTAAGCTTGGTGCATTCTTCTACTTCTCTCTAGAGAGTTACGAAAAACATATCCGGTTCGTTAGTGTGACGTTATCTCAATTCAAGCATGCGTACTTCCCACACAGTGTAGCACAGCACGAATGGAACCGGAAGTAAACGCAACTCGAGCGTTTAGCCAATGGGCGATAGTAATCAGTGGTGTGCGCGCTCATGTATGACGTTTTTACTAACGAACCGGATAGGCCTAGTACAAGTAGGCTAGTATTTTGTAGTTATATAAATACTTCTTGATAAAATCACCACGTAAAATTTGGAAGAACAAAACTTTCTTTCAAATATTCATCATGTTGTCCTGCTTCATGTAATTACATGCTTTTCAACATAAGACTTGTAATTTAGGCCAAGTAAAAAAGAAAAACAGTTTCTAACTTTTTTGTCTCCTCCTGCTTCCTTTTCCCTGCCTTCCTCTTTTTTTTTTTTTTTTCATACATTGGTAATATATTGTGCAAACATATTGTCCTTTTATTTGTTTGGAACAAAATTGTAGCTATGTTTTAAAGGGAATGTACATCATTAGCTTTTGCTGTAATTTTCAGAAATGAAGTACATGTGTATTTGAGGGGTTAGTATAATAGATCAAATATTGTTTAAGTGACATGTTTGAAGTTTTGTGTTCGAAAATGCTTGAAAAACCAAGAAAAAACTAAAATTGTTTAAGTAGTCTGGTGCCCTGACTCCACTAAAGGTAAAATGGATCAATGTATAGATGTCGGTAAATTGTAAGGCAAGGGAACCAGTCTAGCTGGCCTGCACCCGTTCATGAACATGTAACCAATAGCAAACAAAATTTTGACTGAAGAAAATTGTAAATATGGAGCAGTAGTTCAAAAATAGTTAGGTTTTTCCAACGGTGGTCGGCCGACCACCTTTGGAAATATATACAAAAATACCATTTTCTTGAAAATGACTTGACACCAGGTGCCGTAATTTTACAGGATGCTTTAGACTGTCATTTACCAACATCCTAGTAAGGTATTTCGTAAAAACTTGGTAGTTTTATTTTTTGATGTTTGCAAATGTTGTATATTCCCTTTAAGGGTTACATCTTAAAAACAGGCAAGAAACTATTTTATTTATTTTACTCAGCCGTAAATGACAGCACGCATTCTCCATTTTGTCAGATTGATTGCTGATTTTCATCCACCCCACATCGCCCGCCAACATAATGAGTACCACAGCCAACGGAGCGTCCCGCCCGAACAAGAGGCATTCGGAGAGCAGCAATGGCAGCAGCAGTGCCAGCGACTCCTCGGCCACCCCCCTGTCTGTCTCCAGAAGCCCCTCCCCCTGTAACACCCCCCTCATTGACCGGATCAGCCAGCGTATTGCGTGTAAGGAGAGGTGGTTCTCGTTGGAATTTTTCCCGCCCAGAACCGCCAACGGAGCCGTCAATTTACTGGCAAGGTTGGTTATGTAACACCATTTTGAAGTGACCCTAGTCAACAAAAATATATTGGAAAGAATGTTGCAGCCTGACGCCACATTTTTCATCATAGATTATCTCGATGACAATTCCAATTTTCAAATTAGGTTTTGCCCTTCATCGACGTTTAAACACTGTATAGGCCTACTCAGTGTGTTACCTCCCGAGTAAAAGTTGGAAAAAATCACTCGAACCCACGACCTCCTGCTTTCTAGTGCAGATGTCTTACCACTCGACCATTGAGCTAACGGGATCAGTTGGCTGGGGAAAGATTTCCATATACGAAGTTCACTCAACACCCTGTGTACAAACCCTATGAGATTGGACTGAAAAAATTTAAGTGTTTTCTAAGAAAATGCTTGTATTTTCTCACTGCTCAAATTGACTTTGATGACATGAAATTGCTATCTGGGGGCTTGTTAGTCAATACAGAGAAAAATTAGTGAACTTCGTATATGGAAATCTTTCCTTGGCTGGTTCGAATCTGCGGGTCCAATGTTGTTAGAAAATACTTTGAAAATGCACTCGACTCTCCATAGACTTTGTACGCAACAAAAGAAGTGGCGTCAGGATACTGCGTTCTTTCCACTAAATTTTTGCTTTCTGTCAGGCAAGCTTTAAATTTTGCAAACGGCCATATAGATGGAGTTGTTTCGAATGACTGTTATGTAAATTTCAACTTAGTCCCTACATTTGTTTCGCAAGTCAAGCTTATTGGAAATCCTCGGTATGATTTTGGTTTGGAAGATTTTTGAACGCCGGATTGAAGCAGATATTCTTTTAACTCGAGTGTTTGGAAACACCCCAGCCTTACAAAAACTACCATCATCAGGTGGTTGGGGTTAAAAAGTGATTATTTCTGAAAAAATATTCACAGTTGGTTTGATATGACCACATTAGCATATAATCACAGGCTGGGCTGTATGTTGGTCCAGAGAAACTCACAACATTAACGAACCCCCCTTCCCCCTCCCCCCCCCAACAAAAAATCTGCACCCATTCCCCTTGTAAAATGTCTTCAAAAAATTTGTTGCAATTAAGAAAAGTTACAAATCTCTAACAAATTTCTGATAATTTTTAATTTGTCAGACAAAATCTCTAAAATTTCACAAACAGATGTCCTTACTGTTTCACAGATTTCAAAGTCCTCCCCTTCCGTCCAAGTTTCAGAGTCTAAGCCGTAAGGAATAAGTACTTATATAAAGTTTAATTTTCCATCGACTAGACATGGCAGTAATTTCGAATGACTTGAAGGTGGATCTTTCGCGTGTAGTAACTGCTAAATGTGCCAAAGATCGAACTTGTTTATTAAGAACATGTAAATTTAGTCTAGGGGGTGTGAAAAATCATATCAAAATTGGAGGATTCAAGACTGTTAGAGTAGTTTGACTTATGCAAGATATGCGGGTGGAACATTTTCTGATCCACTATGTATTACATCATCAGATTGGAGCGCATGCACGCAGGCGGTCCCCTATTCTGTGACATCACATGGCATCCGGCTGGTAACCCCGGCGGCCAGACGGAGACCAGCTCCATCACCATAGCGACCAGCTCCATCAATTACTGCGGGATCGAGACCATGTTGCACATGACTTGCGTCGGGCAGACCAAAAACGACATCAGCAAGTACCTGAACCGTGCAAAGGACTGCGGAGTCCGGAATATACTGGCTCTCCGTGGAGGTAGGCTTGCCGAAATGCTGCATAGTTGTAATCGTTGTTATTAACTTTAAAGCTACAGTCCATCATTTGCAGCTATCCAAAAAGTAACTGACGTAATTATTGTTGAGAAACATACTTGGTTGAAAGACAGTAAGGGGACTAAACTCCCTGTGAAATTAGTCTTTCGGACATGCTGTCATTTTGAAGAAATCAACGAAAGAAGGCCTTTCCAACGGTGCGTCTTAATTTCCGTTAGTAGTTCGTTTTTTTTATTCGGTGAAGCGCGTGCAAGCGTTGACACGATGCACACGCGCATGCGGTTGCTATAATTCATCGGATCAGCGCGCGACATCACGTAGCTGCAAGCGGCTCAGTGAGAATGTGTCTCGGACGCTGAATTCAGGCCCAATTCAAAACATGATTCAGCAAATTTGGATTTGAAATAGAGATCCTAGAATGTTGTTTTTCTCGAAATATACAGCTGAAGCTGAGCTGAAACTTAATCAGGTTAGTTGTTCAGCACCCTTCTTTAGATTTTCAGCACGTTTGTTGCTTCAAACGAACAAAATGAGAAACAGATGGGACCAAGATCAATATGAAATAATCAATGACCTTTATTTTTGTGGAGCGTGTTTGTGTGAAAGTCAGGATCCTTTAGGCAAAATTCTTCAGAACAGTGGCAAATTTATTCAATTCATTCGTTCACGTTGCCTTGAATTTCAGCTGATGCAATATGTTAACATGGTTAACGATTGACTACATGATAAATGAAAGATATTTACATGGACGTTCGAAAATTTGACCTGTAAACCCTGCTGAAATCTGAATAACAAAACAGTTCATTTTTATTTGTACATGTGTGAAAGGATTTGTTTACAGTATCTGATTAAGAAAATGACATTGGACTTTATATTTTTCAAAATGTTGGGCTTTGACAATGGATGTTTGCATACCGTCAACGGAAATATTTATCAGATGCAATCTGTCTACCCCCAATGTGACCTCAGGTCGTACACAAAGCTCAGGTTTGTTATTAAAAACAACTTGTACCTTCAAGGACAGATCTGCTTGTTGATCTTGGGCCAAGCCAGATTTTTTTTGTTTCAAACTTTTTTGGATTGTTGGAGGGATAATAGTCCTTGCAGGAGTCCTTATATTGAAATAAAACAAAATAGTTTTGCAAAGTAAGCATAAGTTATTGTGCATTCAGATTTCAATTCACAATGCAGTGCGCCACCAAGAGTTTGCCACGGAAAGTTCGTTTTTCAAGTGTACGGTCAACAAAACATGGCCCATTTGAAAGAGTGACAGTTAACAACTTAAGCTAACGTTTTATGGATTGGCGCATTACGTTCTGCCGCCTTACAAAATAACTCCATATTGATAAAACAAAAAGAAACAGGCAAACATATACTCGAATCATATGCTTACAAACTTTCTGGCCGGAAAAACTTAACAATTTCAAATGTCCCGCACTGTGAATTTGTCGACCATCTCCCACAATGCACTGGGAAAAATGAACTCTCCATGGCAAACTCTTGGTGGCGCACTGCATTGTGAATCGCCCGAATTGGGACATGGCGTCATTGCAGTCAGGTTTTCCCAGTAACGTTACTGTGACAGTAAAGAATGCATACGGGTCAACACTTACCGTAAGTGACCTATCGCCGTTTGCGAGTTAGCCACACCCCATTAGACAACCCTTTGGAATTTTTGTACACTAAGTTTTGTTTGTCTCCGATGTTGTGCCTTCCATGTCCATTTGTATATCATGTAATTGGACAATATTTCACCAGCTGCGTTGACACGATTCTAAAGCGATTCTTCCGCAGTAGGTCAATTCCCACAGCAGAAGACTTGGTCCGTAGCTCTTGCCTAGGTCTCTGATGTTAACAACTTGGTGCGAACATCCTGACAATTAACAGACGTAGCCGTAACGGTAGGCATCAGTTGGAATAAGGCCTCTGTCAATAAATATACTAGTCTGGTGCCTGAAACACGTCTGGTGACCCAAGCTCACCATAAACATGCTTGGGAACAAGGGTGGATCCAGAACACAATTTGGGAAGGGGGGGGGGGCCAAAAAAAAATTTGGTCCCCAAAAAGTGTGTCCAAAAAAGTACGGCGTGGGGTTCGGGGCCCGCTTAAGGGCCCCTAAAAATTGTTGGATTCTAGATGCTCTGTGGTGCGATCTGAGGCAATTTCTGACTACTTTAACAAATGTTTTTGAGGAAAGATGGTGGTGTTCTCATTGCCATGCCTTTATTACGAAGCCACTAAATACAAAAAAATTGGATTTTTTTTGGGGGGGGGGGGGAGCCATGGCCCCCTTTGGCCCCCCTCCCTGGATCCTCCCTTGCTTGGGAAAGGCCTGAAGAATTTGGTGCCAGGGTCACAGAACTTGTCAGGTTGGCCTGTGTCTGACTGCTGCCTAATTTTCAGTCAAGCATAGATTTTTCCATTTTTTTTCCGTAGATGTGCCCGGAGATCTGGAATGGCAAAAGTCGAATTCAGAAGACGCCTTCAATTATGCGGTGGATCTGGTCCGACACATCAAGAAGACATTCGGCGATCACTTCTCTATTTGTGTAGCAGGTATGCAGATCATGAAATCTGTATCCTTCATTTTTGCACCAATTTTATACACCAAATACTAAAAATGGATTTACTCGAAAGTGTGGTCTGTGCTCAAAATCGAGTTCTTTGTGCAGAGTTGGCAACAGACCTTATGCGTCAAGGCGGACGTAGATAAAAAGACCAATGTTTTTTTCATGTTTCCCAGATACGAGTAAACCTTTTGTGCGTATACATACCAAAATTCAAAGGTATCTGCAATGCATTATATTAGGTCTGTACTGCTAATCAATGGTTGTATTTTGTGGTCCACAGCTATTTTTGTTTGTCATTTTAAAATGCCATAGTAAAATTATTATGTCCTTGGGCAAGGCACTTTGCAGCAATTGCCCCATCCGTTACCACATGGGCCTTGGAGTCGGTATAAGCAAGTGGGGCAGAAACATGTGTTGGTTCTTTACACACTGTCATTTCAAAACCAGAAATGAATGACACGACGATAAGCCCAGTAGATACATTTGTCTATGGCTGCTGTGCAGGACTACCCACAAGAGCCAGCCATGGGCACTTGTTGTGACGTATGGTGCAGGGTATGCACAATCGGATGATAACTTAATTGATGTACAAAATTCTATAGTGTGTGCACATGAGGTGAATGCACCTGATCGTGAGCAAATATGGCAATGGCACCCAGGTGTCCTTCAAATTAAGCACTCTGTGTCATTTTATAATCAGTGGCAAACCATTTGTGTTCATTTGGACTGTTTTACAGGAAAACTGTTGTTCGTAGCTAGCTGAAAAGCTATGTTAATAATCAGCAAAAATAATAATGAGGTGCTTTTATAATATATAGCCCTTTAAACCAAAATCTGAAAGTGCTTCTGCTGCAGCTCGAGATCAGCGCAATCTGGTCTCTATCAATTTATACTCCTGGGTTGAGAGAGGCAGTTGAAGTAAAGTGTCTTTGCCCCAAAACACAAGCACTGTGTCCCCACTCAGGTTTTGAATTAACCACCACAAATGAGTTGAACTCAATAACGATTGAAACAGGGCTCTATGGGCTCCGTGCGCCAACAAAAGAGGGCGCCCTTTTACCTAGCAATGACATCCTATGGGCGGGACATTTCGCTGGTTGACGCGCACCGTTCCTTGTGTGTGACGCACGTACACCAGGGGATTTGTACTATGCACACGCAGTGGCCGCGCCGCGTGGCACAATGAATTGCAGTCAGGCAAGATGGCGTCAGTCGGTCACCCCCAACTGTACTTGCTTTGCCGGTGAGGGGGTACTTGTGAACTGAGTGGATAGGTCACCTGTGCTGTGCACAGAGTTCATGGGATCTCATTCCTGTTCTCCCCGTATCATTAGGTTATCCCGGCGGTCATCCAGAAGCAGAGAGTTACCAAGAAGACCTGAAGCACCTCAAGATGAAAGTAGATGCGGGAGCTGAGTTTATCATCACCCAGCTGTTCTTCAACGCCAAGGACTTCCTCACATTCTACAAGGACTGTCGCGCCATCGGGATCACGGTGCCTATCATCCCCGGTGTCATGCCCATTCAGGTTGGTGTCAGAGACAGCATTAAAGATATACATGTAGTCCATCATTTGAAATTTGTGCATTTTGTTTGTTTGAAGCAACAAAATGGCTCAAAATCTAAGTTTCAGCTCAGCTTCAGCTGTATATGTATTCCGAGAAAAACAGCATTCTAGGATCTCAATTTCAAATCAAAAGTTGCTGAATCATGACCCGTTTTCACTGAGCCGATTGCAGCTACGCGATGTCACGCACTGATCCGACGAATTATAGCAACCATGCGTCGTGCCAATGCTTGCGCGCGCTTCGCCGAATAACAAAACGAACTACTAATTTAAATTTCCTACGGTGCGTCTTAAGAAGCACCGTTGGAAAGGCTTTCCTTCGTTGATTACTTCAAAATGACAGCTTGCTAGAAAGAATAATTTCACAGGGAGTTTAGTCCCCTTACTATCTTTCAACCAAGTATGTTTTTCAACAATAATTACCCCAGTTACTTTTCGGATAGCTGCAAATGATGGACTATAGCTTTAACCCCAACCTAGCCAGGTGCAATACAGCGCAACAGTTGTAAAAGTCTGTGGGACCCTGTTGCATCATGGAGGATATTCCTCTATGGGCTCATTGAGCCATCAACACCTGTTGCATAAATTGTTAATTCCGAGATAATGGGTGCTAGTCCCATTGGACTGTGCCATTATTGTGTCCAGTTGTAATAGCCCCTGTGAATTTTGTTTGTGTTTCCCGGCAGGGTTACACCTCTCTGCGCAATCTGGTCAAGTTGTCCAAGCTGGAAGTTCCAGAAGACATCGTGAAAGTGATAGAGCCGATCAAAGACAACGACGCGGCCGTCAGGAACTATGGCATTCACCAGGCCGTCACCATGTGCAAGGAGATGTTTGATAGGTCAGTTGGGCTTAGTTCTCGGGGCTGGAGCCCGCCATCATCTTTGGCTTTTTCACTGCTTAAACCTTAAAATTACCGTCCATCTTAACCAGTTCGCGCCGCGAGTATTTTGACATTGACCGGAGCCAGGCGCGAGATTGTTTTCATGAACCTTGATGCCAGACGGGGTCAGGCCATCATCTGTGGGTAGCACACCCTCATATTTCCGGCCTCGCTCGCTGCGAGCGGGTCGCAGACAGATACTTCCGGCCTCGCTCGTTGTGTGTTTGTCCTCATCCATTCTGAAAACCGCAAAACCTTTGCGTGTATACACTGATTTCAGTTTTTTTTTTTTTGGATTTCAGCTTTTTTTCTCTCACTTGCTGTGTATAAAAGTATATGGGATTTCCAAAGTTCAGCTTTTTTTACACCTTTTTCAGCTGTTTTCAGCTATTTTTATCGGTGGCCACTCACACTACTGATACTGTGCCCTTTTTTTCATAAAGAGCAGGGGACAGATAATCATCAAAACTCAAGTTTTGCAAAAACCTGTATACTTTCTGTTGTACCCTTTTTTTTTTCAAACCAGTTAGTGTGCCAAATAATTCTTGATTACCAAAGCTATGTGTTTTACATGTATGGTCTGCAGCGGTGACGTCCACGGCCTTCACATCTATACACTGAACCGCGAGGTGGCCACCATTGAGATCCTGAAGCAGCTGGGCCTGTGGAACGAGGACCCTATACACCGCCCTCTACCGTGGAAAACCACAGCCAATCACATGAGGACCAAAGAGGACGTCCGACCGATCTTCTGGGCCGCTCGACCAAAGAGTTACATTCATAGGTGAGTCAGGCATGCAATTTTTCCTCGGATCCGCTGATTTCCTTTTTTTTTTTTAACTTTGCATGAATGCCATTACAAATTGAAAAGCACTGTACAAAGTACAGTGTACTCCAACTTTGAAAATTAAATGTCGGTGCACCGTCAAAAAGCGGAGGGGGGGGGGGTGCTGTATTTATGTTAGGGGCGCTATTTGCATTCATACTTTTCTTTATGCTAGGGGGCGCTATTTGCAGATGAACATGCAATTTATGTATGGATAACAGCTTTTAGGCCATTTCTAACACAGTAACTGTTAAGTACAATTCTGGCTCAGCATCATCTTTTTGAACACATCAGTGACCAGGAACTCTGAGGCAGTTATGCCTTGAGACTTTTGACCTGATCGATTGCTACAATGGGCAGGCTTGTCAGTTTGACAAATGTTCCATGTTACTGCTTTTGGCAGAGTTTCGGGCCAAAATATACCCTGGAGGGTAAGGGTAGTCCCACTTGTTTGTCTTTTTTTATTGTTTCCTTTTTTTTAAGCATGGCGGACAACTTGTTAAGCTTGGCGGCAACTTTTGAAGCTTGGCGGGTACCTCAGAAAGCTTGGCGGGGCACCGGGTTATATTTACAGGTTGGAGAACACTGAAAGTATGGTGTGGTTTGGAATGTCCTCATTTTTTTCTAAATTCCCAGTTGCATGCCTGGTGAGTATACTTCAGACCCAACCCCTAGTCGTGCTCTCTGAATGTAAGGACACATTATGGCTACAGCTAGCAGTATACAATGTGTCTATGTGAAGCGGCTTCCTCTGCTTCCATAGGCACGTGTGTAATCTCGAGCCGTATCCAAGTCATTTGGATGCAGCTCTATAGGCATATGGGATCATTTGCTATTGTGCACTTTTCATGAAATGGACCAAATATGGGCTATTAATCTATAGGGGAATTCCACGGTTACTCACGTTACATTTTCGTAACGTGAGTAACCGATTTTGTGCGTCTTGTTTATCATACATAACACATTTTCTGGATGTCATCTTTGGTGCTTAGGTAGGTCTAGGTCTACTCTATCTACCATGGGGATAACAGTTATGAAACCTTTTCAGTAAGGTAATTACAGCCCAAGGAAACTCAAAAGTACATCAAAAATGTAACGTGAGTAACCGTGGAATTGCCCTATAGCAGACATTGTTCCACGAACTGTTCAATGTTTTGTGTCCATTGGGGCTGGAAATTTTTTTTAAAAACGCTGTTCATTTTCAACCGTCACAGTAGTGCATAGAACTCATAGGCCACAGGGAATGCCCGAGGGCGGGCTCTGTCGAGGGAAAGTAACACATACATAAACGTAACGTACCCGAGTGTATACATGAAGTCAACAGCTGGCTCGCAGCCGTCTAACGGATGTAGTATTTAAGAAAACTGTTTCTCAGCGATGGTTAAGTACTAACCGTCGTTATATAGTACTGATACAAAATTCCTCTTTTCTTTTTAGAATGACAGTAAAGCTGGTTAAACAATTTCACAGGATGTTTCATACTATTATTTATTATATAACCGACATACAGATCCTTGTCATTTGATTGGTGAAACTCACATCACGTGACATTTGTTATTGCTCCCATTCACGCCGCGGCTCAAAAAGTACTATCCGCCCATGGGGAATGGGAAATACTATTCCACAGTTAGGATCATGATGCGGTATTTGTGTGCAAATGCATGCTGGTGTGCACGTTCAGCGCCTGTTGCGCGTAGCGCGTATTGTTCCAAAGAGCCAGTGCTACAGCGTCAGCGGGTTCAAACATTTTCGTGAAGGGTTGGTTTGGAAGAGAGAAATACATTTTCCTCCAGTTTTGTATTGAAAAAAAAGTTCAAATATATCAAATGACAAGGATCTACATGTATATGTCAGTTATATAAAACAAATATTGAGTGGCTTTAAATTGTGAAATGGGAGGAATATTATCGCTCGGTAAACACTAGACTTTTCCAGTTCACTCGGCTTCGCCTCGTGAAATGAAAAAGTCCAGATTTTACCTTGCGATAATATTCCTCCCATTCCACGCTGAGCCACTCAATATTTGTATACTTACAGTCAAGTGGGCCATTTCATAATATTTTGGCAGTTTCGTTTTTTAGTGTTTGCAAACGATCTTATATGCCTAAGATGCTGTACTAGTGAATCAGACGTACCGATACCCTCCTTACGGAGTGCACTTGATGTTGATTATTGTCCCCAACACAGGACCAAAGATTGGGACGACTTCCCCAACGGTCGCTGGGGCGACTCATCTTCCCCGGCCTTCGGCGATCTCAAGGACTACCATCTCTTCTACCTCAAGAGCAAGTCCTCCAAGGAGGAGCTGCAGAAGATGTGGGGGGAGGAGCTGGGATGCGAGGAGGACGTCTTCGAGGTCTTCAAGTGCTATCTGGACGGGGAGCCTAACCGCTACGGTCACAAGGTGAGCATCTTAATGCGCCGAGAGTTGGAGCTCTGTGGTCCAACGGTTATGTTATCCAACACACGTATGTCTTGGACAGAGAGCATGGTGTTTGTGTTCTTGGGCAAGACACTTTACTACAATTGCCTGTCTCGTCCAAGGAGTATAATTGGGTACCTGTAACGTTGTGCTGATCTCGAGGTGATGCGAAAAAAAATATTTAAAGGCCTGGTGATCAGAGGGAATAATTGTGCGTTGAGATGTTTGTATAATACGTCAATTAGCGCCACTTATTCCATCTGAAACAGTCGCCAGTCTACGAACATGGCTTAGCTGTTGCAGTTAAAAAGGTTTTTCTTCTCAGAACAAGGTTGTAACTAGTTTCACCTCAAAGTCCACTTATTGCCAACTAATTCATGCAAACCTTCAGTTCTTGTCTGAAAGATACACTGGTCAGTTTGTGTGAGAGGTGACATTCTAAGTTGGAGATCATTGAAGAAATGACAGTTCTTAGAGTGGTGTGTATATATGGTTGGCCGTCTCGGTATATACTTATTTCAGTGCATTGAAGTTCAAAGTCCAGCCTTTTTTTCATGAATAGGAAGAGAGATGGGTATTAAAGGGAATGTACATCATTGGCTTTGGCTGTAATTTTCAGAAATGAACTATTTTGGGGGTTAGTATAATAGATCAGATATTGTTACACTGACATGTTTGAAGTTTTGTGTTCGAAAATGCTGGAAAAACCAAGAAAAACAAAAGGATTCAAGTAGTCTGGTTCCCTGACTCCACTAAAGATGAAATGGATCAATTTATAGATGCCAAAAAATTGTAAAGTAAGGAGACCAGTCTAGCTGGCCTGCACCTGTTCATGAAAATGTAACCAACAGCAAACAACTTTTGGACTGAAAGAAAATTGGTAAATCTGGAGCAATAGTTGAAAAATAGTTAGGATTTTCCAACGATGGTCGGTCGACCACCGTTGGAAATTTATACAAAAAGACACATTTTCTTGAAAATGACTTCACACCTGGTACCATTATTTTACAGGATGCTTTAGACTGTCATTTACCAACATCCTAGAAAGATATTTCGTAAAAATTTGGTAGTTTTGTTTTTCGATGTTTGCAAATGTTGTACATTCCCTTTAATCACATGTCAGAAATATATGTATAGTGCCAAGCAAGATGTCTTTTTAGTTTTGCTTTGTCAGAAATCTGAATTTCGTCATGATCGGGTTCTGAACTGCAGACTTGATGCAGTCCTTGTCATGCCTGTGTCCTAATGCGTTTAGGTGAAGCGTATGCCTTGGAATGACGATGAGCTGGCCCCGGAGACCTCGCGTCTACGTGACCGGCTGATCAGCATCAACAAGCGAGGTGTTCTGACTATCAACTCCCAGCCTAGCGTCAACGGGGCGCCGTCCTCGGACCCCGTGGTGGGATGGGGTGCGCCAAATGGTTACGTCTACCAAAAGGTACTTATTAACCCTAGCCCCCGGGGTATTTTGACTAAAAACCCTGCCCCGTTGTGCAAAATGCAACACTAGTCTTAGTGAGAAGCCTGTGTTTCGTTTTAGTATCCGCTCCGTTCACAAGTACCACCTCGCCGCCAAGGAAAGCACAGTTGGGGGTGACCGACCGACGCCATCTTGCCTGACAGCAATTTTGCCGCGTAGCGTGGCCGTACCATGTACCACTGCATGTACATAGTACAAATCCCCTGGTGTACGTGCGTCACACACAAGGAACGGTGCGCGTCAACCAGCTAAATGCCCCGCCCATGGGATGTCGTTGCTAGGTAAAAGGGCGCCCTCTTTCGTTGGCGCACGGAGCCCATAAGGGGATTCAACTGGTCCAAAATCTAAAGGCCAAACTGCCGCAGAGTCTGTGGTTGCCAACTGCAACCGATCGCAAAAGAGGGATTGCTCATAGAACTAGCTCCCATTATTTCAGACATTGCTATCCACCAACAAACAAATGTGAGATGTTTGAAAGATTTGTAATAAACTCTTTGCAACAGGCTTACCTCGAGTTTTTCACATCTCGAGAGAACGCAGCAGCTTTGCTGGATGTACTCAGGGACTATCCTGCCGTCACCTACCACGTGGTCAATCACAATGTAAGTGCAGTCTCAATTGAATTTCTCACCCTTGGTGATGACGATCTGAAAGATTATGAAGGCATTGGCTTTAGGACCACTCACTTTCAAAAAGAATTTTAACAGGAATTTTAAAATTAAAGTATTTGATTCTTAGTGCTTAGCCAACTAAAATTCTCATTGGGAAGAAATTTTGTGCGAAGAAATTCACCTGCCAAGTTTGGAATTCCTATGCAAAGTTTACAAAAATATTTCTTTAACCATTTAAACAAATATTCAAGAGTTTTATTAAAATTTAGCATCTCTGAAACAGATAGTTTTGTCTCTGCTCCAGCTTTGTTGATCAAATGATAGCGTACAAGGATAGAGCTGTTTCGTTTGGGATGTTTGAATGTTTGTTTAAAAAAATAAAAATTCTAACCCCTTGTATCAGATTAACCTGATATTTCAGTTTAAAAAAATGTACAATAAAGGCCGGTGTATACTCGACTCAAAAGGAAATGCTAACTCGTGATGTCATAGCACCTTGTCGCACTGCGAATTTGTAAAATTTGACCACGTTTCAACTCTAGGGAATTTCACAGCGAATGTTTCATTATTTTTAATTTGCTTCACTTCCGTGTGAGGTATCCACCGGCCTTATAGCTTAACCAAACCGCCCAAACACTTGCTCTAGGGTAAGGAGGACATTAGCAACGCGGACCGCCAGCGACCCATCGCCGTCACCTGGGGCGTGTTCCCTGGTGCTGAAATCATCCAGCCCACCGTGGTGGATCCGGTCAGCTTCATGGTGTGGAAGGTAGGTCCTTTAGTAACGGAAACCTTCTCCCATGCTAAACATCAACCCAAAACTAGTGCATGCTTTCCTTTCATATATACTTTTGTCCCCTTTGCTGGCATGACCATAAGGCCAAAAAAAAAGTCACCAGTTTCTGGTATGCGCGCGCGTCGCCGTAGCCATGCGCGTCGGCAAAATGAAAAAAAAAAAAATTTCAATAAAAGATGATGGCTCAAAACCGCCAAACTCACTGGTTTGACTGGAATCCTGCTACTGCACAATTTTAACATGTTTTTAGATGGGGTTATGATCGAGAATAAGCTTTATGTGGCCTCTCTGGACTCCCATATATTTGCACTAAGTTTAGTCGGGCACCATTTGCAGTCATCAGCCGACATTTGAAGCAAAAAAAAACAGGTAAAAAAAAAAAAGCTGCGTCGTCGCACCACTTTTTGGGCAAGCTCCATACCAGAAACCGGAGACTTTTTTGGGGGGCCTAATCCTAAAAGTAATAGCTCTTTAACTGAAATTGACCTTAGTCGCTGTTTGCAAGTTGGCCAAGCCCCTTAGACAACCCTAAAGAATTTTTGTAAGCTAACTTTTTTTGTCTCAGATTATGCGCATTCTGCATCCATTTATATCATGAAATTAGACAATATTTTACAAGCTGCGTTGACACAATTCTACAGCGATAGGTCAATGCCTTAGGTGCTTTGTCGAATCAGTTACACTACAATATGCTAGATGGCGAAACAAACGGCTGCAACGACCAATATTCTAAACACAATAAATGGTTCAGTTGGCCTCAGAATTCTGTGCATATCTTTGCTTCATACAGTGCTAGTTCCAAATGGGCTCAATATGAGCCATGCAAGTACAGAACTGGGTCGATCAGATACATGAAAATACTAATGTGAATTTAATAGCCATTTTGAATCAGTTGCATAGAATTTTGAGCGCTCTGACTTAGGCTGGTCCAGGACTAGCATTTCTAGGCGTGCCCTAGTTTTGATTTTACAAAGTGAGGACCTTGGAACAAGCCTTAAAAAAAAAAAATTTAATTGATTTTTTTTGTGTGGGGGGCTGTATTTCTTCTTATTCCTTTTATGCATGTACTCCTTTTTTGTACCGAAGCAACATAGTTGTAGTACATTGTAAATCCTTATTTAAAGCCTTTTTCAGACTGATTTCTTCCAAATAAGTGAAAACAACCATGTTGCTTTGATACTAAAAAAGTCTTAAAATGTCGTCTTAAAAACTTTGGTTATTTCAAACTCATCCCCAGGGTTTTTGTCCTGAGAACTGTGTAATGCATGGCTATTATAGAACACATACTTTTAATGTATTGCTAGCACTGCACTTTACAACCTCCAGCCCAGGGCCCACCCAGCCGAAGAAGGATGATATAATCAGGCTGGCTCTTACCATTCCAGAGGAGGGGGTGAGATTTGGGTGGTTAGTTGGTAAATCACTGCCCACTGGTATATAAACAGCCAAACTTGGCCCTCATGATTTCCTCATGTAGGACTAGAGTAATGTTTAATAGTACTACGTGAATATCCTAATAATCATGTTTACAATACAGGGTGGCCCTCCCCTCCCCCTCCCCTCCCCCTCCCCCTCCCCCCCCCAAAAAAAACCCCCCAGAACGGCATTCTTCAGCTACCTTGAGAAACACAAACAACCTATACCAACGCATGTGGAATTCTGTTAAAAGAAAAATGATACCAAGATCGCCCGATTCGGTCCAGTAGTTTTTACTCTAGAGCCTGTTTTTAAAAGATTCTCCATCCACTGGTACAGGTGGTTGTATCAAGGTAGCAGAAGTATGCCGTGCCAACCTCGTCCCCAGGGTGTTGAGCAGTACGCGCATATCACTACCTGTTCTCTCACCCTGGTATTGGATCATTTGCATATGTGTAAGATTTTTGAACACGTATGCAAATGAGGAATAGTCTGGTGCCTGCATGTGCGTTACATTAGCACTTGTTTTTGTATGCGGTGTCTGGGGTAAAAACAGAGTCAATTCGTCGCAGCGCGAGCATGGCGTGAGTTACGAAAACACGATTTATTTAATAAAACTGTTAACGATCTTATCGAAACAACATGCAGTATCACATTTCATATTAATATGAACAAATTGGAAAGGAAATGAGTATTTTCGAGAAAGCGTTGGACGAATGATCGTGAAAACACGTACTGCACGTTTTGAATAACAACACCAAGTACACGATAAAAATCCATTTCTAGCCAATTGCAGTATCGAATCAGGATGCAGGAATAAAGTTTCCTATCCAGGGCTTACTATTGGAAACGGGGTTGGAAATAAAGTAAGCACTGCGGACGAGGTTGATGCCTTGCCAGTTTTTTAAGGCCACCCTGTATATGGAGGATTTGTTAAAGTTTGACCAAAGTACAAACTTCTGCTGCATGGTTTTGCATGTTATATTATTATACACCATGTCACAACAATACACCACCATGTTTTTTTTTATTCCTTTCTCTCTCTCTCTGTCTTGAGAGAAATATCCCCATCATTTTATCCCTACATTTCTGCCTTTCCCTTTTTTTTTTTCAATTTTGTTTCCCACCTCCCATATGGGCGTTGTGTGCCAACAAAAGAGGGCGCGTTTTTACCACTTTTGAGAGCCTTGTACAAATGTACTTGTTCGTGCGCAAAGTACGCACGACTTCCTGAATGTGCCAAAGCTATTAGCCACAGCGTCTTTGCATGAGCGTCAGGCGTCGCATGCGCACGAAAACCTTTGAATTTAACTTGCAATGGTCTCCAACACTATCCCTGCCACCCTGCCCCCAATATCCTTGGATCATTCGAAATGCGCAATGGACGGATCGGGAACCATTCTAGGTCTCCCTCAACTCTCCTTTTCTAGCTGTTGAAGGAGTTCTTGTGCACGGAGCCCATACGGCATAAAAAAAGTTCACCAATCAAATCTAGTTCTAAGCAATTGGTGTGGTTTCTTGTCCAGATAGCATCGATCACCAACGAAAGAAACAGCACAGTTGTTTGCATTCTTGGCTTTGGGTCAAAACTCTCAAAAGTTGCCGGTACTAGGCCAGATGCTTTTGCAGATTGAACAGAAAGATGATTTCCACTTGTCTGAGTCGGACTTTTAATTACATGTACATGTACATGTACATTGTGATTCCAGTTTGAGAAATATTCAAGAAGTCTTGAGCTGCGGATGAAAGGAACTCAAAACTTCTTCATATTTCCTTGCCTAAAAGACTGTCTCGTTTTAGCTGAATAATTACTTTTTCAGTTGTTCCAGTGTTTTTTTTCTGCCTGATTCTGTCTCTTTTCCTTCGGTAAACACAGTCTACCACCACTCATTCCTTCCTCTAGTTTACTCTTCACAGCTCCAAACCCTTCCCCCCTCCTCCCTCCCACTAACCACTATTCTGTCATCCTACTTGATCCGATCTCATACACCTATGGTAAAAGGGACATTAGCTCAGCTTGGTCAGAGCGTGCGATCCTCTGAGTTCGCACAGGCCGTGGGTTCGAATCCCGCATGCCCCGATGTAGCCATATCTGATGGGATCACCAGTAGCCATTCCTGTGTCTTCTTCATCTCCAATTTCCTGGTTCATATTTGTTTCCACATTTACTAACACCCTTCCCCTCCCCCTTCTCTATGGCAGTCTTGTACGACCGTCTCTTAACCGTTCGGATATCTTAAACCTAATGTGTCAATTCTCCGAATTTTCTCTTTCTCACAAAACACAATTCTGCAAAATATTTTTCAAGAAATTTGTTCCCAAAAGGTCTTCCTTCAAATCGCCTATGTCAGATTCCAGTGTTATAGTTTCTGTAATTGACTGACAGACTTAAAGACTTCATCCTTTCTTGAGAGAGCATTTTCCCAGCCTCCTCTCTCCTCCTTCCACCCAGGACGAAGCCTTCGGGCTCTGGAAGCACCAGTGGGGCCACATCTACCCAGACAACTCCCCCTCTCGCCAGATCATCGACCACATCCACAACACCTTCTACCTGGTCAACCTCCTCAACAACGACTACATTAAGGACGACTTCTTGATCTTTGAGGTCTTGGAGAAGATGCTGGCCCGGCGCGAGCAGCGGAGACGGGAGGAGACAGAGGGGCCGGACTTGGACGAGGAGATCTGCTCCAAGAAGCTCAAGATTGATGCCGAGGCTGCCACGGCTCAAGACGGGATTCCATCCTCAATTGCGATTCCGTAGGGAAGATTCGTATTCAACATTTGACGACTTGACTACATCTTTGCTCTTCAGCTTTGTACAGATAAAACATGCCTGAAATTTGTTACGCTGTTTTCAATGTTTAATGTCAGTCTATGATTGCTTCAAGGCCTAAAATTCCATGCGGCGATAAAAATTCATGGACTTGTGGAGCTAACGCTCGCTCTTGAAGACTGGTTCCCATGCCCTAATGAGTTCTGGAATATTATTAACGGCAGGACCATCTACCAGTCCACATTATAGAACCGACACAAAGAATCAGAGAGAATATTTTGTTTTATTTTTTAGTATTTGTAAGAATTTAAGGCCCACCTCCCCTTCGGCATTTCTTTCCTACGCTTCAAACCACTGAAATTGGTCTTATTTTCAGAAAACATATTTGCCGTACTCTTGCATGTCCTAAAAATCAAATTTGATTCATAGCTGATTCTATGTATTTTCAATGCAGATTGAAGCTACAAAGCCCTACCCACAAATAAAGTTAAGGTGTTCCCCTGTGTTTTTGTTCTTCAAGGTTTCTGTTTGCTCGATACTTTCTTTTTGCTTTAATGATGTTGCTTGTTTGCGCAATAGTTATTGAACTCTGGCAAAGCCCGTTTTTGAACGCATCTTTTTACAAAGTGTGAAGGTGGGAGTATTAATTTAATAAGGCAGTAAATGTGTGTTTGGTCAGTTTTAAAATCACTCTGTTTAAGACCGCCTGGAGTCTGGGTGCTGATAATAACCCAAGCCGAAGCTAAATAATGGCGTGTCCAGCTCGCGAGTAACTACTTTTATGGAGATTGGCGCGTGCGTCGCGCGTACTGCGCGATGTCGCGCAGAATGAACCTGGTGCGTTGCGTTGTGAATTGAAGACTGTAAAATACTGACTCTCTGGTAGTATTGCGCATGCTTACTTGAGGATTGTGAACGTTCAACCAATAAAACGGTAAGAGGCACTTGATTTTTAGGAGTCCACATTTTATGTGACACTGGAAAAGTGTTTAAGACCAGCTAGCCATGTCTTTATCATCCATTTAAGACCGGCCACGTGACGGGCTCTCGACCAATAGGAATGGGTAAACTGGCTTAGGTATTTATGAATATCGGTTTAAAGTATCGTAGCAAAGTAGGTGCACAAATGATTTAGGGCATTAAATGTTTGGACATTAGCATATTAGAGGTCAAGTTTTAAGAGTACGTATCAGATGATGAACTGGTTAAAAAAAAAAACACAAAATGAAAGATGCTCTTTAATGAAATTTCATGTGACACTGGAAAAGTGTTTAAGACCAGCCAGCCATGTCTTTATCATCCACTTAAGACCGGCCACATGACGGGCTCTCGACCAATAGGAATGGGTAAACTGGCTTAGGTATTTATGAATATCAGTTGAAAGTATCATTAGCAAAGTAGGTGCACAAATGACTTAGGGCATTAAATGTTTGGGCATTAACATATTAGAGGTCAAGTTTTGAGAGTACGTATCAGATGATGGACTGGTTAAAAAAAAACACAAAATGAAAGATGCTCTTTAATGAAATGATTATATTTGAACATAATTGCAATTTGTTATGTTAACCTTTAACAAGTGTTACTTGCAGTAACTGCACTAATGAAATATTGGGAACATTTTTTATGAACTTTAGGGGAAAACTAATTTTAGGGGAAATAAATGTTCACTGTAATATAAAGCCTAATGCTCTCCTAATAAAAGTCCGAATTTTTGTCAACAAAAATTGAACTGTTTGTTCTAAAAGGCATATGATCCGGAAAAAAGGTGACATGCGCACAAATTTAATTTGCAGAATCACCATTGCGATATCAAGTCCCTTTCAATACTACATTTTACTTAAAACAAACCAACTTTTCCTGAGAGAAGCATTTGTATTCCATTCTTATAAATGCCTTGAAAATTACACCAATGAATTGTCACAAATTGTATATGTAGAGTTTAACAATTAAAATTTGTATTCATTCCTTTCATACTATCGAAATCTTATTGCAACGACACCAGTGGTGCAATTTCTAATTGCCAGTGCTAGTTAGTTTCATTGTTTTGTTCCATTTCAACATGGTAGTCACTTCATTTAGGCACCAAAGAATTGTACATTATAAAATCTGCTTATTTATTTCCACATGCATGCTGTGACGTCAATAAATAAAACCGTGCCTAGTAAACAATCAATTAGAGTCTGAAGTTACACAGTCATTGCTGTAAATTTCAAAAAGTAACATGCATAGACCTTGAAAGACACAGGTCCAGAATACATCACCAAACCTGAAACAACAGAGTTATACAACCGTATAAAACTTGACTGGATTTTAAAAAAATGAAACCTTCAAGGTTTTTAGTTTTCACTATGCTGACTTAAGAAAACTACTGTTTTTTTAACTAAAAAAACTCAAAGCATATTTGCGCACCATTCAAAAGACATGTTTTGGCTCGAAAACAGTTGACATTTTATATGAATTATTGGTAGCCATTTTTTCTTGAATGTGCATCATGTATTTTATGACTTTGTGTAACATCATTTGTTCATTCATGAACCCTAACTCCCCAGGCATTTTCGCTAGGATGCAAACTCAATCCTGCAAAATCCTCTAATTGCTGCCATGTAAAAAGAACATACAACCTCAATACAGCAAAACCCTCCGTTATTTCTTGAATGTGGTCCTTGGAGGGGCGACCACTGCCTCAATCCTGCAAAATCCACCAGCAATCACTGTCAATATGTGGAGGCAGAGCCAGCGACATCCTGGAGCAGTGCGCAGGATTTCAAGTATAATCTAGGCCTAAATTTATGCACGGCTGAGTATAAACAGAAGGTCTGGACCGAGATCTTGACACACTGAATCCTCCAAAATCAGCCACACATTTCGTTCATATAGCCTCAGTCCTGCAAAATCCTTCATATTGCAAAGATATTTTTGGAGGATTTGGGAACGTTGGAATGCTGCTATAACAAACATCACGGGATCCACAGAAATTGTTTGTAATAGCGATCATGCGGAATAGCGATTTTAAGCCCTGGTACGTCTAGTTACTGAAAGAAGACTCTGAACACGTGCCGACTATTTAGTAATGTAATCACACAGATTTTGAACTTACTGCCACTTTTTGCTCTTCTATTGACATTTTTGAACAGTATCATTCGGTACAATTTGTACACAAAAATCTAGAGCCAAGGACGATGTTCGGTATAGCCGAATTTCGATAAAGCGGTGTTCGGTATTGCGACGTTCACCGTACTGTATACATGCACACTACATTTATGTCAATACTACAAAGTTGGCACATATATTTTACACCCCCCTCCTCCCAAAAATGAAATAGATGGAATTGTTTTTACTACTTTCCCAACTCGCACACTTTTAACAAAACAAATCAAAGCAAATCCTTCCCCGATGCTTCTATTAAAAGCTAAATTACTTCATTTGAATGAATACACTGCTCATCATAAATGTTTATCCTTGTAGTGCTTTATATTTCCTCATATGATGTGCGATCCCGCCGGCTACTTGCTCGTCGGTCTTATTCTGGCCGAAATAATCCACAAACTGACCGTCCGGATTCAGCAGGTACATGATAATGGAGTGGTCAACCTATGAAGAACAGACAAAAATCAAGAGTGACTTTGCTTTGAGCCCATGGAGAAATGTGTGATGCTTTTGAAACCAATGAAGTTACTCAAACAGTTTATACACTGAAGAAAGATCTTGTTAACCCGTTCACGCCGGGATTTTTTTGACAAGAATGGAATGAGGCGCAGGATTACTTTTTACTCGACCTCGAGCCAGGAAGGGTTGAAGCCATCACCCTCGGGCAGCACACTCATTTTTAGCCTCGCTTGCTGTGAGCGGGTCGCTGACAGATATTTTTTTCGGCCTCGCTCCCTGTGTGTTTATCTGTCATCCGTTCCGAATACCGCAAAACTTTTGCATGTATACACAGCCTCCGGCGCGAACTGGTTAAAAAGCTTTCCGGTATTAGCATGCATAGGGTTGACAGAGACAGAACAATTAACGATCCAGATCTGTGTTAACAGCCAGTTGTATCACAAATGGAAGGGGCAATTCAGGAAATTTTTCACAAAGAAAATCAACGGGAAACTCACAATGTAATCGTTATCCTCATCCTTTGGCCCCTGGCTGTGGTAAATGCGGAAATTTCTGGCCACTTCATCCACCTGTTCCTTGGTTCCCGTCAGGCCAATCATGCCTGGATAAAACTCTGCACAGGAAAGGAAAGAAAACAACCGTTTATATTATTAAAAATATTTTTGCCAATTACCGGGAAAAGATCAATTAGCCGGAAAAGTACTACCCACATAAAGCTACAGTCCATCATTTGCTATCGGAAAAGTAACGCATAATTATTGTTGAAAAACATACTTGGTTGAAAGATAGTAAGGGGACTAAACTCCCTGTGAAATTATTCTTTATGGCAAGCTATCATTTTGAAGAAATCAACGAAAGAAGGCCTTTCCAACGGTGCTTCTTAAGACGCACCGTAGGAAATTCAAATTATTCACTAACAGTCAAGTATTAAGGGTATTTAATAATAATTTGGAAGTTTTGTTTTTTAATGTTTGCAAATATTGTATATTACCATCATGACAAAAAACCTTGCTCAAAGTCAAGATATGACTGATACCCTGTGAAATATTCTGCCTGAAATGCTATCATTTGGAAGAAAACAAAATGGTTAAGGCCAAAAAAAAGTCTCCGGTTTCTGGTATGGAGCTTGCCCAAAAAGTGGTGCGGCGACGCGGCTTTTTTTTTTTTTACCTGATTTTTTGCTTCAAATGTCGGCTGATGACTGCAAATGGTGCCCCACTAAACTTAGTGCAAATATATGGGAGTCCAGAGAGGCCACATAAAGCTTATTCTCGACCATAACCCAATCTAAAAACATGTTAAAATTGTGCAGCAGCAGGATTCCAGTCAAACCAGTGAGTTTGGCGGTTTTGAGACATCATCTTTCATTGAAAAAAAAACTTTTTCATTTTGCCGACGTGCATGGCTACGGCGAAGCGCGCGCATACCAGAAACCTTTTTTTTTTAGGCCTAAAGAAAACTTTTTTTTACGTGCATTAGCAACAGAGTCCAGTTATTTAAAAAAAAAAAAGGTGCCCCAACTATAGCTGGGGCGCAACACTTACCTTTAACGTAGGCTGCCATGACTTCAACTGTGTCTCTCTCCGGGTCGATGGAGATAAAAAGGGGGACTACATCTGGTAGGTTGGGACTCTTATCTGGGAGAGAAAAGAATTAACAAGAATTTAGGGCTCTTAAGTTTGACTCAAAAATCGAGCTGTCGAGTCCTAGTTGTGAATCCTGCCACACAGTGTTTTGCATTCTGCAGATGTGCAAGAAACAACATTTTATGAGTAGGCCTACACTGCGTTATGGGCAAATTAGGACCGAGTTATGGGGACTTTCTGCTGTCCCCACAGCATTTTTGGTCGCCACAAATACCTCGTACAGACGAGTGTACGTTCCCACAACTACGGAACAAAAGTGCATGGGCGTGTTCATCTATTCAAACTGTGGAAAATACCAGAGAACAAAAGAGAACAATATTGTCCACGATTCCCAGCATACGTCCGCGATTGGGGTCGCGTACAAAACATGGGAGTCTTCCTAAAAAGGAACAAACAAAAGAGGGACAATAGGACGTCCACAATCGACGGTGTGAACAGGACCTTGTGCACTGGTGCCGTGTGCATTTTGTGACACACGCACCAACACACGCAGTCCCGCACATTGAATGGACAAAATGTTCGCCGCGTCCGATGTACAATGTAAAAAACTGGGGTTTCTTTGTCTTTTCTCAAAGGTTGGTTTCCATTCAACCAGACCTTTGAAATAGGACAAGAAAACAATCCAAAACATAAATATATCGGGAACTGCAGGCCATAATGCCCCTTTAAACTATGGAATCTTGTGCTATTTATGTTAATAAATGCACCACAAAATTGTACTGAACACAGGGAACACATTAGTTTACAAACAGTTTTTCCCAACTTACTTATTTTTTCCACAGCCGAAGTCATCTTTTCCAGCTCGTCGGGGCAGATGTCCGGACAATGCGAGAACCCAAAGTACATGAGCAGCCATTGGCCGAGGTAGTCTTTGTTGGTCTTGGGCTTGCCGTTGTGGTCGACCAATGAGAACGGTCCTCCTATGGCGGCTTTGCCCACGGCCTTGCTTCTCTCCTTTTCAATTTCTGGGAATTCAAACGCGAGTTTTATCTGAAAACGATATCCGAATACAACGAGTATGGAGTGCCTGTTATGTCAAAGAAGGCAAATCTCCCATGTCACATATTCTGTTAACGTTGCCTTTTTAAAACCACATAGCCACGGTTTTTAGGCAAGTCCACAAAGTGTACATGCAAGTATGCTCCATGACTCTCCATATTATTAACAGTAATGTAAATCCTAACAAAGGGTTGATAAATGTGATGCGATCAAGCTAAATGAGTCATTTGTAAACCCTGGTCCATTTTTTTTACAAATTTGAAAAGAGCACAATCTCAGCAGCACTGCTGTGAAAACAGCATGCTGATACCATCTTTAGTTCAAAATTATGGCAGTCGGAACACCAAGAGATGCGACAAGGTGGCCCTCTTTTGGCCTGAATCTCCAAATGAAAGTTCCTGGTCTTTTTTTTTTTTTACAAATTTGAAAAGAGCACAATCTCAGCATTACTGCTGCAAAAACCGCATGCCGATACCATCTTTAGTTCAAAATTATGGCAGTCGGAACACCAAGAGATGCGACAAAGTGGCCCTCTTTTGGCCTGAATCTCCAAATGAAAGTTCCTGACAAACGACTCGTTTTAGCTTGATCACATCACAAATGTCAAGTGTCCAATTTGTTCACGCTCACCATGTTTCTTCTTTCGCTGGGCGATCTTGAAGCCAACAAGCAAGGAACCACCTAGGACAAATGTCACCAGGACTGTCTTCCAGGTAACAGGCTAGAACAATTACCCAAAAAAAAGAATCCAAAAAAAAATATATCTTGTTCAAACATAAACCAACGACAAAAGAAATCTTTAAAAAAATACGAACACAAACTTGATAAAATGTGCTCTAAAGATGGGTTATTTGCTATGCCTCACAAAGCTTTACATGAAAGGTGGCAGGAAAAAAAACACCAAATATGTAATTTCTTTCAAACTAAAATAAGGCCGAGTAAAAAAAAAAAAAAGTTTCTCGTCCGGGTTTTTTGAAAAAAGGGAGAAGCGGGGCTTTTTATTTTTTATTTTTTATTTTTTTCAAGATGACCGCCTTTTCAAAATTTCCTGCAACCGTTGGTGTTCCACTGTTCAAAGACACTTTTAAAGATGAAAGACAAGTTGGACAAGAGAACTGAACATATTTAGTGTCATTTAGAGTTGTATTAGTATTTGTATTTATTTTCCGATGAATTTGTACACTTTTTAGGTGTTTTTCTACTACATTTTTCAAAAATAAAAAATAATTTAAAAAATCCAGGCGGCCTCCAAAAAGGAAGCGGGCGGGGACGAGAAACTTTCTTCTTTTTTTTACTTCGCCTAACAAACAAGATGTTTGTTCTTTTTTTTTTTTTTTATAGAAAAAATAAAATTTTAAACATAAAACTATACTTGGGAGCATCCCAACTGTAGGTGGACCTCAAGTTATAGTAACAAAGTCATTATGATGGCTTTGATACTTATCCCTAACCACCCCAACTCCATCAAAATCCATTCCCCCCATTTTGGTGGATTTTGGGGGACTTGGTCCAGAAGGCCTGGCGTTACTAAAGATTGATGGAGTATGATGGACTTGGGCCTAATGGCCTGAAGCAGTGCTAGGGGTATCCGATTGATTTTGCCTAGCTTCCTGTACTGCTATTGTGATAAAAGCCATGTGTAGCAAGTCCATGAATGTCAACCAGTGCATCAGTGGTGGATTCCATTACGTCATGAACAGTTTAGTATTGGACGCACAGTGATTGATGGATTTTGATGGACTTGGTCCAGTTCCTAGTAATAGACGTTAGGAAGTTAGGGTTAAACAAACATGTAGCTTAAAACGCAGTTGTATGGTTTGGCTGCGAGTGTGTTGATTCTAAATAAATTTCTAATATGATTCTAAATGGTGAAAAGAAATAGGAGAAACATCTGCAAAGTTTGTAGTGACGGCTACATGTAACTCACTGATTTCTTGCTGCTGTCTTTCTTGGCACCCCCTGTCCCTTGTGAAGTGTAGAATCTTTGAGAGAGGGCTGCTCCTGGGAGAGTCCTGGCACTTGAAAGTTGCATCAGCCTCTGAGACTCGCCATTACAGAGGTGATTGCTGTTGCCGATGCAGCTCAAGTGACGACAGAGGTAACACTATTATTATAAAGGGAATGGCAATGAGAGTTTGAATTGCATTATAGAAATTTTAATTTGAAGAAAATGAAAAAACAATTTTGAGTCTTCATAACTGCTGAAACTAGTGCCACTGTGCAATCTGTGGTAATTGGGCTATTAAAGTTTGTTGCCACTTTGCCCTTTGAAATTGATATCTTTCTTTGAATTTGTTGATTGACTTTTTAATTGGGTTTTTCCTTCACCAACCATGCCAACCTATAACAATCAAGCGTATGCTCTGGCAATCTGGTATTTGAACCATGCCCTCCCGCATTTGTATACCAAAAATTCGTATGCAACATTTGTTGACGCTGGGTTGACGACCGTACACGATTGCTGACGCCAGTTGACGCTGGTTGACGCATTTTAGTAGGGCCGCGCCGATGGCCAGATTATGGGAATCTTAATCTTTCCGCCAGACATTGCATTGCCAGACAATTGCCAGACGTCATATGCCGCGCCACTTGCCAGAAAAGAATACGAACCTTTTTACAACATGATGCCGTACTCCTCGAAGTTGCAACGCCGGCGAGACGCAAACAAATTCTTGATGTTGGCAGCATGGTTGCTAAGGTAAATTCATAAAAGTCATAAGATCAAAGCAAACTGAAACGGAATGTTCACTCAATGGCCAATGCGCGCATTTACCGATTTATGTAAGTCGCCATTGTGGACCGCGTAGGTTATTGAAATTTTGGTAGTTTGGGCTCGATTTTATTATCCGATTGTTTTGATAAAACTTTTGCTCTATTCGTCGCTATAATATTTAAATGAATCACTTGGTATTCTACAGATGTAATTAAATAACTTTGTAAGCTTAAAAATGAGAGGACAGTTAAATTAAATAAAAGAATTCTGATTTACTCATTCAAATGATTATTTTGTACTATTTTTTTTTTAGTATCTTAGGGGTTTGATCAGTCTGAAACCTGTTGGTATGAAAGAGAATCATTAGCTGCATCCTGGAGGGAACCAGACTATCTACATGTGTACAACTACAACATGATAAACATGGAGAGGAGACGCGTTGACACTTTTGAGGGCGCATTTCAAGCCCTGAAAAATGAACTTGCAAAGCAAGATCCGATGCTTGTTGGGGTTGTGGTAGCTGTCGTAGTTGTTTTTCTATCTATTGGTAAGAAATTTAGGCCAAAAAGTTAAATGCAAGATGTGTATGCCTTTCCAAATGTCAGTGACCACAATTTTTACAAACCATATGTTCGGGGGCGGGGCTTGCTGGGGGGGAGGGTTGGTGGTCGGGGGGGGGGGGGGGGTGGTGGTTGGGGGTTGTTCGGAGAACAATCCTTATCTTGTTGCATCTGCACAGAATACATACAGGAAAGAATGTAGTATCCAGACGCCACATCAGGTGGTTGTGTTGGAGAGTCAAGAAAATTTTCAAAGTAGGCCCTATTTTATTTATTTCTGACTTAACAAAATTGGAAATGTTTCTCAGTCCCAGATTCATGTCTAATACTAATAGTACTAATGTCTATCAACATTTTTGCAATGAATGACCTTCATTGGGATGATATATGAAGAAAAAAGTGGCGTCAGGTTGCAACATTCGGAAAAAATGCTGCGACCTGTCGCCACTTCAGCGGTTGTGTACAAAGTCTATGAGAGTCAAGAAAATTTTCTCTAAGTATTTCCTAACAAAATTGGAAATGTTTCTCAGTCCCAGATTCATTTCTATCAACATTTTTGCAAAGACTGACCTTTTAGTTTTACTGAGATGATATATAAAGAAAAAAGTGGCGTCAGGTTGCAACATTCTTTCCTACCTAGTAAAGATCAACTCAGGCAAACTCAGTAGTCTCACCATTTTGAATAATCATCATTGATAATATGATGAATTTTAAAATTTGTAAACAATACCTATAGGGCTTACACGTTTAATCAGTAGGCCTATGGCATGATCACCATTTACCCGTAGAGAATTATCAAGAACTGTCCATATTTCACTTTTCCATCTGCAGACTGCAACGATTTCGCCAAAACAGCAAAACTGCACCTGTTTCAGTATGAGACTATCGGCCAATTATCATTCGCAGACCTGTCAATTCGATAGAGAAAAATGTGTTCCTTCAATAGAAATTTCACTCATGCAGTAACAGTCGCGCACTATATCCTAGTTCTTTTTCGTGCGAAATGGTACAGACGGGCGTGTCGAAGGCCTCGTACCATTTTGCATGGGTCCAGATCACCATGTGCTAGTCGACAAGAAGCTGAGGTCCTGCATTTTATAACTATTTTCAGTCATGCTAGAGGGGTATGGCTAGATCGAAGTAAAATATTGTAATCATCATCAACAATAAAATGTGTTCTTAAAAAAAAATTTCTCCTAACTTTTGGGGTGCTGTGGTCCAATGTTATGGTGTTCGACTCATGTGCCTTGGTACATGGGTTTGAATCCTGACCGTGGGAACATGGTGCTTGTGCTCTTGAGCAAGGCACTTTACCATTATTGCTCCGTCCTTCGGATGGGACGTGAAGCCGTAGGTCCCGTGTGTTGTGTAATGCACGTTAAAGAACCCAGTAACACTTGTCGCTAAGAGAAGGGGTTTACCTCGGTGTTTCTGGCAGTGGCAGCAATATGCACCGCAGCACCTTGCAAAAAGGTGCTACATAATGGGTCTCATATGTTCATATACTGCATTTACCTGTCTTTGGTTGCATTCTCCCCCAGCGCTTTGTATCCTCTGGCAAAAGGCGCTATAGGCCTATAAATACAGTTATTATTATTATTATTATTATTATTATCATTTCACAGTCCTGTTTCTCCTTGCAAGACGGAAAAACAACAAACGTTCTGTGCTCCTTGTGGGAGTCTGCGATGCTGGCAAGACACTGCTCTTTAGCAGAGTGAGTTACTTTGACTTAGAACAGTCTCTTACCTCGCTTCCCCCTCCCCTCCTCCTAGGAAATGTTTGCATTTGTGAATGGCATGCCTACATGTAAAAGTACATTTTTCCCCTCATTTTTCACAATATATTTGCCATCAGTGCTAATATTAAAGGGAAGATACATCATTTGCAAACATCAAAAAACGAAATGATCAAATTATCACAAAATACCTTACTGAATTGTAATAAATTAGTTGACAGTCTAAAGCATCCTGTAAAATGGTGGCTACTGGTGTACTGACATTTTAAAGAAAAACTGTATTTTTCCAGCACTGGTCGGCCGACCAGCGTTGGAGAAAACTGGCTTTTTTTTCAAAAAGTTTTCCTGATTTTTCATATTAAGTTATTCTGACATTTCTTTGCAATTGATTACACACCTGTGAAGGGGTACAAGCCTGCTAGACTGATTCTCTGACCTTCAATTCCCCAAAGTGTATTAACCCTTACCCTACTTGACCCTCCAACGCATGCCAATATGTGCCTCAAGAAAATCTCCTATGTTTTTTGCATGGCCCTCCAATATCTGCCATGTCATTTCAAGGGTAACTGGACAGGCACTCCAATACATGCCACAGAGAACAATGAGAGTCCTCTGATAACAAAGTGAGTGCCCCCAGCTGGTCAGTATCAGGCACCCTCCAGGGCCTCCAACTCCTGCCAATTGGAGCCTTCACTGTTAAGACTTGTTATCTGCCAATAAACTGCAGCTGGAGGGCATTGGCATAACCAACTGACATGCAGTAAACTACCCTCAGAGAGTAAGGGTTAATTGCTCCGTTTCATCTAAGTGGGGTCAGGGAGCCAGACTACAAGAACATGACAGGTTTTCTTGTTTTTTCCAGCATCTACAAACCCAAAACGTGAAACAAGTCAGTTTAACAATATTTTATATAACATACTAATCTTCCAAATCCATTTATTGCTTAAAATTGCAGCAAAAGCAAATGTTGTACATTCCCTTTAAAGGGAAAATACATTTGCAAACATCAAAAAATAAAACTACCAAATCATTTTGAAATACCTTGCTGGACTGTTAGTGAATGACAGTGTAAAGCATCCTGTAAAATCATGGCACCTGGTATACTGTCATTTTCAAGAAAAGTGGTATTTTTGTATCAATTTCCAACGCTGGTTGGCCGACCAGCGTTGGAAAAAAACTGGCTTTTTTTCAAATACTGGCCCCAATTGACCATCGCACTTGTTTGCAATTGATTACACACCTATGAACGGGTACAAGCCAGCTAGACTGGTTCCCTGACCTTACAATTCCCCAATGTATGTAAACTGCTCTGTTTCTTCTTATATGGAGTCAGGGAACCAGACTACAGGAAAATGATTGTTTTTCTTGGTTTTTATAGCATTTTCGAACCCAAAACCTCAAAAAAGTCAGTGTAACTATATTTGCTATATATTTCCAACCCCCCAATTCCATCCATTTCTGAAAATTACAGCAAAAGCAAATGATGTATATTTTCTTTAAGGCTGCCTGTAAGGCTTAGAAAAAAAAGCTGTCCTGCCTTTTTGAAAAACTGAAAAAAGGTGGGCACTTTTTTTTTCCAAGATGGCGGATTTTCCAAGATGGCAAATGGATTCTTCAACTTTCTGAAATATTTTGCTGATGCAAAATAGTGTCCAACGGAGCCATGACCCTTTCTACATTGTACATAGCTACAATTTTGTTGGAAACAAATAAAAAGACAATATATTGACAATAGTTGTGCAGAATGCAAAATATATTGCAGATATATGTAAGAATTTGGGGAAAAAAAAAAAAATAAAAAGGAGGCAGTCGGGGAAAAAAAGGAAGCAGACGGGGACGAGAACTGCTTTATTTTTTTACATGGCCTAATAAACATTAGCCCTTAAGCCCAAGAACCCTTTAAATGAATTCACCCAATTTGAAAATGATACATAAAATTCCAACAATTCCTAAATCTATCAAACTTTTTGAAGAGTGCTTTTTCCAGCAGGATCCAACAACAATCCCAATGCTTTGATGAACACTGCTTCTGAAGTTGAAATTTTAAGCTAAAAATTATGTACATGTACAAAGTTGTCCCAAACATTTTTTCCCCCAATTTGTTTTGCAGCTTGTTCATAACAAGTACATCAACAGCTACACCTCCATCAAGGAGAATTCCGGCGTCTACCAACTGACCGGGAGGAAGACAGGAACTCTGGATGTCGTGGACCTTCCCGGGAATGAGCGACAACGCATGACATTCTGGGATCGCTTTAAAAATCAGGCGAGGTACAGATGTGCAGGAATGAGACTTCCTGTTGCTAACCAGGGTGACCATAAGGTCATGACTAAATTCTGCTAAATGCATTGCAATAATCTGTCAGATTTATCAAAAGTCTGTCAAATTTCTCAGAATTACTCGCAATACACTATGAACGCTTTAAATCACATGCAGATGTTGTAATGTTGCCTTAAATAATGTTCAAATACATTATAAACAATTTATAGCCACATAAAGATAATATGAAATTGCGTAAACTTCTGGCAAAATGCGGTTGCGTCACAACGAAATCTGGTTCCCAGTGAACCTCAGCACCTTCACCAGGCAACCTGTCTATTTTGCAAGTATTTGTTTTAAAAGATTTAAGCTTTTGTAATCAAATTCACCATTTTTTTTCAAATTTGCTGTTTTTCTGTCAAATAACTATTTTTTTGCAGAATTCTGCCAGAAATCTGCCAAAAAAATCCATTCTGTCAAGTTTTCTGTCAAACTCGTTTTTAACAAAAAATCTGTCAAAGTTAGCTAAAACGGTCACTATGTTGCTAACGGAACCTTACAATAGAGGGCGCTGTTTAAACACTTTTTTTTTGTTATATAAATGTATTGCCACTGCAGAAGTAATATTGTACACTCTCATGTTTTGTTTTCTTGCAGAGATGAAACTATTCTGATTTTTAACCCTAAGCCCCCTAGGCCATTTTGGCTAGGAATCATCCTCAATCCTGCAAAATCCTCCAATTGCCACCACGTAAACATTTGATTCAGCCTCACTCCTCCAAAACTCATCCGTTATTTCTTGAATTTGTTCAGTGAAGGGGTGACCATTGTCTCAATCCTTCATAATCCTCAAACTATCACTGTTAATGGGTCGAGGCAGTGCCGATGACATTCAGAAGCAGTGCAGATGATATCGAGCTTAATGCAGGGCTCAATAATGCATGGCTGAGCATAAACAATGCAGGGTACCGCCTACGAACTGGACACAATGCATCCTCCAAAATCAACCAACGCTTTTTGCCGTGCAGCCTCAATCCTCCAAAATCCTCCATGTTGATTTTGGAGGGTTGAGGAGGGCTAGCGTTTCATTGGAATTCCAAATTTCCTTTCCAAAGCCTGATTTTTGTTTGTAAGTGATTTTTTTTCCCCTCAAAATTTCCCCCTCTTCTACCAGTCGTCAGTACACAGTTTAGAAACACATAAGCATGCTCTGACTGGAGTATTTTGAAGCATTAGCCTGCGACATATATGTGAAATTACGTAGCTTCCAGCTTTTTACACGTGGATATCCACTGTGGTAAAATCCACATATTGCATTATTATCGGTGGTTTCAGATTTTTGAAAATGTAGATACATGTAACATTGGTCCAGCCCTGCAGCATCGTTGATAATCGATTCCATATCTTGTGCACTGGCAATTCATTTGTTCAGTCCCTCTGATTTGAAAATCACAGGTGTGTGGAAAAAGACACACCTGGATTTTTACAGGCGTGTGATTTGTCTAGGCGTGTGATTCTGTGGTCCAAGCTGGGACTGAACAATCTGGTATTTTTTTTTCATAATATTCATCTTGGTTTACAATAAAGCCATATTCTCTTCACCGACGTACTTTATTTTTCAAAAATTATGAAGTATAATTATGCCATAAATCTATGCCGAGGTGTGCGGTACAGAGGGATTCAGGCGTGCAGTTATTCGCACTTCTCAGGAAGCTTTTAGGCGTGTGATGGCGTGGGGGTGCGATTGCACGCCTCAAATCAGAAGGACTGTCCAGCCCTGCAGCATCGTTGATAACCGATTCCATATCTTGTGCACTGGCATTTCATTTATAGTTATTTTTTCCTCCCAAAACTCCAGAGGACTGGTTTTCGTAGTGGACAGTGCCGCCTTCCAGAATGAACTGAGGGAAGTGGCGGAGTTTCTCTACACACTGCTGAGCGACTGTGCGTCCAGCCATGCCAAACTTGCCGTGCTGATTGCCTGCAACAAACAAGACGTTGCCATGGCCAAATCCAGCAAGATCATCCAGGAGAAATTGGAGAAGGAAATGTAAGTGTAATATGTTAGCCCTAACCATCCCAAATCCTCCAAAATTCTCTTTGCCAAAGTGGGGGAATTTGCAGGATTGAGGTTACATGGCAAAAGTGCGTTGCTGATTTCGGAAGGACGCACTGCGTCAAGGTCTTGGGCCGGACCTTGTGTTGTTTATGTTCAGCCTAGCATAATTCAGTCCTTGATTAAACTTGAAATCCTCTGCACTGCTCCAGGATGTCACTGCCTCTGCCTCAGCCTATTGACAGTCATAGCCGGAGGATTTTGCAGGATTCAGGCAGTGGTCACCTCTCCACAGACCATATTCAGGAAATAATGGAGGAATTTGCAGGATTGAGGCTATATGCTATTTTTTCATGAGGCGAATTGGAGGATTTTGCAGGATTGAGGCTACATCTTAGCAAAAAGGCCTAGGGAGTTAGGGTTAGAGTAAAATCTGTTCCAAGTCAATATGGTGTATCAGGCCTCTTCTTATCTTTGATTTCTGCTGTTATGAAACAAATAAGAATTATATTCGGGGCAGAACCATATCATACTCGGATCCTACACAAAAGGATTAACGACTCAGCCAAAGTCCTGGTTAGATGCATGATAACGGCCATACAGGTGCGAAATACTACGATTCTCATCAACAAAGACCCCTGCTCACTGCGGCTTTCAGATTTGCAGGGCTGTGCACCCGATCTGGTGTCGAAGTCTGTCAAGCCAGCTAATTATATTTTTGAATATTCACAAGTCTACGTTTTTGTCCTTATTATTGAATTCTGATAAGTGATAACTACATAATCATGTTAACGCCGAGCACAATATCTTTAGGTGTAAAATGAACTATGAAATGTCGCTTTTGTTTCATCGGTTCGGGACAACATCTCTCAAAAACTTGTTCATGAAAGCCTAATTAAACACGAAATTTGGGCAAACGGTGTTTTCCTCGAAATTTGACGTTTATTTCCAGGGTAAATACTTCATTTATGACGACAAAAAGTGACAATGCCATCCGTTACATTCTGAAGTATTTATTTTTTAACCATTTTGGAACAATTCTGTCTAACATAAGGAGTGGTTTTGCTTACAGTTTTGTGAATATTTTTAAGTAATTTTGTTAAATGTCCATTCCTCATTCCCTTCTACCAGCAACACCCTACGTGTGACGCGATCCGCATCCCTTGGTTCCACGGACGGATCCGTTGGCTCGGAAGCTTTCCTGGGATCCCAAAGCAAGGACTTCCGGTTTTCCCAGTTGTCCCCAATGAGCGTGGAGTTTGCGGAGTGCAGCGCCAAGGGCGGAAACGAGGAGGACGCCCAGGCAGACCTCAATGTTGTGGAGGAGTGGATACAGAGTATTGCGTGAGTGGATCCACACGTGTGCCAAAGTCCACAGGTATTGGGAGTGGAGGAGTGGCTATATAGACGTGCATGAGTGGATCCACACATGTTTCGCACTTGATCAATATGGAAATGGAGGAGTGGATACAGAGCATTGCATGAGTGGATCCACACGTGTGCCAAAGTCCACAGGTATTGGGAGTGGAGGAGTGGCTATAGAGACGTGCATGAGTGGATCCACACTTGTTTCGCACTTAATCAATATGGAAATGGAGGAGTGGATACAGAGCATTGCATGAGTGGATCCGCACATGTGCCAAAGTCAACAGGTATATGGGGAGTGGAGGAGTGGATATACATATAGAGAAGTGCATGAGTGGATCCACACATGTTGTGCTAAATCAACAGGGGTATATGGAAAAAGAGGATCGGATGCAGCTTATTGCATGAGTGGATCCACACGTGCAAAAATCAACAGGTGTATGGGCAATGGAGGAATAGATGACAAGTATTGCAATAGTGGATCCACACATGCCGGTTCCAGATCAACAGGTATAATAGGTCTCGTTCAAATGACGTCATTTCCTGCAGACCATCCACGTGCATCGGCATTTTGAGCGCCAACTTGCATAATGCGCAATGGCTGCGTCGTATTTCGAACACATTTCGGGCAACAAGCTCGCGTGTTTGGAACATTTTCAACACTGTGCAATGCGTGCTTGATTGCGTATAATATGCAGTTGCAGTTCTCCTACAGAGATGGCCGTCATTGAATGAGCCCTATAGGTCATTCTATAAATTTGCCGTTCACTTTTTTTCATCTGACATCTATGAATTTGTTTTGGACAAAAATAATTTCGTTTCAGCACGGGGACGAAATTTGTGGCATCAAAAAAGGGATTTTTAATTTTAGCTAGCTTAAAATGCTTGCGATGTTTGTTATTAAATTGTCAATATACACATATGGATAGTATACAATCCCATAGTATAATACAGAATTAAAACTTGACAGGGAAAACGCAGACAAATGTGTGGGCTAACTCGTATATTTGTCCTGCAAGTCCATCACAAGTCCTCCAGTCCCAATTCAACGTACAACGTATTCAAATGAGCTTTGACAAAGGCATATCTTTGTTAATATTGTTCATCCGCTGTTACTTGTGACTGGACTTGCGAATTGATTTGTGACTGGACTTGTGATGGACTCGACGACAACACTGCCCATGGCTTGACTGCATCTGCCTCAATTTCTGCTAAATCCTCCACAATCTCTCCAGGTCGGATGTTGACAGATCCTGGCTACAGAGCGTAGTTAAACCCTAACCTTCCCAAATCCTCCCAAATCCTCTTTGAAAAATGGAGGATTTTGCAGGATTGAGGCTATATGTGACCTGTTCTGTCAAAAGCAGACGCTTCTGGGCAGAGGTTGAAATTGAGATAGAGCCAAAAAACGCTGTGGGGGTGATTTTTATCGATTTTCAAATTTTTGCATATTTGTAATCCTGAACATGTCTAAACTATATTATAAAAGTTTGAAACCCTAATTTGAACTCTACATATACTATTTTTGATGATTTTGATAAGGTATATCAGTTAAAGAAATAACTGTTTTGTGACGTTCGTGGCCATTTTTCTCTGTTTTCTACTTTTCGACACAATGAACTTCAAAATAGCATAACTCTGCCCAGGAATGACCGGTTTCAAAAATTAAACGTCCTATTAAAAGGAAAAAGAACATATGTTAACAATATGTAAAAATATCATTTTCGACCTTATGCCCAGAAAAGTCTGATTTTGACAGAACAGGTCACATATGGCAAAATGTGTGGTCGACTTATGGAAGATCCACTGTGTCAAGGTCTTGGGCAAGACCTTGTGTTGTTTATGCTCGGCCGTGCGTAATTTTAGGCCTAGATTATGCTTCACACTGCTCCGGGATGTCACTGGCTCTGCCTCAAAATATGGACAGTGATTGCTGGAGGATTTGGCAGTATTGAGGCAGTGGTCATCCCTCCAAGGACCACATGCAAGATATAACAGAGGATTTTGCAGGATTGAGGCTGTATGCTATTTTGACATGGAATCAGTTGGAGGATTTGGCAGGATTGAGGTTGCATCTTAGTAGCAAAAATGCCCGGGGAGTTAGGGTGAAGGTCAGATAATTAGGATCCACTGCAAACTTTGCACAGTTGCAAATTGGCCATACTGTGGAAGACCCAATCGCATCCTTTGTCGGAAGCGATGGCAGGCCAGACGGGCGTAAACCACAGAGAACTGTCTTTCTTGTCGAGGAAAGGCGCCTTTCCACGTTTCCCCATCAGGATGTTTCCCTGTACGTAGGCCAGCCAGTAGTGGTGGTACTGTGTGTCACTGAGCGGAGGGGTGAGATGACAGTAATGCAAGGTTGACAAGCTTGATCCCGTCATCTTTCTGAAAAAGAACAGGGGCATGGTGCCCGGTCCAAGCGCTGAAACAAAAAAATAAACGGAAGTTAAAATTTAACGAGTTGTTTCGTATTTTTCCTGCATTCTTCTCAATGCAGCTAAGTTTGTAGCTTAGGGAATGCTTTAGAGCTTGATGACATTTCACTTACAAAGTGGTTAAAAGCTCTGTGGTAAAAGCTCTGTGATTCTGGCTACCTACTTATTGTGTAGTAGTTCCCAAATACTTGTCTGTAGTCTGGCCCAATGGCAATATATCCACTCCCTGCGCAGCGTACAGAGAAGAACATCAGGAAGACCTCGTGGTCAGGGATGAACTGAGGAAAGACGAACTTGTATTTGAAACGGCTGCCTGGCGTCTGGAACTCGTAAGGGGATGGGTTACCTGGGTGGGGCAAGTTGGTGATGCAGACAGGGGTATGTTAGTGGTGCGCCTCGGTTTCTGCTAGAGGAATTCAATTGTCAGGTTGGCGTAGCAGTACTTTCCTCGCCTTCAACCGCTGTGACCCGGGTTCACATCCCGCCCGGGCCAACACGTGGATTGGGTTTTCAGTCCCTACCTGATTCCGTGGGTTTTCCTCAGAATATTCCTCTGGGCTTTTCCTCCCGCCTCTAAAACTGTCGTTTCGTCTCATTGCCTTCTCTCCACAGGCTTCTTCAGGTTTGCGAGCTACAGTGCCTAGGCGCTTCCGAGGAGTCGTTGGTTTCATTACCAGAATAATTAATGATAGGCCCCATATATTAATATACATGTATACAACAATGAAAAAATAAAAAGGTACTTACATGCTACATTTTTACTAGTTGATTGGTGCTGGGTGCTTCGAGGCTGGTGATAATAAAGCAAAGGTAATATCAGTGAATGATTGATGAACATTGGAATTCCATAGACCTCTGAGGCGTACTAAAGAATATTGATCAATACGTAATTTGTGGGTAGTTTTAGGTTCGCCCACAGGAGAGCACACTGGAAGGAAGGATCCCAAAGATAACATAATTGTATTAAATTGAGTTAAAATTCTTAAAAGAAAAAACACAGTATCTTCCATTGTATCATAGTTCTTAGCTTTTACATTAGGCCCAAAAAAAAAAGTCTCCGGTTTCTGGTATGCGCGCGCGTCGCCGCAGCCATGCGCGTCGGCAAAATGAAAAAGTTTTTTTTTTCAATACAAGATGATGTCTCAAAACCGCCAAACTCACTGGTTTGACTGGAATCCTGCTGCTACACAATTTGAACGTGTTTTTAGATGGGGTTATGATCGAGAATAAGCTTTATGTGGCCTCTCTGGACTCCCATACACTGTAAACAAAACCCGTAAAAACACTGTCCATTTCCCGTATTTTTTACGGTTTATAACCGTTATTGCTCGAACCGTCACAAGAAGGAATGTGCTACGTGAATTTCCCGTAAAACTTGGTGACCTGACGCAGGCTGGGATTCACAATGCTTTGTATTCGTAACTTTTCAAAACCCCTCCCCTTTCAAACCCTCACAACCGCCTAGTTTTTAAAGCTGTGATTCGTGTGTACTCATGCAACGTTCGATACGTGCTGATCATTGGGAGCCGTAATGCTCTAATATTGCGGAATTTAGAGAGCTAAGCAGCCAATCCTGCGGTGTTGACCAGCAGTAGGTTGAACTTTCTGTGGGATCGGTAAAAAGTTGTAAATGAAAATTACAACTTACAGATGCAAGTTATGTTACAACTTGAAGATAATTTCACCTTAAGTGATTTGAAAACCACTATGCGTGTAAAAGACAAGCTGTAAAACGTATGCATACCCCACTCCCAGCCGCAGTAACTGGAACCTACCCCCCTCCCTATACCCCTACACTCAGCTCTGACGCCACGCACTTTGTATTCCATTACTTTACGGCAAATTGCCGTTAAATTTATGGGAAATTCGCGTTAAAATTACGGTCACCGTCAGTTTTGGAAACCCGTAACTGACCGTAATTTTACGGTCTTGGGTTGGCAACCCGTTTGACAGTGCTTTTACCGTAAAATTACGGGCAAATATAAGTGTATATTTGCACTAAGTTTAGTCGGGCACCATTTGCAGTCATCAGCCGACATTTGAAGCCAAAAAAAAATGGTAAAAAAAAAAAAAGCCGCGTCGCCGCACCACTTTTGGGGCAAGCTCCATACCAGAAACCGGAGACTTTTTTTTGGCCTTAGGCCTATGTTTTCGATTTTTTTGCAATGATTTTGAATTTTTTAAGAAGGGATTGAGGCTGAATCGTGATTTAAATCAATGATTTAGGTCTTAAATCAAATAATTAATCCTGGAACTTGAGTGGTGGCTATTTATCAAAGGTGGGTGTACTACCTAGGATGCACTGAACTTATTAAAGCCCCATTGAAAATAGTGTAAAATCAACCAAGTTCAGGGCCAAATAACATGCAAGCCAACATCACCGGGGTTTCTCATAGTCATACAAAATATTAATTATTGTCGTCATTCATCTGTTCATTTCTTTTCAATTTTGGGTAGAGTAGCCAATCACATTTTTAAATATTCACACCAAAACAAAATCATCTCCCGAAAAGTGATAGGCCTAGTTCCCAAGCCTGCATGTAGCCAATTTATTACGAGTGGCATCCTTTCACGTTCTTAGGCAAATAGGACCCATTTTTCATCCGTAATTTCATCAAGCCTGCACTCAGATGGAAGTCCAAAAACCAGGGAGTTGATCCTTGGCTGTATTTACACAATTCCACCGTTTTTAATGCCAAGGGGTCTCCGTTTTCAAAAGAAGTTGTGTTGGGGAGGGGGCGGGGGCGTTGGGGGGGGGGGGGGTTGTGCAAATGAGCTTGGGTAGAAATTCTCACTTGAATTTAGTGCACTGCATCCTATACCTACTTCCCGCGTCATCTTGTAGTGTGTGCAGTTCTCCGATTCAACCACGTCTCCGGGGTATTGCAGCGCCGTGGCGTTGTGCAGATGGCACTGCTCCTCGGCCGAGCAGAAGCTGTACGACTGGCAGTCTGCGTATTGGGTGCACATTCCCGCACAGGCGAGCGGCGACCACTCGCTGTGGGTACGGAGCGTGTGGCCCTGCAGCAACTGCCCGTATCTCGGACACGTTGTGGACAGGTCGTCGCAACGGACGACATCACACAGTAAGACGAGTAACAACGGACCAATGACGGACCTCCGTACCGCAAGAGCGCGAGTGGAGCAGGCCACTTTTATTCCAAACAAGAACATCCAGTTCGAGAGTGAATTATTGAACTACTTTGAACCAAAAGATAAGAAAATTATCTCTAGTTGTTTTTCACTTTCTCCAGTGAAATAGCTGTGGCTATTTTAATGGTTTGGGAAACGCGCCAATGGCGTCATCGAACAATGCGTCGAAACTGCTCACGCGCGCGCCACTTCCATGTACGCATTTTTATGCAAAATTTGCGTTCAGTGTCTGCATCTGTTGACATGTCGCGTTGACGTCATAGACGACGTCTACATGTATTATGTAGCGTAAATTATGACACAAAAAATGCGATAAAAAAGCTTGAAGGCGGACCAGCAGCAAAAGAAGTCCACTGTCAATGAGTTACACACTTCAAGTATAGAAAAGTGAAAATCTGCTTTTCTGTTAACAAAATAGAAAGTATAAGTTTGACGTTTATAAAAAAAAAAAAATCTACTGTCAGAAAAGCAGATCGCACATTTTTCTAAAATGTACTTTTTTTCTTTTCTGCTATTCCAGAAAGCAGATTTCTCTTGTTGAACACATACATGTACTGTACACCGGTAGTCTATTCGCCGTGGTCTATTACAATGAGTGCGTTCGATTACTTCCCCGCGAGATTACTTCCTACGCGAGATTTTACGAGACTGCATTCGAGATGAAGGCGGACTCTCCAAAAAGAAAGCTGGCGGGGACGCTTTATATAAACATGATTTTTATTGGTCTAATGCTAACGTTCTACCTTCGTACGTACACGTAACCATAGGCCTAAACAAATGTGAAAAGCATGCGCGAACGTGCAATGGATTATGTGTCAAGGTCATACCGTTTGGCTTGTTCGGAAAAATGACGACCATCTTTTCGCGTTGTAACAAAAAAAATCAGGTGTACATGGCTTTTTAAAGATATTTACAACATGACGTTCATGACATTTATTGTAGAGAAAGGTTCATTCTTTCCTATTACCTCAAAATTTGGGAGACTTTAATTCGTCGTTGTCGACAAAAAAAGGAAATTTCATCACGTTTTTTGGGGGGTTGATTTGTCTGGGGAAACAGTATACAGCAAGCTATTATTATCGATGTCCTTGGCTAAAGGTCCAAGTTCACTGCTTCTCGAACAATCATTGCACAATTTATGACAACGAACAGTCTGGTTAAGCTGGCTCAATGTTCTCAGTACGTGTTATCTACACGTGCACATTTTTGCACTAAGCCCACAGCTATGGAACGCCAAAGAGGCATTTAATGTGATCATCGAATCGGTGATGGACTTTTGCAATCGGTGATGCATATTCACGATCGGTGATGGACTTTCGCGATCGGTGATGGACTTTCGCGATCGGTGATGGACTTTTACTGGTGATGTATATTCACGATCGGTGATGGACTTTCGCGATCGGTGATGGACTTTCACTGGTGATGCATATTCACGATCGGTGATGGACTTTCGCAATCGGTGATGGACTTTTACTGGTGATGCATATTCACGATCGGTGATGGACTTTCGCGATCGGTGATGGACTTTCGCGATCGGTGATGCATATTCACGATCGGTGATGGACTTACGCGATCGGTGATGGACTTTTACTGGTGATGCATATTCACGATCGGCGATGGATTTTCGCAATCGGTGATGGATTTTTACTGGTGATGCATATTAACGATCGGTGATGGACTTTCGCGACCGGTGATCAACTTTGCAATCGGTGATGGACTTTTGCAATCGGTGATGGACTTTTGCGACCGATGATCAACGACCCATCACCGATTGCAAAAACCATCATCGATCGCCAAAGTGCATCAGTTATTGAACGTGCATGCCGCTGTGGCTTAGGGTTTCTCGTGTTGCCCCTGACGGTGATATTTGTTTACGGTGTTTTTGTGTTTGAAAGTGTCTTTCTCATATGTGAACTGCATTTTTTTTTAAATTAATGTGCGTAAAATGTTTGTTGTTAGTGTATGCCGCTGTGGCTTTGGGCTTTGGTGCTGCCCATATATTGCAACCGGTAAATGCCCAATCGATGGTATCCGGAATAAAAACACTCCTCTGTGAATGTGGCATAAACACAATGATTTGTTTTTATCCAATAAATGGTAAAAAGTTTTTTGCACCTGATGATTGATGGGTGGGCCATCGGAGACAGCATATGGCGGGGTTATTGGGGGGCCTGACCAGGCATCCAGGGGGCACAGGAATGTAATCACATCATCATCATCATCATCATAAATCCATCTAATAGCCAATGTTGGTGGCACACTTAAGCGAGCACATGATGGACAGTACACAGAGGAACTTTCCTTGCAAATGTTTTTCCACCACCACCCCTTACATCCGCCATTTATAGTGCTCCAAGGTTTCAAGAGACTATATCCATTACAAGGATTAAAATGTTCGCAATTTTTAGGATACAGACAGCCTGCTCCTCATATTTATGGGGCAAATGAAACCATTCAATCCCTTGTTTTTCTATTTTGTTAGGCTAATTTGATACTTGCCGTAGCGCTCTCAAGTGTCACGAGGCTATGATGTGGGAAGTTATTTTTTTGTAATTCAAGTATAATTTTCATTTGTTGTTATTATTGCCACATATCTCATGTTCATGTATTTCATTTATTGTCAAGCATATTGTGTATGTCGTGGCTTTGAGTCTCCGCTGTTGCCCACTACGGTTTGGTGTTGCCGTTATTAATATAACCATAACAATTGATAAGTCGACCGGTTTTCCCTATCATTGGTAAAGTAGCTATAAAACACAACGATTTGTGCGTCGCCAGATTTTTTTTGCTGAGGGGCAAAACATTTTTCTCCCCGAAATACCTGGATTTTTCCAGCATATTCACGATTTATCATTTTTCGAGGGTGGGCATTTTTCAAACAATATTACTTCGCGCCCCCTTTTTTTTTGGGGGGGGGGGGGCTTTTCCGGGGGGGGGGGAAAGCGCCCCGTGCTCCCCCCCCCCCCCCCTTGTAACGCCCATGGCCAATGATGGTCTTTCACGATCGGTGATCAACCTTGCATGGACTTTTGCTATCGGTGCAGAGGTTTTTTTTTAAATATTATCAAAGTAAGTGGGTGAAAATATCCCAGCCAACCCCCCCCCCCAAAAAAAACCCACTTTCTTCAACTTACATATGCTGTGATTTCTGGGCGACGGAGGCTGCCGGCGTCATGGGCAGACTAAGCTTTGTTTAGGTTGTCGGTACATAGGTAACTGTTGCGGTTGTACTCCTATTGGAAAATTTTAGTGTGTTTTTATTTATACATTATTCAATATTTTCCTTTGATAACTCCGATGTTTAAGTACCCAAAATGATTTTAAAAAGACTGTGCACACCGGTGAATAATTTATTATTCATTAGTTAAAGAATAATGTAACCAATTGGGTTAAATAGCGAATGTCTGTTCTGTTTGTGCACTATACAATTGACAAGGCCACTTCAGACAAGCTCGAAAAGCTCTCGGAAGTTGCGGCTCGATTGTAGGCCGTTGTAGCCTATACATCATGTACATGATGTAAAGTTATGTTCTTAAAATTGAAAAGGATTCCATTATTTTGCTGAACGTCAGTTGGTGCATGGAACGCGTTTGCATGTGGAACACCCAATTTGTGAGCCCCCATGTGAAAATGATTGACCTCGATCGTGCCCCAATTCCACGACTGCAAAAAAAAATGGTAATTGGTAAGTTGAGACCTGAAACACGTGTTGTTGCGAGGGCTAAAGGGACAAGGTGATTGATTGCCAAAGAAGACATGGCTGGCACAAACCATAGAGCTAGCTCTATTTCTTAGCAGATTGAGTACCATGCTGCATTACAAAAATGTACACATCGAATCATTGCTCTTTGGAAAAACAATGATAATATTTTCTAATCTTAAAAATGATTAATCTAAATTTAACTCTTATCAAACACACACACCGTGGTTCGAAAATTACATCGGTTACGTGGAAGTAAAATTTATCAGATTTTCGCGAAAGGTATTAAAAAAACAGAAGAGCAAAATAAAGGCTCTGCGCATTTGCAATTAAGTTTAACTTGCTCCAGAGCAAGGAACATAGATAAGTATAATACGTGCAAATGATTACGACGCAACACACAGATGCGACGGTCGCGAAAGTCCATCACCGTTTCGGTGATCACATTAAATGCCTCTTTGGCGTTCCTGTTTCGCCAAAAGCGGCATTTAATCGGTGATGGACTTTCGCGATCGGTGATGGTCTTTCGCGATCGGTGATCAAAGCTGCGATGACCAGTCGTTGAGTAAAAGTCCATCACCGATCGCGAAAGTCCATCACCGATCGTGAATATGCATCACCAGTAAAAGTCCATCACCGATCGCGAAAGTCCATCACCGATCGTGAATATGCATCACCGATTGCAAAAGTCCATCACCGATTCGATGATCACATTAAATGCCTCTTTGGCGTTCCATAGTGGCGCGCCTCGCGGGTCCGGTCGAGGTCGTGCATGATATCGATAATGCAGTGTATTTTGTAAGACCCGTGAGTCTAGTAATTAGGTCGTGTATGAAAAGTTTTTGTGGCACAAAAAATGGCGCTTCGGAACAGCATAAACGACAGTGCCAGGAAGAACAAACTGTCCTTCGCCATCTTCGGCTTGGGCCGTGCCGGTGCCATCCATTTTGGCAACCTGGTGCGCAATCCCCGGGCCACGATTCGGTACGTGGTGGAAGAGAGCCGAGACCGGGCCGACCAGGTCATGAGCCGGTGGCTCTTCGATCATGTCGAGGAAGGATGCCAGGTTCTGACCGCTGCCGAAGCCAAGAAGGTCTACGAGGATCACAGGTACGGTGGCACTTTTAAATCAGGTGTTTTTATATTGCACGAGTAGATCATAGAACAAGGAACATTTTACGTTGTTGCTTCACTCAATTTATTCAGAAATCGAGCTTTTTTAGTTTTAAGTTAAACGGTTAAAGGGAATATAGCCTACAACAACATTTGCAAACAAAACAAAACTACCAATTTTTTTACAAAATGCCTTACTAGGATGTTGGTAAATGACAGTCTAAAGCATCCTGTAAAATTATGGCATTATGTGTGAAGTCATTTTCAAGAAAAGTGGTATTTTGTATAAATTTCCAACGGTGGTCGGCCGACCACCGTCGGAAAAACCTAACTATTTTTCAACTACTGCTCCAAATTTACCAATTTTTTTTTCAATCCAAATTTTGTTTGCTATTGGTTACATGTTCATGAACGGGTGCAGGCCAGTTAGACTGGTTCCATTACCTTACAATTTTCCGGCATCTATAAATTGATCCATTTCATCTTTAGTGGAGCCAGGGAACCAGACTACTTGAACATTTTTGTTTTTCTTGGTTTTTCCAGTATTTTTGAACACAAAACTTCAAACATGTCAGTGTAACAATATTTGATCTGCTATACTAACCCCTTAAAATAGTTCATTTCTGAAAATTACAGCAAAAGCCAATGATGTACATTCCCTTAAAATATCATGTCTATATAACTACCCGGAAAGAATATTACAGTTGTCACTTGTACTTGACAACCTGTACTACAAACCATTTGAGACTGGTCTGAAACATTCAGTTTCCAAATGCAGTTTTTTCTCACTAACTGCTTCAATATTTTCCCTGCTAAATTTGCCTTTTTTTACGACATGTTATCACTTTCTGATGGCTGGTAGGTCCTTGCAAGGAATTAGTGACGTCCGTATATATGCATGGAATTCTTTCCAAATACCCGCAACTACCACCTCATAGCCTAGCCGGCTACAGAATCCCAGTGGATTTTGCACCTCAATACAATCAATCTCAGTGCTAGTGCCATACGTACTGCAGCAAAGATCCTATATAGCGCCGAAGGCGCCTCTATAAGCCTTGAACAAAAAGTCTATAGTCCAACATGCTTCTCTTGACAACTGGAGTGGCTACGCGACTGCGGATAGGCCTACAGACAAAACCCGGACGCTAAACATGTTTTTTTTTTTTACTTGGCCTAAATTAGAGTGTTGCAGTTTGATTTGTTCATGTAATGTACGGGTAGAGTATGAGCTCAAAAGTGGTACAATTTATCCTACAAAAATGGTACAAGTGGGAAATTATGCAGGTGCCTCTAGTTTTTCTACAAATGGAAATTAAGAGGTATGTGGAGGTGAACTTTTAAGGCCAACAAAAAGATAACCGTTTAAAATTTATTACGCCATAATTCTGGAGGCCAAACCAAAGCAAAGTGTCAATAGTGATCAAGCATCATTGTAGCTGATTACAGGGCTTTAGCATTCTTGTTATGGCTGTCATGTGGACTAGAATGTTCAAAGTTCACCTCTGAAAAAAATCTTTCCATAGTTGCATCGTAGTATTGTGTATGGTTATCAGACATGACCCCGGAGAAGCAAAGTAGATCAGTAAGTAAACAATGATACTCTGCCACATTTGACCTGGGGAGGGAAGGAGATAGTTTTTGGTGTGGCAGGGGGGTTTGGGCAAGATTTTTGGAAGCTAAAGCCCCTTTTGGAAGATACACCCCATTTTTGGAAGCCAAACCCCTTTTTGGAAGCTACCCCCCCCCCCCAACCCTTTAGAAGCTACCTCCCCTTTTTGGAAGCTACTCCCCCTCCCTTTGTAAGCTAACCCCCCCCCCCCCCCCCTTTTTGGAAGCTAAACCCCCATTTTTGGAAGCCAAATCCCCTTTTTGGAAGCTATCCCCCCTCCCCTTTTGGAAGCTAAAACCCCTTTTTGGAAGCTAAAGCACCTTTTCAGAGGCTAACACCCCCCTTTTGGAAGCTCAAACCCCCCTTTTTTGGAGCCAAACTCCCTTTTTGTTTTGGAAGCTACAACCCCCTCCCCTGCTTTTTGGAAGCTAAACCCCCATTTTTGGAAGCAAACCCCCTTTTTGGAAGCTAAACCCCATTTTTTGGAAGCTAAAGCACCTTTTCAGAGGCCAACACCCCCCTTTTGGAAGCTGTACCACCCTTTTTTGGATGCTTTACACCCCCTCCCCTTTTTGGAAGCTAAACCCACTTTTCGGAATTTAACTCCCCCCCCCCCCTTTTTGGAAGCTAAACCCCTTTTTGGAAGCTACCCCCCCCCCCCCCTTGGAAGCTGAACTTCCCTCTTTGGAAGCTACCTTTTTTTTGGAAGCTGAAGCCCCATATTTTAAAGCCAACCCCCTTTTTGGAAGCTCCCCCCCCCCCCCTTTTTGGAAGCTAAACCCCCTTTTTGGAAGCTTACTCCCCCGCCCTTTTGGACGCTAAACCCCCATTTTTTGAAGCCAAACCCCCTTTTTGGAAGCTACAACCCCCTCCCCCCTTTTTGGAAGCTACAATCCCCCCCCCCCTTTTTGGAAGCCAAACCCCCCTTTTTTGGACGCTAACACCCCCCCCCCCCCCTTTTGGAAACTAAACACCCTTTTCAGAAGTTAAATCCCCTTTTCGAAAGTTACCCCCTCCCCTTTTTTTGGAAGCTAAACCCCCTTTTTGGAAGCGAAAGCCCCTTTTTGGAAGCTAAACCCCCTTTTCAGAAGTCCCCCCCCCTTTTTTGGAAGCTAAACCCCTTTTTGGAAGCTTACACCCCCCCCCCCCCTTTTGAAGCTAAACCCCTTTTTTGAAGCTCCCCCCCCCCCATTTTTGGAAGCTAAACACCCAGTTTTAGAAGATAAACCCCTTTTTGGAAGCTAACCCCCCCCCCTCTTTTTGGAAGCTAAACCCCCATTTTGAAAGCTACCCCTCCCCTTTTTTGGCAGCTTAACCCCCTTTTCGCAAGCTGAACCCCCTCTAGATCCAAACCTGTAGGGCCTATCTAGTATCTGCCCCTATACTACAAAATGACGTTCTAGAAGATTTAACATGTTTTTTGCCTCTTTTCTCATTTGCTTTGTGTGCAGTCTTGATGCAGTCATCGTTTGCACATTCACCCACACCCATGAAGAGATCGTCAAGAAAGCACTGGCAGCAGGTAAAAAAAGTTCATGTTGTCTTGGCAACGTTAATTAGACTTGCATTAGTCTGTCAGTATCTGTTTATATTTTTTTTCTGTTTGTTTGCGCCATACTTTTGTGGACATGTAGATAGATGATGATTATCATTATTATTAATCATTTCCGGTAATGAAACCAAGGATTCCTCAAAAGTGCCATAGGCACTGTAGCTCGCAAGCCTGAAGAAAACTGTGGAGAGAAGACAATGAGAAGAAATTACAGTTTTAGAGGTGGGAGGAAAGGCCCAGAAGAAGATTCTGGGGAAAACCCACGGAATCAGGTAGGGACTGAAAACCCAATCCACATATTGGCCCAGGCGGGATTCGAACCCTGGTCACAGCAGTGGAAGGCGAGGAAAGTACCGCTACGCCAGCCTGACTCACCCAGCAACAGCTTTTGTTAATCAAATACCAAATGTTCGAACTGGTTCATATTTCACACTAATGGGAAACGAATTTAACGTCAAGTCACCAAACATTCAGTCACAGCGATACTTTCAGTGGAAAAAATTACGTTCAACTGTTAAAAACATTTGTAGCACGAATACTTGCAGTGACATATCACAAATCCGCATTTGCTTTCACTTTTGCACAGAGTATGAACTGCCTTTAAAGGGAAAATACAACATTTGCAAACATTGAAAAATAAAACTACTTAGTTTTTACAAAATACCTTACTAGGATGTTGGTAAATGACAGTCTTAAGCATCCTGTAAAATTATGGCACCTGGTGTGAAGTCGTTTTCAAGAAAATGGTATTTTGTATACATTTCCAACGGTGGTCGGCCAACCATTTTTTTTCAGTCCAAATTTTGTTTGCTATTGCTTACATGTTCATGAATGGGTGAAGGCCAGCTAGACTGGTTCCATTACCTTACAATTTTCTGGCATGAATACATTGATCCATTTCATCTTTAGTGGAGTCAGGGAACCAGACTACTTGAACATTTTTGTTTTCCTTGGTTTTTCCAGCATTTTCAAACACAAAACTTCAAACATGTCAGTGTAACAATATTTGATCTATTATATTAACCCCTCAAATAGTTCATTTCTGAAAATTACAGCAAAAGCCAATGATGTACATTCCCTTTAAGTGATGTGAGGCAGCCACAAATGGCTCTTCTCTTTTTTTCTCGGACAGGTAAAGCTGTCTTCTGTGAGAAGCCCATCACGACCCAGCTCAGTGCCACAAAGTCATGCTATGATCTAGCCGAGAAACAACGCAAGATGTTATACTGCGCTTTCAACAGGTGATTTTTGTATTTCACCTTCATATTATTAGAAGTGAACAGTTGTTATTGTGCGTGTGCATATACAGTGCTCTGAATTGGTAATAATTAACCCTCCTATACCAGTACTTTAGGCCGAAAAAAAAAATTCTGCTTCCGATTACATGCCTTTAAAAAATAGGGTCGGTCGGTCGGTTGGAAAAATTTTTTTGGGCCAATTTTTTTTTATGCAGATTGAATGGGGTATTCAATTAGATGCGAAGTTTTAGCCTGAACTATTTCCATTGCACTACGCAAGCTATACACATAGATCAATTCTGTGAATTAACTTGCAAAAATGTTCTTTCTCCATCGGTGTTTTGTTGGCATTTTTACGATGCGAATCCGACCAGTTGACACTGACAGTGCACGTGCCTTATTCATAACCATGCTAGCCGCTAGCGATCGCATAGCCATGACAGACTGGTTACCGCACTTTCATCATGTCTACTAAATTGGCCCCTGCGCGGCGCAGCGGGACCCAGTCGTCACTGCATTAAGCAAGGTTTACGCACGTGATTATAGTCACCGTGACATCGAATTGCGAGGTATGATGACAGATCGCAAAGCGAATTTGGTTTCTTTTGAAAACAAGTAAGTAAGAAAACAAATAAATACAAGTATTTTGTGAAGACAGAAAAGACAACAAGCTTTTGTTTTTATTTTTTCAATTTTTTTTTTTTTTTTGGAATAGCCGATAACATTTTTAGGGTCGCAGCCTAAAAATATGGTCGGTCGGGTAACCGGAAGCAGAAATATTATTTTTTTTTGCCTTAATACAGTCGACTCTCGTATACAAACACTGTTAATACAAATTCTGGTTAAAGGAAACATAAAGCCTTGGTCCCGACTTGTGCATTGATGTGCAAAATGAATGGGACTGATGTTCCTCTTAATACACAATTGTGATATAACGAATAACTTGGCTAGGTCCAAGAAACGTCCGAGATTGGTTTCATTCCGAGGCTTTAACTCTTTCGCTACGTAATTTAATTTACCTTTTTCGTCCCAACTGGACGTAATTCAAAGCTGAAAATTCAGCCGAGCGTCGATGTGGGCGCCGCCATCTTTGAATGTATCTCCGTAAACAAACTGCTCACAATAACAAAAAGTGCACCCCAGCCAGACGGAGAGCCGCTGGCAGCGGCTCGAACTAGGGTCAGAGGTTATACGATATAAATTATGTAGATATGGCCCACGTCATGGGGACATCCTGTTTATTCATAGCGACGCAACCGAGCCGCTGCCAGCGGCTCTCCGTACGACCTGTACAATTTGTATGAGCCGCCGTCAGCGGCTCGCCGTAGCGAAAGAGTTAAGTTAAGGTCCTTCCTGTTGCGCTTTTGTCTACTCCTGACAGGCGGTATGATCCCTCCATACGACACTTGCAGGAGCGTGTCAGAAATGGTGCGGTGGGCCAAGTCCAGTCCATCAAAACGTGTTCCAGGGACAGCCCCTTTCCGCCTCTGGCATATTTCAAGATATCAGGTAAAATTCAGCAAGCTTCGGGGGGCCAAATGTAACAGTTTTGCTTTATACTACAGAATTATGTGAAGTGTTGGTTTAAATCTGGGTTTGGATATTAATTACCTAATGCAGCCGATCCCTGCAAAGTGCGGTAAGGCCACCCAATCGCAAGTGCCTAATTGGGCTTGTTGGGGACAGTCTGATTCATGATTGAAGCCAAACCAGGTGCCTGTATCTCAACACTCAGAATTGTGTGGGTAGCGTTGCCAACATTCTTATTGATAACAACTGACTGCTGTGGTGGCTTTACCAAACCTGTCGTGAGCTGGCTGTTTTTGTATTTTCAGGACGCCCTCAGAGATTTTGATTTCTCTTCAGGTGGTATGTTTCATGATTGTGCCGTCCACGATATTGACGTGATCTGTTGGATACTGGGTCAGTTCCCGGATGTGGTCTATGCCCAGGGACATTGCTTCCATCAAGAGCTGAGCGGAATGGATGATGTTGATCAGGTGGCCATTACGATGAAGTTTCCCAGCGGAACCATCGCCTCCATCGACCTGAATCGAGAATCCAGCTACGGTTATGATCAACGCATCGAGGCGCGTAAAGCCTGTTTGACAGGAGTGGCAATTTTTCATCAACATTTGGGGGGGGGGGGGGGAGAGGGGGGGGGGCAGGGGGGTAAGGGGGGCATCGAAAGAGGGGGGTGGATGCCATCAGGCTCTAGAGGGCACTATTCAAGCGCCTTATTCTATGTGCATATACTGTTGTGCTTAAGTAAAACTGTTACACCTTTTGTGAAAATGTAGTGCAAATGTATGTACTTTTACTCCAAATCTATAGGCACTGGGATAAATTATTGGGAGAGGGGCATTGCTAATGGCCTCCCCCACCGAAAAATTATTGCAGGGGACATCCCCCCACCCCTGGGTTTGCCGCCAATACTCCTTGTACACCCTTGATTTTAATCTAAAACCAGTGCAGTGGTCCCGCTTGGGAGCATTTTGGAAGCCCTCCAAAACTGCACTGTAGTTTTATTCCAAATCCTGTCCCCTTAGGAGCCCCACCTGTAATGAATCGGAAGACTTTGCAGGCTTGCCAGGCCAAATGCCAAATACCAATAAATAAATAGGCATGAAGTACCAAAAAAGTCACATTTGTCAGTACTCTTTCTTTGTGACAGGTTTTTGGTTCGGGTGGAATGTTGGAGACACGCAATTACAGCCATCAGGTCAACGTGGTCGGTCATCTTGGCAACCAGGGTGCCTCTGCTGAGCCATTGCCTCATTCCTTCCCCCAGCGATACGCCGAAGCCTATGCCAACGAGTTGGACTACTTCATTGATTACCAACTAGGTAGTTTACTGATCCCCCATCATGTTTCTATCTGTAGCAGAGTTTTAATCACGTCTGTCACACATCAACACAAGTCATCCCGTCTCAAGTCTTGTGATCATCATCATCATCATGGGTGTTGTCACTCGCAGACGTTTTATGTCCATTGTGATTCGTGGCACCGAAGCCACGCGTTGAGCTCTTCGCGGTTGAAGAGCGTGCGCCTAACTTGCATTTCGTCCAGTCCGCCTAGGTCCTGGCCGAGGGCTATCCACTGGTTCCGGGCGTATTTATGCTCGGCCTTGGTGAACAGCCACTGTTTCTGCTCACTCGAGTTGGGCATGCGCGTAATGTGCGCCATGTACTTAACGTGCTGTTTTAGACAGAACTCGCTCGCTCGGGATGTCCGGCAGATTTTCAGTATCTGGCTGGCGTTATACTTGTACGCTTAGGTGTCCTCACCGTCCGCGTTCTTCTTCTTGCTGAACCCGCCTTTGACTTGCTTCCTGCAGAAATTCACCCACAGGCTGTCCAGCTTGTCACGTTCCGAGGCTCGGAGGCGATCGGTTTGTACTGCATAGACTAGCCTGCTGTGCACCATCACTTCCAGCATGTGGACCCGCCGTTGCCAGCTTCACCTCCTTGTCCGTCATGACGTCCTTTATTTCCACCCACTTTGCCCACGCCGAGCTGATCTGCTGGGTGACGTGTTGCGGCTTGTGGTCAAATGGTTAGGGTGTTTGACTCACGTGCTGTGGTATGTGGGTTCCGCGAACCCTGACGGGGAACATGGTGCTTGTGTTCTTTGGCAAGACACATTACTACAATTGCCTCTGTCTCCACCCAGGAGAATAAATGGTAATAATTGTGAAGCGGTTTGAGACCTTTGGTATAAAGCGCTATATAAGCACCACATTGTTATAAGTCTATCCAAATTAAAGATATAGTCCATCATTTGTAATTTGTGCATTTTGTTCGTTGGAAGCAACAAAAGTGCTCAAAATCTAAAGAAGGGTGCTGAACAACTAACCTGATGAAGTTTCAGCTCAGCTTCAGCTGTATATTTCGAGAAAAACAACATTCTAGGATCTCGATTTCAAATCAAAAGTTGCTGAATCATGTTTTGAATTGGGCCTGAATTCAGCGTCCAAGATACGTTCTCACTAACCAATTGCAGCTACGCGATGTCGCGCACCGATCCGACGAATTATAGCAACCGCGCGCGCGCGCGTGTGCGCCGTGTCAACGCTTGCGTGCGCTTCGCCGAATAAAAAAACGAACTACTAACGGAAACTTCCAACGGTGCTTCTTAAGACACACCGTTGGAAAGGCCTTCTTTCGTTGATTTCTTCACAATGACAGCTTGCCAGAAAGAATAATTTCACAGGGAGTTTAGTCTCCTTACTATCTTTCAACCAAGTAGGTTTTTGAACAATAATTACGCCAGTTACTTTTTGGATTGCTGCAAATGATGGACTCTGGCTTTAACCTTGACAAGGACATTCCTTTGTCAATGTCCATCTCCTGCTACTTGTGGCCCCGACTTGTAAATTGACTCCCAATTTGACTTAAGATTATGACTCGACCACAACTCTCAAAAAAGAATCATAATGTCTGATTACCATCATTCCAAATGACACAATTAGTATACTTGTCCCACCCAGAGAGCCAGCCGGAGGCCTCTTTGCATCTAGTACCACACTGACTCACTGAATGAGTGTCACTTTTGATCCGGGCAGTGCTATCATATAGGATTACCCCAATATGCTAATGAATGGGCTTATAATCCAGCCCATTGTGTAATAATAATACCGGAGTCTTATATAGTGCATGTGTCCACCAACAACCATGTACTCAAGGCGCTGGAAATTATGTCTATTTGCAAAGACAGGAATATGAAGTTTATGAGAAATATGAGACCCATTATGTAGCACCTTTATAAGGGTTTACAAGGTGCTGTGGCGCAAACCCCTTCTCTTAGCGATAGTGTTAGTGGGTTCTTTAACGTGCATTACACAACACACGGGACCTACGACTTTATGTCCCATCCGAAGGATGAAGCAATAATGGTAAAGTGCCTTGCTCAAGAGCACAAGCACCATGTTCCCCGTCAGGATTCGAATCCATGTACTGCGGCACATGAGTCGAACACCGTGACCATTGGGCCACAGCACCCCACAGATGCATGTCTGATGTTGTTGTTGTCGTGTCGCTACACTTTTCCTAGCCACTGCATGACACAGGTTCTGGCACACCGGTTGAAATCCTTGAGATCCTCTGGTTTGCAGGGCTTTGGTAGGAGGGGGCAGTTTAGGAGGTGCTCCATAGTTTGGGGTGCCTCCCCGCAGTCACAATTGGTGGAACCATCATGGTTGTACCCCCACTTCTGCATGAGGGCTTTACACCGTCCAACCCCTGTTCTGAGGCAGCTGAGGCAGAGCCAAACTGACCATGTCTCTTTGGCTCCTACTGGTAGGGTCTCCTCAGGGTCTAGTGACAGCGTGTGGGGTTTTGATTGAAGTTGTTTCTTCCACGCATCTGTTCTGCAGCTATGGGGGTCGCCATCTAGGGGTTGAGCTGTATGTCTGATAATACTTAGTAAATAATTAGTAAATACTCATTCCGAGTCAATTAAAAATAATGTTGTGCACTCTAGGACCAGCTTTATTAGGCTTATTTTGTCTCATTTTTTTTTGGTCTCCCTTCCAGGTCTTGACCCACACATCGAAGTCTCTCGGAAAGACACTGTCATGGCAACGATCATCGCCGAGGCCTGTGAACAGTCCTATCGCAGAGGGACTCCAATCAACATAAAGGACATGATGGAATAGTTATAGTGCGCGCGATGGCGCCCTCTATTCCATATTTTCATTCATGTATAAATGGGAAAATTACTGATGACCTCCGACCTGGGGTCCCCTTAATTTGAATATTCACACATACACAAATAGACCTTTGTATTGTTTGTAAACATTGAGGGCCATTTTGTATGGGCTTCCTTAAATTGAATTGAAGCGCATAAATTGAAGCCGTGGTTGGCAACATATTTTTTCCCAAAAAAATCCTCATGACAACTCATTACATAAGAAAAAGGCATGGTTAGAAATTATTTTGTAGCGTTTGTCGATAACATTGCATTTTCAACAATGAAATGATATTTTTGTAATCATTAATAAATATTCTTCATTTTTGTAGTTTTGGACCTTCCATAGTTTGGCAACCCGTGGTTGGCAAAATCACGCGTCGGCGATAGAAAAGCCTATAAGTACTGTGTTCACGCATACTTCAGGGCTCGAATTTCATGAAAAAAAACCCACTAGACAGCAGGTCTAGTAACTGAAGAATCTTACTGGACCTGAACTATTTTTACAAGACCTGTGTCATAAATAAGAAAAAAAAAACATTTTGCACTACATGTTTGTGACAGGAATACAACAAAATGCTATTTACGAGTCACCCGTTTCGTGTGTGCACTTGGCTAGTTTCCCTGGAAAATTAGTCTAATTCTCTTGCAGGAGCACAGCAGTCCTTCACTTAAAGAAAATCCAGGAGAGCTATAAATCGCTCTCCTCAAATTTTTGAGGAGAGCAAATGGATTTTAAGGAGAGCGATTTGCTCTCCTAAAAATCCACGGATAAACAGCGGTGAAACGACGGTAAACATTGTTTTTGTTTTGTTTTGAATATCACAATTTATTCAAGGGGCTGCTTTTTTATTACTTTTTGCATAACAATATGCTCAAGTGGCGTAACTTCTTTCGCTTTTGAAACTGTAAGACAAGGTTAAATTTTTATGTAAAAAAAAAAAAAACTAAATGGACATTAATAAAAGGTTTGACTTCTGCTTACGCTTTTATTTTTTTAATACAGTCGTCAGTTGGTTCGTCACTTAATTATACTTGGAAAATGGAGTTAATAAACGGCACATAAACATGATAAAGCAACTGAAAATATAGGCCGATCGGACTACAGTGACGGTAACTTCATCATCGGATGCAATTCAACAATTTTTTTAGGGCAATGCCTGTCCTTTTATATATGATATATATGTTCGAGGACATGTCTTATTGTACCGACATATGAATTTTTCATTTGTTTACAAACCTTGAAGGTTATTTTGTATGGTTGGCCATAAGTTTGCAAACAATTTCAATCGAGTTTTTCTCCTGATTAGGAGAGCTATTTTTCGCAATTTTTTTTTTTCTTTTTGGAAAATGCATGTATAAGGCTGAATAAAAAAAAAATGTTTCTCGTCCGGGTTTTTAAAAAAAAAAGAGGAAGCCAGAGGGGCTTTTTTAAAATATTTTTATCAAGATGGTCGCTATTTTTAAAATTCCCTGCAACCGTTGGTGTTTCCACTGTTCAAAGACACTTTTAAGATGAAAGACAAGTTGGACAAGAAAACTGAACATATTTACAGTGTCATTTAGAGTTGTATTGGTCACATATTTCGCAAGTATTTATTTTTCGATGAATTTGTGGACTTTTTCGTGTTTTTGTACTGCATTTTTCAACAATAATAAAAAAATCCAGGCGGCCTCCAAAAAGGAAGCAGGCGGGGACGAGAAACATGTTTTGTTTTTTTACTTCGCCCAATTGTTATCTGTGGAAATTTATGTACCAGGCTGCAACCGAGATAAGGCCCAGGGTGTTATATCTTTCACACAAAGGCCGTTGCTATGTAGATACAACACTGTACATATCATTTTGCTCTTTCAGTGAATGCAGAATAGAACAAAAGCTTGTACCTCAAACATGGCTGCAAAACAAAATATCTATCAAGTTACAAAGAAGAGGCTTACATAAATAACAGAAGATAGGAGTCACACCAATTAAATTTGAGGTAATTGAATAAAATGTTTGTCCTGCGAATTCAAGACATTAATTTATCTGATAGCACACTTTTTAGATAGCAAAACATGTATAGAAATGGTATACTGATAAATGCTTATATAATTATATGACTTTTAATTGGTATTTTTGTCATTATACAATGCACGGGTGATCTTATTTTGGGCCGACCAATAACCCTGTTAGTTTTCATTATCAATGATGTTATGAATTCCGACAAGACCAGTACTATTTGGAAACATTGAGCTATTTTTGCATTGACTGCATGTTTTTGATTCTCAGGAACTAAATTTTCATAATTTTTGAAGTCACTAATTTATCATTTGTTGCCTTCTGGTTTATAGCAATGTATAATAAATTAGTTTTCTGTTATCAGAAACTATTTAAATAAGTGTTAATAATATTTGTTTGCCAATATTGTAATGAGACAACCAGAGACGCCGCGAGACAAACTCGTGGTGCAAGATTTTGACAAAGTATGGGCCTCATGCATAAGTTGGCCATTTTGTCATGTTCCCTGAATGTATTCCATGAATTATGAACTGTTGAATGGGATAGTGCCAGACTGTTTATTCGCTTTAGCCACACTTTAATTTTTTTTTAAATGTGGCTTAAAACATAAGGGTACGTTCAATCACAAATTTTAAATGATTCATCAGAGCACACTGGTGTTAATGTGTAATTAAGTTTATTTCATTGCTTTCATTTCTATTCGCAAGTTCAAAAAAATTAAGATTTTAACTCGCTCTCGATCCAATATGGCCGACTCATGAATAAGGCCCATGTAGTCACGTACCTGTACGCATGCATGAAACATATCAGGTAATATACCAATCAGTGGAGTAATTAATAATAATAATAATAATAATAAAGTATTTATAAAGCGCTTTTACAAAATAGAACAAAGCGCTGTACAATAGAGGACTATGATGTTGTGAATAAGAAACTTTTAAGACGTTTCTTGAAAATGGTGAGAGATGGGGCGTCCCTGATGTTGATGGGAATAGTGCTCCATAATTTGGGGCCTGCTCTTGAAAAAGATTTGTCTCCAAGGCATTTTGAACCTGTAGGAAAAGAGAGAAGTTTATCATTGGAAGATCTTAATCCCGGTCTGCCTGGTTGATACAAAGTGAGTAAGTCATACAAGTAAGGGGGAGCAATACCATGTAGGCACTTGTAAACCATCAGAAGAACTTTGAATGCTATACGCTGCTGGATGGGTAACCAGTGAAGATTGGTGATGAGAGAAGTAGCATCCACAGTGCATTTGACAGAGAAGATGAGCCGAGCAGCACGGTTTTGGATTTTTTGTAGTCTATGTTTTTCACCTTGAGTTATACCAAATAGAAGAGAATTGCAGTAACCAAGCCGGGATGTTATAAATGTACGAACAACAATTACGTGGGGGACGTGCCCCAAGTGAATGCCCGTGCCCCGGGCGCCCCTCCCCACTCCCCCAATTCGAAATCTTGAACTGAACAAAATGAATGAAACTTTATTTTGCCAGTTCAGTGCCCCCCTTGATAAAAAAAAAAATATACACCGTAGGTGCCTCGAAAGCCTAGTGTGAACAACAGATGACTTTATATCGACCCCACTTTGTCATTTCAGCCCCTAAAATGAAATGTACCAGGCCTTACCATTCTTCCATCACAATGTTTGCGTCAAGTTGTGTGAATGCCTCTATGATCGATCGGTTGTCAATAGAAACTGAACAAGGCAATGACATTTCGTATTGGTTACAGACCGGTAAACAAGGAATTCAGGAATTCTCGCCGCCTTTGCTCTTTTTGTTTAGTAATAAAGGAAGGGCTCCGTACTTTGAAAAAAAACAAATCACGGGGATAACTTTTAACATGTTCTGTCAACAATAGTGTTTAAACAGTATGTATGACATGGTACACAGGCCTTTTGTAAACAATTCAATGCGCTAGCTTGCACACGAACGCCCGTATTATGTATTTCAAGCTTCATTCAATCTCCACTAAAGAAGGAGGCACGGCCGACTTCGGAACCAGGGGTGGGGGGACGTGGGGCGGGGTAGTTGACAACAAATTGTGATTCAGTGGCTTTAGATCTTCACAAACAGCGTCACAAATTATATTCATGTGCAAACTGTGAATGCTGCACCAAACCGTTGTCATAGCGTACAAAAAAAAATCACTCAAAGCTTTGAATTTCGTTTTAATGCCCAGATATGCAAGTTAAAACAAGAGGCAGTGTGCAAACATGTATTAGAAGTAGGGCCGGCGCCTGACTGTTTTATTTAACCCAATTTTGGTATCGCAAACGCGACTTTATTTTGTCCTGGCCGTCATCACGCAGTGTCGATGTCGTCCCTGCCCTTCCATCGACCAATCAAAACCCGACTTACGAAAACGCCCATTTTTCTTGGTACTTCTGACGCATGGTGCTCTACAGTTTTCATTGCAAGTCAACAAAGGGATTATTGCCGTACCCTGAGTACGAGTTGCTGCATGATGCGGTGGATCGGACCACATGTGCCGTTTGGTTTGTAAACAAGGCACAGCAGGCATCAAGGACAAAAGTGTACGTGGCAGTGTGAAGTCTGGACTGTATGAAACACGGACTCCTTGTTGGTATTGCGCATGCCATTAGTGAAGATACTCGGGACATACAGTGACGAATCCATATAAGAGACCAGATATCATTGGAGTCTCAATTTCATATGACACCGTGACTTGTCAACACGGTCGATCGTGAAGAAAATCAATACTACCAATACGCAATATATTACGGTGTGAACTGCACTAATACTTCACAGCTAGAGCTGCTAGCTCTATGGTTACACGTACCATCCATAACGGTCACTAACGGATGAATAACAATGGGGGACGCTTCCTTGCCAGGTTGGTACAACGCGTTTCTTATATTTTATTAGCGGATTCTAACTATGATTTTATTAGTAATACCGGTACTAATATAATACCATATGATAGTGGAAGTGAAACTGAAAATCATTGTTTCCTCGATTTATGGATCACCCTAGTAATATATACCGCCTGTTTGATATAGTGTGCACCACGTTATAATGTTGAAAACGGAAAGTCGAGGCTGACAAATTATATATGATCGGTGGCTTTTATTTCCTGGTCGCATTCCTTAATTAAAGGGAAATGTTGAAAGAAGAAACGTATACGTGATATGATCACGTACGTAATATATTATGTATGTACGTAATAATAATATGTACGTACGTGATCATAATACGTACGTCACTATTACAAAATAAAATCATACTCCCGATGTCCTCCGGTCTTCGCACCATACCCTATATACTCCTAGTTGGAAGTGTTTTTTCTCCAGTCATTTTTATTTTATTAAAGATTTTTTTTATTATTAAAGATAAAGAGTATCATTAATTAATGTTAAACAACAGGCCAATTTTAAAAACAACGTCAATCTTACACTGCATGCCTTGAATATTTGGAAAATTTCACTTGGAAAATTCTGAAAAGTTCAATCACAGGCTATTATAGCGTAACGTACCCTACAAGTAAAAATTGCCACGTATACATGTACGTACACGGCCTTGCGAAAATGGTAGTTAATACGATTGACCTCACAGCCTATATAGTCTCTATATCCGTGAACAGTTGAATCCCAATAGATTATTCATGCGTACAGCATGATTAACATATTATTGTAATAAAACTGTGATGGGAAATAAAAGCCTAAATAAAAAGTACCATCATATATTATGCAGTTTCATCCGGCAGTTTCTTTAGAAGACAACAATTTCCGTTCGAATATAATGCGATGCATGCCATCTATGATAATGATCTATATAAAAATATCCTCAAAATTTAATTTAAATCTTGTTAAGTACTCATCATCCATTGACGATTATCTTCTAGAAAAACAGTATTAATCCAATGAAACAAATTATTCTGGAAGTTGAAGATGGCTTTCATTTTACACACGTACTCATGAAATATTGATGGATTTATTTCTCATCTTTGAAATCAACAGTAATTAAGGAATGTCTATACTAGCACACACAAAAGTAGCATTATAAACCGTGCAGTTATGCTTTCACGTATAGCCCTATTAGGAAGTCACTTGAAAACTCTAAACATCCATTCTAAGTGAATTGTAAATGGAGGTAGCACGGCTATTTGTTTTATACAATCATCAGATAACTTTATTTAATCGCTGCTCTTTGCTTAAAGGGAATGTACAACATTTGCTTTTGCTGCAATTTTCAGAAATAAATGGATTTGGAGGATTATAATGTTATAGGAAATATTGTTGAACTGATTTGTTTTACGTTTTGGGCTTGTAGGTGCTGGAAAAACCAAGAAAACCATTAATGTTCTTGTAGTCCGGTTCCCTGACCCCACTAATGATGAAACAGAGCAATTTGTAGACTTCGGGGAATTGTAAGGTCAGAGAATCAGTCTGGCAGGCTTGTTCCTCTTCACATGTGTGTAATCAATAGCAAAGAAAATGCGGAATAACTAAATATGAAAACTTAGGAGCAGTTTTTGAAAATGAGCCAGTTTTCTCCAACGCTGGTCGGCCGACCAGCGTTGGAAAATACAATTTTTCTTGAAAATGTCAGCACACCAAGAGCCCACGATTTTACAGGATGCTGTAGACTGTCATTCCCTAACAATCCAGTAAGGTATTTCATGATAATTTGATCATTTCGTTTTTTGATGTATGCAAATGTTGTATCTTCCCTTTAACTGGTATTTTTTTTTATCGGAGCAGCTGAGATTCAAAAACTCATAGAAAAGTGCCATGAAGCCAAGAAGAACGCCCACTGCCCTTACAGCAAGTTCAGAGTAGGGGCTTCGTTGCTGACAAAGGATGGCAAAATGTACAGTGGTAAGATGCACCTTGCTTTACCTATACCTCCAATATTCTAGATGGATACACCTGTTGCATTCAGCTGCAATCTTTGAGCCGTTTTACTTTTCCTGAAGGTACCTACTGTTCTCTTAGTCATTGACTGACTAATAACTGAGTCACTGGGTGTAAATAATGTCCTAAACTGATAAGTATTTTATTAGAGTGATTTTCACTCTCAATCGTCTAGTCTCTAGATTTGATTCTTGGGAAATTAAAGAGCAGCAAAGCGACGGACGCGAAGCAATATCCAACACTCATATACAATAGAAATTGAAACGTTTTAAACAACTGTGCTCATTTGTGATCATTTATTCCAGGTTGCAATGTAGAGAATGCTTCCTACACACTCGGCCTGTGCGCCGAGAGGTGCGCCATCTTCAAAGCTGTCTCGGAGGGACATAAAGAGTTCAAGGCTATGGCAGTGGGCTGGTGATTATCACTTTCTCTATACGAGATTTCCATCAACACATTTATTATGGACTTAGCAAATGAAATAAAGAAGGCCAGTGGTCACTTGATTGTGACTGGCTTCGTGCACTTTTCGTCCATTAAGTTTAATCACTTCGACAAAAATCTAACCCTAAAAATCTTGATGACAAGACACAAGAGTTACATCAATTAAGTTAGACGAAACGCGGATTATTGATCGATCCATTTGTGTATTAAAGTCAAACAACATTTATTAAGGATGGATGTATTTCAAGAAACCAGAGTGTCACAAAAACTACTGTACGAAAGACAGAAACAAGAGGAAAGGCGAAAAATGGGGAAATGTTACAATTGGCACTGTGTATGACTTTCTCTAAAAAACTAACAAACAAACACCCCAACAAACAAACAAATGTTGTACCTAGGAACTTAGCATAGAATTTGCAAACACGACCTCTCTCTGTATCTACCATCACTCAGACAAAAAACAGCCAGTGTTTTCCCAGAACTAATGGAAAAGTGAAGAATTTGATTTTGCCTTGGCTTACCCTTTCATCCGATTGGTGGTTGTTTTTTTTGTTATTTAGTGACGTGAAAGATGACTTTCTGGCACCGTGTGGCGCCTGCAGACAAGTCATGTACGAGGTATAGCTCTACTCTTTGTTTTGCATAATCTCTCCTCCCTATAATCTTCAATAGAAGGAAATCTTCCAAAAGTCCGACTGGAACAAGAGATTCCTTGAATATTGTATTCCTTTCAAAAGACTTACGTTTTGAGTAAAATTTGACAGATGTTGCTCATACATTAAGGGTTTTTTTTGTGAAAGAGGTTTAATGGGACTGTCAAGTCTCAGTTGTGATTATACCAACTCCAATTTTCACCTTTTCGATAGTCCTTTAATGCCAAAAAAAAAAGTATTCGGTCTCTGGTCAGACCACAGTTCCGGAATTGACGCGGTGATGCGGCTTTTTTTTTCCAAGCTTGGATTGTACAGACAAGGTGGGGTACTGTTTTGTTTTTTGGTGTCCTCATGTACATTGGTGTCCTCCATAATTTGCCTTGGTGCTCTCGATCATTTGCCTTGGTGCAATTTTCCATTCCTTGGTGCTCTTTGGTAAAAAAAAATTGAGGAGATTCGGCAATAGAGGGCACTGTTGGAGCTACCGCGGAACATTTTGGAGAAAAAAAGATTGACGCGCATGATTAAAATCGACGCGCGCGCTGATCAGAGACCGACTTATTTTTTTTGTGGCCTAATGCGTAGTGGCCATCTTAGCGGCCATTTTTTGTCGTTTTAATTCAGTAACAAATAATGCACAAACGGTTCTCTCATGCATATCCCAGCAAAACAAAGCCGTTGCCCTCTAAGATGGCTGCTACCGTAAGGTTTATTGGCCTGTTGGTTTTAATAAATTTGGGTAAACACAAAACAGTTTTAACCCAAATCAAATAGTGCTACCTATTTTGGACGTCATATTCAAAAGCTGAATTAAGGTGTGAGGTTGCAGACCACGGTAAATATAGTGCCATAGACCTCAGTGATAATTACGTGCATTTCTCAAAATTGCTAAAAATACTCACATCTATCCAAGGTGTTTGAGACACACATCAAACTGAAGTTTATTTTGGGGGTTAACCAATGAGTGTTAGGAGAAAATTCCATCCAAAGATGATCACCCCTAAAAGCATTCCTGAAGCCCGTCGCCTTTTTGAAAATGGACGCTTACGCTTCATTGCAAAATAGAGCCATTTTAGGGCCTAATTTCATCCGAATTTCACAGAAGTAGGAGCTCGCAGTCCTCTGCAGCACGGCTTCCATCCTTCTTTTTTTTTTTCTTACAAATTCTCAAGGTCACGGCCCTCAAAATGCTCTAATACCGGAGAATTTGAGGGCATGCAAATCGTGATTTGGCCGGCGTAGGCAATTTCGGGCCTATTTACAGCTCTGCACCCGTAAAGACCCAACGGAAGAAATACCCGACTAAGACAAAGGACTAGACTAAAAGTATATCAATTTTGCATCTGGATCCATGAAACCGTTCACCAGACTAAAAGTCTCCATCTTGACTTCATTTTTTTCTCTTATCGCAGTTCGGTGGGAAAGATTTGGAGGTGTACCTGACTAAGCCGGATCTGACCTGGCAGCGGACTCCCATGCGTGAGCTCTTGCCGTCTGGGTTTGACGGGTCGGCCCTGACACTAAGCAAGGTTGCGACGGAATGATGCAATCTGTCTTTTCATGTTGGGAATTAAAACCAAATATCGACAGATCTTCCCATTAGATTAGAAAATCTAGTTTGATCTCCCTCTGCGCTGAAGACATTTTGGTCTTGGTATGTCGCGTGCACGGCATATCGTATTGTGTTCACAAATCGGGTGCCTAATTTTGTTTATGCATTGACTTCCCTTTCAGCCGCTTCAACTGATCCAGTTATCTTGATAATCAGTCTATCTAATTTGAAACGTCATTTGCGGTGGTCATGTATTGTAATTTCATTTAAATGGTGGGTTGGAGCTGCTTATTCTTCCCCAGACTGAAATGTATCGTCTTGGCTGGAATTCTAGATTAAAAAAACATATAAACAATTGTTAGTTTTGTCCTAAAGATTTAATTTTGTAATCCAAATATGTATTTTAATTTTAAAACGCGTGAGCAATCTTAATGCTAGGTATAAGTAAATAAATGTGCGTTTTTTAAAGTATATGTTCATGATGGGGTATACCCTTGATTAACACGCGATTTCTTTCTATGCAATGTCCGACGCCCTCTGTTGTTTCGTGGAGATGGTGGCTGGCAAATTGCCGAGTCTTCCAGGAAGCGGGGTTTGAACCTGCGGCCTCCGGATTGCCGTTTCAGTGCTCTATCAACTCGTCACCGTTTTCACGAAGAGCTACATATGTCAAAAATTACAGTTTTTTCCATTTTGATTTTTTCAATATTTTGCTTTAAAACAATGAACTTAACCATTTTGACATGTTTTTGTAAGCAAAACATCATTAATTTCAAAGTTACATTAATGTTGCAAGGGGCCAAAATCTTGATAAATGAATTTTGCGTTTTCACGAAGAGCCACATACATTTTGGCCCTTTGAACGCGTACAAAACCCATTGCATGGAAATACGTAAAAGTAGGTCAAATGAGATTTGCGTTTTCACGAAGAGCCATCACATATCTTTGTTACATTTTCAGCTGCGCGCGCGTACTCACGCGCGCCTATGGAAATACACATTGAACAGAAAGGGCCAATATGTCGGAAACCTGAATTTGCGTTTTCACAAAGAGCCACATATCTTTACTAATTAATTTTCACTAATTAACTGCTGAATTAAGTCTTATTACTGGGTTCATGTAAAAATTCAGCTCACACAGAATAGTGTGATGGTTTCCTTGCTTCACAAAGTTGTTGCAAAGTGGTATTTTTTGCAGTTTTAAAATATGAGAAACTTCTTTTGCGATTATCTCGAAAACACTTTTTCTTCAAAATCGACATATGTGGCTCTTCGTGAACGGTGACGAACTGAACTATCCGGCCCAATGTTGGCAGTTCCCCAATTTGTCAATGCTTTTGTTCAAGGGGTGCCAGTCAGAAGCCATAAACCTGCAGATGTGTCATCGTTTGTAGTCACGATGCTAGCAACATTAGCAATGCTGCAAACCTGGGAAATAGCGAACGGGGATCACTTAGAGAGGATACGGCTTGTTATTACAAACGTTCAAATAAACCACAAAGAGAAACTGACTGGGTGCATTATAATAATTTAAAGTGAAGTTAAACACAGAAATTGACGTGATCGGGTATTGAGAGAAAATACTGTTACAAAAATGACGAACATTTTACAGCTTAAGTTTGAGTCATTATTATCATGATGTCAACACAACCTACATTTGGTTGCACTGTGTATTGCCAGTACAGGACAAACTTATATTATACCACAGCAACTGAAACATTTGAACACGAGCGAAGTTAGCTGACACAGTCGTGTACTAAAGAGTATACTAGTTTTGGGGGAATTTCTTAATTTTTGTTCGCTAGTGACATTTTATAGAGGTTTATTATATAAAGCATTTTGTATGCTGTTGAGCCTTGTTGCAGTCTGATCATATATATTTATACTCGTTGAGATGCAAAGGTTTTTAATCGAGGCATGTATCGGGGCTTAAATTTATACATTTTGTTGAATAAACTTTATTTTGGTGAACACAACGTTGTTTTTGTTTTCTTTATATTTATTTAAATATATGTGGCTGTGAGTTGAGTCCTTCACCTAACTCGATCAATATTTTAAATTGATGGTGTACTTTCCCCCGTTATTCCCGGGAAAAGCAGCGATTTTCCTCTTATACCTTACAAAAGTCGCAGCACAATTCGCCAAAACTAGACATTTCGTAAATCCTACCACACTTATTTTATTATATCAGGAGCTTTTCATTAATCTTTTTGCCTTATTGTACACGTTTTGACACCAGCTTCACGTCTGTCGTTAAAACCCTTTCTGGTAACTTACGCATTTCGACGAACAGCCCATTTCTTGGTTATTAAAAAAAAAATTTGCAATGAATGTTTTGCATATTGTGCAAAGACTACGTCTTGACCTCCAGATTATGACCATTCAGTGGGCGCCTTCTATTGTGTCTTCGGTAGCCCGTTGTAATACGAAAACATTGGTAGCCAACTACCAATCAACAACAGCTTAAAGGCCGAATTTCTGCTCGAAATGACGTCACAGTTTCTTGGCTGGCGCGCGGGGTCGCATAAAAGTACATGTAGATACAAACAATATTATCAGACCGTTGTTTGCGGAGCTTGCGGGCTCCGTTGAACAACGGATTATACTCAGACTAGCTCATGCAAGGTTAACAAATTGAAACATTTTTTATGCGAATGGCAAAGTGCTTTGTTTTTGTTCACATGGGTTAAAATTGTCCATTATGCGCTCACACCACTTATTGCAAACACGAAACACGACAAGGCAAGCATATAGGGGCAAGTTCGCGCAAGAACTATTGTTGACCATTGGTTAACTATAGTTCAACTAAAATTAGCCCGAACTCTGTCGATCTAGTCGACGATGGTTGACTATACGCTAGTCGACTATTTGAAACCGCACCTCAGGCTGACGCTGTTGCATCATTGGTAACCAATAGCCGCGCGCATTCATAACGTACAGCAGGGAGCCAGGATCCAGAAGTTTTGCGATGACATTTTGACCAGCGTTTGACGAGAGACGTTCGCACGTTACTGTTAGTGCGCAGGCGTAAGGTACGTCAGAAATCAACCACGAGTTGACTAATGGAATTTGCCCGAACTTGGCCTTGGCTGGCCAAGAATTTACTGAAAGACTGTTCATGCATGTGGCCTAGACGATGGGTCAGGCTTTAGCTTAATCATTGGTGTTTTATACGGAAATAATCCTATATTTATGTCTTTTTAATGGGGAATGGGAGACTTGAGCAAGTCTATTGCACAAGTGATAGCGCAGTGAGTGAGTCAGTGAGTCGGGGAGCAAAGATGGATATGGGGCTCCATGCAAAAGTACCCCATCAACGGCAGGAAAAGGAGAGTTGGGGGAGACCTAGACTGGTTCTCGGTCCATTCACTGCGGACTTCATATCCAAAGCTGTTGGGGCGGGGATTCGAGTTAGTGGGAGACCATCGAAAGATGAACTCTTTAAATTTGCCATTGGCACATTCAGGTAGTTGTGCGTACTTCGCGCGCGAACCAGTAGGCCTACAGTATGCACACGCCGTGTGATGTCCCGTCCACGTACAGATATGTCTGTGGTCCCGTTCAGGCTCTCAAAAGCGGTAAAAAGGCGCCCTCTTTTGCTGGCGCACGGAGCCCATACTGAGATTTGACCCTCTGGGACCAACAAATAACTTACTGTAATATTGCGCAGCCTTGACCCATGCAATCAGAGAGAGAGTAGTGACACCGTCTCAATTGTGCCGACTCGGAGGCCAATGATTTTGTCCTTTTGTTGTAACTTCGGTCAAAAGAGTAACCCTAACTCGATTTCCCTTCACAGCTCAAACTAACGTACATTGAGTTTGCCAGCGAACTTTGAAACACAAACAAAACATGTAGCCTGCAGTAGTGCTGCGCCGTTGCTGGCCGGATGATACCATTTAGATCTATCTACAGCAGCACGGTCATTTCGCAGAGAGAGAGAGATCACAGCACCACTAAATTGTGTTATGACAGTTTCATCCAAATCAAAAGATTAATGTACCCTACTAAAACTATATTGGTAAATCGTCCTGTCCACTGTTAAGGGCTGTTACATTTCAAGTTCCTTCGAGAAAATACAGACTGTTGACGACCGTTGTTGGACACTTAATATAGTAAAATGAGCGACACTGCTTTGCCAGGTAGGTCAAATGCTTGAAAGAATTGAACACAATTGAATATCATGATGTATCACACTATAAGTATCCGAGTGTTTTATATATATATATATTTTTTTTAGACTTTGCCCGAGTCGGGTGTTGGGCTTGGTGTGTGCAGTATACGTACACGTACTCGACAACCCAAAGTCGTACGCATGTTTTGACGTGGCACTAGTTGCATTTTTTGGCACCACTTTCAACTTGTATGTCGATTTAAGTCCGACTTGAATTAGGTCTAAGCAAACGCTAAAATAAGGGAGAAACAAGGATAAATTAGCGTGGACCGTCCGATTGTTTTGTTCAATGTCTCATTAGGAAGTTATTATTTTTGGTGATGCTAACAAAGTTCAATTGGCTCACTCGTATCCACTGCCCTGCAAACATCGCGCTGGGACCGGCTGATGGGCTTCAAAAAATCATGTGAAGGAAGTGGGGGTCGCATTCTGGGTAACGTACTCATGACCTATGTATAAAGACATTTGGCGGCAGCTGCTTAAGACCGCAGTAGCCAATGCGCGCAAATGCTATGCGAACATTTTCTCATAGAAATGCACACTCCACACCGGATGTGTTTTCTTTTTCACTGCGGACCATGTGGACAAATTTTGAGCGTCGCATACTATATGCAATTTGACCCATATCGTGAATTTGAAATTGAAACTGAGCAATTGACGAAAATTGAAAATGTACAAAAAACACAGGTTACGCACAATCTATCCAATCCGAGCATAAATTCATCAGCCTATCCCAGCGTACTGCTTGCAGGGCGGGGGTACGAGCGAATTCAATTGTATGTCCTTCTGTACTGGATGGGGCGTGAGAACGGAAGGTCCTATTTTTGCCTGAGATTATGGATGTGTTGACGTGTTAGAATGATAAAAAAATAATGTGTGAAAATGACAGTCATTAATTGCTCCATTATGTTCAATTTTTCTTCTATTTGCGGGCAGCTGAGATTATGAAGCTCATAGAACAAAGCCAAGAGGCCAAGACGCATGCGCACACACGAGGCAAGTTCCGAGTAGGAGCTTCGCTGCTCACGAAAGACGGCAAGGTTTTCAAAGGTAAGACGCCCTAAACTTTGCAGTTTCAAGCAAACGAGTAAATGCTCTTCCTAAGTCTAAAACAAAACATTGTTATAGATTTTGTCCGCAGCAACACTTCCTTGGATCCAACAGTCGCGCGCATGCTCAGATCATGTAACTGTCTGGAGCGCCACCAAGAGCCTGATTGAGATTACCATAGGACACCATAATACGAGACCAACAAGTGGCTTTGAATAGATTGACTCATGCCAATCGGAGTTACGCATAGAGTAATTCATTCATTTTTTGTTTGTTTTTATTGAAAATGTGTACATTTCTTTCATCAGGATGCAACATACACAATGCTTCGCACTCGCTGTCGGTGTGTGCCGAGAGGTGCGCCATCTTCAAAGCCATGTCGGAGGGCCACCGAGAATTCAAAGCCATCGCTGTCTCCAGGCGAGTAAAACAATGATTACAAGTGACACAGAAAACCACAGTTTGTGGTAACTTTTACGACTCCATTTTGTTTTGTATATAATTAGGTTTACCTTGCCGAGGAGACACGCGTATTCCTCCTAGTTTTAATGTCAACTTTCATGGTGAATCGACATCACTAAATATCAATGCAAAGTGATTTGAATGTAATTTTCTCGCAGTAGCACTATACAAATCTTTTCCTTGACATTCACATATTTTTTTTCTAATCTAGTGATATGAAACACAATTTCATCTCACCATGCGGTGCTTGTCGTCAGGTTATGCATGAGGTGAGCTATTTTCCTCATAGTTTGTCAACTTTGATATCACATTCATAGGACCACTTCGCCCCACGCGTCACGGGAGACAACTTCCTACAGATTTCCGATACTAAGAAGTTGAATAATAACGCTTGTTGGAATGCTCATTTTTTTTACTAGGAGGGTATGGGCCAAGTCATGCATAATTCAGTGTTTTTCTTTGACTCATTGCTACACACTTAGGTCTTTTCCCCCTTAAATTAACGTTATCTTAACGATAAATTTAGAGTAGAAAAATAGTCGAAAATGAGCAGCGACGTCGTTGATTCGATCCAGGGATCTTTGTATCCATAGCTAATCTCGCTAATTACTAGGCTACTGTGTGGTAGCTCGGCGACAACCGTTCTTTAAAATGCTTTAATGTAACTGGTTGACTTAAATATCATGGCTCTTGATATCAGTGTTCTGTTCTCATGAATAAACACAGTGGCCCGATCGAAACTACTGAATTATTCATGACTTGGCCCCACTACCGTCCCGGGAATAAAAATTACGCTGTTGGGATGTCCATTAGCCCATTTGAGATATGGCAGACACAATACGAGGGCGCTGTTTGGTTTGGGTAAATACAAAAGACCTTAAACAAATCAGACAGCGCCCTCCCAATGTCTGCCATACCTCGAATATAGGCTAAGAAACGCGCAGCTAATGAGGTATCGCCTATTAAAAATGCACTATACCTCGGCCTCAGGGAGATGATATTTTTCTTCTGAAGAGAAACCAAGAACATGTACATGTATTACAAACACTAAGTATTTACGGGGGGTGGGGGTGTGGTTTGCAATTATAATTACTTATATATGTACTGGTTGAGGATATCCAAAAACCTATGCTGTAACCCTCTATATTGGGCTCCTTGCCTACCTTAAAAACCACTCAATCAGAAACATACGCAAACTGTTTTAAAAAGGTCTCTGGGTGCAAGACCAGACATCGCAACAAATTCAGCACCCGTCTTCACCTTGACTTCAATTCTTGCAGTTCTGTGGGAAAGACTTGGAGGTGTACCTGACTAGGCCCGACCTGTCGTGGAAGCGTACGACCATGGAGCAACTCATGCCGATGCCCTTCGACGACAATAACATGGATGATGAATTGGAGGACACGTTTCCATAGCAACCGAAAGGACGCGCCAATATAATGCTTTATACAATGCACGCCATTCATTCAATGTTTTATGATATTACGCATCAACAAATAACATCATGTTTAAATATTATTTTAGGGGGGAAAGTTGATGATATATATGAATTCAAATACAGGTAGGGTTTGTCTTCAGGCCTTTTTGTCAATCTGACAAAGTGCCCTCATTTCTTCACGGAAGTTGTTATGTTTTATCAAATATTGCGGGTTGTATTTTTTTGTCCAAAAAACAAAAAACAAATTCAATACGAGCCAGGGTAAAAATAATACAATGCTTATACTGGAATAGCGCCCTCATTTCTCTCTGGATATTGTAACGTTTCATCAAACATTGCGGACATTATAGGGCGTTAATTGCAATAAATTTTGCACCGTGTGAAATTCCGAACTGTTTTGGGTTATTTTCCCTTTATTTCGGTGTATTTCATGTTTTTCCAAAATGACTTAACCGACTGGACCCGACATGAAAATTACAAACTCAAAAACGAAACCCACCCTAGCTACCCGACTGAAATGATGGACAAACCGACCCGACCCTACACGAAGTCGGTTTCGGGTACCGGGTCGGGTCGGTTCCGGGTCGGTTTGGGGTCGAGTATGCACAACACTATGATGCAGACCATGCTGCATTTTCCGAGCCACGGTATACGTGTCCAGTACAGTACCCGCCCGCACCATTTCCAATGGCCTATACAGCACGGGCCGAGAGACTAGCTGCTTAAAAAAAAAAAAAAAAAAATCCATGATGTAAAACCCTTGGATCAAGACTAATTAATTTGTGTTCAGTCAGACTTACTTAGCTTTAGTAATCAGTAAAAATGTTGGTGTCATTGTAGCAGTTGACGCCCTCTTGCGGCGTTTTTCGCGTACCACAATAAACTGCAGCTACAGGGTGAGTTAAAAAAAAGCGGAACCCAACCCCCCCAAAATATATTTCATATCTAAAAAATACGTAGCACCAAAAATAATAATGACTGGAAAGCCAAATTCCATAAGCTACTTTTAGATGAAAAAAAAATTCCTAAAATTGCTCAATCCGTTCAAAGAATATCACCATTTAAACGCAATGACCCTAAAAAAAAAACCTGTCTCGTCCAAAAAAACCCCCATTTTATTGTGTGTTTTGACTGTTTGGAACAACAAACAAAATGACACAGAATACTTGTTTCAACAACTGTCACCAACTGTAGTACACAATATCTTTATGAACAACCCTAATTAGGCAAACAATATGATTTATAAAATCTACTTTTTTTAAGAGACGGGCCTTCAAAAGGACTTTGTTTAAACTGAGATTTTATCGCTGGTGATGTTTGAAGACAATAGTGACGACGATTCCTGAAATCGCATTTTGTTTTGGACGAGACAGGTTTTAGGGTAATTATTTATAAATGGTTATATTATTTGAACGGATTGAGCAACTTCAGTAATTTTTTTCAACTATAAGTAGTTCTTGAAATTGGCTTTCCAGTCATTATTTATTTTGGTGCTACATATTTTTGTAAATATGAACTATAATTTTGCGGGTTTGGGTTCCGCTTTTGTTTGACTCACCCTGTCGTGATATGTGATATGTCTCAAAAGTATTCACTGTTGCTTGACAGGCATAATGCTTGTGTTGTTCAATAAAACAATCCTAATGTAAGTTATATCATATTCATTAAATAGGCATCACATCCTTTGCGTCATTTCAAAGTTTATTATTTTCACACAGCAGGAAGTTAATTCATCATAAATCAAGTAGTTTCATCAGAACCTTTCGTTTCCATTCAGGAAGCGAAACTGATTTAATATTTGATTATTTTTAGACAGCATCTCTCTTTGTTTGTTCACCTTATCGTTGCATTGCATAAAGCCACAGCGTGGTACCGACTCGCCCCACGCTTTATCACAGTGACATAAGTACCGGCAATATCTTTAACGCGACCATTTTGATCTCGTGATCAGGGAGAACGGCCAACGGTCCGGTATATTCAGTATAAAGTTATTGGAAGGTACGTGGAATCATTAACTTTTTGACCATTTGTAGTTGCGTGGGAAGCAACTGGGTTGCTCAAAATCTTAAGTAGGGTAGGCCTACATAACAACTAACCTGTTGCTGTACAGGGTGAGTTAAAAAAAAACCACGAGACCCAAATGTCGGGACTATTGTTTTAGTGAAGTTTTGCATGTAGCGTTTTCGAAATCTAGGATATGAAAGCCCAATCCATAAGCTTTGTTTTTTTGTACACAAATCATTCAAATCGAGGTACGGACTTTTAAACACAAGCATCGTTTTAAGGTTCTGTCCACGGATCACAAAAAGGTAAGTGTCCTTTCAGCAAAACGAAAACAAATCACATAAGGATGTGTGTGAATTGTTTTCGTTTTGCTGAAAGAACGCACACCTTTTGTGTGATCCGTGGACAGAACTTTAAAACGATGCTTGTGTTTAAAGGTCCTTAACTTGAAAAGTACATAAGTGATTCGAATGATTCTTATACTAAAAGAAAGCTTATGAATTGAGCTTTCATATCCCAGATTTTGAAAGTGCTACATTTAGTACTTCACTAAAACAATGGTCCCGACATTTGGGTTTGTCACAGAAGGATGTGTGTGAATTGTTTTCGGTTTGCTGAAAGAACGCACACTTTCTGTGTGATCCGTGGACAGAACTTTAGAAAGATGCTTGTGTTTAAAAGTCCGTAACTTGAAAAGTACACTTGTGTTTAAAAGTCCGTAACTTGAAAAGTACATAGGTGATTTGAATGATTCTTATACTAAAAGAAAGCTTATGAATTGAGCTTTCATATCCTAGAATTGAAAGTGCTAAATTTAGCACTTCACTAAAACAATGGTCCCGGCATTTAAAATTTTTTTTTTTTTACTCAACCTGTATATCAGCTCAGTGGATACTATACATTTTGAGGAAACAGAGAAAACGTATAATTATGCATAGTAATTTGGTTCTTGTATCTGGATTTCGCTGCTACACTGCAAAAACTGCAGTGTTAAATTTACACTATTGGTATCTATATAGGACCATCTGGTGTAACATTTTACTGGTGTTGTCCTATATAGATACCGAATGGTGTTAAATTAACACTACAGTTTTGGGTATTTGATACCAGTTCTATATCTTCATTTCGAGCAAGGTTTCTGTAATCAAATCGTCAGGTACTTCTCCGAGTAGTTGCAAATTACCCCACGTGGTTTTAACATTTTCAGCATAAGGTTATGTTAGTTATAGGGGTATACATCTTTAATGACACCAAGTGGCGCTCTTTCGAAATACATACTGTTTTCTTGAAGTTGATAAATATATTTTGCCACGTTTACAAAGTTTTATACCGACCTTGGGCTTTTCTGGAGGGGACCAAAAAAAGGATGTACGACTCTGTCCAGCGCGTAGACAGTGATGGGTTTTAAATTTTGAGTGTTTGAGTCCGCTGTATAATTAAATTGTACGTTATTGTTAATGTTTTCGCTTTCGTTAATATAGGTGTTCCCGGCCAATTTCCTAAAATGTTCATTCACTTCTGAAAATCGGCCATTCATTTTCGTCTGAATTTGAGAATCGCTTTGAACACGCGTTTCATTTTCGCTACCACAGCATTCGATTCCATTTCAGTTCAATCAATTAAGTGATTGAGCTGAACCTTTCGTCTATGTCCATTCAGATCCGTTTACAAGATTTCTTGTTTACTTTTAGAGGGCGATTTCAAACATTCACCATTCTATTTCACTTTTAGTTTAATGCCATCGGCACCAGATACAACTAGGGGTTTCTTTTTCATTGACCGTCAATCAAATTAGCTGTACGTAAAATCAATTTAGAAAAGGAATGCTTGCGTAAATGGATGCACAGGTAACGTACTTGGCCGTCTGTTTCTCAAAACCGAATGCACGGACAATGAAAACGATTAAACTTTCGTTCAATTGAAATGCGATAAAAGACGTACATTCAAATTCAGACGAAAACGAAAGACCGATTTTAGAAGTGAATGAACTTTTCAGGAAATTGGCCGGGAAAACCTATACTCATTGCCAACACCCCCACCCCAACCCGGATCCGCCAACCTCAAAGTTAATCTCGAATTTCTAGTGCATAAACGTATAACCGCATAACCTGCTACCATGGAAGTCATTTTGTTTGTTTCGATTCTGTGTGGTTCGGGCAAAGGTGTATTTACACGATAGTAAACAAACACCAATTTATCAGTTTCGTATCGGCCCTACATCACCAAAGATGTTCTTCTTTCCAAAACTCCATACAACTTTATAGCCTTTATCTAGTCGTCAATCAAGCCACTAAATTGAAGATCCTTTCACGTTGTTGGCAGCATACACTTGACCCTCGGTTTTGTGAACATGGCGTCTCGAATTGAGATCTTTTGTGCTTTGATTAAATAAAACTAGGCCTTACATCGCAAAGGCCTAGTTTTAACTTTGATAAAATTAGGACATAATGTTTGCAAAGTGATCGGCCCAGATTGCAAACGTTATCGCAGTGTTGTGCAAAGGATCAAACTTTAACCTCGGTGCATGCTTGGTACGCAGTTTTATATACCGGTACCGCTTCTTTATTTAGTCCATTTTAAGCTTCAAGTTTATTTGAGCACTTGGTCGCTTCCACGATACTGGTCGGGGATGCTACGGTGCGTCTTTGCATAACCTGTCTTTGCATAACCTGTCTTTGCATAACCCGTAACCTAACCCCTATCGATTCCGAAATTATCAATACGTAAACTTTGGCCTACTCGCCCGCACGATGTCTTTTTGAATAGTGAGTATCTTTTGTATTGCACTAAAATACACAAAAAAATTACCCTTTAGGGTTGAAACCCAAAAACAAAAGTAAGGACATTACATCTTCATTGGTGTTTTTCCCCCAAAAAATGCATTACAAGGTTGACCATCATTGACATTTAGAAAATGAACCATCAAAGATTATTCCCTTCTTTTCTGCTTTCCTGAATTCAGAGGTTTGATTAGTTGCATTCTGTGGCGGTCAACGGGATATCTCCATATTGAGTAGCCCAGCCATGGAGGACTTGCGTACAAACTCCAAGGCCCAGCTGGCGCTCGAGGACTCTGTCGCCTCCAAGTCGCCCAGTAAGATTCCCCTCATTTTGGTTGGAATCTTCGCTGCTGCCACCATTGCCCTAACGGCCACCACAAGTGAGTATAGAGCTCGAGCATTTTTTTTTTGGGGGGGGGGTTCGAAAAAACATTACACTATTTAGAAAGTTATCCCCCAAAACAGTTAATCTTAAAGAGGCCGGCAATTTACGGAAATTTACAAGGGGCCAATGCTGAATTTACTAAGCTCAAAACATATTTTCTTAGCAAAAGTAAGTTGCCAGCAATATACAATGTGGTCATGCAGTGTATGTTGCTCAAGGCTGATTCTCAGTGGCTTTTGCTTAGCACAAACATTCCCTAAGCAACATGGTCTGGCAACGCCCCTGGAAACATCCCCTAATTGTTGAGCAGATGATGGTGAAATTGCAACCACATTTTTTACTTGGGTTTGTTACCATAGTTTGTTTGTCAGACTTTAATGCTTACATGGTCATGAGTAAAAAATATTTATATATAGCACCATTGCACGTTTGTTTATTATATTACTTATGGCGGGGACCCATTAAGACGTTTCAATCACATCACTGGGTCGCTTTCGTCTTCAGAACTTGACGAGTTTGCTTATTTGGCTTGTTTTTGCAGTTGTTTTCGCACTGCAGAAGAACGACATTGCCGCCGAATTGGACGAAATGAAGGCACATAATGGGCAAGAGATGTGCACGACGAAGCAATGCTATGACTCTGGTAAGGCAGGGATTATGCCCGGCACTTTATCTGAATGCCCGAATCGCAAGCAGGCGACAGCATGAACGATACTGGCCCTGACATTATATCTCAGTGTTGACAATCAGTCTAAAAACGTCACTAATATTACAAGCCGCGTGTGTGACATGAACGTCGTACGCAAAATACCCTTGCCTGTCCATACTTGTCCCTCCTTAAAATATTCATAAAAACGGGCTGGTCATAAAAACGTACAAAGATCTATGTTGGAAATTAACAGCCAGTTTGAAAATAAGACGTGGAAAGTCGAGTAGTCAAGTGGAAAATAAACTGGACAATGACAAGAGACGTTGTCAACCACATACATTTTTAAACCTATCGCCCACTGAGGGAATGTCATAGTTCAGAGACCGCAATTTCATTGTTGAAAAAAAAAACGCAAAAAGGAACCATTTTTCACATCAGATGTAATTTTCTATTGAGCACGACTTTAAACGTGCCGGTATCCTGACATAAATTATCGGGTTGTTGGTTTCCTGATCAAAATTCTTCAAGGGAAAATATGTAGGTCTATCCTAACGACAGATGAAACACAGCAATCAAAAACTCAACCAATTGCTAAGATTGGAAACAGATAAGGGCAGGAGTCTTATATCGTGCTTTCTCTTCATTTGCTTTCAGCGTATGTTTACTTGGATAGTATGAATCAGAGCAAGAATCCCTGCGATAATTTCTTCGAGTACGCCTGCGGTGGCTGGGTCAAGCGATACACCGTACCAGAGGACCGGACTAGCTTCTCTACCTTCACTATACTGAGAGACGATCTGACGGACAAGCTCAAAGGTACAACATGTCAAAGAACACATGCTCACGAAAGCGACTGTCATCTTGCAATGTCGTCTCGTCCAATCTTCTCACATACTTCTACTGAAACTGATTTTCGGGTGTGTGACATGTCACAGTCATCTTTTTCATCCCCGTCATCGTCAAATTCCTTTTCATTGATTTCGTCTGTGTGACCATTAGTGTCACCGTCGACATGATAATCGTCGTCAAATTGTCACCGTCGTGGTTCGCCATTTTTCAACATTATCATGGCAACTGTTTCTATCATCGACATCGTCAGTTTGTCACTGATTTGTTGTGATATTTTTCTGATTGTACGAGTAAAAAGCTGTATAAGAATTGTCATTAAAACTGCCATGTTGGGCATTTCTTTATCAGTGCTATTTGAACGGAGTCCCGTTGCCGGCGAACCCTCGTCGTATCACATCGTGAGGAACGACTACCAGTCTTGCGAAGACATGGGTAAGTTGTCTCATCCACCAGACAGAGGAAAACATCCATTACGAATATACAATGTGTCTCAACAATGTTTGACAACATTTTACTTACAGAAGACAAATGAAAACTTCTATTAATGTCAACGCCGGGCTTTACTCACAGAGAGATATTTTGCGATTGTCGTAAGTCGTTGATATTCGTGAGCATCGTCAGCACTTCGATTGAACTAGAAAAGTATCTATAGTTATGCAACTATTTAAAGATTATAAGTTTCACAGTCATTTTGAGACTTTATCATTATCCAACAGACACCATCAACGCGTTGGGAGCCAAACCTCTGACGGACGTGCTGACTTCGCTGGGCGGCTGGCCGGTGCTGGGGTCTACCGCTGCCGGCGGTAACTGGAGCGCCAGCGAATTCGACTTCGAGAAACTCTGGGCCGCCCTCAGGGGCACATACTTTGTACAGCTGATTGTGGCCACGGACACCTATCCTGATCCTAGGAACACGGCCAAATACAAGTTGGATGTAAGCCCTTAAGGATACACACTCTTAAAAACCTCCGGGTCAAGTTCGATCCGGATTCCGGGTTTGATCTGACCATGTTTTCTTCTGGATCAGAACGACAATTTGTCGTGTTTGAGTGATATATCTCCGTCATAATATGATTTTGTGTGTGTCAATATAACACTTTCCCGACAGAGGACTCAGAGAAGTGTCAGTTTTGACCCACCGGGAGAAAGTGTCAGGTCAAATATATATATGGGTCGAATGAGACCCTGCCCGTTTAAGAGTGTATACTCGTAGTACTCGTATTGTTTTACTATACTTCCGAGGACAATGCTTTGTGTTTCCCTTTGTCCCATAGACTAAGGACACAGAGGACCGTTTCCAACAAAAGACCCAACTCCCGAGGATTGAAAGAATCTATTGTTCTCCCTTTGTGTGTCGGTTCTTAGGGGATAATGTAGAACACGTATACTAGTACATGTACATGTAATAAGATAAATTTATGGCTGTATTGTCAGTGCTAGGTATTGAATAGTTATAGTGTAACGTAAACACCAATATGATGATGTAAGATCGCTTAGCTTGGCAAAAGAAAGGATCTGTATGAAATTGGCACAAATTAATATACAAGATCAGTAAATGAGAAATACTTAATGTCGAAAATATTTTGTCTCTAAGTTTATGAAATGTTTGGATTACAAGTGAAGATGAAAAGAAATGGTTAAATCACAAAGGTAACCCTTGAGGAATCTGGCAATCCTACTGTACAACGACTCGGAACATGACACAAAATAGTGTCATTTTGACCCGGAAAAGTATCGTTTTGACCCGGAAAAGTATGAGGTCAAATATGACCCGGATTCCGGGTCGAATTTGACCCTGGACTTTTTAAAGTGGATTGGGGTCTAGCGGCAAATCATCCTTCTGACGAAGTCGTCTCCTTTCCTATTCTGCGGGCTGGGCCGGTTGCAGCTTGTGGTTTTAAAGAGCTGACGCTGTCAATATTTAGGCAAAATGGGTCGCCCTGCCCCCTGCTGTTATGTTCATTATTTTGTTGTAATGTTATTTGTAATTTTTGCTTCTTATCAGGCGTACACTCCTGGTTTCGTGGTACCGAAGGTCGACATCGAGAAGCCGCACTGGCGGGATGTGAAGACTTTGGTAAGGAATAGCCCGTGGTTTGCTATGACGTGTTTCATCGGAGAGATTATGTCCAAACAATAAAAAAGCGGATCAAAAGAAACCCAGATTTCTACAGATATTGCCGTGACTTTTGTTGTATTGTTGATATTGAAATGAAGCAGTCTTCCAGGAGCGCGTTAGTACGGCAGATTGGTGATGGGATTATTCATTTGATGATAAAAGCATGGCATTTGGCACACAGTCAGAGTATGTCATGGGAAAGATATATTTAGCCATAGGGCCATCGCAGATTTGTCCTTTGAAAAAATGGGGGTAAAAAAACATGCAATGTCAGCCATTTTGAAAAGTTTGAAAATTGCTTGTTATTCTTTCTATATTTTTTCATAGTTTTCATGGCCAAATATCTTCCCATGACATACCCTGACTGTGTGACAAATTCCATACTTTTATCATTAAATGAACAATTCCATCATTTTGTGCATCAATCTGCCTGACTAGGTAATATAGGGGTAACTACTGAAGAAGTCGCTGATTTGTTCAAAATGTGGCCATACTAGAGCAAATGTTATATTATTATAAAGCCTATGGTCTTGTTTATAATTGGTGAAAATATCAAGAAAATCCATCAATGCAAACCAGAGATATCGTTGGTTTTGTAAGGCTATATTATTTTCCTCCTGCACAATTAGAATCCTGTAGTTAAGGTAGTTAAAGGTCCTGTCAAAAGGGTCGACGTTGACGCTCGACCGATTTGCAATTAGAGTAGTTACCACGTGCTTTTTAATAATCTTCTTTGATGAACAATCAAATAAACACCCTTTTGCTGTGCTGTTTCTTCTTTTATTTATTTATTTATTTATTTATCCAAACACAACATGAAGGCCATGCAATATTTCAGGCACTGTGTAACACATCAGTAACCCAATAATTGGTATATACAAGTAATTACTACATGTGGCCATAACATTGTGTAGGTCGAAAAATACATAGCCTTACCGAATCAAAGATATCTCTGGTTTGCATCGTTGGATTTTCTTGATTTTTTTCACCAATTATAAACAAGACCATAGGCTTGAAAATGCCATAAAATTTGATATAGCTAGTCTGACCGACTTGATAGCTAGTCTGACCGACGAGAAAATCAGCGATTTCTTCATGCACAATGTTTATTGGAACACGCTGTATATCGGACGCAATGCAGACCGAAAACACGGTAAGCCGGCTAAAGAACGCGTGTTTTGTTTTTGTTATAAACTTTTATTTGCGTGCAACCTGCATTTAGTTTCGTCTACATCAGCATGTCATCAGTTCTACCCATTCACCATTTATAATACGACACTGCATCTGTATGATAACGGCATTAATTGTATTTCTGTTTTCCAGATTGACGAACCAGACGATTCTGAGGATTTGGGGATGAAGATTCTTTTGGATGAGAATTATTCGAAGGTATAGGTAATGATTATCTTAGCCCCCCCCCCCAATACCTATCATCAAACAACAGCCTACCTGTTAACGCGATAAGCTCCTTGCCATTCAGAAAGTGAAAAAAAGGCGTGGACCAAAAATTAAATCAACGCACATGGCATCTTTTTGGGGCAAGTTTCAAATTCCGTATGGCACGGCCACTGTATGTAGATCTTTGGCAAGCACATTGAGAGAGTGCTACGAAAACGTTCACACATTTGTGTATTTGCCTGCAATCGGGGACCCCTATTGTCCCTCTTTTGTTTGTACTTAAACTTTTTAGAAAGACCTCCCATATGTTTTGTACACGAATCCAAATTGGGGACCTTTCGGGAATTGGGGACCCTATTGTCCTCTATTGTTCAACGTCCCCTATTGACATATCGCGGTAGAATCGCGTTAGAATCGCGTCATCGCAGCTTGTGAAATATTGTCCAATTACATGATATAAAAATGGACACGGAACGCGCAAAATCTGAGACAAACAAAACTTAATGTACTAAAATTCCATAAGGTTGTTTAAGGGGCGTGGCTCAGTCGCAAACGGCAATAAGTCAATGGACCGATCCAGTAAGCTCCGCCCAGTGCGCACGTGGGCAAATTATCACATGCTCCTCTCCAATGCCACGCTGCATTTTCCTGCCGCGCGCATCATACGCGCGTGCACGCTTGTGGTCGGACTTTAGTGCACGCACGTCGGACATAAATCACGGCTGTGATTGGTCAGAACATCATGGGGCGGTGCTTACTGGATCGGTCCATTGAATGCAGAAACGAACTCCCACCAACTTGTCACGCCTGCGTCCCGTCATCGTCGCACTATGCAGTGCAAAGTGCACGGTGAAATTGCGCTTAATGGTGCTGAATTTGTAGGCCCTTCATGGTCTCATGTGTTTTTTGTTTTACCAAATTTTTGTTTCAGGAGAGGAAAGCGTACCTCCAGTACCTGATCGACATTGCCGTGGCTCTGGGGGCAGACGAGGCAGTAGCGAAGACGGATATGACGAACCTCATCGAGTTCGAGTCGCATATGGCTAACGTAAGACATTCGTAGACATTCGTCTTCGATTCTTTTCTTGTCAATGTTTGCTGTAAAGGGAAAATGGATTCAAAAATTGTATTTGTTGTTATTTCAAAAAGTTACTAGATCCAATTTACACATCTTGCAAGCTAGAGACGTATTTTAAGGGTGTGATATGATTCTGTTTTATGGTTATGGTGCTTTGGAAATATTTTCCATTTTCGTATGTATGAAGATTATGTGTAAAAAGGTAAAGGGTAAAGGGGATGAACCTGTGTTCACAGGAACGGAGTGCCCATCTCTCTTTCATTATCGATTGGGCCAGACTTATATGCTTCTGTGGGGGGATCGCCACACCTCCTCCACAGCGAGTCTGTTACCTTCCCAACATTGAATAATGCCGGTACCCATTTAACACCTGGGTTGAGAGGAGTAATTGAGGTAAAGCGCCTTACTCAAGGGCACAACACGCATGGCCACGGCAGGGCTCGAACCCACAACCTCACGATCATGAATCCTGTGCTCTACCGCTAGGCCACACGTGCCCAAATGTGTACGTAGATGTTAAATACTGTCATTGCAAAAATTAGGTTAGGTTACAAAAGTACTTCATTTTAAAATGATTCTCTTTAATTTTGTCTACAGTTGAGTGCGTTGCATCCAGACTCTGGCAATACTGAATACACCCTCAAGCAAATTGGAATGGATGTGGTAAAGATTTGACATGATTGCTGCGAGACATGGTCTCTTTTCCAGACTTTGTGTTGTTGTTGTTGACGGACATTTCAACTTAAACAGACATTTCATACAAATATCATGATATGAGTCGTGTTCAGACGCAACAAAGCCTATTTTTTCATATATTTAGAGTTTCGAGACAATTAAAATAAAACGAGACTTTTAGGTTTGCATGGTGGGCACGAACAAAGCATGGACTTTTTGCGGTAACACCATGTGAATATTATCTCTTTTGAGTTGTGTGGTTCTGAGAAGAACCATTTGGTTTAAACGTTTCGAGCAGTGTGCTCTGTTCGTCAGCAGGAGTTAAGATATAGTCCGATCAAATACGCAAAGTTAGCCGATTACAGTGAACTCCATTTTGTCCCTGAACACAACTCTTTAAAACTAATGATTATTTATCATCACATTTGCACATTAGGCCCAAAATGATCATCCCACCGCCAGGCGCGGTTCTAGAACCAATATTTTTTGGGGGCTAGCAGGGTGGATCCAGAATTGTTTTCAGGGAGGCATGCTGAAATGTAGACCGGTTATTTTCTCCAGACACTTAGGTCTCCGAAAATCAATAGGTGGGGGGTGGGGTCATGCCATATTTTCAATGGGGAGCGCCAATAAAATCCTAAAATCATTCACACTATATTAACTACAAATGCACCCTTGTCACGACTATTTCTTTAGGGGGAGACCGTTCGCATGTACATCACAATCCTTCTTTTTGCTAATGCAATTTCTTTTTACGGAATTTATTTGGGGGGGGGGGGGCTAGACAAAATTTTGGTGGGGCTAAAGCCCCCCCCAGCCCCCCCCCCCCCCCCCCCGTAGAACCGCGCCTGCCCACCGCACTTGTACCATAACACTGATTGCTAAGTTTTTTTTTTCAAGATCGACTGGAAGCGTTTCTATGAACTAATGTTGCCGGCAAGTGTCGTCCCAGGAGTAACAGACGACGAGCCCATCGTCAACTACAGGCCCAACTACATCGGTAACGTCACCATGTGGATAAAAGACCAAGACAACAGGTGGGTATACAATTTTCAAATTAACGACAATCCTGACCTAGAGTTCACGGGAAGAATCAGTTTAAAGAACTTTGAAAGTACTTCTGACACTTGAATGCCTTGCCATCAACATAAAATCCCCCAACCATCATTGTTTTGCTGAATGTTGCTTGCCGGGCTGCTAAAAGGGACTGGCTTTAAGTCGTAGCAGCCGCAGTCGATATTATGTAGATATTTTGGGCGGGCTTTGTTATAGAAGAGCCAAAAGGTTTCGTCCTGTGAGGCTAAAATATTCTGCGATAACCAGTCCTGCATACTTCTTGTAGTTGGAGACTCATCACTCCCCATTCTACTTCGGGAACATGCCATCCGACGAGGAATGGATAATCAGGGAAGTAATGTTGTGCTCAGAGAAACTTTGAGGAAAGTTTAGAATGATTTTTCTTTCCCGATCAGGGTCAAGGCCAACTACATGATCTGGCGTCTGGTGAGTCGGATGATCCCCTTCATGAGCGAGACATTCCTGGCCATCCGGCAGAAGTACCAAGAGGCAGTGGACGGCACGTCGACTCCCACGGCTCGCTGGAAGACATGCACCAACAACGCCAATGACCAATACGAGTATATCAGTGGTAGGATGTACGTGGATGACCACTTCCCTGAGGAGGCTAAACAAAAGGTATGAACAGCAAAGAGTGTGATTTCATAATGACCCGTGCACATACAGAGAGTAAGCGCACGTAGTTTTCCCCGCCCTATAGCAGGGCTCTCAAAAGTGTTTAAAAAAAAACTGGAGCCCATAGTATTAAAAATTATTGTAGGCGAATTGTAGACGAAATCCCATGAGAAATGCACACGGATGAATATTCTTGTTTGCTTTTTCCCCGTAGACGCTCGACATGATTAGAAATTTGCAGACGGCTTTCAAGTCCATGCTGAAAACAAATGACTGGCTGCAGGAGGCAGACAAAGGCGTGGCTGCTGAAAAGGTAAGGTCAAAGGTCATCAAGGTGATAGTTCGAAGGTCAAAGGGTCGTCATGAAGAACAGAGATCCTGAACAGTGTTTGCATGGGATGTATTCCTAACACGCCTTGTGCGAAACATGTACAATGTAATACTTCACACCACTGTGAAGTGGCCATCTCTAAAAAAAAAAAAAAAAAATGGTCATGAAAGGGCCATGCCGAGGTGTTTAAACTCGACTTTTTGTACAACATAAATCACGGCTGTGATTGGTCAGAATACCATGGGGCGGTGCTTTTAATACTGGATCGGTCAATTCAAGGCAATTACAGATAACTCAGCTGATGGGAAATCTCCTGAACTCTCGGATCAGATATATATATACCAATCAACTCTGATGATTTGTGTCACTGTGTAGTGGACATCAGATAGAAACCAGGCCCCTGTTACTGGCTTCAGTTAGTTTGATTCACAAAATATGACTTTACCAAAGAATAATTAATTTCAGCATGTGCAGTAGGCCTACAACTCTTAAAAGTGCCTTGGTCAGATATGACCTGGGTCATATATTTACCTGATTTTGTTTCGGGTCAAACTGACACTTTCCCGGCGGTAAAAACAACCAGAAAAGCCTGCCATTTTGACCCAGAGAGGTGTCGTGTTTTTTTGACTCTGAAAAGTATCAGTATGACGTCAAATACGACGCGACTTCTGGGTCAAATCTGACCAGAGACTTTTAAGAGTGTATCCTGCTTTTCGACTTATTTGAAATACATTTTTTTTTTGGTACAGATACTTTAGCAATCGTACAATGTCTGTCTGATAATTGCCTTTACCTCTTATAATTATTTTTAGGCGGATGCCATGGACATCGCCATTGGTTACCCAGAATGGATCAAAGACAACGCTAAGCTAGACGCGGAGTATGCCGATGTATGTAGCAAAAATAAAAGTTTGGTATTTTGGGGTGGCCATGGTTGTTAATTCCACCCAAAGTGTGGTGTCGGGTAGCTAGGAGTGCATGATGTTGTCATGCATGTTTTTGACAAAGAAAAATTACCTTTCAGATAAAAATGTGGGTTAAATCGAGGCCTCATTTTCTCTGCATGAGGATATAGTGTGCTGAAGGGGGTTGCATTCAATGTACTTTCTTGGAGTTTGTAGTCCTAGATGGCAAGTTGTGGTGTTGAGTCTGCTCGCTCTTTTTTTTTTACGGAATTACCAAAGTAACGAATCAAGCTGAAGCTGCTTTCGTATCAGCACTACGTGGTTTAAAGGGAAAATACAACATTTGCAAACATCAAAAAATAAAACTACCAAATCATTTTGAAATACCTTGCTGGACTGTTAGTGAATGACAGTGTAAAGCATCCTGTAAAATCATGGCACCTGGTATACTGTCATTTTTAATAAAAGTGGTAGTTTTGTATCAATTTCCAACGCTGATCGGCCGATCAGCGTTGGAAACAACTGGCTCTTTTTCAAATACTGGCCCCAATTGACCATCGCACTTGTTTGCAATCGATTACAAACCTATGAACGAGTACAAGCCAGCTAGGCTGGTTCCCTGACCTTACAATTCCCCAATGTATGTAAACTGCTCTGTTTCTTCTTATATGGAGTCAGGGAACCAGACTACAGGAAAATGATCGTTTTTCTTGGTTTTTATAGCATTTTCGAACCCAAAACCTAAAAAAAGTCAGTGTAACTATATTTGCTATATATTTCCAACCCCCCAATTCCATCCATTTCTGAAAATTACAGCAAAAGCAAATGATGTATATTCCTTAAGCTCTCACACCCATTCCAGTATGTGCGTAGATCGCATTCTGGCACTGTATAAAGATCGCAGAGAACTGGGAGGTCCTCTTTTAGCCAAAACGGCAAGATGACTGGTATGCGATTGTCTCTTTCCCTGCCCAAAGCTGACTGCCAAGGACGACGAGTATTTCCAGAATAGCCTGAAATTCCGCAATTGGACAGCCCAGGCTGAATTGGCGCTCTTACGTCAAGACGTGGACGTTGATAATTCACTGTGAGTAGGTTTCGAATGTTTGGATATTAGGTATAAGTTTGCAGTGTTACGATCTCAATTTCTTACATTTTTGCTTCGAACAGCCTATGTGTATAGCTCCCTAAGGAACCAGCTGTCTTTTGCCATTGGAAAGTTGTGTGCTGGCTTTAGGTTCATTGATGAACAACTGTAGGCCTAGATATAATCTTTTTTTAACGAAGAATGGTTTTGTCATGTGTATGAAATATTTAAAAGAATTCAATTAGTTTCAGAGTTAACAGTGTCTACTTTTTTTTAATGGACGAATTCTGTTCTACTCTTAGGTGGTCTATCGTTGGGCCGGCCGTCGTCAATGCTTTCTACAGTCCAACCAGAAATGGAATTTGTAAGTTAATGCTGCCTTTCTTTAATACACCCATCGAATACAGAAGACAAACCTACGTCATAGCCACCACATCGCCCATTATCACGGAAGGCCATGAGACAAAACACACACGCACAACCTAACCACCATTGCAGCAACACATTACTTTTTGAATGAGTCCAGATAGCAACCAAACACTTCATCTATTTTTTTATCTAAAAAAAACCAACTAAACGAATAAGTAAAATAACTCACAACTTAGTCCCACAAGAGCCAATTCACTCACCAATTTAACCAACCCTTGCAACCAACCAAGGGAAGCTATTGGTTGGCGGTGGCCGGAACTATCCCTCCGACTGACCATCCGACCGACCGACTATCCGCTCCGTTCACAAGTACCCACTAACCGGCAAAGCAAGCACAGTTGGGGGTGACCACTGAACCGACGCCATCTTGCCTGACTGGTGTACGTGCGTCACACACAAGGAGCAGGTGCTCGTCAACCAGCGAAATGTCCCGCCCATGGGACGTCGTTGCTAGGTAAAAGGGCGCCCTCTTTGTTGGCGCACGAAGCCCATACAGACCGTTTGCTGAGAAATGAGCATAATCAGCGCATCATCTAGCCCACTGATACCACCACCCGCCCACTGATCAACCAACCACGAACACGCCACCAATCGTGTAAACTTCCTGATTTGTTTTCTATAATAGTGTTCCCTGCGGCCATTCTCCAACCGCCTTTCTACCACAAGGATCTTCCCTGGTAAGTAACAATCACTACAATCTTCTGAATATCACAATATGTTTCAATTTAGCGTTTCCAGACTTATCCCATTTGTGTGAAATGAAGTGAACAAATGAAACTGTTCATTAGGTAGACATTTCAATGTCTCGCTACTGTCACAACTCCTATTTAGAGGCAAAATGTATTGTCGCAAACACGCTAGATCGATTTAGCGTGGTCCAAAACATAAATATACCAAAATTCGTGGGCCAGTAGATAAGAGAAAAGTGTGGTTACATTGCAATTTTTTTGCACAACCCTATAGGAATGCCCCATAAGGGACAATTTCCCGTAAGTTTAAGAACCATAGCAATTAGTAAGCTTAATATTTCTCAACTTGCCGTTGGAGTAATCTTCTCACTAACACAAACCAGTTTTCTTTATGGTATTTCAGGTACTCCAATTATGGTGGAATCGGTGTCGTCATTGGGCACGAGATAACCCACGGTTTTGACAACAACGGTAACTTTAGCCTACGAAGTCAATAAAGATTATGATAACTTTGGGGAAATCTGAGTGAATTTTTAGCAAAAGGTCTGCATTTTAAACTTAAAGAAGACGATGCAAAGGTATAGATAGTAGATAGTAATGTCCCTGTCATGTACTAAAAACGTCCTTTCTATGTGGTTTTTCGGAGTCTTTTACTTTGTTTTATTTGCCCTTAGATTTAGCTTTTATTTAGAAGCCGAACATAACGTTGAGGACAAACATTGTATTGTACTAACATTGATGAGAATATTGTTGAAAAAACGACGTTACAGTTTAATAAAAAAGGGGAAGACTCTGTATTTGTAAGCATTATGACTCATCGATTGATGGGAGACTATTTCCAAGACAAATAGTTCCAATACCAGTATTACTTGGTCTATTTTCACAGGGAGGCAGTACGACAAAGACGGCAACTTCGTTGTCTGGTGGAGTCAAGAGTCCATCGACAATTTCTTGCAGAAGGCGCAGTGCATCATCAACCAGTACTCCGGATTCGTCATGCCGGAAAACAATAGACACGTAGGTTTCGCTTTAAGCTGGTTCTTGAGATATTGCGGCCACAGTATGTGGGCGCTGTTTCCCTTTAATGTCACCACCATATCTTGAAACAAATTCCATTGGATCATTTTTTCAATGGCTTTCTGTTTCTGATAAATTAATTGAGATGTTACATCCCGTATGTGTGCAATAAGAGGCACACGTCAAGGAGAAAGTTGGAAAGATAATTAATATAATCTTATCAATCGAATCTTATTGGGGGAGTGTGGTCTAGTGGTTAGGGTTCGTGACTCGTGATCAGAGGTCAGGGGTTCAAATCCAGCTGCTGGCCAGATGTTATGTCTTTGGGCAAGCCAGTTCATCCCCACTTGCCTCTCTCCACCCAGGAGTATAAATTAGTACCGGCATTAGCTGGGGAGTAACCTGCGATGGACTAGCATCCCGTCCAGGGGGAATAGAAATATCCCTAGGCCCACATATCAATTATCATAAAGGGAAAGACTGGTTGCACGTTTGAATCTTTGTAAAATTACACGTTCTTCACGTCTTTTGTTATTGTTTTTCACAGCTGAACGGAGAGCAGACGCAGGGTGAAAACATTGCTGACAACGGAGGCCTGAGAGAGTCCTACAAGGTATCAACATGACTTTGTGTATACAATCCCTTAAAATACACACATTGCAACTCTATGTTATTTTACAGGTCATTTTGAAAACCCAGGACATTTACCGAATCTTTTTCCCCCGACATCTCGGTCACCAATATTAGGGCACATATCAACTTTCCTCGTAAGATTCCTCGAGTAATGCAGACTATCTGTTGCGTTCGGGGGAAATTGGGATTACAATCGACATGATTTCATAATTTGAAAACACCTGCAACCTCCTTAAATATCGTCACTTTAATGAATGATATTTTTTTTCATGTTTCTTCTTTAGGCCTATATGGACAACATACCCAAGCAACCTCGTCTCCCTGGCATTGACTTCACTGAAGAGCAGATGTTCTTCCTGTCATTTTCCCAGGTAACAATGAAAACTGTTCCATTCAGCCCCGCCCACCGCACGCGTGCGCATGCTCGATGCCATGCTGGGCGTGTCATACGCAAATTCACGCTATCAGGCATTTCTTGGACAATTGTGATTTGTCAAAACATCGGTAGATCGGTCTGTTATCAATTTTCAACTTCTTATGTTATAGCAAAAACAAAAATTTAGAAACCGATTCACGCCCCAATTGAAAGACCCCGCCCATGGGCATCGCCCCCCCCTTGCCCCTCCCCTCGCGACGTCCATGACCCCGCCCATTCAAACATCGTGTGAATTGATAAGATTAATTCTCTCTCTCAAAAAGGTTTCATTGTGAGGTTTGACAATGACCAAAGAATAGTGCCAATATCCGTGCACTCAAGTTTTCGCGTGCATACATTCCTCTTGTGAGGAAGTAGAGTTTGAATAAATTGAAGTAATCGTGCAAGTAGATTTATCAATTTTTTTGTTTAAATTGCTGAATTCTTCCTCCTCCAATCAAGATTTGGTGCAGTGTGTTCAAACCTGAAGGAGTGGATAACTACATCGACAATGGAGTGCACAGTCCTGGCCGATACAGGTATGTTTAGGTGTTTCAAAACCTCGGGCTCTCGTCTGCGATTTCGACCCCTGTCTCGCTGACGTTGAGTCTAAGCAGACTATAGGAATTGTACATGAGATCATTAAAGTCTATAATATTGAGGTCACAGGTTTGAGAGTTTCCGTTTGGGTTGGACTTGAAACGTTTCTAGTGTCACACTATAGGAGGCAAAGCCAGAGTAGACGCCGTGGTTTCGAAAATTGCCCATGTCTTACTGCACACCAGGATTCAGGGGATTAAGCAGCCCGGAATGAAATTCTCAAGGCACAATGAAAAAAAGTGATATAGGCTAGTTTATAACATGCTATAGTTTCCCACATTAGCCCAGTGATGTACTTGGCGCTTCAAATTCAAAGTTTTATATAAATCATGAAAGTATATGTCAGTATGATACAGAAAATTACCAAATTAAAAAAAAAAAATCCGAAGCAATAAGCTTGTCAGAGAAAACTGCTTATCTTATTTGACATGTTAAATCCCAATATTGCAAGAAATGGTTCTACTGGCTGAGCTTTAGGGTCTAAACGTTTATTCTGCGACAACGCAGGTTTAAAAGTTGAAACAAAGAGGAAAAAGGTCATTGCAAATCGAAGTACAGGCCTGCAAACCGTTTATAAACATTCGTTTACGAAAAAAGGAATGATCGACGTAGTAGCACTAATTTTACCAAATGAAAAAAACAAGAGCTACAACTTTATTTCAAAATTTACAAATTCTAGAGCTTTAATTAACCGTAAGTATAATCGTTTCTATAAAAGTGCATTTGCAAAAATGATAACTCCATCTCGCCTTATCTTTCTCCTCCGTACAGAGTCATCGGTCCGCTTCAGAACAACGAGGCGTTCAGCGCTGCGTTCAACTGTCCGGCTGGAAGCTACATGAACCCGGACACCAAATGCAAAGTCTGGTACTAACTTCCTCCAAGGATAGACCTTATGTGTGGCGGTCATCTTAGAGGGCATCATTTGTTGTTTTAATTCAGTAACAATGAATGCACAAAAGGGCCACTCATGCGTATCCCAGCAAAACAAAACACATTGCCTAAGATGGCTGCTTAGCGTTCATCGTAAGAAACATTCCATTCTTCATTTGTAAAACATCACAATTGAAAAGCAAATTACAATTGAACTTTGAACAGATTTTCTAATTGGGTTGAAACTTGATAGAGCTTTTCATGATTATAGTCGTGTTCCCTAACGTGGCGCACTTCGAAGCTTACCCAAATTTCCTCGTGTAGTGTTGCCAAACCTCTTTGTTGACAAACCTCAAATTCATGCAGTAAAATACTGGCACTTTTACCTTATTAATGCGTGTTATTTAACCTTTGTGAACAATTTCGGTTTCGAAATTCAAAAACGGTAGCGTCCGGAAATTGGGCACAAATTGGCGGAGTGTTCCCTAACGTGGCGCACTTGAATAAATCTCGAATCTTGATAAATCTTGATAAATTCTGATAAATCATTATTATCTCTACTTACATACCCAGCCAGATGTTTGTCAGAAAATTATTTTCTTATGTTTCGGGGCATTTTCACAGGGTTCACTTTGCACTTGAAAATAAAATCGGCAAATCACGCCAAAATGAATTTTTCGTCTAACTTTTTAACGGTAAATAAACTCGCAATTTATGAACGGGATTGTTAAGAACTTGATGAAATTTCAGTTTCTGTGAAATTTCAGTTAAAACTTTTGCTGTAGCTAGGCGCTACAGGCGAAAAATCAAAGTGCGCCACGGTAGGGGCCGCGCCACGTTAGGGTACATCAACAGTATTTGCATTTATCCCAAAAGTAACCTACATAATTATTATCAAAAAAATTAATTGAACTACAGATCGTTCCGGTACTATAAATACTGCAGTGGAATTGTTCCGTCCGGCTGGCTGTAATTTAAGACCAACCAAGTAATGTAGGTAATCCCTATACGATCAGTCAACAAACTGATTTTTGGACATAAAGAGTTCTAGTGCTATATCGACGAAATCTTAGGGTACAAGTTGCATACGACAGAGCTGAAACTTCAACAAGTTAGGCTTTAACATGGTTCTTTGAATTTTGAGAGGTGTTGTCGTTTGAAGCGCACGACATGCATGAAAAGCAAATGATCCTAATATGCACTAAAACCTTTATACTGTTCTGCCCTGTAAATCTACAGGGGGTCCAAAATGTGTTTGGGATGTACCATAATCTTGTTTAAGATGTACTCTAATCTTAGTTACTTGTCATTGCCATCATTATCTAAAATTGATTTTATAATATTTGAATTAAAAACAAATCTATTTTGAAAAAAGTAGTCTATTTTTAATTATTTATTCATTGTGATAATTGTGTCTGTCTACAATTGAAAAAAATATATATTTATACGCTAAGTGAAACTAGCAGTGTAGTTGTATTCTCATTTTCAGCGTTTTCTCTTCCGATTAGTGTTAGTCGTGACAGCAGGCGTTGTAGGGTTTAGCGAACTTAGGTTTTACATTCAATGGCTGGGCAGTGCCATGGTGTCCGACGTGCGGTTTGGGCAATAATTGAACACGCTGCGTAATAAAAGTTGTAATGGTAAAGTAGATTTTATTTTAATTCCGACAATATGTATCAATTAGTTATAGGTTACTATGATGATATAAGAAATTCATACAATGTTTTTGTTGTAGTACAGGATCGGCCCAAACCCCCATGGTGTCCGACGTAGTCGACTAATTGGTTTTTTTTAAGTTAACATATTAAATATTTAGTTAAATGTAACAGCTGAACTGTTCAACACTGTCAAACTTTATTTCATTAATAAGCTTCAAAATGATATACATGTTTCATTTGTGGCATTTTGATTTTGTAAAGTTTTTGGCGTTTAGATTTATTTGGATTATCCGGCTGCCACGCTGCCACTAAGAGTGACTTCTTTCTTTAATAGAAAATGTGTTCACATGGGGGTAAATCTCACACTTTAGTATTTCATAACTGGGCTACATAATTCGTCGTAGTTTGAAGTGCAAATGTACTACGAACTCTCGTTAGAACAGGCTTTACGTTTTGCAGGCACCATTCCGGGGGGGGGGGGGGTTGAGAAAATCCAGCTGTCAATTTTTGTTTCATAGAAATTCCTTTAAATTATTGCGACCCCCCCCCCCCCCGCTCTGACACCCCCAAAAATTATACTGGTAATATTGTCTGCCTGTGCAAAAACACAAGGACAGAGCCAGTTTGGTTGGGGGTAGTTAGGGGGTATTTGTACACTATTCTGTAATAGGGCCTATATTGTAAAGAATCGTCGGATTTGTCAGAGAGCAATGGTGTGACGTCATTGTTATTTTCTTATGAATAAACATCGAACTAGCTGAAAAATCATGATCCATTGACGAGTGCTGCAGATAAAAACACTGTTCTGACACCACATTATACTAGGGGGCGCTCTTCAGCATATAGAATTATGTATATTCGCGCTTACATCAAAACGGTTCATATTTTAACAATTTTTGTACTTTGTTTCTCAACTTTTCAATGCTATTGTATACATTTGGGTTGTTGGGATGCTCGAAAAATACCTCAAAATCCGCAAAGTAGTGGGGGTGGTAATTCAATAGCCCACCCCCTCCTTCGCTCTAAACCTGGGGAGGGGTATAATATTATACTCCCCCTCCTCCCGATTTACGCCCCTGTGCACAGTCCAGGACTGCGAGATCGTATTTCTGTGGCATTTGGGAGAAATCGGGCGGCCCCCTGTAAAGTGCCCATAGAAGGGTCGTGGAGGGGTCTGCAAGCTCAAAGACCAAATGGCTTACTTTCACTCTCTAGCTAATTTTCGATTTAGAAAATACAACAAAAACTTGCAGAGGGTATATAAACTCTGAATTATATGTATTTTTTTATTTACACAAACAATCACAGGAATTTGCGTGAAGCATGGCTAGTTTCAATAAAAGCCAGTGCTATTCCTTTCATAACTAATTCTTGTATAGCGCCCCGCAATCCATCAAAAATTGACGCTCAAGGCTTCAGGGGAAAGGTATTAACAATTGCCTTTATTCAAATATACAAATAAAAAAAAAATGCCGGCAACTCCTGGCAGGTATAGACAACCTTGCCACCAGTTGTCATGGCTGAGGTTCATTTGCTTTTGGGTCAAGCATTGTGTGACTCCACTGGCGCCACAATGAAATGCGCAAGTTGCAAATTTACGTCATCACAGTCACCCACGCGCCCACAATACTGTGGTGGCAGAGCTTTATTTTAAAGGGGTGCACCGATTACAGAAGAAAAAAACTGTATCTGCAGCATTTAGAATACTTTACACAGGCGTTGCATATGAACCATTCTAACGTTAAACTATTTGTTACTGTCACCCATTTGGCGGGCGTGGCTTAACTTCTAGACGATTTATGGAAGCACCTTGATTCAAGCGAGGCCCAACTCGTCATTTATGGTGGTAAAAACACATTCAGCATTTGTTAACTATATTTTTTTGTCATAATATACACTTGTATTAAAGGCCATGTTACAGGTATATCATTTTGTCCCTTTTATGGTGGCGTCAACATAATTGCACATAAAGTCAGTTTCTCGTTGTGGTTTATTTGATAATTTGTGATGAATGCTCTATCCTATCTCCATTTGCCAATTCCCTGGATGGTATCATTGCTAATGTTGCTGGTATCATGACTTTGGGCGTGATTCCTGCCATATGGCATCGTTAATGGCTTCTAACAAGCGCCTTCTGATTAAAAATAGACATTGACAAATTGGGATACCGCCAACATTTTGCTGGATAGCTCTGTAGGTAGAGCACTACAACAATAATCCGGAAGTCGCAGATTCAAACCCAGTTGTAGTTATTTTATTTGCTTAACTTTGAAAACAAAACCACAGAATATTGGTGCAAAAACTTTTTTTCAATGTAAGATGATGTTTCAAACCGCCAAACTCACTGGTTTGGCTAAATCCTGCTGCTGCACAATTTTAACGTGTTTTTAGATGGGGTTACGATCGAGTATATATAAGCTTGCTTTATGTGGCCTCTCTGGGCTCCCATATATTTTGCACTAAATGTAGTCGGGCAACATTTGCAGATGAGACGGTGTTGTAATTTTGTAATTATGCGTCTGGAAGCCAGACTGAGATAGCGATGGTCGTGTATCTCTGATTTTTGTCTTGACTATCCAAACTTCCCTAAGAATGATCATGTCGGTCCATATCATAAGTGGGTGCAGAATGGGAGACTTTTGAGACGTTGGTGGCAGCAAACATACCGGTCCTTTTCAATAGTTACGCCATGTTTAATCTAAAGCGCGCATGCTCAATAGGAAGCGAATAATGGGGAAAAAAAGGACCGGTGTGTTTGCTGCCACCAACGTCTCAAAAGTCTCCCATTCTCAAGCCTTATGGCTTTTATACATAGGTCACCTCAAGCTCCAACCTGAGGGATATTTTTTTAGAGGATCGAAGCGTCATCTGCAACATCAGCCGACAATTGGGGCAAGCACCACTTTTGGGGCAAGCTCCTTTCCATACCAGAAACCGGAGACTTTTTTTGGCCTTTGAATTAGAAAAAAATAAGCACTGGCAACCCTGCGGGGAAGGGTATTAACAATCGAATAAAAGTGCATAATAAAGAAAACTCCTGTCAAGCATGAACAACCTTGTTTTGATTGCCACCATTGTCATGACCGAAAGTCATTGCCTTTGAGCCCCATTGTGGATCATGGCGTATGCGTGTACTCCACTGGCGCCACAATGCATCGCGTAGTTATACTAATATTATGGACATGTTATACTAGTACCATCGACATTACACCTGTTCCCGAATTTAAAAGGAATTAGTTGCATTCTGCACCGTTCTACGGGAGGTCCATTTGGAATATTCCCCCACCATGGAGGACAAGCATACAACTTCCAAGACTCAACTGGCGCTCGAGGACCCCGTCGCCTCGAAGTCGCCCAGTAAGATTCCCCTCATTTTGCTGGGTATCTTCGCTGTTGCCATCATCGCCCTAACGGTTACCACAGGTGAGTAGAGATCGAGCATTGTCCGGGAGTAGTGGGGTGTTGTGAAAAGCTTTGCAATATTTATAAAATGATCCCCAAAAGATTAATCTTAACCCATAAAACAATTGTAATAATGCATCTAAGCAGTCACCATTGTTTTTGCTAGAAGTTTGACTGACAACGCCCAAGATTGAAGATGTAGGTAAACGGGGATTTTCCACACAATGAAAACTCACCAGAACGTTGCTGCGTATGTCGCATTTTCTCCACAAGTATTGGGTCGACGGACTTCAAACTTGCTGGAGGTTGTTGCCTGACTATCCAGCTCTCCAACCATGTATACTTTTTTAGGAAAATATTACTGACAACATGCCCAAAATTGAAGATGTAGGCCCCCAGGTATGCGCGGGTCGAGGCCCCGCTAAAACAGCACACTATCCGAGGATTTTAATATACACACACGATGAAAACTCAGCAAGAAAGTTGTTGCGTATGCCGCATTTTCTCCACGAGTATTGGGTCGACGGACTTCAAACTTACTGCAGGTTGTTGCCCGACCATCAAGCTCGCTATCCATGTATCTTTTTCAAAGAAATGTATACCCAAAATTGAAGATGTTGGCATGCAGGCATGTGTGGGACAAGGCCCCGACTGAAAGCCTATACTATCCGGGGATTTACACACCCAATGAAAACTCATCCGACCAGAAAGTTGTTGCCTGTGCTGTATTTTCTCCACGAGCATGGGGTCTACGGACTTCAAAATTGCTGGAGGTTGTTGCCTGTCTATATCCAGCTCTCCATCCAAGTATTTTATTATCCAAAGGTTCACTCGGACGTGTGGCTTGATAACTAAGATTGTTCTAAGTCCCCACCTTGGATGAAACACCTCCCGACCAGCATGGTACATGTACACTGAAAAATTGCCTGGGTTAATTTTACCAAAGAAAGGGTGAAAACTGGAACTACCCAAACTTGGGTTGTTCTATATAAACCAATTGTTTGGGTAAGAATTTCTGCTAAATTCTACCAAACCTTGTGGTCATTCAAGACCAAATTTAATTTGGTCTTTTATGACTACAACTTTTGGTTGAATTTAACATAAATTATAACCCAAACAATTGGTTATAAAACAACCCAAGTTTGGGTAGTTCCAGTTTTCACCCTTTCTTTGGTAAAATTAACCCAGGCAATTTTTCAGTGTACATTTAAGTGCAGTTCGAGATGTGTTGTTTGCCAGATCCACATCCAGGAGTCCAACTCCTTTCTGGCCACTCTTCGGCAGAGCGAGTCACTGTTTTTTGTGTGTGACTCGGGTCATTTTAAAAAAGTGACTCGAGTCGAGTCGAGTCATTTTAAAGAAGTGACCGATCCACATCCAGGAGTCCGACTCCTTTCTGGCCACTCTTCGGCAGAGCGAGTCACTTTTTTGTGACTCGGGTCATTTTAAAAAAGTGACTCGAGTCGAGTCGAGTCATTTTAAAGCAGTGACTCAAGCCGAGTCACTAGATCAAGAAGGTCGAGTCGAGTCGAGTCAAATATTCATCTCGAGTCAATTCGAGTTACGAATACTTGAACACTACATAACGAATAAAGACAGGAGAGAAAGTCATTTGTATCACTAACAATTAAGAAGAAGTGAAACTTCGATCTTAAGCTTTGTGGTTTGGCTTCCTGGTCTCGATTTTGTTAAACGTGACAGCATCAAAACCAAATTGCATTATACAAAACTGTATTTAAAAATGTATGTGCATGTATCTATTTAATATTTAAAAGGATCAGGGCATAAATTTAGCTGGAGTTCGAATTAAGAGCTTTATAAGAAATTGCCCAAAGCCAATGATGAAACAACGAATTGAAAATGTGGCTTATATCCGGTTCCTGGATAGTATTTTGTGCGTTCCAGAATTTTGAGGTGGGAGTCTGTGACACGTTGTACATGGCAAGCGGCCGCTGTACCGTACCGTACTGTATTTGCAAAGTATTAAACGTCAACATGAATTTTGCACAGTAAGTCATCGCAAATGTTTTCCGCAAAGTTTTGCTTTTATTTGGGGACGCGAGGTTTATCAGCCTTCGTTCGAGTCGAGTAGAGTCTTTTGATGAGGGACTCGAGTCGAGTCACCTGCTTGCAGTGGCTCGAGTCGAGTCAAGTCATTTGACTGGTATAGAAGGCGCGTATAGACTGGTCTGTTTCTCGAGGTCACACGCAGTGTAGTTGCATAATTAATCGCCGAATCTGTTTACGTATCATAGACCATGCATGGTCAGCTTCGCCAGGGCCAGGGTCAATTACAAAAATAGACTACATGTACTTTTAAAGTATGCCTGGCATGCCTTTGCCCCAGGGGCTTAGGTTGTGAACAATGGCGCTATTCAGCCAGCTAAGGGAGGCGTAAAAACTTTTCATAATATTAAGCCACATGTATCGACGCAAGTTTTGCTTTTCATCACCACACACGAAGTAGCAAGGAAAAGAAAATGAGGTCACTTCAGGATGTCAAAGCATCCATTGCTACAGGTACTGAAAAAAATGGATGACAAACAAATATTGAAGAAGGTAGCCAACATGAAAGCATAGGTCGAGAAGAAAACATACGCATATAAAATGATAACGATTGATCTTGTCTGATAAGGAACTTGAAATACTACAAGCAAGTGAGCCGAGTCGAGTCATATAGGTCAAGTGGGCCGGAACTTGAAACACTACAAGCAAAATGCTTAATGACAAAAGCAAAAGCATGTTTTCATGTACACGTTTCTAAGGAATTGCTAATCTGGGAAGCGTTTGCTTGCAAGAAACGATTCAAGGTCAATTCTCCCCCTGACGGATTCGCCCCTTACCAACTCGCCTTTACCAACTCCTCGCCCACTGACCGACTCGCCACTTACAAACTCGCCACTTACAAACTCGCCCCAGCCGACTCGCCCCCTCGCCGACTCGCCCCCTCGCTGACCCGCCCCATGACCGATTCGCCCCCTAGCCGACTCGCCCGCGTATTTGTTTGGCAGCATAGACCTACATCATATTTTAAAGGGTCATTAGGTCCTGAAATCCCCGAAAATTTCATGTTTTTAATTGTTTACTTATCCTATTTCAAGCATCAGGCTGAAAGGAAACCAACCTAATGTCTTACCGTTCCCGAGAAAGGAGAAGAAACGCGGTTGTTTACCACGTTAGTGCCCCCATAACTGGTACATTCCCCCTGTGAACACCCTCCCTAGCCCCCCCCCCCCCCCCCCCAAGCAAACCCTGACGAGTCCACTGCATGTTCGATCGTCTTCAAAATTTCACGAGTTTGGTTGATTTTTCAGTTGTTGTCGTGCTACAAAAGAACGACATTGCCGCCGAACTGGACAAACTGAAGGCGAATAAACCACCGGTGCCCGTGGATCCGGATCGGGAGGTCTGCACGACGAAGCAATGCTATGACTCCGGTAAGACAGGAAATGTCCGTGCTCTTTATCTGAATGACCAGGTCGTACCTGTGACAACATGACCGACGCTAGTTGCAGGTCCTTTATCGCCCATCGAAGGAATGTCACAGTTCAGAGACCGCAATGACCCATTGTTGAAGAATACTTATGAACTTATGAACCATGTTTCCACTTAATGTATTTTACTAGTGAGAACAACTTTCAAAATTCCAATATCTCTCCCTGTATTAATAACCGGGTTTATGTTTCCTGATCAAAGTTCATCCAAGGGAATGTGAAACTCGAGAATCAGACATTTGAAACTTTGCCGCGGTTAAAAACCGATATGGGCAAGAGTTAAGTTCTAGGTTTGATATCGTGTTTTTCTCTTCATTTCTACAGCGTATGAATACCTGAGTAATATGAATCAGAGCGTGAATCCCTGCGATAATTTCTACGAGTACGGCTGCGGTGGCTGGGTCCAGCGCTACACCGCGCTAAACCTGACTAGCCCCTCTACAAACATATTGAGTACACTGGGAGACGATTTGACAGACAAGTTGAAAGGTAATTCATGCCACTCAACATAAGCTCATAGAAACGACTGTCATCTTCCAGTGTCGTCTCATCCAATCTTCTCACGTTCTTCTCCTGAAACTGATTTTCTTGTGTGACATGTCAAAGCCATCGTCTTCATCGCCGTCATAATCTTGGCAATTGTTTCCATCATCGACATCGTGCACCGTCCTTTTCATCGCCATCACTATCTAAATCATTCCCACTGTCGGTTCTTTTTCCACCGTCATTAATGTCGACATACACATTTTAGTGCGACAATGGCAGCACTGTCCTGACCCCACAGCCGCTACCAGTCTTTTACTTTAGAGACATCTTCATCGACAGTAGCGTCATCGATTAAAAAAAAACACTGCCTGTAATTTTACGGTAAATTCATTGTCAAATAAGTTGCCAACCAAATACCGTAAGATTACGGTTACTTATACGGATTTCCTGATTGTCATTGTGGTCATTTTACTTGTTACTTGTGTCTAAAATGTTGTTAATTCAAACTGCCATATTGGTCATTTCTTTATCAGTTATATTTGAACGGAGTCCCGTTGCCGGCGAACCCTCGTCGTATCACATCGTAAGGAACGACTACCAGTCTTGCGTAGACATAGGTAAGTTATCTCAACCACGCCAATTACGAGTTGTTCTTTTAAAATTATAAGAGTGACACTTACCCTTCTGCGCAGAGCTCAAAGCTTGACAATTTATAACTATTATAAAAGACCAATGACAAGTTCTAATGTCAACGCCAGGCTCTACTCACAGGGCAATTTTTGTTGCCAATTGTTGCAAGTGGTTGACGGTTTGTGTGCGCATTGTCAGTAGTTTGATTGCGTGAACTATATGAATGTTTCTATTGTTATTCAGTTATCTAAATATTACAAGTTAACACAGTGAAATTGAGACTACAGTTTCGCAAATATCCAACAGACACCATCTACGAATTGGGAGCCAAACCTCTGACGGACGTGCTGACTTCGCTGGGCGGCTGGCCGGTGCTGGGTTCTACCCCTGCCGGCGGTAACTGGAACGCCACCGAATTCGACTTCGAGAAACTCTGGGCCGCCATTAGGGGCAAATACTACGTGCAATTGATTGTGGCCACGGACACCTATCCCGATCCCAACAACACTGCCAAATACAAGTTGGATGTAAGCTCTTAAGGATACACACTCTTAAAAAAGTCTGAGTCAAACTCGACCGGATTCCGGGTTCAATTTGACCAGGCATTCTTCTGAGTCAGAATGAGAATTTGTTGCCTTTCAGTGACAAATCTCTCGGCCATATACGATTTTGTTTCGGTCAAAATAATACTTTCCCGTTTTAAATGGCCCCAACAAAGGACTTTGAGAAGTGCCAGTTTTGACCCGGAAAGAGTGTCAGTTCAGATATAATTGAATGACATGCGACCCGGCACGTTTAAGAACGGTATACTCGTAGTGCTGTCTGTAACCCTTTTAGGTCTAACAGGGAACAAAAATGATATCTGTACCGTCAAAACAATTCGGACTGCCCATGCTAGGTATTGAAATGGTAAAGTGCAATGTAAAAAGTCTCCGATAAATCTACGCAGATTCGCAAAAAAAAGACAAATACAAAATACTTGGTCTCTCTTTATGAAATATTTGGATTACAGGAAAAGATGAAATAAAATGGTAAAATGGCAGGTAAACCTTTACGAATCTGACAATCCTTCTGTATGAGGGTACTCTAAAAATCCCAACGTCAGAGTTGACCCGGAATATCCGGGTCATATTTGTCCTGATACTTTTCCGGGTCAAAATAACACTCTTCGGGGTCAAAATGACATTTTGCCGGGTCAAAATAACACTTTTCCCGGTAAAAACAATCTTTCCGGGTGCAAAATACCCTTTGGGATTCAAATGAACCGAAAAATGACCCGAAAAAAGTATCATTTTGACCCGGAAAAGCATAAGGTCAAAGATGGGCCGGATTCCTTGTCAACCAGGACCCGTTAGAGCGGATTGGAGTCAAGTGGCAATGTACAATGGCTCAATTCATTTGTTTTATTGGGGCTGGGTTCCAATTTCTAGTTTTAAAGAACTGACGGTTTCAGTTAGGCAAAATGGGTCACGCTGCCCCCTGCTGTTATGTTCAGTATTTTTTGTTTTTACATTTTTTGAATATTTGTTTTTCTCATCAGGCGTTCACTCCTGACTTCGTGGTACCGACGGTCGACACCGAGATGCCGCTCAGACGAGGTGTGAGGGCCCTGGTAAGGAAAAGCCCCTGGTTGGCCATTACTCCTATTAATCCCAGAGATTCCATTCACACAGTGAAAACGTGAATAGAAAGGAGCTCAGATTGCTTCAGATATTGCAGTGACTTTTCAGTTCAGTTCACATTTATTTCCATTCTGCACAGCACAATTTAGTTGTATTGTTGAAATAGAAATGAAGCAGTCTTTCCATGAGCACATAAAGTGTTCCGTAGGCCCTAGGCACCAGTGTTCCCTGTTCCGTAGGCCCTACTCCGCACTAGTCACCAGCACCAAATTCATGTTGATGCTAAGCTGTACTAAGCAAGCCAGGCCACACTGGTAACTCTAAAAGCCTGTTGGCAAACTGTGGTATTTTCGTAGGCCTTCAAATTTTTCGTAGGCCCCTTATTTCTTTTCGTATGCCACATGCACAGTGCCTATATTGGATAATCCGGGCCTGCATGAGCGCGTTGATATAGGCGTAACTATTTATCGGACACAATGCAGACTGAAAACATGGTTACGGAAAACCGGTTTAATAAAACTGTGATTTGTTCTTTTCGACTTTTATTTTGCGTGCTATCGGCAGTGAGTTGTGTCTGCGTCAGAACTCACAAGTTCTTGATAACTACATTTATGTCATTTCTATTCTCCAGTTTGACGAACGAGAAGATTCTGGGAAATTGGCGGTGAGGATTCTTTTGGACGAGAATTATTCGGAGGTAGGTGACGATTGTTCTTTTTTACCCTCAATACCAAACAATTGCAAAAATAGGTCAGCATGTTCCTGGGCGACATGGATAATAGAGCAGCTCCATCCCCACTGAAGTACTCCATCGTATAACAAAGCGTCTCAACATTAGGCTTTCCTAATCAAACCCTACACTGCAAAAACTGTAGTGTTAATTTAACACCATTCGGTATCTATATAGGACAACACCAGTAAAATTTAACACCAGATGATCCTATATAGATACCAATGGTGTAAATTTAACACTCCAGTTTTTGCAGTGTACCGTCTGGCTGCTGCAGCTCCAAGCAGCCCAAGGGATGTCAAGCTCAAGTTAATTCCTTCCGGGTCACAGTGGAGTCCATCCTGCTAAATAGGTACGAAGTCCCTCGATCATTGTTACCCCACGTGTTGAGGATGGTACTCAACATCAACTGGATAGACCACGAGAACACATGTCCAAAAAAGCTCTTATACGGCAAGCTACCGCTGATCTTGCAAAAATCGCATACATATGCGGATGGGCGAAGCGGTGGGGAGGACAGAGGACGAACTGTGTCGGTGTCCTGAGGAGGGATGCTGGGGCGAAGACCATGAGAGAGGACAGAGGTCGAGCTGTGTCGGTGTCCTGAGGAGGAATGCTTGGGTGGAGACCATCAGGGAGGACAGAGGCCGAGCTGTGTCGTTGTCCTGAGGAGGAATGCTTGGGTGGAGACCATCAGGGAGGACAGAGGCCGAGCTGTGTCGTTGTCCTGAGGAGGAATGCTTGGGTGGAGACCATCAGGGAGGACAGAGGTCGAGCTGTGTCGTTGTCCTGAGGAGGAATGCTTGGGTGGAGACCATCAGGGAGGACAGAGGCCGAGCTGTGTCGTTGTCCTGAGGAGGAATGCTTGGGTGGAGACCATCAGGGAGGACAGAGGACGAGCTGTGTCGGTGTGCTGAGGAGGGATGCTTGGGCGGAGACCATGAGGGAGGACAGAGGTCGAGCTGTGTCGGTGTGCTGAGGAGGGATGCTGGGGGCGGAGACCATGAGGGAGGACAGAGGTCGAGCTGTGTTGGTGTCCTGAGGAGGGATGCTGGGGCGGACACCATGAGGGAGGACAGAGGTCGAGCTGTGTCGTTGTCCTGAGGAGGAATGCTTGGGTGGAGACCATCAGGGAGGACAGAGGACGAGCTGTGTCGGTGTGCTGAGGAGGGATGCTTGGGCGGAGACCATGAGGGAGGACAGAGGTCGAGCTGTGTCGGTGTGCTGAGGAGGGATGCTGGGGGCGGAGACCATGAGGGAGGACAGAGGACGAGCTGTGTCGGTGTGCTGAGGAGGGATGCTTGGGCGGAGACCATGAGGGAGGACAGAGGTCGAGCTGTGTCGGTGTGCTGAGGAGGGATGCTGGGGGCGGAGACCATGAGGGAGGACAGAGGTCGAGCTGTGTTGGTGTCCTGAGGAGGGATGCTGGGGCGGACACCATGAGGGAGGACAGAGGTCGAGCTGTGTCGGTGTCCTGAGGAGGAATGCTTGGGTGGAGACCATCAGGGAGGACAGAGGCCGAGCTGTGTCGTTGTCCTGAGGAGGAATGCTTGGGTGGAGACCATCAGGGAGGACAGAGGTCGAGCTGTGTCGTTGTCCTGAGGAGGAATGCTTGGGTGGAGACCATCAGGGAGGACAGAGGCCGAGCTGTGTCGTTGTCCTGAGGAGGAATGCTTGGGTGGAGACCATCAGGGAGGACAGAGGACGAGCTCTGTCGGTGTGCTGAGGAGGGATGCTTGGGCGGAGACCATGAGGGAGGACAGAGGTCGAGCTGTGTCGGTGTGCTGAGGAGGGATGCTGGGGGCGGAGACCATGAGGGAGGACAGAGGTCGAGCTGTGTTGGTGTCCTGAGGAGGGATGCTGGGGCGGACACCATGAGGGAGGACAGAGGTCGAGCTGTGTCGGTGTCCTGAGGAGGGATGCTGGGGCGGAGACCACGACAGAGCTGGGTGCCTGCATAATAAGGGATAAGGGAGACTGGAGTCACCGTGGGAGATCCCGCCTGCGGGCAACGTAATAATGATAATAAACATGATTTGAGGTCTTTGGCGAGCACAGTTGCTAGCTCGCTACGAGGACGTTCCCACCAACTTGCCACGGCCTGCCCCCGTCATCGTTGCAATACTCAGTGCAAAGTGCACAGTGGCATTGTGCCAATATGTTGACATTTGGGGCACTTCATGGAATCGTGGTCTCATTTTGTTTCACTAAATTCTTCTTTCAGGAGAGGAAAGCGTACCTTCAGTACATGATCGACATTGCCGTGGCTCTGGGGGCAAACGAGACAGTTGCGTTGGAGGATATGACGAAACTCATCGAGTTCGAGTCGCATATGGCTAACGTAAGACATTCGTAGAAATTCGTCTTCGATTCTTTCTTTGTCAACGTTTGCCTTTAAGTAAAGGCAAATGGACTTGAAAATTGGTTTTATTTTTTCGAACAGCTCCCGTAGGCAACATCTTGTAGCCGAAGACTTATTTTAAGAATGTGGAATGATTCTTAATTACGGATATAGCAGCTTAGCAGGTCATGTCTCTCCGTCAATTACACAAATGTAGTTAGTTGAGTTACTTTATAGTTTAGTTAGTAACAAACGCTGAATTGTTGTAGTAGCAAACGTTGCAATTATCTATTGCTCCTACATTATTTTGCCCGATTTCGACCAAAGTTTGTCAAAAGTATCAGTAGCCTTGTCCCAACATGTCACATGACCAAACTGGGGTCGAAGGAAGTCATGGGGTATCTGGTGTGAACAATCGGGGGGGGGGGTTCCTTCTACTCAAAACAGTACACTACTCCTTCCAGAAATTACATGCCACAAAAACGTGACTTATATATGCATGAACGCAAATTCGTTGGGCCACAGCTTCCCGAAGATATTGTTTATTTAGTCAATCGCTATGGTGTTGTCGAAATGCCATATTCACTCTCTTAACTATGCAAATCTACGTGTAGATGTTAAATATGTTATAGGTAAAGTATAAGTACACAAAAATATTCTGTTTTTGCTTTGTTTTTCTACAGTTGACTGAGTTACATCCAGACGATGAAATTGAGTACATTGAATACACCCTCAAGCAAATTGGAATGGGTGTGGTAAGGATTCGACAGCATTGCTTCGAGACTTGGTCTCTTTTTGCAGACTTCTTAAGCTTGTTGTCATTGACGTCAACACACATATACATTTCGTACAAGTATCATGATACGAGTCTTGTTTGGACTGAACAAGCCGAATGTCTCATTATTTAGAGGTTGGAGACAGTTTAGAAATATAGTCAGATCCAAGGTTTAGCCAAATACTGTGCCTCCGAATTTTCTTCCTTTAATAAAGATACAATCAAAGCAAATTAATGAACCTAATTTATCATCACTTTTGCACATTATGGGCCTATTGATCATCCTACTACACTTGTATCAACACTGATGGCCAAGCATTCATTTTTTCCCCAGATCGACTGGACGCGTTTTTATCAACTAATGTTGCCGGCAAGTGTCGACCCAGGAGTAACAGACGACGAGCCCATCATCAACTACAGACCGGACTACATCGGTAACGTCACCTTGTGGCTCAGAGACCAAGACGACAGGTGGGGAAAACAATAATAAATAAAGACTATCGTAATCTAGATTCAAAGAAAGAATTCATTGAAACAAATTTGAAAGTAATTCTTACACACTAATGACCGTAACCATCAACATGAAATCCTCCTATCGGTACTGTCTTGCCGAACGTTGCTTGCCGGGACACTAGGATTGGCAGTCGTAGCAGCCTCGGTGTTTTTATCTCAGGATGGGCTGCGCTTTCGTATAGATAGGCATGGCCTACTGGTTGGAGTCAAGACTTTGATCAGAGGGTCAGGGGTTAGAATCCGGATCCTGGCCACATGTTGTGTCCTTGGGCAAGCTATACTTCACGCCCACTTGCCTCTCCACCAGGAGAGTGGATAGGTACCGGCATTAGCTGGAAAGTAACCTGATATGGACTGGTATATCCCATCCAGGGGAATAGAAATATTGTCAGTCATTTCTTGCCTGAGAAACTGGTGATAAACGCCAACCCGATGGGCCACATTGACTCGTTACAAACTTTACTGTATTGACTTTCTACCAGACAAGAAGAAAATATTCTTCGTCCTAAATATATTTTGCAGTACCAGTTCTGCATTATTTCTTGTATTTAAAGACTCATCGATCCCGTTGTACTTTTGAACATGCAATCAGATTTTAGACGAGGAAGATCTTTTTTCTTATCCCGTCAGGGTCAAGGCCAACTACATGATCTGGCGTCTGGTGAGTGAGCTTGTCCCCTTCATGAGCGAGACATTCCTGGCCATCCGGCAGAAGTACCAAGAGGCCACAGACAGCACGTCGGCTACCACACCTCGCTGGCGGACATGCGCCAAAAACGCCAATAACTTATACAAGTATATCAGCGGTAGGATGTACGTGGACGACCACTTCCCTGAGGATGCTAAACAGAAGGTATGGGACATCCTGTGAAGCATTAAGCATGGTTAAATTGAGGTGATGTCACACTAGCGAACCGGATAGCGCGCCAATGGTATAGTACTTTGGTTGCTACGGATAAAGTACCTTTGGCCAATCAAGACACATAATCTGTGGGTTTGGGTGTTATAGGAAGAAATTGGATAAGAATTCTCATTAGAAATACGCATGGATAAATATTCATGGTTTATGTTTTTCCCTTGTAGACGCTTGAAATGGTTCGCACTTTGCAGACGGCTTTCAAGTCCATGCTGAAAACAAATGCCTGGCTGCAGGAAGCAGACAAGGCGACGGCTATTGAAAAGGTAAGGTCAAAGGGTCATCATGAAGAGCGCCGAAGCTACACAACTCCGTTTGCATCAAAAGTTTCTAACATGACATGGCTCGTGCGAAATTATTTACACGCGAAAGATCCGTGTCATATCCCGAACGTGTTTCCGCGATCAGAACGATTGGAAGAAGTATGCATCGTTTGAAGTGCCAGTCTCCGAGGAGAAACGTTCTCAGAAGAAGAAGTGTTGCAAACCCAACGTTTAGTTCACTGTAGTCGGAGCACACTATCTATATATCTAATCGGAACCACTCTTCAGTAAATGTTCAAACCTTTTCACGATGCTTAGTTTTCGAATCGCTCTGACGATGAGAACGTTTTTCGTAACTCCGGACTCGGTTTACTAAATGATTCATGTACCTTGTGTAACCAAGTAGTGTGTAGTGAAATCAGGCCCTGTTTACTGGCTCCAATTATTTTAATCAAAACATTGTGAGTTTATGGAATGTAAATTAGCCATTTGTAATGATTGTTATTGTTATTATTATTATCCCCATAGGCAGATGCTATGGACATCGCAATTGGTTACCCAGAATGGATCAAAGACAACGCTAAGCTAGATGCGAAGTATGCCGATGTAAGTAGCAAACAAGTTTGGCAGTTTGATGTGACGATAACGTTCATTTCCACCCTGTGTGTATGTTCGGTTGATGTTTGTTTACGGAATTAAACAATTAAAAGAATCAAAGTGAGGCTGGAAGCGTCGTCACGTGGCTTGTTAAGCTCTCATCACTATTCCAGTATCGCATTCTGGTACAGTATAAAGGCCACAGAGACCAGGGAGGTCTGATCATGTTTTAGCACACGAGAAAAATAGAAAGATGAATGGTATCCAATTTTTGTCTCTTTCTCTGCCCAAAGGTGACTGCCAAGGACGATGAGTATTTACAGAATAACGTGAGATACCGCGAGTGGACATCCCAGGGTGAAATGGCGCTCTTACGTCAAGACGTGGACAAAGATGAATCACTGTGAGTAGGATTTGAATGTTTTGATATTAGGTATACCTTTCCAGTTGCACGATCTTAGTTTACATTTTTTTTGGCACTTCGAGTATTAACCTATCAGTATGTAGCTTTTAAAAGAACCAGCATTCTTCTGCAATTTCGGACTCTATCTAAGGCTGTACATTGGCTTCCTGTTCATCGGGCCAAATAAAAATAAAATATGTTTAGCGTCCCCACCCGCTTCCTTTTTGGAGGCCGCCTCGTTTTTGTTTTATTTTGTTTCTACCAGAAATAATGATACATTTGAAACAGTGACATCACTTTGGCCTTTTTGTCTTTTGCATCTAGTCCATATAAAGCTAGTATGTCATTTCCTGAGTTCAAGTGTTGGCCATTTTAAAAAAAGCTGGCGGCCATTTTGAAAAATAGCCCGGTGGGGCAGCCATTTTGGAAGGGGGAAAAAGGGCTTCCTCCTTCCTTTTTTTCCAAAAAGGCAGGATGCCCTTTATTTTTATATATTTGTTTTTACTTGGCCTTAATGTACAACTGTCAATATATAATGTGTTCTTTTTTTTAACCCCAAATGTCCTTTATGAATACATTAAACAATTCAATTATTTCGAGGCTTAACACTGTCTTCATGTTTTACATCAATGCTTTATATTTTTGTTATAGGTGGGCTACCCGTGGGCCGGCCATCGTCAACGCTTTCCATTCTCCGTACGTTAATGGAATATGTAAGTTGTCGTTTAGGACCTCGTCCAGCATCAACATGTCAGACAACATGTCGGAAACACAAAAAAACACCTTTGAAGCAACTTCAATAAGCCTCCGTACTAATGACGTCACACTTTGTTTACCTGTGCACTTCCCTGTGGAGCCAGTAGGGGCCCACGGTCCACTGAGCACCATAGGAAAGCACACACGTAAACAAAGTCTGACGCTATTAGTACAGAGGCTAATTGTTGAGCAAACAAACACTTCACCTTTACACCAACCCACACCAACCCTATCCCACATGAATCATGTTCTTGTCACTCATGCATCAGATACACTGCCAGCAACTAATCTGACTGCATCGGGTGAGAAACATCGGGTGGACCCCAACCGGCCCACCGTTTTGATACACAACCGACACGCACACAAGTGCGTATTTGCCTGCAATCGGGGACCCGGTCCCCCGATTGTCGCTTTTTTGTTTGTGTGCTTACTTTCACTTTTTAGGAACACCTCCCATATGTTTTGTACACGAACCCAAATTGGGGACCTCTCGGGAATTGGGGACCCTATTGTCCTCTATTGTTCAACGTCCCCTGTTGATTGCAGAAACAAACTCACACCCTCCCACCTGCCGTCCAACCAACATATTGAACCTAGGCTATCGTCCAGATATTCTTGCTTTGCTTTTTAGTGTTCCCTGCGGGCATTCTTCAACCGCCTTTCTACCACAAGGATCTCCCCTGGTAGGTAAACATCACTACAATCCTCTGAATGTCATACATTGTTTCGTCTTAGCCCCTCTACTGACATTTTCCATTTGTAAAAAATTGAAGTGAACTAGTTACTGTACGAATCTTAACCACAATACTTAGCTTTTAATTAGCTCCTCAACCTACCGTTGAGTTCATCTTCTCATTAAACCAATAAACCAGCTTTCTTTATTGTATTTCAGGTACTCCAATTATGGTGGAATCGGTGTCGTCATTGGCCACGAGATAACCCACGGTTTTGACAACAGGGGTAAGTTAATTTAATTAATCATGCAGTCACCTGTGGGTGGATATGGATAACGTTACGCACTAACCGTCTGAATATGGTACATGAAGGACGCAACTTGTCGGTTGTGCAAGGATTTATCGAGATACCGAGCTCCATATCATCAATAGTTTAGCGGATATAAGAAAAGCGACGAAACTTTTAACAGACGTTTATATTAATGAAAGAAAATGTTTTAGAATTGGGAGCCATCGGAAATTAAACCTTTTTGGGGCGTGGCAGCCATTTAAAAGGGGGAACTTATTATGCCGTTATTTTTTTCAACCTTTCACAAAAGCAGGAAAGGTCACACGTTTTTTTTTTCAGATGCGGAGCCATCGCCAAAGCACCAATTTAGAGGCGTGGCAGCCATTTAAAAAATGGGGGTTACTCATTATGACCAACGTTGAAATATTGTGCTCACAATTCATAAACAAAGGAACCATAGATGTGAACATTCGTGAGAAAAATTATCCAGATGTAGAGTCATCGCAAACTCACCCTTTTAGGGGTGTGGCAGCCATATTCGAAAAAGGGAGGGGTGGGGTATTTTAACCTTAGTCATGATGCCCACATAAAAAAAATCGAACCTACCTTTATAAACTTCCCACAGACGTTTATATTTTTCAGAAAAAAATATTCCAGATGTGGCACGATCGGGAATTTACCCTTTTTGGGGCGTGGCATTCATATTAAAAAAAGGGGCTGAGTAGTCATGATGCCCCCCCCCCCAAAAAAAAAATGTACCTACCTTTAATAAACGAATTAAACTTCCCACAGTCGTTTATATTCGTGAGAAAATATATTCAAGATGTGGAGCCATCGCAAATTCACACTTTTAGTGGCGTGGCAGTCATATTAAAAAAGGGGGCGGAGTAGTCATGATGCCCACATACAAAAATGTTACCTTCCTTTCATAAACGAAGTTAATTGCACCCAAACATAAGTTATACTCCTGAGATTTTTTTCTTATATGTGGAGCCATCACAAACTCACCCGTTTAGAGGCGTGGCAACAATTTCGGGGAAGATAAAATGGGGGAGCACCTGTACTCTCCGTGCCCACACTTGTAATGTTCATATTCTGTGGCCGATTTTTGACATTGTTGTCTGGCCATAATCTATATGACCTCAGGTAACACTACAACTTCCACCATCAACGAGGGTGCATTCCCCCGGACCGAATGCAGTTTAAGGGGGGGGGGGGAAATGAATTTCGGTGTTTGGGCGGGAAACTCGTGCAACAACAATGTTTGATTTGTTGACCGAGAGTGAGCTAAAAACCCGCATGTGGCTTCTTATATCGGGTGAAAACAGGAAGCATAAATGTACATTCAATAGTGGGTTTTGCTTTTCACCAACATATTTTTATAAACACTGTATACTTAGTGTTGTCCCGAGTGATTGTGAGAAAAAAATTCACCAACTACTCGGGTGTGACTCGAACCCATGACCAGTTAGAAGCAAGCGTATCAGGCTTACAACCTTGAGCAACTCCGGGCGCGAACTATAGTTCGACGAACTTCTCTCGAACAAAGGATTGTTTGAGTGTCGTGCGAAAACGAAAAGAAATTCAACAGTTTTGATGAAAAATGTTGTTGACATAGAGTTCAATTCAAATGGGAGCACTGGGTCAGTGTTATAACTCATCAATTGATGGAAGGCCGCTATTTCTAAGACATATTTTAATTCCAATATCTTGGTCTTTTTTGACAGGGAGACAGTTCGACAAAGACGGCAACTATAGAGTCTGGTGGAGTCAAGAGTCCATCGAAAATTTCGTGGAGGAGAAGCAGTGTATCATCGACCAGTACTCCGAATTCGTCATGCCGCAAAACAACAGAATGGTAGGTTTCATTTTGAGCCTTTTCTTGAGTTACATAATTATGGCGGGCACACTGTTTAATAGCGCCCTCTCCTGTGGCTGCCATATCTTAAAGGAAAAGGAAATCAAGTCCTTTTTGTCAACGTACTTTCCGTTTTCTATAAAAAAAAAAACCACACACACAAAAAGGGAAACGACTACTGGGTGAGTCAAAGAAAACGAAACCCAAATGTTGGAACTATTGTTTTAATGAAGTTCGGCATGTAGCGCTTTCAAAATCTAGGATATGAAAGCCCAATTCATAAGCTTTCTTTAGTACAAGAATTATTTAAATCACTGATGTACTTTTCAAGTTACGGAAGTTTAAACACAACCACCGTTTTAGAGTTCTGTCCACGGATCACAAGAAAAGGTGTGCGTTCTTTCAGCAAAACGAAAACAATTCACACGCATCTCCATGTGATTTGTTTTGTTTTGCTGAAAGAACACTTGCCTTCTTGAGATCCGTGGAGAGAACTTTGAAAAAGGTGGGTGTGTTTAAACTTTCGTAACTTAAAAAGTACATAAGTGATTTGAGTGATTCTTGTACTAAAGAAAGCTTATGAAATTGGGTTTCGTATTAAATGATTCTTGTACTGAAAGAAAGCCTATGTATTGGGCTTTAGTATCCTAGATTTTGAAAGTGCTACATGCAGATCTTCACTAAAACAATAGTCCCGACATTTCGGTTTCGCTTTTTTTTTACTTCCTCAAGTTTGAATCGCTGTAAATATTTACAGTTGTCCATTATCAACTATTTTTTGTTCATTTTTATTTTTACAGCTGAACGGAGTTAGGACGCAGTCTGAAAACATTGCTGACAACGGAGGCCTGAGAGAGGCTTACAAGGTATCAACAGCATGTATATCATATGTTAAAATTACAAACAGTGCAACTGTGTTTTATGTCAGAAGTCATCTTAATAATCCAGGAAAGTTAAGGAAACTGTTTTTTCCCAATCGGCTGATTGCATCTCGGTCACCAATATTAAGGCAAGTTTCCCCGTGACATTCCCTTGAGTAATGCACAAAATGAACGTTCGGTAAACTTTTTTTCCTGGTATTTTTGCGTGATTGTTTTCGAGTTGAATCCTTTCATCGCAACACATACCCCTTCCTTATAAAATTGTTACGTTTATGTATGGTACATTATTAAATTTTCCTCCCCAATTTCCCCCAATGTCCTCTTGCATCAAGGCCTACATAGACAACATAGGCGAGCAACCTCGTCTCCCTGGCATGGACTTCACCGAAGAGCAGATGTTCTTCCTGTCATATTCCCAGGTAACCAAAAAAACTTATCCATTCAGCCCCGCCCACCGCACGCGTGCGCATGCCCAATGCCGATCTGGGCGTGTCATATGCAAATGCACGCATTTTTTTTTTTTTTTTTTGGATTCGTCAATACATCTGGAGGCGGGGCTTTAGTAGATCGGTCTGTTATAATTTTTTTTATCATAATATACAAACCCAGCCCCTTTTGATAAATAAAAAAGGCACACTTCTTGTTTATTCCTTTATCTTGGTAATATTCACTTCCTTATTTTAGAAACCGATTCACGTAAGCTTCAATTTGCAGACCCGTCCTTGCAAAATATTTTGAATTGTCAACAGCATGAACTTACACTAAATAATTGTATCGCTAAAAAAGATTTCATGAGAGGTTGCACAATAACCAAAAAGGCCAATATTCCACAGACAAGACACGTGCACAGCGTGGCTAAACTCAAGTTTTCGCACTTATCCTTCTTAATGTGTACAGTTTGAGTTAATGTAAAATCGTGCAGTATGGTTGAGTAATTTTCATGAGAAACTTTAATTACTTTCTTGCAATCAAGCTTTGGTGCCAGGTGTTGACACTGAAGGGCGTGAATGACTACATCGACTTGTGGAAGCACAGTCCCGGCAGATACAGGTATCTTAGGTGTTTTCAAAACCTCGGCTTTATTGACCCCATGTATTTATTTAAATACAATAAATTCAGAAAAATGAAGTTGCACCGAGAATAAGTCCGGAAAAAACACCCCACCATACCAAAGACTTGCGAATTATGATATAGATTCTGCGAGAACATTCGCAGATTTAAAATGAAGCAAAAGGAAAAATATAGTAATTTTGACAAATCGAACAACAAACGGTTGTAAATATGCGTATACGGAAAAAGTATCGACTTGGTAGCACTTATGGTTACCAAATGAAGAAAAGAAAAAGAAAACTGTAACTTTATTACCAACTTTACCAATTGTAGAGCTTTAATTATCTGTCATCAATCATTATTCTATAAAAAATACATTTTCAAAAATGATAACTCCATCTCGTCCTATCTTTCTCGATCTCGTTCGCACAGAGCCATCGGTGCGCTGCAGAACAACGAGGCGTTCAGCGCTGCATTCAACTGTCCGGCTGGAAGCTACATGAATCCGGACGTCAAATGCAGAGTCTGGTAGCCTAGTACTTCCTGACCTTTTGCGTAGCAGCCATCTTAGAGGGCATCATTCGTTGTTTTAATTCAGTAACAATGAATACACAAAAGGGTCACTCTTGCATAATAGCCCAGCGTAAAACAAAGGCATTAAAAAATATATATTGTATTCACGTATGTATAAGTAACATTAGCAGTTGTTTTCTTCATTAACGTCACTCGGCGTAAATTTCAAAGTTTTTGCCCGCCCACGTGAACATGACCGTGTGCGTGTTGTTTCATTCAAATAGTGTTGCGTAACGTCTAGAAACTTGCGTTTTACATTAGATGGCTAGGTAGTTCCGCGGTGTCGGACGTTCATTTTGGGTGATTCAACATTGTGTAAAAGTTATAATGCTGAAGTAGATTATGTTTTATTTCGATAGTAACATGCATCAGTTAGTTACTAGTTTACTATATTTCTTTAAATAAGAAATTCATCCAACCTTATTTTTGTTGTAGTACATTTCGGCTTAAAATACCATGGTATTGGACGTGGTGGACAAATTGACTTTAGGTGTAAATATTCATATCAAATGTAAGAACATTGTTAAAGTTTACTTCATACGCTTCAATACTATATACATGTTTCATTTGTGGCATATTGATTATTATCTTTAAATTGTGGCATGTAGTTTTATAATTCCGTAGAATTTCCTGGTGGCTACGTGTGACAGGAATGACATAAACGTTTTCCTTAAAAGGCGCCCTCTTCCTTTAATTTGACAGTTTCTTTGTATGAAGTAAATCTTCCACTTTACGTTTGCAGAACTGGGCTACTTTATTATATTCATCCTTTTTATGGGGTAGTATAACCTCATAGTAGTTTTGAGTGCAACTTAACTCTCGTTTTAAAGCTTTCTATTTTTTTGTTGGGCGCCCTCATTCTTGAATTTAGAATTTAACCATTTCACGTGCACAACATAAATTACAATGTATGTCCATTATGCTGATGGACGTACACGATATTGGCCAGGGATGCTATGATTTTGCTTCTTTGCATAAGTTATCACAGTGCGTAAAAATGTCTGTGTGAAAAATACATAGTGGTACTTTTATACTGGAGTTTGTATCCTTGTGAAGTCATTTCTTTGTTTTCGTGTACAAAACATTTTAGTTTGAAAATCTAATTTCAAAATGCTCCTTTTTAACCAGAATTAATTTCCTGCGCTAAAATTCGGACTTAATATCCCTTACATAAAATACTTCAATTTGCGACCAACTTACCTTGAAAATTCCTAGTTTTTGAGTAAATCCATATATCTATTTCGTGATATCCTTGTGGAGACGTATTCACCTATAGAAATTGACCTGTGGAGACATATACAATTTTTTCTTCCCAGTTTTACCCATGTCTCCACAAGGAACCGTGTACCAGATTTGCATATGTCAAGGTTTGCAAATATTGGGTTCATTTGCGATATACACAAAAACAAGTCTATGAAAGAAATGTTACCAAAAACATGTGAAGGGCACACAATCTGAAAATGTTTCATGCAATGAACCGCCTACTTACATCCATTCCGAAAGGGGCGGTAGCCAGTCGCACCCTTGAGAACTGAGTTCTTTTAAGGCAGCAAATAATTTGAAATTATTCCATAACTATGCTCCAGCTGGCAGATTCTTCCGTACGGCGTCTCTTTAAAAAAAACGGGCATTGTATTGTAGTCTTATGTCATGCAAATTGCTACTTTCCTGGCGTGCATGAGTGCCTCGCTGGATTGTCCCAGGTTATTATAGGTGTGGCTCAGCAGCCAAGATGAGTTGACGAAGTGAACACGAGTACATATGTGTGCTACATACATGTACCCCTGTATGTGTGCACTATAGTGGTCAGGCAGCCATAGAGTAGCAATTGTGTGCTGTTACCTTTTGGTGAGTTTAAGAATATACTTTATTTCATTTAGTTAAGATAGATATCATTCTTGTTCTCTATATTTTAATACAGTTGTTGATTAAGAAGTTTGAGAGACATTTCAGGAATAATTGCATAAGTCTGCATAAGTTTAACGTCGATTTTTAAACCATAGTTAAGCCTGCATACACAGCTAAAAGTAATCTTAAAAGAAAAGAGGACAATTAAGACGGCGAATTGGGGCTTATTGTTACAACTATACTGCTGACGTTACGTATGCATATATGAATATTATTTAATTTCAATGCCTTTGTTACGCTGGGCTATAATACGAGTGTGACCCTTGGAAAGATTTCCATATACGAAGTTCACTCAACACTCTGTGTACAAACCCTATGAGAGTGGACTGAAAAATTCTAAGTGTTTTCTAAGAAAATGCTTGTACTTTCTCACTGCTCAAATTGACTTTGATGACATGAAATTGCTATCTGGGGGCTTGTTAGTCAATACAAAGGAAAATTAGTGAACTTCGCATATGGTAATCTTGCCTGACCCTTTTGTGAATTCATTGTTACTGAATTAAAACAACAAATAAGCCCTTTAAGATGGCTGCTTCACAAAAGGTCTATTCTTGGAGGAAGTAATAGGCTACCAGACTTTGCATTTGACTTCCGGGTTCATGTAGCTTCCAGCCGGACAGTTGAACGCAGCGTTGAACGCCTCGTTGTTCTGCAGCGGACCGATGGTTCTGTGCGAACGAGAAAGATAAGGCGAGACGGAGTTATCATTTTTGAAAATGTATTTTTATAGAATTGGTTGGTTACAGATAACTAAAGCTCTAGAGTTGGCAAGGTAAATAAAGTTATAGTTTTCTTTTTAAGTGCTACCACGTCGTTCTTGTTTTTCGTAAGCGCATATTAACAAACCGTTTGTAGTTCAATTTGTCAAAATTGCATTATTTTCTCTTTACTTCAACTGTTAAACCTGCGAGTGTTCTCGCAGAATCTATATGATAATTCGAAAGTCTTTAGTGTGGTGGGATGTTTTTTTTTCGGACTTATTCTCGGACTTATTCTCGGCGTTCAAACTCGCAAAATGCTTCAAGCTTCTCGGCCTGTATTGACCCAAAGTCCCAGAGACAGGGGTTTAAAGTCGCCGAAGCCAAGGGCGACAATAAAGCCGAGGTTTCGAAAACACCTTAGATACCTGTATCTGCCGGGACTGTGCTTCCACTTGTCCACGTACTCATCTACGCCCTTCAGTGTCAACGCCTGGCACCAAAGCTGGATTGCAAGAAATTAATCAAAGTTTTTCATTAAAATGGCTCAACCTAGTTGAATCATTTTACATTCACTCAAACTGTTGTTGTACATTAAGAAGGATAAGTGCGAAAACTTGTGTTTAGCCAAGCTGTGCAAGAGTCTTGCCTGCGGGATATCGGCCTTTGTGGTTTTTGTCCAACTTCACATGAAACCTTTTTGAGCGATACAATAAATCATTGTAAGTTCATGCCGTTGAGAAGTTTCAAAGTATTTTGAAGGGACGGGTCTGTAAGTTGGGGCGAGAATCGGTTTCTAAATTATAAGGAAGTGAAAATTACCATAAAGGAATAAACAAGAAGTGTGCCACTTTTTATTGATTCAAAGGGGTTTGTATGTTATGATAAAACAAAATTATAACAGACCGAACTACTAAGCCCCGCCTCCAGATGTATTGACCAATCACAAAAAAAAAATGATATGCGTGCATTTGCATATGACACGCCCAGCATATTGTCCATGCGCACGTGTGGGCGGGGCTGAATGGATCAGTTTTCATTGATACCTGGGCATATGACAGGAAGAACATCTGCTCTTCGGTGAAGTCAATGCCGGGGAGACGAGGTTGCTCGGGTATGTTGTCCATGTAGGCCTAGATGCAAGAGGACATTTGGGGGGAAATTGGGAAGAAAATTTATATTGTACCATACACTTACGTGCACAATTTTATAAAGGAGTATGTGATGCAATGAAAGGATTGGACTCGAAAATAATCCCGCAAAATATGCCGGAAAATGAGTTCCCGGAACGTTCATTTTGTGCATTACTCAAGGGAATGTTGCGGGGAAACTTGATTATGTCCTCATATTGGTGACCGAGATGCAATCAGCCGATTGGGCACAAAACAGTTTCTTAACTTTCCTGGATTATCAAGAGGACTTGTGATATAAAATACAGTTGCACTGTTTATAATTTAAACATATGATATGCATGCTGATGATACCTTGTAGGACTCTCTCAGGCCTCCGTTGTCAGCAATGTTTTCAGCCTGCGTCCTATCTCCGTTCAGCTGTATTAACAAACAATTTATATAAGGTATTAGATAATGGACAACTTTTACAGCGAAAGATAATGGAAAATTTACAGCGATTCAACCTAGTCGTTTCCCTAGTGTGTGTTGTTGGGGTTTTTTTTTTTATAGAAAACGGAAGGTCATTGACGAAAAGAATTTGTTTGCCTTTTCCTTTAAGATGTGGCAGCCACAGGAGAGGGCGCTATTAAACAGTCTGCTCGCCATATGTAACTTAAGAAAAGGCTAAAAATGAAACCTACCTTCCTGTTGTTTTGCGGCATGACGAATTCGGAGTACTGGTCGATGATACACTGCTTCTTCTCCACGAAATTGTCGATGGACTCTTGACTCCACCAGACTTTATTGTTGCCGTCTTTGTCGAACCGTCTCCCTGTGAAAATAGACCAAGATATTGGAATTGAAACTCTTAGAAATAGCGGCCTCCCATCAATTGATGAGTTATACTACTGACACAGTGGTCCCATTTTAATTGAATTGTAAGTCAACAACATTTCTCATCAAAGTTGTTGAGTTTCTTTTCGTTTTCGCACGACAGATGTCAGCATATTATATGCATGCCTTTCACACAATAGTTTGTTACGTTACTATTCAGATATTATGAACCACATGAGGATTTTTATAACACTCTCGGTCAAGCAGTTGTACCTTGTTCTTATACGTGTTTCCCACCCAAATCCCGAAATTCATTTTGCCCCTAAACCGATTCGGTGACAGTGGAAATTGTAGTGTTACCAAATGAGATCATTATAGCAATATAGGTTACTGGCCAGACAACAATGTGAGAAATCGGCCATAGAATTATCTACTGTGGGCACGGTGAGAGCAGACGCGCTCCCCCCCCCCCCCCCCCATTTCAGAAATGGCTGCCATGCCTCTAAAAGGAAGAGTTTGCGATGGCTCCTCATTTGGAATATTTTTTTTCACGACAATAAACGTTTGTAGGAAGTCACACACGTGACTTCTAGATTTATTTACCCCTGTTGTCAAAACCGTGGGTTATCTCGTGCCCAATGACGACACCGATTCCACCATAATTGGAGTACCTGAAATACAATAAAGAAAACTGGTACATTTGGTTTAATGAAAAGATGAACTCGACGGTAGGTTGAGAAACCAAAGCTAACTAGCATAATTGCTAACTAAGGTTCTTTCAGTTTCACCTGTTCACTTCATTTTATACAAATGGAAAAAAGTCTGGAAGGGCTAACAAGAAACAATGTATGGAGTTCAGTTTATTGTAGTGATTTTTACTCACCAGGGGAGATCCTTGTGGTAGAAAGGCGGTTGAAGAATGCCCGCGGGGAAGCCTAGAAAACAAGAATATCTGGATGATAGCCTTGGTTCATTGTTGGTTGGTCGGTAGGTGGAAGGGTGTGAGTTTGTTTCTGCATTCAATAGGGGACGTTGAACAATAGAGGACAATAGGGTTCACAATTCCCGAGAGGTTCCCAATTTGGATTTGTGTACAAAACATATGGGAGGTGTTCCTTAAAAGTGCACAAACAAAAGAGGGACAATAGGGGGTCCCCGATTGAGTCGGTTGTGCATCAAAATGGTGGGCCGGTTGCCAATACCGATGTTCCACACACAATGTGTGTATTTTCCTGCAATCGGGGACCCCCTATTGAGCCCCTTTTGTTTATCTTCCTAACTTTTTAGGACGACCTCCCATTATGTTTTGTACACGATTAAAATCGGGGACCTTTGGGAACTGGGGACCCTATTGTCCTCTATTGTTCAACGTACCCAATTGAATGCAAAAACAAACTCAGTCCTTTAGGTAAGGGTTAGGGTTATGGGGAACATATTGGGGAATATTGGTATTGGGGAACATAGGTAGGTATGCACCCGGCTGGTTGGCGTGATGGTTGGATCGTTCATTTCTCGGCTAGCGGTTGGTCAGTTGATTGTCTGTTTGCCAGTTTGTCGGTTGATCGATCGTCAGTCCGGCAGTTGGTTGTCGCTTGATAGCTCGACAGGTCGGTCAATCATCGATAAACAGCTCGATGGTGGTCCGATCGGTCGATTGGTCGGTGGTCCAATGCAGTTGGTCGGCTAGGGTAGCTTCTCAAAGCGGTTAAATTGGTGGCTGGTAATAAGTGTATCTGATGCATGAGTGAGTTGAACATGATTCACGTGGGATAGGTTGGTGTAGGTTGGTGTAAAGGTGATTGTGTTTGCTTGCTCGACAATTCGGGCGATACACAATGCAGTGCGCCACCAAGAGTTTGCCATGGCGAGTCCATTTTTCAAGTATACGGTCGACAAAACATGGCTCATTTGAATGAGTGTCAGTAGACAGCTTGATCTAATATGTTATGAATTGGAGCATAGCGTTCTGCCGCCTCACAAAAAACACCATATTGATGATAAGAAAAGGGCAAACAGATCTTCGAATCATACGCTTACGAAACTACTGACCGGAAAAACTAACAATTTCAAATGTCCCGCGCTGCGAATTTGTCGACCATCTCCCACAATACACTGGGAAAAATGAACTCTCCATGGCAAACTCTTGGTGGCGCACTGCATTGTGAATTGCCCGAATTGAAGTTGCTTCAGTGGTCTTTTTGTGTTTCCGACAGGTTGTCTGACATGATGATCTTTGACGAGGTCCTACAAGCGACAGCTTACAGATTCCCTTTACGTATGGAGAATGGTAAGCATTGACGACGGCCGGTTGGGGTCCACCCGATGCGGTCAGATTAGTTACTGGCAGTGTATCTGATGCATGAGTGACAAGAACATGATTCACGTGGGATAGGGTTGGTGTGGGTTGGTGTAAAGGTGAAGTGTTTGTTTGCTCAACAATTAGCCTCTGTACTAATGGCGTCACACTTTGTTTACGTGTGTGCTTTCACACGGTGCTCAGTGGACCGTGGGCCCCTACTGGCTCCATAGGGAAGTGCACAGGTAAACAAAGTGTGACGTCATTAGTACGGAGGCTTATTAGAGTTGCTTCAAAGGTGTTTTTTTGTGTTTCCGACATGTTGTCTGACATGTTGATGCTGGACGAGGTCCTAAACGACAACTTACATATTCCATTAACGTACGGAGAATGGAAAGCGTTGACGACGGCCGGCCCACGGGTAGCCCACCTATAGAAGAAAAACATAAATCATCGATGAAAACATGTAGACAGTTTTAAGCCTCGAAATGATTGAATTCTTTTAAGTATTTCATGCAAAGGACAAAAACCATTTTGGGGGTAAAAATAAGTACACATTATATTGTCAGTTGTATATTAAGGTCAGTTAAAAAGAAAACATGTTTAGCGTCCTGCCTTTTTGAAAAAGTGGAAGGAGGAGGCTCTCTTTTCCCTTCCAAAATGGTTGCCCCACCGGGCTATTTTTCAAGATGGCCGCCAGCTTTTTTTTCTTTAAATGGCCACCACTTGAACTCAGGAAATGACATACCAGCTTTATATGGCCTAGATGCAAATGATGTCGCTGTTTAACATTTGTCATTAATTTCGGTTGAAACAAAAAACAAAACAAAAACAAAAAAAATAAAACGAGGCGGCCTCCAAAAAGGAAGCGGGAGGGGACGCTAAACATATTTTTTTTTCATTTGGCCTGATGAACTGGAAATCAATGTACAACCTTAGGTACAGTTTGAAATTGCAGAAGATTGCTGGTTCTTTTAAAAGCTATACATACTGATAGATTAATACCCAAAGTGCGGAAAAATTGTAATCTGAGATCGTGCAACTGGAAAGGTATACCTAATATCCAAACATTCGAGCCCTACTCACAGTGATTCATTTTTGTTCACGTCTTGACGCAAGAGCGCCATTTCACCCTGGGATGTCCACTCGCGGTATCTCACGTTATTCTGTAAATACTCATCGTCCTTGGCAGTCACCTTTGGGCAGAGAAAGAGACAAGAATTGGATACCATTCATCTTTATATTTTTGTGTGTATGCTAAAACATGATTGGACCTCCCTGGTCTGTGCATGTGACCTTTATACTGTACCAGAATGCGATACTGGAATAGTGATGAGAGCTTAACGAGCCACGTGACGACGCTTCAAGCCTCACTTTGATTCTTTTAATTGTTTAATTCCGTATTAACAACAGCAAACCACAACTTGCCATCTAGAACTGCAGACTCCGAGGACGTACTGAAGGCAACCCCCTTTAGCAAACCATCCTCAAAATGAGGCCTCAATTGATCCAGATTACCCAAAAGGTATAGTGTTTCTTTGGCAAATACATGCACGACAGCAACCTGGTCACCCTTTATCAACCGAACATACACACGGGGTGGAAATGCGTCACCTAATACTACCAAACACATTTGCTACTTACATCGGCATACTTCGCATCTAGCTTGGCGTTGTCTTTGATCCATTCTGGGTAACCAATTGCGATGTCCATAGCATCTGCCTAAGGGGATAATAATAATAACAATAACAGTCATTACAAATGGCTAATTTACATTCCATAAACTCACAATGTTTTAATTAAAATATTGCAGCCAGTTAACAGAGCCTGATTTCACCGTGCTATGTGGTTACACAAGGTAATCGAATCATTCAGTGACCGAGTCCGGAGTTACGAAAAACTTTCTCATCGACCAAGCAATTCGAAAATTATGCATCGTTAAAAAGGTTTAAAAATTTACTGAATAGTGGTTCCGATTAGATGTATTTTGGGAAGTGTGCTCCTACTACAGTGAACTAGACGTTGGGTTTGCAACACTTCTAAGAACCATTTCTCCTCGGAGACAGTCACTGCAAACGATGCATACTTCTTCCAAACGTTCTTTTCGCGGATGCCCGTTCGGGGTATAACACGGATCTTTCGCGTGTAAATAATTTCGCACGAGCCATGTCATGTTAGACACTTTTGATGCAAACGGAGTTGTGTGGCTTGGTCGCTCTTTATGATGACCCTTTGACCTTACCTTTTCAATAGCCACCGCCTTGTCTGCCTCCTGCATCCAGTCATTTGTTTTCAGCATGGACTTGAAAGCAGTCTGCAAATTGCGAACCAATTCAAGCGTCTACAGGAAGAAAAATACATTAAACAAGAATATTCATCTATGTGCATTTCTTATGCGAATTCTTATACAATTTCTTCCTTCAATGTTTATTGGTATATTCACAGCTATATATTCAGAAAGGTTTGTATTCGGATTATGTTTTATAATCTCGTTGTGAATGTGATCAATAACCGGAGTGTAAAAGTTATAATTATTCAAGGTTTTAGTATTTAGGCCTACTTGGAATGTGTATGCAGTGATAAGCATATGTATTTCCAAGAACACACCGCGTGCGCGTACTGCGCGTATGTGCACAATAAACCCGTAGCGTGTTCGCGCGAAGTGTGCTAGCGTCAGAAATGTGCTCAAACATGTCCCTCCCTGTGTTCTCCAAAATCTTGTTATACCCGTTGAGGGGGTACTTATCATTATGAAACCACAGTCTTTGCTGTCCCATACCTTCTGTTTAGCATCCTCAGGGAAGTGGTCTTCCACGTACATTCTACCGCTGATATACTTGTATATCTTATTGGCGTTCTTGGCGCATGTCTTCCAGCGAGGCGTGGCAGCCGACGTGCCGTCCGCTACCTCTTGGTACTTTTGCTCGATGGCTAGGAATGTCTCGCTCATGAAGGGGACCAGCTCACTCACCAGACGCCAGATCATGTAGTTGGCCTTGACCCTGACGGGGAAAGAAAATAGCCGTTCTGAACTTTCTTTCTCGTCTAAAATCTGATGGCATGTTCAAAAGTACAACGGGATCGATGAGTCTTCAAATACAAGAAATAATGCAGAACTGGTACCGCAGAATATAATTAGGACGAAGAATATTTTCTTCTTGTCTGGTAGAAAGTCAGTACGGTAAAGTTTGTCATGAGTTAATCTGGCCCATCGGGTTGGCGTTTATCTTCAGTTTCTTAGGCATGAATTGACTGAGAATATCTCTATTCCCCTGGATGGGATGCCAGTCCATATCAGGTTACTTCCAAGCTAATGCCGGTACCCATCCACACTCCTGGTGGAGAGGCAAGTGGGCGTGAAGTATAGCTCGCCCAAGGACACAACATGTGGCCAGGACCCGGATTCTAACCCCTGACCCTCTGATCAAGAGTCTTGAATTAACCCTAACCTGTAGGCCATGCCTATCTATAAGACAGCGCAGCCCGTCCTGAGATAAAAACACCGAGGCTGCTATATACAACTGCCAATCCTAATGTCCCGGCAAGCAACGTTCGGCAAAACAGTACCGATAGGAGGATTTTATGTTGATGGTAACGGCCATTAGTGTGTAAGAATTACTTTCAAAGTTGTTTCAATGAATTCTTTCTGTGAATCTAGATTACGATAGTCTTTATTTATTATTTGTTTTACCCACCTGTCGTCTTGGTCTCTGAGCCACAAGGTGACGTTGCCAATGTAGTCCGGCCTGTAGTTGACGATGGGCTCGTCGTCTGTAACTCCTGGGTTGACACTTGCCGGCAACATTAGTTGATAGAAACGCGTCCAGTTGATCTGGGAGAAAATTAATGATAGCTTGGCCATCAGTGTTATGATACAAGTGTGATGGGATGATCAAGAGGCCTATAATGTGCAAATGTGATGATAAATATTCATTAGGTTTAATAATAATGCCGGCAAGCGGTAATGTGTTGATTGTAGCTTAAGAGAAGAAATTGAGGCACAGTATTTGGCTAAACTTGGATCTGACTATATTTCTGTCTGGAAACTGTACAAAATATGAGATATTTGGCTTGTTCAGTCCAAACAAGACTCGTTTCATGATATTTGTACAAAGTATATATTTGTGTTGACGTCAACGACAACAAGAAGCAGTGCTGTCGAATCCTTACCACACCCATTCCAATTTGCTTGAAGGTGTATTCAACGTACTTAATTCCATCGTCCGGATGTAACACAGTCAACTGTAGAAAAACAACAACAGTTGTTTTGTACTTACTTTACTTATCATACATTTAACATCTATACGTATATTTTCATACTTAGGAGAGTGGAAAATCGCATTTCGACAACATCATAGCGATTAACTAAATAAACAATCTCTTTCTGATCTCGGAAGCTGCGGCCCAAAGAATTCGTGTTCATGCATAAGTCACGTTTTTGTGCCCATGTCCATTCTTGAAGGAGTAGTGGACTGTTTTGGGTAAAAGAAAACCCCCCAGATTTTCCACCCAGATACCCCATGATGACCTTTGACCAAAGTTTGGTCATGTGACATGTTGGTCACTGATACTTTTGACAAACTTTGGTCGAAATTTGGCAAAAAAATATAGGAGCAATAGACAATTGCAACGTTTGTAACTAACAAATCAACGTTTGTTACTAATAACTAACTAACTAACTAACTAACTAACTAACTAACTAACTAACTAACTAACTAATTGACGGAGAGACTTGATGACCTACTAAACTTCTATAACTACAACTAAAAAACAAATCACATCCTTAAAATAAGCCTTCGGGCTGCAAGATGTGCAAATTGGATACAGGAGCCGTTCGTATAAATAAACCCAGTTTACAAGGCCATTTGCCCTTAATTTACGGCAAACGTTGACAAGGAAAGAATCGAAGACGAATTTTTACGAATGTCTTACGTTAGCCATATGCGACTCGAACTCGATGAGTTTCGTCATATCCTCCTTCGCTACTGTCTCGTTTGCTCCAAGAGCCACGGCAATGTCGATCATGTACTGGAGGTATGCTTTTCTCTCCTGAAAGAAAATTTAGTGGAAAATAAGACCACGATTGTGCCAAAATGTCAACATATTAGCACAATTTCACTGTGCAGGTTGCACTGAATATTGCGACGATGTAGGGACGCAGGCCGTGGCAAGTTGGTGGGAACGTCCTCGTAGCACGCCAGCAACTGTGCCTGTCAAAGACATCAAATCCTTCGGCCGTGCCACACGGAATTTCACGAGAAATGATTGCATGATTTCATGTTGATGTCGGCCTAAACGCCTTTTCTTCAACAGTGATAACTTGCCAAAGGCAAAAAGTTCAAGGCGTTGGCAGGAAGGCTGTTGCTAATTATTATTGTGTTGCCCGCAGGCGGGATCTCCTACGGTGACTCAAGTATCCCTTATCCCGTATTATGCAGGCAGCCAGCTCTGTCATGATCTCCGCCCAAGCATCCCTCCTCAGGACACCGACACAGCTCGACCTCTGTCCTCCCTCATGGTCTCCGCCCCAGCATCCCTCCTCAAGACACCGACACAGCTCGACCTCTGTCCTCCCTCATGGTCTCCGCCCAAGCATCTCTCTTCAGGACACCGACACAGCTCGTCTTCTGTCCGCCCTCATGGTCTCCGCCCAAGCATCCCTCCTCAAGACACCGACATCGCTCGGCCTTTGTCCTCCCTCATGGTGTCCGCCCCAGCATCCCTCCTCAGGTCACCAACACAGTTCGACCTCTGTCCTCCCTCATGATCTCCGCCCCAACAACCCTCCTCAGTACACCGACACAGCTCGACCGCTGTCCTCCCCACCGCTTCACCCATGAGTCGGTTCCCACAGCACCAGTCGGCTTGCGGGCAGCGCAGGATGTCTGTAGCATGCACTGTCCTGCCATGCAGGCCCATCCGCTATTGCCATTTCAAGGACGTTATTGGACATTGTGGTCTCTCGATCTCCATCATCCTCAACATCTTGTGTAACACCCATCGAGGGACTTCCGGGGGGTCAGGGTTAGAGTCTGTTTTTGCTATTGTCTGATTTTTGGTATTGAGGGGGAAATAAGAACAATCATCACCTACCTTCGAATAGTTCTCGTCCAAAAGAATTCTCACCGCCAAGCTCCTAGAATCTTCTCGCTCGTCAATCTGGAAAATATAAATGACATTAATGTTGTAATCATAAAGAATCAGCGTCATAAATGGTGAAGAACTTGTGACTCCTGATCCAAACACAATTAACTGCCGATTGCACGCAAAATAAAAGTCGAAAAGAACAAAATCGGTGTTGTTAAACCGGCTTTCCGTACGCAGCCATGTTTTCAGTCTGTACTGTGTCCGATAAACAGTTATATATCAACGCGCTCATGCAGACCCTGATTATCTAATAGGCACAGTGCGCAATGTGCCTAGGGCCTGCGAAAAGAAATTGACATATCGCGGTAGAATCGCGTCAGTGCAGCCTGTGAACTACTGTCCAATTATCTGATACACAAATGGACGCAGAACGCGCAAAATCTGAGACAAACCAATCTTAGTGTACAAAAACTCCATAGGACTGTCTAAGGGCGTGGCAAACTCGCAAACGGCAATAGGTCAATTAGGGGCCTACGAAAAATGTGAGGGCCTACGCAAATACGGTGGCTAGTGCAGAGAATGGGCTCCGTGCACCAACAAGAGGGCGCGTTTTAGAGAGCTCCGTGGACGGGACACACAGCGTGTGTGACGTACTGGTTCGCGCCTGAAGTACGCACGATTTCCTGATGTGCAAAAGCCACCGTGTCCTCGCGTGAGCGTCATGCGTCTTCGGCGCGCAAATACTTGCAATGGTCTCCGAGACTAATCCCCGCCTCCTATACCTTTTGATACATTCGAAATTCGCAGTGGATGGATTGGGAACCAGTCTAGGTTACCCCAACTCTCCTTTTCTAGCCGTTGATGAGGTACTTGTGCACGGAGCCCATAGGGCCCACGGAACACTGGCGACTAGGGCCTACGGAACATTAATCCTGCCCCTGCGCTCATGGAAAGACTTCTTCATTTCTATTTTAATAATACAACTAAAAGTCACCGAAATATCTGAAGCAATCAGATCATTTCTAGGGGCTTGTCCTTACCAGGGCCCTCACATCCTGGCTCAGCGTCCTGTCGATGTCGACCGACGGGACCACAAACTCAGGAAGGAACGCCTGATGAGAAAAACAAACGACAAACACCTTTAAAACACAATTTATGAACGCAACAGCAGGAGACAGGGCTGAACCATTTAACCTTACTGAAAACGTCAGTTCTTTAAAACTTAAAATTGGAACTCAGCCCAAATAGGAAAATGAATTGAGCCATTGAACATTGCCATGCACTCGACTCCAATCCGCTCTAACGGGTCATAGTTGACAAGGAATCTGGCTCATATTCGACCTTATGCTTTCCGGGTCAAAATGACTATTGTTTCGGGTCATTTTCCAAGGCCGGGTTCGTTTTGAACCCCCCAAATGGGTCTTTTTTTCAACCGGAAAAGTGTTATATTGTGACCTGGAAAAGTGTTATTTTGACCCCCGAAAAAATGTTATTTGACCCGGAAGATTATGACCCGAATCCCGGGTCAACTCCGACCTTGGACTTGTTAGAGTACCCTAATACAGAAGGATTGTCAGATTCGTAAAGGTTTACCTGTAATTTTACCATTTTATTCTTTTCCTTTAATCCAAATATTTCATAAAGAGAGACAAAGTATTTTGCATTTGTCTTTTTTTTGCGAATCTGCGTAGATTTATCGGTGCACTGTTTACATTGCACTTTACCTTTTCAATACCTAGCATTGACAGCCCCAATTGTTTTGACGGTACAGATATCATTTTTCCCTATTTGACCTACAAGAGTTACAGACAACACTACGAGTACACCGTTCTTAAACATGCCGGGTCTCATGTCATTCAATTATATCTGAACTGACCCTCTTTCTGGGTCAAAACTGGCACTTCTCTAAGTCCTTTGTCTGGGCCATTTAAATCGGGAAAGTGTTATTTTGACATCAAAAAAATCGTACTATGGTCGAGAGATTTGTCACTCTAAGGCAACAAATTCTCATTCTGACTCAGAAGAATACCTGGTCAAATTGAACCCGGAATCCGGTCGAGTTTGACTCCATTTTTTTTCAAGAGTGTGTATCCTTAAGAGCTTACATCCAACTTGTATTTGGCAGTGTTGTTGGGATCGGGATATGTGCTCGTGGCCACAATCAAATTCACGTCGTATGTGCCCCTGATGGCGGCCCAGAGTTTCTCGAAGTCGAATTCGGTGGCGTTCCAGTTACCGCCGGCAGGGATAGACCCCAGCACCGGCCAGCCGCCCAGCGAAGTCAGCACGTCCGTCAGAGGTTTGGCTCCCAACGCGTTGATGGTGTCTGTTGGATATTTGCGAAAACGGAAGTCTCAAATTCACTGTGTTAACTTGTAATTTTTAGAAAACTGAATAACAATAGAAACATTCCTATAGTTCACGCAGTCAAATTACTGACAATGCGCACAAAAAATATCAATGACTTACAACAATCGCAAAAAATCGCCCTGTGAATAGAGCCTGGCGTGGACATTAGAACTTGTCATTGGTCTTTTATAACAGTTATAAATTGTCAAGTATTTGAGCTCTGCGCAGAAGGGTAGATGTCACTCTTATAACTTTAACAGAACAACTCATAATAACTTACTTATGTCTACGCAAGACTGGTAGTCGTTCCTTACGATGTGATACGACGAGGGTTCGCCGGCAACGGGACTCCGTTCAAATATAACTGATAAAGAAATGACCAATATGGCAGTTTTAATTAACAACTTCTTAGACACAAACAGTCGGTAAAATTACCACAATGACAATTAGGAAACCCGTAAGTGACCGTTATTTTACGGTATTTGGTTGGCGACTTATTTGACAATGAATATACCGTAAAATTACGGGCAGATTTTTTTACCGATGACGCTACTGTCGATACGGATGTCTCTAAAGTAAAAAGACTGGTAGCGACTGTGGAGTCAGGACAGTGCTGCCATTGTCGAACTAAAATGTGTATGTCGACATTAATGACGGTGGAAAAAGAACCGACAGTGGCAGTGATTTAGATAGTGATGGCGATGAAAAAGACGGTGCACGATGTCGATGATAGAAACAATTGCCAAGATTATGACGACGATGAAGACGATGGCTTTGACATGTCACACAAGAAAATCAGTTTCAGGAGAAGAATGTGAGAAGATTGGATGAGACGACACTGGAAGATGACAGTCGTTTTCGTGAGCTTATGTTGAGTGGCATGAATTACCTTTCAACTTGTCTGTCAATTCGTCTCCCAGGACAGTCAAGATATTTGTATAGGAGCCAGTCATGTTCCGCGCGGCGTAGCGCTGGACCCAGCCACCGCAGCCGTACTCGTAGAAGTTATCGCAGGGATTCACGCTCTGATTCATATTACTCAGGTATTCATACGCTGTAGAAATGAAGAGAAAACACGATATCAAACCTAGAACTTAACTCTTGCCCTTATCCGTTTTTAACAGCGGCAAACTTTCAAAGTAACTTTTGATTCCCGAGTTTCACATTCCGTTGGACGAACTTTGATTAGGAAACATAAACCTGGTTATTAATACAGGGAGAGATATCGGAATTTTGAAAGTTGTTCTCACTATAGTCAATTACACCTTTTAAGTGGTATCATGGTACATTAGTTCATAATCGTTCGAAAGTGTGTCATTGCGGTCTCTGAACTGTGACATTCCTTCGATGAGCGATAGTTTAAAGGACCTGCAACTAGCGTCGGTCATCATGTTGTCACCGGTACGACCTGGTCATTCAGATAAAGAGAATGGGCATAAGATCCCTTTCTTACCGGAGTCATAGCATTGCTTCGTCGTGCAGACCGCCCGATCCAGATCCACGAGCACCGGTGGTTTATTCGCCTTCAGTTTGTCCAGTTCGGCGGCAATGTCGTTCTTTTGTAGCACGAAAACAACTGAAAAACAAACCAAACTCGTCAAATTTTGAAGACGATCGAACATGCAGTGGAGTAGTCAGGGTTTGCTTCAGGGGGCTTGGGGGGTGGGGTGTTCCCCGGGGGAATGTACCAGTTATAGGGGCACTAACGTGACCAACTTTTCAGGGGCCGACTGGCCTGCCCTTGGTTTTGCAGAGTACCTGTTTAATCCAAATAAAAAATCTCTGTGTTTAACTCCAGTAAACAAATATGAAATGATTGACATACAACCTACAGAAGAATAATTTAAAAAAAAAAACAATAGTTCTGTGTTTAAAAACTTAAACTTAAATAATAAACGATTTATCAAAGCGATTACAGTTTTGTATCAAAATTGCGGCGTCCACTGCAATTACATAGTCCCTCAAGCTAAGGCCAAAAAAAAAGTCTCCGGTTTCTGGTATGGAGCTTGTCCAAAAAGTGGTGCGGCGACGCGGCTTTTTTTTTTTTTTACCCGACTTTTTTGTTTCAAATGTCGGCTGATGACTGCAAATGGTGCCCGACTAAACTTAGTGCAAATATATGGGAGTCCAGAGAGGCCACATAAAGCTTATTCTCGATCATAACCCCATCTAAAAACACGTTGAAATTGCGCAGCAGCAGAATTCCAGTCAAACCAGTGAGTTTGGCGGTTTTGAGACATCATCTTTCATTGAAAAAAAAACTTTTTCATTTTGCCGACGCGCATGGCTACGGCGACGCGCGCGCATACCAGAAACCGGAGACTTTTTTTTTTGGCCTAATGATATTTATTTTAGAAACTCAAAATCTCAGTTGGGGTGCGACTTGAGGGGCGACAAGGTTTCATTGGGGGGGGCTGTCGGTGTCGCCCCCCACGCCTCCCAACGCCCCCCCCCCCCCCCCGTGGCTACGCCACTGCGTACAAGCACAGCAAATTTTATCAATATCGGAAGACATGAGGTAAAAAAGTGCGTTGGTCTGACACGGAATGACCCAACAACCTCCTGGCAGAGTTTTCATTGTGTGTGCAAATCTCCGTATACAGAGGGCTGTTCGCGGGGCCCGTACGGCCCACGCATACAGGAGGCCTCCATCTTCAATGTTGGGTGTTGTCAGTAACAAAACGATTGGACTGCTTCCACAGAAATGCATGCAAAAAATTCGAACACCCCCCCCCCTCCTCCCACTCCGACACCCAAAAATGTTTTACTGGTTATAATGTCCGCCTTTTCCCAAAATATGGACAGAGCCAGCTTGATTAGCAGGTATATGTACACAATTCTGTGATAATAGTCTTAATAATCGTCGGATTTGAACAACGCCCCCATTGAAAGTATGGTACGAGCCCCCCCCCCCCCCCCAATTGATTTCTGGAGGCCAAGTCTCCGGACAAAAAGCCATATGTCTACATTTCAGTTTTTGGCCGATGAAACCAACCCCCCCCCCCCTCCCCCCGCGCAAATTCCTGGATCCTCCCCTTACAATTGTTTTACGGTTTAATTAAGATTAATTCTTTTGAGGATCATTTTATACAGATTGCAAGGTTTTCACAACACCCCACTTCTCCCGGACAATGTTCCATCTCTACTCACTTGTGGTGACCGTTAGGACGATGGTGGCAGCGGCGAAGATCCCCAGCAAAATGAGGGGGATCTTACTGTGAGACTTGGAGGCGACAGAGTCCTCGAGCGCCAGCTGATAGGGCGTTGTATGCTTGTCCTCCATGGTGGGAGAATATTCCAAATGCACTTCCCGTAGATCGGCACAGAATGCAACTAATTCCTTTTAAATTCGGGAACAGGTGTAATGTCGATGGTACTAGTGTATGTCAATAATATTAGTATAACTTACGTGATGCATTGTGGCGCCAGTGGAGTACACGTATACGCCATGATCCACAATGGAGCTCAAAGGCAATGAATATCGGTCCTGACAATGACGGCAAAACAAGGTTGTTTATGCTTGCCAGGGTGACCGTAAGGTCATGGCCAAATTCTGCTAAATGCACTACAAACATCTGTCAGATTTATCAAAAATCTGCCAAATTCCCCCAAATTACTCGAAATACAGTATATACACACTTAAAATCACATGCACATTTTGTAGTATTTCCTTAATTAAGGTTCAAATTACATTATAAACAATCTATAGTCACATAAAGATGTTATGAAATTAATGCGTAAATCTCAGGCAAAACGCGCGCGCGGTTGCATCACGACGAAGTCCGGTTCCCAGTGAATCTCAGCACCTAGACCAGCCAACCTGTCCCATTATACAAAGGTTTGTTTGAAAAGTTGAATCTTTTTTGAACAAATGTCCTCCTTTTTTCAAATTTGATATGTTTTTCTGTCCAATAACCATTTTTGCAGAATTCTGCCGGAAATCTGCCCAAAAAATCCATTCTTTCAAATTATCTGTCAAACTCGTTTTTAACACAAAATCTGACCGAAAATCGGCTAAAACGGTCACCCTGATGCTTGCCAGGAGTTGTCTGTATCATGCACTTTCGATGAGGGCAATTGTTAGTACATTTCCCTTTTCCGGTGCTGATTGTTTTCTAATTTAAAGCTTCACTGACGCTGTTTCCTTGCAAGCATCCTGCTGGTTTCTGGTATGGAGTTTACCCCAAGAGCGGTGCGGCGACCAACGTCTCAAAAGTCTCCCATTCAGCACCCACTTACGATCTGGACCGACACAAACATTCTTAAAATATGGATACTCGAGACAAAAATCTGAGAAAACGGTAACCTCGGATCATATACACTACAGCGACATCGACGTCGTGCTGTTCGTGCATGAGCTGCCAGGCTGGTCATTGGTCTGCTCCCTATTGCGCTAATTAGAAAGCGCTCAGTGTTGCGCTGTTAAAAACGTGGCTACATTAGACCATGGTTAGCCAATAACTACCGTTCTTTGCTTTCCAAGGGGACTTGTGAGAAGTGATTGCGCTTCTAAATTAGTGTAGGGATAGCCGTATAGCCGTATAAAAAAATGGTTTGGAGAAAAATCCGCACACAATCGCGGAAAAAGTGACTTTATATTCTTCCAGCTAATCACGATAATTCATATGGCTGTGCTTTTCTCGGATTTCCAAATTTCAGTGGGGGGGGGGGGGCGACTGGGGGCGCCAAATTTGTCTGGAGGAGCGTGCCCCCACGACCACCACGCCCCCCCCCTCCTCCCCCCCCCCCACCCACTGTAGCTACGCCGCTGGAGACATCATCTTATATACATTGAAAAAAAAAGTTTAATTTTGCTGAGTGCATGGCGAAGAGCGCGAATACCAGAAACCGAAGACTTTTCATGTTGGCCGGACTTACACAAATCCCCAACATAATATAAAGGGTCTGGCATTTGCATTTGTGAAAAAAAAAATCAAGACGATTCACACTTTACCAGGCGATAGTTTTTTCTCATAAAACTTGACTGATAAAATGATCGTCAACTCGCCCCAAACTTTAACAGCACATGCAATAAACACCTGCCTGGGAGCGCTAGACTACTATTTTGATGGTTCTTCACATTAGAAGATTTTCTACTTAAATGCCAAAGCTTTGTATGATGCTTTTAATGATGGGTTGTTTTAACTGTCGATTGTGGTGGCAAGTTTTACAAGTGAATTGAAGGGAATACCTCGAAAACACTATGAAAACGGAACATATGTTTTCTAAATCTTCATGCACTGTGGAAGCAATTATTCCCGCTATGTAATAACATGGCATGTCCATTATGGAGGTTTTGCATATACGTGCATTATTACGTGACAGTGTAACATCCGCCATTTTGATGTTTGCTCGATCGATTGTACAGCACATATACATTGCATTGTGTAGCATGTATGTACTGCGGTATTTGTCATGGTCATTTGTCGTGGACATTTGTCATGGTATTCGTCATGTGTTTGTCACCCAGAGCTATCTATACGAGCCCGCTAGTACTGTGGGAACCTATTGATGGAGCTAGGAGCTAGGAGCAGGGGCAGGAGGAGACTCTCGTACGTCGACCAAATGAAAAGGGACGCAGCGCAACAAGATACCCCTGAGCTGAGGACGTTGATACTGGACCAGGATGAGTGGAAGGCGACCAGTGCTGGAGCAAAGGCCTTGACCCTCAAGGCCTACACGATTAAAATGGCAACAGCAAAATTTCAAACCGATTTACCTGGAAAATGCAAAAATCAAGACGATTGCAATGAACTGATCCCTTTAGCCAAGGCCAAGGCTTTTGCACTCAAGCCTCGAGGCCAAGGCCAAGGCCCTTAAAGTCCAGCCTGAAGGCAGCCTTGTGGCCAAGGCCCAGCTTCAAGGCACTACATCCGAAGGTGACCATCAGAGGTTCTCGATAGAGATGGCGTCGGCTGAAGACGACCTCTCGCATCAATCTATCAATCATATTAAAATTTTCTCGCACAAGTCGTCAGTACCCCCCCCCCCAGCATTGAAAATCAAAGATGATGAAATCAGCCCTAATAGATAGGCCCATGGGTTTCAACCCTCTCAAACACCTTGGAGAGTTGTGAGTACTTTTCCTGATCGGATGAATTTCGAAAGTTTATGGCAGTTTTTTTTTTTACCGGATAGCAACCGTAGACGTCCAATATGATGGGCGCGTGGGTACTGTGATGACTGTTGACCAGTGACGTCACGTGAGATATCTCAATTTGTAACTTGCGCAATTCATTGTGGCGCCAGTGGAGTCACGCAATGCTTGCTTGACCCCAAAAAAACATTAACCTCGGCCATGACACTGGCGGCGAGGTTGTTTATGCCGGTGTAGCGTGAATATCCGACTCCATGAAATATTGACTCATTGGCAGTATTGCGCATGCGTAAGTACGCTGATATGCTATTTTTAGGATCATAATGGGAGAGTGGCGTGTCACGTGCGAGGGATGAACCAATAATAGGGAAAAAGGAGTCTGATTTTCAGCGGAGTCGGGTTTTCATATGACACCGGCCATGAGTTGTCAGTTGCATTGTACCTTTCACCCTGATTAAAGCCTGGAGCGTAAATTTTGGATGGTTGGGTACTTTACAAGAGTTTGGTATTAAAGGAACGGAACCGGCGTTCATTTAAACTAGCCATGCTTTATGCAAAGTCCTCTGATTTTTTTTGGTAAATAAAAAATATAATTCAGAGTTTACCCTCTGCAAGTTTTTGTTATTTGTTTTAATTGAAAATAGCTAGAGCGTGAAAGTAAGTCATTTTGTCTTTGAGCTTGCTCACCCCTCCACGACCCTACTATGGGCACTTTACGTGAGCATGAGCACTTTACACATCTCGCAGTTCTGGCCTGTGCACGGCTTCCGCTCGTATGGCCATCAAACTGCTCTCAAAGTACCGGTAATTCGGGTGAATCCAAGGGCATGCAAGTGTCACGTGTGCGAATCTTTTTTTTTTCCTCCCAAACGACATCCGTTTCCCATCTTCTGATTGGTCCATTACATGCATATCTAGTGCCTTGTTCTCCACAACACAAACCCAAGATAGGCTTTACGTCTTCCTCTCTTTGGTTATTCTATCAAAGGAAATGAGAAAAAGTGAAAAAGTTTACTGCGATTCGAATTCAGATCATTTATTAGCAATCAGGACTACCACCAACCGGTCCACGAAACAGCTGCCAATCGTCGGTGATTTAAACACCCTTATTTCTTGTTATTATAATCTATTCTCTAAAGCCCTAGACATCATGAATATGCATAACGCAGTGACAGCGCCCTCTTTGATATTGTCCGATCTCGTTTTGTGGAGAAAAAAATCGCGCCCGAGGCCCCGCTGACAGCCTCTATATCCGGGATGTACACACATATCTCTCGTCTATCTAACGCCTCATATTTTTTGGTAGGGCGCCCTCTTTCCTGAAGTCAGAATGCTCACCTTTTCACCTGCACACAAAAAATATGAATAATGCCCGTTGTGCATGATCGCCCCTGCTGAATATGGCTCTCAAAATGGTCCTCATGCACAGTACATGTATATGCAGCACTATCCTAAAAGAATGAAGGCGAGTGTTTTCGAATTTTCACGGTCGGGTATTTTTTGGGGGATTTTTGTCATCCCCCCCCCCCCCCCCTCGCCCACACGGATGTACGACACTGCGCCCCATGTCACGGCGACATAAGGACGAGCAATAGTGTTTACGAGACCATACCGATCTCGTGTTCAAGAATTGTCAACGGTCCACCCAGTAAGTATATTCAGTATCAAGTTATTTATAATTAAAGCTAATAACATGGAATTATTTTGCTTCTTGCGCATTTGTGTTTTTCGTAGCAAAGCAACAGAATTGCTCAAACCTAAACTAACCTGTTGTAGTGAGTTCAGTGGATACCATAAATTTGGAGGAAACAGAGAAAACGTATGCATAGTATTTTGTGTCTCGCATCTGGATTTCGCTGTGAGTATATTTTAGCTTTTTTCGATACTGACAGGATCAGAAAAAAATATAAACGTCTCGTTTGACCCCTTCTGCGCTCCGTGCAATGATCTCAAATTTCGTTCATTTTGGGGTGAAACTGGTACACATTAATCTTTCTTTTTTTTTCTTCGGAAAATAATGAACCAACACAACCCTTTAATATATACCAATTAAAGGGTCAAACCTGCACTGGGCCAAGTTTGTGCAAAAGGGTTACTGGTATTCTTGGCATGTGAAACGGCTTAATTTAAAGAAAGAAGGCATCATTTTTTCCCAACAATTTATTCAATTTTGACACAGTGATTTAACCACTCTCATTGTTGAAATTACCCCTCATATGGCCCAATGCCTTCAACGTGGCCGCCACCTCTTTCCACACAACAAACGTTCTGCACGAAGTCTAGTCCATTTCAAACTTTGCATAACAAACCATCACCAACAATCGTAGCCAGATAAACTTGGCTCAGGCTTACAGACAGAATAACAACGAATGCTCAGTCAATCGTGGCCACAGACAAAAGCAATCCGTCGAGTTCTTT